TTTGCAGCCAAGTCGTAGGCAACGCATCCTCCGCAGTATTTTTTGAGCAATTTGGTTTAACAAGATCACGAAATTTTTACTTTTCTGAACGCTGAGAAGCCTGGCTCCGACTTTGGGCTCGGGAGCCGGAGCCGCTCAGAGCCGGAGCCAAGAGCCGGCTCCGGAGCCGTGGCAATCTGTGATTGTGTCCCGGCAAAATCAAATCGCTTTTCAATTCAATGTGATTGGCGTAGCGACATTGTGCCCATTATTTTCCCGACAGACTGATAGATTGATTTCGTTGTGCGTTGTACGCCGCTTCCACTGTATTTGATATATTTTTTGAGCCATTTTCATCACGTACCAACGAGGATTCCGATGAAAGCTTCGCCGAGTTGGACTGAAAAATCATCGTTTATCAAAGTAAAAATTGATCGGCTTTCCTACCTAAAGCGAACAAAAGTGTGAACACCAAGAGTTCCTTCATCTCTTTAGGACTTCAACTTTTGAATTCAAATAGTCTCAAAAGACCCTTTTAAAATCATTTTCTAATAGCAATATTGCTTTAGATGAATTAACAAGTTATCTCGTTATCCCGTTAAGAACTGCCGCAAGTTTGTAATACGACATTATCTTGTTATCCAATAAAAATAATGAGCCATTATAAATTTCAAAATTCCAAAAAGATCAAGTTCTCATTTTTGAAAATGCAGGCCAAATACCTGTTGCTGTTGGTCTTCATCTTTGCACTCGGTAGGTTAACAAGAAGTACCTCAAAAAAAAAATAAATAAATGCGACGTTCAAATTTTCCTTAAATTTTGCGCACAGTTTGGGTACATGCCACATATCAATTCCTGAAAATTCTAGCTCGCGCTTTGCATGGGCAGCCGAGATATTCAACGGTCTTTGCGGCCGAGAGAGCACTCGAAACGCGGAGAGCGGTCACAGAAAAAACACCTTTTTGGCCGTATCTTTGCCAGTTTCGCGCGGAAAAAATTGATTTTTTTTGGAAATATTACACAAAATATTACACAATTAGAATGACATATGACACTTTTCATACCAAAGTTTGAAAAAAAAGTATCGCGTTTTTCCCAGCTTTTGGCCTAAAAATCCCGGTAGTTTTAGCTAGGATTCTCGCATATGTCGTCGAAAAAATTGCTCAAAATTTGTAAAAAGTTTCATCAAAATCCAAGGGTCGCACTTGGGGTACCTCGCCTGTAAGACGGCTTCATGACTAAGGCTTTATAACTAATACTTTTTTAACCGTGTAAAAATTCTTTTGATCTGAAACAGTGCTGGGAAAACCGCCCCCTCCCCTCCCCGCCCCCCCTCCCCCTTAAAATTTGTGTATTATACATACATACATAATGATAAACTATTTTTTCAGTTACTCCAACTGAAGCCTTTTTGCAACATCTCTGGAACATCGGCAAAGTCGTTTTCACCAAGTTCATACCCGGCCTTGTTCGCGGAATTTTCGGTGGCGGTCATCAGACTCAAGTTGTCGTGCAACAACCGCAGCAACAGGGCCGTTAACATGCATACTTGAACAATCTTTGACCAATAAACTCTACGCGCTCGCTTTATCAGTCTGTCGAGAAAATAATGTGGACTTGTAGCGCACTGGAATCGCACATTATTTCTTTGTGAAGGCGAGAAGCGGCTGGGAATTTGGATGCCACGGAGCAAAAAATTTTGCTGCGACAGATTCACATTATCTTTCCGACAGATTGGTACCTTTGCCGAAATTTTTTTACAGAAAATCCCTCGTCGTATGCTTTCATATATATTTGAAAATTTTATAGGTGCTGCTCGAGTCTTAGAAAAACTTGGTTATTACGGAAGTAAACGCTCCACAGGCACGGGCGTAGCCAGTCGATGAATTGTCGGTATCAGTGGGAGTTGGTCGTTCAACTCCCCTTTCATATCTCCCATTGCCACCACGCTCATCGGTCCACGTTTCTCTCTTACAGCAGGCCGCGCACTGTCGTTTTGGGTCCAATTGAGGGTCTAGGTGCGCCTGTTTCCACCGTTTTAGTTAAGTATTCTCCTAACCGCCGCTATGCGTACTGTGACAAATTCGTGCGATCCAAAGTATTCCCCAAAATTTATGCTATAAACCAGCGACGTATGAAGATCAAAAACTGTAATAAAAACTGATATATTGATAATCTCTAATCATCGCGTCGAAAAAGGGCGTCGGAGCAAATCATCACTACTTTTTGCCCCGAGTAGTAGACATGGGCCCATACCATTGTGCTTTTTCAGAACCATAATTCAAAATTCAATTGACAAATCACGTTATCTAGTTAGCTAACGTTATTTATAACCCACGTAGGAAGGCGCAATGATCTATTTTGGCTGAAATGTGGCTTATATTTCTTTTGGTAGTCCTCTCCTCTCTCTGTAAGTCTAAATTGTTGTGGTACAAAGTCATGTTCCACACGAGCATGGTCTATTAAGATGGATAATCTTCATTTTTATAGTATACAATGTTTTTTCTTTTCAGTTGTCGTCTCCGAAGCTGTGGCCGGCCCTCTGATTGGTAAGCTTTTTGTTTGTCAAAGTGTCACCTTCGGCCGGGCAAATAAATAAGAAATCCATTCAACCTAACTTGTTTCAGGTATTGCTTTGCCACTCCTCATCGAGGCAATCAAACACGGAATTAAAATTCTCAAAGGATAAATCTACGGTTGTCTTGGAGTCATGTGAATAAATCTTGAATCAAAATTTTGTTTTGAAAAAAAATCAATCGATACGGACTAGCCAAAAAAAGTAGTAGGAGGTGCCTACGAGATCTGGCAAAGGGGGTTGGATGGTCGGCGGACGCCCAGCGAAAGCTCGGCGGTGACTTGGCGAAGACTTGCAATATGTCTACTTCTTCTACATTATATTAGGAAGATGGGGTAGAATGGGTTTATTGCGTACATAATTTTGAAGCTGGACTCCTGCATAACCTCAACATATATGTTTCAAATAAAAAATCGATCGTCTTCAACCTGTTTGAAGCCTAAACTAACAACGCTTAAAAAATTTGCCAATTTTGCCGATTTCTCCAAGAGTTTCGCTCGCTCCTGTTTAAAGCTTGATGGAAACATAGTCTGGAACAAAGCAGATTTTTTGAGCCTAAAACGAAAAGAAACCAGATGACTCAGTTTCACGATAGAAACTCTCTTCATTTTACACAATATTTCGTCTTTCCTCTGACCTTGTCCAAAAACCCGTCATTGAGACAGATTTTTTGGACGTTTGCATAAGCGTAAACAGAATGGCAACCAGAGATTGCCACGGCTCCGGAGCCGGCTCTTGGCTCCGGCTCTGAGCGGCTCCGGCTCCGAGCCGGGAGCCGGAGCCGGAAATTTTGGGGTTGGCTCCGGCTCCCGAGCCCAAAGTCGGAGCCAGGCTTCCCAGCGGTCAGAAAAGTAAAAATTTCGTGATCTTGTTAAACCAAATTGCTTGAAAAACACTGCGGAGGATGTGACTTGACTGCAAAAACGTTGGCTGTATGATCTCTGGCACTAATAACTTTTATTTTTGGAAAAATATTTTTAAAAAATGTTTTGCATAGGAGCCGGAATTCGAAGCCGGACTCCTTTTTAAATTTTGCACGGAGCCAAGAGCCGGAGCCGGAGCTGCAAATTTTGACCGTGGCAATCTCTGATGGCAACTATGGTGTTGAGACATAACCCTTTGAACGCGAAATCTTGACGTGCGTTGGCTCAAACTGTCGATGACCAGAAAGGACGTAGCGCCGTTGAAGGTTGCTTCCCTCCCTTTTTGCCACGTGTAGTAGATATGGGCCCATACAATTTTGTGTTTACAGAACCATAATTCAAAATTCAATTGACAAATTGTAAAATCACGTTATCTTGTTAGCTATATGGTTTATAAGCCGCTTAGGCAGACGTACTGATCATTTTCGCTGAAATGTGGCTTGTATTGCTCTTGATAGTCCTCTGCTCTCTCTGTAAGTCCAAATTACTGGTGCAAAGTTATGCTCCACACGAGCATGGTCTAGGAAAAAGAATAATCTTCCATTTCATAGTAAACAATGTTTTTCCTTTTCAGTTGTCGTCTCCGAAGCTGCCCCTATGTTTGGTAAGTTTTCGTCAAAGTATCGCCTTCGGTCTGGCAAAAAAATAAACGAGAAATCGGTCCATTCTACCTGATTTGTTACAGGTCTTGGTCTGCCGCTCTTTGGAAAAATGATTGAGTACGTCGGAAACAGTTACAAAACTCTCGCAGAATCCATGGGATAAGTCTACGGTGTTTTGAAATCGCGTGAATAAATCTTTAATCGCATTTTGTTGTGAAATTATTGTAAGACAAAGCAACCAATATTAGTATACATATTTTCAAAAAGTGCATGGACACTTGTCGTGCACAAAAAATCCCGTTTTGTACCGTGCTTTTCAACTTATTCTATTTTCAAAAAGTTTTCATTATTTCGAGTATTGCAAGCAACCAAATATTGTTATTTTGACCTGACTCTTTTTGTGAGGAGAAGGGTGCGCTTTTTAAAAACGGGATTTTAGTTGGAGAGGGAGGCATTTTGCTACATTTTTCGATACTTCCCGAATGCAAAATGATACTTGTTTTGCCAATGGACAAGGTCCAACAACACTGTATAATTTTGAAAATTAACGAGCGGGGCTTCGAAAATTTTATGTCTCAACGGACCGAGCCGGGCTTTGAAAGCTCTGAAAACTGCCCGGCCGGCCCCACCTCATCCGACCGTGCTTTGTTCCCCGAGGTGGAAAAAACCCGCCCAAATGCCATGTCTGGTGCAAAGCCACTTCGCCATGCTAGCCGCACCGTCCAAAAAAATCTCAAGACTTTTTGGCCCCCTAGTGCTGTTGCAACGCAACAGAAGACAGCAAATTTTACACCGCTCGTTAGTAGACTTTCTAATTGAGCCTGATTCATTTAAACAGCCCTAAACATAATACGATAATTGAGTTTCGAGTCTGCCTTATAAACAAATTATCCTCTCGTCCAAATCGTTTTTGGAGTCGTCATGAAGGTCCGTCTCTTCGTCGTATGTTTGGTAATCATTGCGTTAAGTAAGAGCTTAACTCTACTCAGTAATGAATAAATTGTTTTTAGCGCGCAACGCGACCGCTGCACCGGAGCCCAGCCCCGAGCCACAATTGGCGAAAGTGGCGGCCAAAGTCGCTGGGCAGGTCCTGAAGTGGGGCGCCTACATACTAGCATCTCTTCCATGGGGACGTAAGAAAGAAAAACCACCCCTAAATCCTAGTCAGTTGGGATACCCGGGTGCTGGATAAACCATCGTGATTAATTGATTTAGTAAAGTTGTTGTTATAAAAAAATCTGTTCACAGTCAAGCCTCCTTGCAAGGAATTGCGAAGAGCAAAAAAAATGTTTGTTACAGAAGGGTTTGTCCATAGTATGGCGAACGCGCTTTATCGAAAGACTGATAGTCAAGCCTCGTTGTAAGAGATGTCGTTGAAACATAGGGCTTTTCAAATTCGCTTCAAGCCGGCCTGATATAAATGCTTCCTTCGTTATGTCGTTATGTAACATACTTGTTTATAACACATTAACAAATTAACAATAGTTTTTAAACTCTTAAAAATAATTCTTATTCTGTAAGACGGATGGCGTATGGGCGCTGCCTTCTACTCCTTGTATAGCTTTCAAACGATGCGTCTCTTTGGAAGGCTATTGGTCAATGTGTAATGTCCCACCTGGTCTAAGACCGTAACATGGTGTGAGCTGACACATATGACGGTCCGTATAGGGATATTTGCCTTCGAGGTAGTGAGGATAGTGACGTTTATGGCTGTTGCCCTGAGGTACGGAAGGCCGTAGATTTGTAGTGTGGATTGTACCTACTTTACGCTGCGGACTGGTCCCTACAGTCCGATTTATACAATTGCTATTTGTTATCCACCCACGCGGCCTTCGATCAGACTGAAGATAGACTCAATTTACCAGCCTTGCTCTCGGTCCGAAGTTCTGATAAGAAAGGCGTGCCCTTACGTAGGCGGTTATTCACCAATTTCTGTTATCATTTTTATCTGCTATCTACTCTTTCTTAACGTTTTCTCTGTTATCGCGTACAATCCTGAGGTCGTAATGACCTTTCGTCCGTCTATTCACCTTTGTTCAGCAGAATTGTCGACAGTTCCCGTGTATAGATTTCCATCCGGCGTTTTACATATAGCGCTTGACATGGTTGTGATGGTCCATTGTTGATCTGTTACGTGACTCGTAAATTATCACGATTGTGCAGTGACGTCGACTACTTCAATACCCGATGATATACATACTATCTGTAATAACACGACGTTGAACTGGGAGACATGAAATTGAAGGAATGATATTATTACAGACAGGGTTTTCGTATACGGCATTGATAAGACACCAAGAGAGAATGTTGAGGTTTCTGCGATATCCAATCCCATCTCGGTATGAGGTTAATGATATGTTACACAATATGGCTTATTGATTTGATCAAGAACTATAAACACGATGACTATAACCTTCATAATTCAAATTTATTTTATGCAGTAGTAATGTTAAGTTTACTGTTCATATTTTACCGGTCTCCTCTTCCGTCAGCCGGCTCGGGGTCCACAACCAATTGCTCGGATGGCGGCTCGTCGTAGAGCGCGTCGCGGGCTTGGGAATCGACTGGCTCCGGTGATGCGGCACTCGCTATCAATCCAACTAAAAACAACATTTTTATCAGTCTGTCGGGAAAATAGTGAGCACTCTGACGCATTGAAAATTGCATCACCGTTGAGAAAATAAGAATTTTTGTCGTAGAAAAAATTAAATTGCTTGTTGCTTCAACGACGCGTCGCGATCAGCGCAACGACATTGTACTCATTATTTTCCCGACTCACTTATATCAGCTCCATTTTTTATGCAACTTACCTAACGCCAAGATGGCGAAGAGAGCAACAAAAAGACGCATGACTTGCAAAAGAATAATGATGGAAATTGGACGTCGCTGCGGCTTTAAATAGAGTTTGGAATATCGACCGCAATTTTTTGGAGCCCTTCGATTATTGTCCTAATTGCGTTATGAAATTATTTTTATTGCCTAAAATTATCTAATTTGGAGTAATGGCTCCAAAGTCGAGCTGACGACACCAATCAAACATGACGAATAATTGTGTTTCAAATATTTGAAAGCTCGTCCGCTTCCAATAGGGGTCTTGAGGCTCGGCCCGGCCATACAAAAAAATTCTTTATGGTCAAAAATACGTGTATAGTCAATCGAGTTTATTGTTATTTCAAGACCTTCGTAAAATGCATGCTATAGAAAAATAGAGCCAACGGAGGGTTGAAAAAAAAAAGTTTTTGGCTCCCTGAACCTCCTTCTTCCTTGACTCACAAATCAACGAACTCATTCTTATCAAAGGTATCCACGACCCTTTCGGGCCGGGGCGTATCTATGATGTGTCGCGCTGCTACTCGGCAACCGAGCAGACTCTCGGCGACCAACCCCAAACAGGTCAACCAGGTCTTTTCCAGTAAAGTTGACCATTTTCAAGCTTTTTGAAATACATATTTGAGACTAATTTTAACCGGTAGTAAAGGGAAAAGGATAAAAAGGCCGAGCAATGGCGTGATCCTAATTAAAAATAAGTTTTCCGATGGATTTTGAACGAAAAGCCAACCAACAGAAGAGTTGCCTTCGGCCTACAACGGCGGAAAACATACTCAGAATTGAACACAAACTTTTGCAACCAAAGTTTTAACGCATTCGAGTGGATTAAAGTTCGAATTCGACGACGAACACAACTAGTTTTGCACCAGCGACATTTTCTTTCCTTTTTTGTATAGATCTCATTGTTAGCAGGTATTCAAATAACCCTTTTGAAAGAAACGTCAATATGCAGCGTACTATGTTTATTATATTTTATGGTCAATTATTTCACCGCCCATACTGCGGATCGTATTGTTGCGGCATCATTGGAATTGGTTGCGGAGGTGGGGGTTGCTGAACGACGACTGTATGGCTGCCTCGACCGAAAATCTTTCTCAAAATCCACTTCCCTCCCCTCCAAATCCAGTCCAATATGCCGGCATCGGCCGTGGTCACTGAAAAAGATGGAAAAATTTCAGTCTGTCGGGAAAATAATGAGTATAGTGCCGCTGACCGAGAGCGTCGCTAAAGTGAAAAGCAATTTGATTTTGTCGCAACACAATTCATTTTCTCGGCGGCAACGCGATTTTGGACGTGACAGAGTGCTCATTATTTTCCCGACAGACATATATACGATGACAATGGGCTTAAAGCTTACCGAGTGAAAAGACGAGCACTGCCACCAGCAAGTACTTGATCTCCATGACACCAATGGAAGGGCTGTGCGGAAAGCCGGTCATAAATAAAATGCGATAATTGAAGAATTATAAAATTTCTTGATAAATGGAGCAAACAAGATAATAAGAAAATAAAATCAAAAAAATTACAAAACTGATTTTGTATACGCAACCAATGACCAATAAATAGATACTTATACATATTTATTTATAGCAATAGTTAATTTAACAAGCCAAATTCAACAAAAGTAACAATCAATATCAGAAGGTTATAGTGTTGTTAATAACATATAGCACCCCTAATATTACTTGAAATTTGAGGCCAACGGCGGCACACGTCAATCCAGCGCATTTCCTGAACCGTTTCGAAACTTCGTATCGTTTTCAATGATTTAAAAAATAGACGAAATGTCGCAAAACTATCGGCACTTTTTCCCGCCCGAAATAATTGCTTTTTCTCGAAAAGGAAGAAGAAAGATAAGAAAATGCGTTTTATCGGATGGTGACATTTCGTTTTGAACGAATCACCAAAAAGGGGCGGGAAATTTTTACTTCTATTTTGGTTTGACGTGCGGCAGTTTTTTTGATGGAAATTGGCCCCATTCTTGGTGCAGCGATTACTTAGCGACTCCAAACTTTTGTATCCCAGTACCAGCGTATATTACAGGAACTGGGCTGGAATTGAAAAATATATATAATCCATAGGATTCAGTTCCGGCGAGTAGGCCGTAATTTCGCTATATCACTTCTATCCATCCGATCTTAGATCCTTCCTTGGCTGCATTCTCGCAAATCCAATCCTAGTTTTCTCATAATCCAACGCAACACAGTATTGGAAGAAGAGTCTTGAGCTCAAAATCCACTTTAAATCGTCAGGATTTGGCTCCAATGATTTGATGATTATAAACGCCTGGGATGGAAGCCTGGAGAACATGGTTGTTGCGTTTAAAGAGATGTCGAATGTGTCCGAGAGCTTCCACAGAAACTTGTACTCGGGGTTGATTTCGACCATGTACTTCTGCTGGTTGTAAAATCTGAGGATCTTTGTGTTTAGAAGATGCGCTAACACGACTTGAGGGACATAGAAAGCCTCCGACTCGGAGATCACCATCTGAAAATTGGAGCAGCTATGATCGCAAGGTAATTACGACCTACTCGATGGCGGCCATATATTTCGTAATCAAAGACTTTTGCGTATGCAACGTCAAGCATGAACTCCATACCACTGACAATATCAAAGAAGTGATAGTCTTCGCAAGCATCAGTGCAGAGCTTGCCGAAATTCAGTCGACTAAAGCCTCGAAGTCTTTGCGTACGACATATGGAGAGTAACGGTTGGGCAATCAAGCCATTGTTATAGAGGTCCGCAACGAAGGAGGAGCCGTCGGCTCTGCGACGGAGTCCGATTCGATTGCTGGAAAGGATTGCGACATTATCAAGGATACTAATGGCTCGTCCATAAAGTTCGTTCGTTTTTTTTCATTGCTTTGTTTTACAAGGATTGTTTGTTTGTTTGGCGAAGGGAATATTTTTATTTGATACAGCTTTTTCTCCTCTACAACACTGTCTTTTTAGTTTTTTTTTTTTTTTAATAAAATTTTTCATCATTTTTCGGGCTCATAAATGAATCTAGGAGGAAAAAATTTGCGCTCGCGGCATCTGCTTTTTCCCGAAAAATAATGAAAAATTAAACATTCAAAAAAAAACGAGCGAACTTTCTGATCGACCTAATATGTCAAAAAGCGGCCACAAATCGCAAAAAACCCTTCCACTTTACAAATAGCCTATACTAGACGACTTACAAGATATACTTTGGATCTTTGGGGACAAGGAAATTCAACGAAATTACGGTGTTCAACGCAAACTTGTAATTCGCAAGAGATAATCCTCCGTTTTCCATTTTTAGGCCCATATTCTCCCTGGCGTACACTCCAACCGAGTCATCATTGGCACCACGCCAATATAACTTCAACGAGCGGAGCGAGGAGGACATGTGAACATACGAATCCTCGAATTTTGAGTTGCATTGCTTCACAATGTTTGCCTCGGACACGCAACACAACGGGCTGCAATACAAGTCGCAGAATGCGGCTGAAATACGAGTCTGGCTTTCAGAACCACATACCATGGCGGACCTGATCCAGTGGCAAAAAACGTACCATTTTGCATCAAGGAATCAACAAAAATGTATCAAAATGCCTCCCTCTCCAAAGTGAAAAAAAATCCGATTTCAAAAAGCGCGCCCGCTATTTTTGTGAGGGAGAGGGCGCGCCCTTCAAAACGAAGTTTTTTCACTTTGAGAGGGAAGCATTTTGCCACATTTTTGATACCTCCCGGATGCAAAATGATACGTTTTTTGCGAGTCCGTCACTGTACATACCAAGATTACAGTACCGCGGGCATTTTCCAGTGCGATTCACACACTGGCCGTCAAGGATGACGATGTCCGGCTCGGAGAGGACGAACTAAACAGAGAGCATTTGTTCCGGGGTTCCAATGTGGAAATCAAAGACTGAAAACATCTTTTACTGTACGAATGGTCACAAAATCTAGAGGTTGGTCTTTTAGCGACTTTCCGGACAGACTAGTATCAGTCTGTCGGGAAAATAATGACCATTCTGTCGCATCGAAAATCGCATCGCCGCCGAGAAGACGAGTTGTGTCGCGATAAAATTAACTTGCTTTTCACCTTCAGCGATGCGATCGGCGCAGCGAAATTGTGCTCATTATCGTCCCGACAGCCTGATAATAAGATATATGTAGTAAAATACACCTACATGTGAAGTCTAGAGTTGGCACATCGTAATATATGTCCGAAAAGCATAACGCGGTAATACACCCGAGGAGAATGAGGTGACGGCATATCATAAAGGAAACATTGGATACCACTGAGTTCGGAACAGAACAAATACTTCGAAAGCGATGGGTGATAAGGACCGGAAAAGAAGAATAGAGAGGATTAGGTGGGCACTAATCGTCACGTTTTTTTGAGTGCTTAGCCATTTTAATTACTAGGGGAATCAGGCTTGATGGAACTGGAACATTGTACTATCAATCTGTCGGGAAAATAATGAGCACTCCGTCGCATCGAAAATCTCATCGCCGCCGAGAAAATGAATTGTGTCGCGGTAAAATCGAATTGCTTTTCACTTCTGCGATGCGATTGGCGCAGCGGCTTTGCGCTTACTACTTTCCAACGGACTGATGTATCAGTCTGTCGGGAACAACGATTGCAGGCTAGTCATGCAATGTTTGCATATCTGTTCACATGCAACAAATCGATATCGGGTAGTTTATTGTCATCGAAAATGTCACAGTTCACAAGCCTGACCATAAGTCTTCATTTTTGCAAATCCAATCCGATTCTCCTCATAATCCAGCGCAACACTGTATTCGTAGAAGAGACTGTTACTCAAAATCCATCTCAAATCATCAGGATTGGGTTGCAACGTCTCGATGTATATAACTGACTCATATTTAAGGACGGATATTACAGTGCTTGTGTCGAGATCAATAGAATACACGTCAGACAAGTTCCACCGGAATTTGTAGGGAAATTCCTTTTCGACTCTGTACACGAAAGAACGCTCGTATCGAAGGATCCCTTCTTCCAATAGATACGTTAAAAAATCATGTGGAACATAGAGAATTGGCGACTCAGTAAACGTCATCTGAATGAAACAGATAACAGAAACGTTAAACTTACACGGTGTTTTCGGTGTACCTTGTAGTCGAAAACTACAGCCGATCGAACGTCCATCATGAATTCCAGACTCCCCTGAACAAGAGGAACGAAATGATATTCTTCTTTATTGCAGTAGGTGCATAGGGCGCCAAAATTCATGCGGCTACGACCGCGTATTGCGCTGGACCGGCATATTGAAAGCATTGGTGAAGCGATTAGGCCATTCTTGTAGAGATCCATCACGAAAGAAGAGCCGTCAGTCCGTCGGCGAAGGCCGATACGATGACTAAAACAAATTTTGTTGGTATTTTCGTAAAATGCATGGAAAAGATCCACTCCCAAATTTGGGAGCAACTTTCAATAATTCAAACTTACAAGGAGCGCTCTTGTTCCACGAACGAATTAAGCGACATCAGTGCGTTTAGAGCAATTGTGTAGTCTTCAAGAACGAGTCGTCCATTTATCATTTCCATGTCGATCTTTTCTTTGGCATAAACTCCGGCAGAGTCCCCAAACACCGCTTGCCAATATCGGCGTTGAACGTCGCGAGACGTGGAATTATAGTCGTAAGCACCGTCGGGACGCCAATTGCATTGCTTAACAATGTTGGCCGTGGAAGAACAGCATGTGGGGTTGCAGTACAGCATACAGAATGTGGCTGAAATCTTAAAGGTTTGCAGGGGAAGCGCTTTTAAAAGATGCGACGCTCAGATTTTAATGAAACTTGACGCAAATGGGCGTCAAGGTTTTCGAAGATTGTGTGAAAATTCCAGCACACGCTGCAGAAAAGAAACCCAGTTTTCAGAATTCGTGCGCAAAAAGAAAACAAAAACTGAGCGTCGCACTTCGGAATCTCCCTTATTCTCCAGGGCAAACGTACGATGATTGCAATATTGTGGGCATTTGTTGTGTAGACTCATACAGCCCCGGGTTGCGACTACAACGTCGGGCTCGCTAAACACAAATTGCGCAGACAGTTTCTGCGTCGGCGTTCCGATGTTGAAATCGTGAACTGTAAAAAGCATGAGCGTTGCAACGTCAAAAACGGAATCCAGCTTACATTGAAACCCAACCCTTGAGACGTCACAAAAGAAAACCGCTGGGCTGTTTATCGTTGCGCATCTAACAATAAGATAAATTATGGGGAAGGAAAGGAGAATAAGTTTGCAGGAAAACATAAGTAACGGAATGAAATCATTGAGGAGAAGGACCAGTGCGTCAAAGGCTGATAAGCGACGGCGGACTTGACGAAGCGGATTAAAAGTTTGGTCGTGAATGAACGTTTCTAAAGTAGATTACATAATATTTTATTTGTCACAAAGACACGCTCACAAATGAATGACGGAAGGAATCGGGGAGTAAGATCGTCTTGTCGATTTACATTTCGATTTTATTGCCTTTTACAAGTTTTGGCATGACAATTATCATACCTATTTTTATCGGGCAGGGTAACGTTTCCACAAAAAATCAATTTCTTCCGTGAGGGACTAGCGAGGATAACGCCAAAAAGTGTTTTTATTTGCGACCGTTTCGCGTACTCCTTCGGACACACAAAGATTGTTGAATTTCTCGTCGGCGCCTGGAAATCGTGGGCTAGAACTTCCAGGAATTGATATTCGGGGCATGCCCCGCGCGCAAAGTTTCGAGAAAGTTTGAGTGTCGCTCTCGGAAGCCGTCCTTTGTAGGTGAACGATATTTATACAGTTCGAAGCAAGTTCTATTCAATAATATAGTCTCATCACCGTGAACACGTAACAAAGTCGAAATTGATCATATATCTTATTGACAAGCTTCAGTAATCTTAACATTTCCTTCTCGCAAATCCAATCCGATTCTTCCCATAATCCAGCGCAACGTCGTATTCGTGGAAGAGGCTGTTACTCAAAAAACAAAAAGAGCCAAGCTCTTTTACTCTAGTACAACATAAAAAAACTATGTCTTGGAAAGTTTCTGGCCTTCTGAAATGTGGAAACAGTTTTAAAAAACTGGCAAAGTTTGGCATGACTTGATAAGTTTTAAAAAATGCGTTCGTCGCTCTTGTAATCCTTCCTTGTAAAAGATGCAAACTTTTAATCCGCTTAATCTTGTCCGCCATCCCTTATCAGCCATTGTTGCACTAGCCCTTCTCCTCAATCATTCCTTTATGTGGTCTTACTTATGTTTTCGGACAACCTTCTTATTCTTCTCTGCTGCTGCGTAATTTCCCTCTGCTGCGCAACAACCAACGGTTCGGCGAGCTTCTATACTGATGTCGCTATTCAATTTTTCGAATGTTAGTTGTCTATGAACCCTTACTACGATTTCACAAAAAATTCGAAAAACTGTAGCTGGGCGTACTGTAGTGGAGGTCCATTTTCAGTATCTCTGAAAGCACGCATCGTAGAGACAAGCGGTCTTCACCATCATCTTTGCCGTGTTCCAAAACCTATTTTTGTAATTTTCATCCAGGTCCTAGCTCATCGGAAAGCATAAGATTTTGCCCTTAATTTTAATAATCATAACTTTTCTTAAAAAATTTGAATAAATTTCCAGTGATTTTATTTCACATATCGAAACTAGAATTCTTGACGGTTCGAATGACACCAAAAACTCCAAAATCTGATTCGACACGGTTGCAAACGTGTCTACGGAAATTGACCACCCAAAAATTTGGATTTTCATTTTTTTATATTTCAAATTTCAATAAGCCTAATTGTTAAAATTCGAAGCCTACTCCTCATTTGAGGCTGAAAAACCGATTATTCATCATTTTTGCATGCATTAGACACAGAAAAAATCTTTTGAAATATGAAAATTAATCATTTAAATAATCGTAACTTTTCTCAGCAATTTTGGATGTAAACTAAATTCCTAAAGTGCAACGACCATGTTTTTTCAGTTCAAGGTTTCCACGTCGGAACGCCCCCACAACAATGGCCATCGCGATTTGTCTTTAATAACCCCGACATTGTACTTACATCTGTGGATTGCTCCAGACTGAGCAGCAAATGCCCAAACTATTGCAACCGCCGTAGGTCTTGCATAAAAACAAAGACCTTACTTACAAAGCAAGTAAGTAAGGTCATACTTACTTACTTGCTGGTTGAAGTGCAACACTCAGACTTTGATGAAACTAGGGTTACTTTGGATAATTTTTTTGAATACATGCAAGGCAGTTGTCGGAAACAACCGAGATTATTGGGTCGGAAGTTGGCAAACAGATGACGGTTTTTTGTCGCATTTTGGCTCGAAAAGCTTCTCACCTGTTTCTACTGTAAAGGATAATGTTCTTAGTAAAAATTATTTTTTCCGATCGAAACTGGCAAAGGTATGGCCATAAAGGATCGCTCTCCGCATTTCGCGTACTCTCTCGGCCGTAAAAATCGTTGAATATTTCGGCGGCCACTGGAAAGCGCGAGCTAAAACCTGTAGGAATTGATATGCGACCTATGCGCATAAAATTGACTTGTATGCGAAGTTGTAAGTCCGAGCGTTGCACATGGGATTTTTATCATAAATCTGAGTGTCGCATTTTGAGTACTTCCCCTGTTAGTCAAAATCCTGCGTCGATTACAGCTGAATTCTGTCAATTATACTGCGACCCGACGTGCTGCTTTTCCAAGGCCAGCATTGTTAAGCAATGCAATTGGGACTTTCCCAATGTTTACGACTACAATTCCACATCCCTCAATATTCAACCTCTGTTTTGGTATGCGGTTTCTGATGACTCTGTCGGAGTCTATGCCAAAGAAAAGATGGACCTGAAAATGATGCGCGGACAACTCGTTCTTGAGGACTACACATTCGCACTGAGAACCCTGGGCTCATTTAACTGGGCTGCAGAACGAGAGAATGCGCTTATGTAAGTGTCAGTAGTTTTTCCTTTTTATACTTATTAAATGTGTGAGTGCAACTAAAAAAGAAAGACTTTATGTTTGCAGAGCTCATAATGTTATCGGCCTTCGTCGACGAGCCGACGGCTCTTCTTTTGTGGAGGATCTTCACAAAAGCGGCTTGATCTCAACGCCAGTACTTTCAATATGCCCCTCGTCACATTATGGTTTTCTCCGCATGCATTTTGGAGGCCTATGTACAGACTGCCTTAAAGAAGAACATCATTTTGTTCCTCTTGTTGAGGGGACTCTGGAATACATGGTAGACGTTCGATCCGCTGTAGTTTTTGACTACGAGGTACACCGGAAACATCGAGTGAGTTTAATGTGTGAGCGCGCGGACTAATGTGGCAAAAGGGCACGCACGGCAACCCGACGGTGTTTATTGGTTTATTTAGGTTCGGCCAGTATCGAGCCGGCGCGGCCCCAAACCATGCCAGGCTTTAGCCTCAAAATCTCCTCGAGTCGGATTGCTTGTCGCACAAAGCCACTTCACGAGGCTTTTTGGCCCTGCCTTTTAGTATCTATTCAATTCCATCTTAAAGCTTCAGATGATGTTTTCGGAGTCGAACATTCTCTACGTTCCTCATGATCTTTTAATGTATCTTCTGGAGGAAAATATCCTTAAAAATCACAGGTTTACCGAGTACAGATTCTTAAAAAAAATTCCGTTCAAGTTCCAGTGGAAAATGACCGACGCGTTTTCCATTGATCTCAACACAAGCACTGTGATAAACGTCCTGCCATACTTTTGGTCTGTAGAAATCGAGACGTTGCAACCAAATCCTGATGATGTGAGATGGATTTTGAGCAATGGCCTCTTCTCCGAATACGGTCTTGCGCTGGATTATGGGGAGAAGCGGATTGGATTTGCGAGAAGGAAGCGTGATATTGAGTGTTAGAAATACTGAACCTTGTAAATAAGATAAATTATTTTGATTTTATTACGTGTTCACAGCGTTGCAAGAATTGCATTATCGAATAAAGTTTGCTTCGAGCTGTATGCGTATTATCCAGCCCATCAAATTTTCTCGAACTTCACACAAAGCCGGACCGACCAGCGTTCGCCTGCGGACCAAGCTAGTAATTTCCGGCAGAAAGGGGAAAAAATCTAACGTAACATACAAATGTGTTCGAAGAGACGTCACAATGTCAGATTCCAAAGGAACTGGAGTTTCAATATTATTTCAACTGATGTAAATGATGGAGAAGAGAAGTCCCGGTGTGTCAACTGTTACCCTAGCCATTTCACCCCAATTTCCCGAATGTTCGATGGAATGATCCTGAAGCGAAGTGCCTGAATCAAGACACTGTACTTTTCTTATCCCAGAAATCCCAATCTATTTTATATATGATATATGTTGAGTTGTAGTTGTTGAGTTGTGTTATTCAAGTTATCGTATTGTGTTGTTGGTGTTGAGTAATTGTGTTTTATTGTATTTGTTAATCTCTTCATAAAGTTTTATAATCGAGTTGATTTACTTTTATTCTCGTGTTCATATCAAAGGGTAACGACATCTTTCGATTACCCGACATCCACATACGCAACCTTCCGCTTGGAAGGCCGAGTAATTTCAGGTAGAAAGAGTTGCGCAAGGTAATCGACAGAGGAGACCACCGCAAAACCACTAGCCATCTCGTTGGATTTCTTTTCTATCCGAAGGTGGAATCGGACAACAAACAAGCACCGCCACACCCTCGATTGTTGTCCAGCTGAAAAAGCATTAGTCATCCTTTGTGTCATACAAAAACACAAAGGATACATAATGCAATGGTTCGAGGACAGCGCTCAGGGGCTGATAAGGCAGGACGGGCAAGATTAAGCGGCTCAAAGGCACATATTACCGTACGACCCAATATATTCTCCATACCCGATTTATATTTGTCACGAAACGCATTTTTTACATGCGGCAAAGCGACTTGATTTCTACCGTAGTCGAAGTTTTGCGTTGGATCTAGCTTGACGTAATACCTGATTTCGTATCCGCTTTTGACGACTAATAAGCCCCGATCTATGAAGGATTGCAGAACATGCCGAGGCATCCGAAGAATGGGGCTTTCAGATATTGCTATCTGAAAATGGAGGTAAAATTTTATAATAGCATTTTCATAAAGTGCATGGACATTTGTCGCGCTCCTCACCGCGAATAAAAAACCCCTTCCTGCACCGTGCATTTCACTCTCCTTTTTGATTTCGCACCGTGCAGCGAAACATCGTTGCGACGTAAGCGTTTTCCAACTGCGTCGTCGAGGTTCTGCTGAAGAACTTGCACGGTGAAAACGGTGAAAACCGCTTTTTTGAGGTTTGCACGATGCGCAAAGGGAAGATGCACTGTGCGTTGGCGACAAAGATGAAAAAACATTCAAGAGGCACTGTGCAAGAACGAAAAAATGTCCATGCACTTTATGAAAACATAATACTATCAGTCTGTCGGGAAAATAATGAGCACTCTGTCGCATCGAAAATCGCATCGCACGGCAACCCGAAATATCAGTCTGTCGGAAAAATAACGGCGGATCGTCGCATCAAAATGTCTCGCCTCGCCGCTGTCGCGCACCAAATCCCAAGCCGCGGCTTGCAGTCGCAAAGCGATGATGGGCGATTCGGAGGCGCGACGATCCGCCGTTTTTTTCCCGACAGACCGATAGAAAAAAATGTTCCCCGCCCATTTTGGAGTTTCGTCAAAACGAAGTGTCAAAATTGACAAAAAAAAATAATTCCGAGAAAAAGATTTTTCTTTCGGAAAATCCCACGAAAAATTCTTTTCTGTCGTTTGCTTTTCAATCGAAAAAAATGGGCTTCGAGTTGCCCGTGCATCTTATGAAAATACAGCGATAATTCAACGCGACGTAAAATGTCGTGGTCTGAGCAGAATTGCTGGGGCCGCGAGAACTTCCAAGGACTTTTTGCAGCGGTTATCAGTCTGTCGGGAAAATAATGTGCACAATGTCGCTGCGCCAATCGTGTCGCTGCATTCAAAAGCAATTTGATTTTACCTCGATACAGATCATTTTCTAGACAGCTATGCGACAGAGTACCCATTATTTTCCCGACAAACTGATAGTATCTGTTGTCTCACAGAAACAAAAAGTTGAACCCTCAATTACTGTATACTTACTCTAAACCTTCCCTGATATTGATAATCAAAGAAGGCCACGCCTTCGGCATCGATCATCCATTCAGTTTCGCTCACCAAGTCGAAACGACTCCACTCCCCACAATAGTCATTGTGGTACTCTCCGAATACGAATTGATGCGTCCCAGGGGCCATTCCGTCATATGTGAGTGTAACTACGGGCAGAGGAATATGGTTGTTGTAATAGAGCTGCTCCACAAAAGATTCCTTGTCTGCAGTTCGGCCGAGACCAAGAATATACCTGAAAAACATTCGATTTGGGCTTACAAAGTCACAGCTAGTCGTTTCAGAAAGTGCGTAGACTTTTTTGGCATGGGCCGCACCGTGCACAAAACTCCTTTTTAGCGGCATTTGTTTGACCTTCTGCAAGTGCTATATCGCAGCGACGCAAGCTTTTCTCAACGGAGCCGGCGTGAATTTTGGGCGCCGCGAAAAAAGTCTACGCACTTCCTGGAACGACTAGTACGTAGGTACGCCCACGATTACATACATTAGTCTGTCGGGAAAATAATGCGGATTTTTTGCGCATTGGAATCGCCCATCATCGCTTTGCGATGGCTAGCAGCAAACGATTTGGAGCACTACTGCGACGAGGCGAGACAATATTTTACTGCGACACATCTACATTATTTTCCCGACATAATATATAGTCTCCCACATACATTGGAACAAATATGTCCTGCGCAATCAAATTGACGAGGGAGATCACAACACTTAGCGCGAAAGTTTGGTGTTCCAACTTTAAGACGTCGCCATTGTTTGCGGTCAGAAACATGACATCTCTTGCGTACACTCCCACCGAGTCGTCGGCATAGCTCTTCCAAAACTCGCGAAGAACTTGAAACCGGGTGGACTTGTGCTTATACTGGCCGGAGAACCGGTTGCATTGTCGTAATCTTAGTGATGTTGACGTGCAGCAGATCGGGTTACAGTAGATTTTACAGAGAGTGGCTGAAAAAAAGATGCCCATTGTAAAGTTATGAGCCTAAAAGTTCTTTCAAATTATTCTAATGTAAGACGTACGCGAGATTGCTAGCTTGCATTCTGCATAATCAACCGAGATTTTTAGGGGCTAGGACCGGCAAATTTTATGAATTTTAACATAAAAAGTATTGGCCTAGTTTATGTTAGGTATATATGAAAACAATTCCACCAAGAAATCAAGACTTTTCACAGTCTCATGTTATATACGAAAACCTACGATGATCGCAGTACCGTGGACAATCTCCATAAGTCCTTTTACATAAGCTGTCCAATATCACAATATCAGGATTGTTCAGGGAAATCGACACCTCCAGTTCTTGTTGATGTGTCCCGATTCGAAAGTTCTTCACTGAAAGTATAATATAAGCAATAAATTTATCGAAAATTTTACCCATAAAGCCATAAATGAACGCACATGTAAAGCTGGTTATATCCACATCGAATTTGTAAACCTTCGGCGGTCGTATCTCCCTCGAAACAAGTGCAACGCTCATAAAAACTAGAAGGTGAAGCATGAATAGTCATCATTCGAATGCTAAACGCTATGACTTTCAAGAGATTGCAATTTGTCGTGGGTTTAATGGGGGAAAAGAAGATTAAACCGTAACTTTTTGAGCAAATTCACGCCCCTTGATATGGCAAAATAAGCTGGCTGAGGGAGTGGAAAAAATCGCAGAAGATATGATACTTATGGATTATGAGGAAAGGTTGTGACTTTGTAAGGCTCAAAAGGGTCGAAACGCTACAGAGCGAATTGCAAGAAAACAAAAAATTACTCGTAATATGGGGTTTTTTATAGGAAAAAATATTAGCCTGTCGGGAAAAGCCAATAGCGTGGCTGAAATGAAAACAATACGTTCATGTTGGCGTACTCATCGGTGCAAGAACTCGTATGATTTGATCGCACCATGAAGACATTTGCCGATCATGTTCTGCATTTTTTCCGAGGTTTTACAGTATACGGACAAAAAAATTGTAACTCCTTACAGTGTAAGTGCACAGGGATTATTAGGAGGCCCAAAAAGTCTTGACATGTTTGCAAGACGCACCGCGGAAAATTCGCACCGTCCCAGTTGTTTCAAGCTACTTCGCGACGCCAACTCATCGTGCATAAACTTTCATGCCAAGACTTTTTGGTCCTCCTCGTAACTTCTGTAAAACGAACCCCCGTACAACGAAATCTGACTGTAACGAACAATTCCAGAGTAATTATCAGTCTGTCGGGAAAATAATGAGTACTCTGCCGATTCGAAAATCTCATCGCCGCTGAAAAAATGAAACGTGTCGCGGCAAAATCAAATTGCTTTTCAATGCAGCGATATATCGCGGTACGATTGGCGCAGCGACAGATTGATAATTGTAAACCAAAATTAACTTTGCTATAACAAAATCTTTCTAAAAAGATTTACAATTTTTTGTCACTTGCAATTCGTTGCACAGAGTTTCGACTGTATTTGCCTTTGAAAACTTTCATTTGATCACTGCTTTACGCATGCTGTAAAAAGTAAACAAACAAGATCAAAACAATTTTAATTGTGGATGATGAAACGTGAGAATATAAAAGACTGATTTCTAAAAAGGCTTCCTTTCAGACACCTTATTTACGATGCGTTTTGTAAGTAAAGTGCAACTACTGTGCGTGATCGACTTTCGTACTGCAAAACCAGTTTATATCAGTCTGTCGGGAAAATAACAGCGGGTCGTCGCAGCAAAATGTTTTCGGTGTGGGGGCGCACCAAATTTCCAACCGCGGCTAGCTATCGCAAAGCGATGATGGGTTCCAAAGCGGGACGACCCGCCCTTATTTTCCCGACAGACTGATAACGAAGGATTTCAGAGGTGAAAGGGTCAATGTTTTAACAAATAATCTTTTTACGCCCTCGGGATTTTATGTACAAAGATCTGACTGTAGGCGCCTCATGTTTTGAGCCGGTGTGCAATATCAGTCTGTCGGGAAAATAATGTGGATTTGTCGCGTCTGAAGTGAAAAACTAGCCTAAAAGGGCCTCAGATGATTCATTATCAATCTGTCGGGATAATAATGAGCACAATGGCGCTGTGTCGATCGTAGACATCGTTAAGGGACGGCTTTCGTCGCGGAGCGCGGCCCCAAAAAAAGTCAGCCGTGAGTGACTTGTAGCCCGGCCCCACAAACTGTCTTTTTTGTATTGTCGGGAAAATAATGGGTACAATGTCGTTGGGCCGATCGTGTCACTGAAATGAAGAAATTTGATTTTGTCGCGACACAATTCATTTTGTGATGCGATTTTCGATGCGACAGACTGCTCATTATTTTCCCGACAGACTGATATTACGTTCAAGAGAGCGCTCTTTCCACCCGCTTGTCCTTTCCGCTTCCCCGTTTCGTTGCCAAGCGCACTTGGCAAAGGCGCGGGCGCAGCTCTCGAAATTTCCCCTTTTTTCTTTTTATTTTCCGCTTCCGTCCCCGGAAAAACGCATTCGGAATTGACGGTTTTCCTTCGAAACGGATCGAGAAACGTCTGTTTTTTGTTGTGATAATCAATCAGCCGCTCAGGTTGGCGCGTGTAAATTCGATTAAAACGCTGTAATTCCCCTCGAGGAGTCCATAAACTTAAGGCGAAGGGAACGTCGAATTCAACGATGATAGAGTGAACCGTGGAAGGGGAAAGTTTCGTGTGCTCATCAGTGAATTATGCTTTACTATGTGGTGTCTTTGTTGAGGTGAGTGATGAGGCTTTTAATGTTGATTTTGAAGGGGGAATTTCGAGATTTTTTGAAGGGAAATCGTTGAAAAAAAGAGGAAAAATCTTGAATTTTCCTAAATTTTTTGTTGAATAAAGGTTTATTTTGGTCTAAAATAGCCTTATGGAGTCTTAAAAGCCTCTTTTCGTTTACCGACCGGTCGAAAGGAATTTTTGAAATTTTTTTTTAATTCCTAATATTTCCTCTAAAAGCTCAATTTTCAGTCAAATTTACTGCGATGGTCCGATTCTCCAAGCTGTCCAAGATGCCCGCCTATATCCAGACTCCAAATATTTCGTGGACATGCCTCTAAAACAAGACCCAGGTAAGAAAGTTTATAAAAATTTTTGATTCAATTTTTAGTCACAACCCTCAAAGACTTCTACGAGCTCGGCGAGAGTGCGAAGAATGCGTCCGTCCTCCAGAAATTCGTGGATTCGCATTTCGAGGAGCCGGGTCACGAGCTGATCGAAGTCTACCCCGAAGATTGGGTCCCATTTCCGCACAGCTTCCAGAAAATCGAAGACGTTTATCTGCGACGCTGGGCGCTGCATTTGCATCGGATTTGGAGGGATTTGTGCCGAAAGGTGAGAAGTTATATCGAAAATTCGAATATTCAAAAATTTTAGGTCAAAGAAGATGTCCGAACCCATCAGGAGCGATATTCGTTGCTCTACGTGCCACATATGTTTATTATACCGGGTGGAAGGTTCCGCGAGTTCTATTATTGGCAAGTTTTCGAGATTTTTCGTCTTTTTTATACCTAAAATAAGGTTTTTTAATCTCAAAATTCAATTTTAGGGATACATTCTGGATTGTCAAGGGTTTATTGTACTCGGAGATGTACGAGACAGCTCGAGGTGTAATTCTGAATCTTGCGTATATGGTGGATCAGTAAGTTTTTCGAAATTTCAAAAGTTTTTTTTGCGTTTTTTCGAAGTTCTTTTTGGAATGGAAAGAGCGAGAAAAGCGCTCTTTTCCCTTCTCTCTTCAAACGAACCGACGAAGCAGTGCGGCTCAGTGGTCTAGTGGTATGATTCTCGCTTTGGGTGCGAGAGGCCCCGGTTTCGATCACCGGCTGAGCCCAAAATTTTTCTTTTGGTTTTTTGATTAAATTTTTGAATTTTCTTTTGAAAAAGTGTTTGATAATAAATTTTGATGCTTTTTGTTACGTTCTAACTTTAAAAAATCCCGTTTTCAGTCATGGATTTATCCCGAATGGAGGCAGAGTTTACTATTTGACCCGATCTCAGCCCCCTCTGTTGATCGCTATGGTTTATGAGTACTTCTTGGCTACGGGTGATCTTGATTTTGTCTTGGTAAGCCCTCAGCAACATTTTGGTTGTATTATGGGTGATTTTTAGAATGTTTTACCTCTCCTGGAGAAAGAATATTCGTTTTGGATCAAAAATCGTCGGCAGGATTATTATGATCCAAAAACGAACCAGACCTTGTTCCATTACTTCCAATATAAAGTCCACATGCGATTCCCGAGACCAGAGTCCTACAGAGAAGACATGGAATTGGTGGCGGGACTTCCGACCATGGGTAAGTTGGGAAAAGTTGAAATTAAAAATGGATCTGTTCCGGAAGGTCATAAAAAATATTGAGAGCTCTGCAGAAAAATAATTTTTATCGTTTGTTGACAAAAAATGGCCAAAAACGCTTTTTCTCTGTGACCGCTCTCCGCTTTCGCGTACTGTCTCGTGGGTTGCACAGTGCGAAAATCTTCGCGACAAGAAGTCTATGCTTATTTGAAAAAGCGTGGTATCAGTCTGTCGGGAAAATAATGTGGCGATTCCTCGCGCCTTGAAATCACCCATCCTCGCTTTGCAACGGCTGGCCGCGGCTGGAGATTTGGTGCAGCGACAGCGACGAGACATTTTGCAGTGCTCAAAAACTAATCAGTCTGTTGGGAAAATAATGTGGAGTTGTTGCTACAAAATATCTCACCGCAGTCGCACACCAAATCTCCAGCCGCGGCTAGCCGTCGCAAAGCGAGAATGAGTGATTTCAAGGCGCGAGGAATCCACATTATTTTCCCGACAGACTGATACAACGTTTTTCAAAAGTTCGTAGTCATTTCGTCGTGAAGCTTTTCGCATTATGCAACCCACGAAAGAGTTCGCGAAAGCGGAGAGCGGTCGCAGAGAAAGGGCCTTTTTGGCCATTTTTTGCCAACAAGCGATAAAAAAAAAATTTCTGGAAAGCTATCAATATTTTTTATGACCTTTCGAAACAAGGCCCGGCCCTGAAGCCATGTCTTATCCGGCAGCACTACAGTGGGGGACCTGATCCAGCGGCAAAAAACGGAACTGGGACGATTGGGGAAAAAGACGATTGGGGAAAGGGACGATTGGGGAAAAAGACGATTGGGGAAAAGTACGATTGGGGAAACCGAAAAGTATTATTTTCTTCGATGCAAATGTCGAAATTAGGATAATCGAGGGTGCTCATTTCGAAAATGACATTCATTTTTTTGATTCTTACTTTTTTCCTTAAGTAGTACTGTAAAGTAGTAATTTTTAATTTTTTTTTCATAAATACTCGATTTAGGGGCTTTCGAGGGTGCTGATTTCGAAAATCATGTAAATTTTTCCTCTAGTACTACATAGTACTATTCTGATACTATATAGTACGAAGTGAAAATATGGCTTTTGACGTTAATGGTGTTGTTTTGATGCTTAGTACTCTTCAAAAACACGTTTTAAAGACTTGGTGCTATATAGTACTACCTGATACTATGTAGTACGAGGTGTAAAGTTGGCCTTTAGGCTTCGTGGTGTTGTTCTGGTGCTTAGTACGCCTATTTTTACTTCGTACTACATAGTATCAGACAGTACTATATAGCACCAAGTCTTTAAAACGTGTTTTTGAAGAGTACTAAGCATCAAAACAACACCATTAACGTCAAAAGCCATATTTTCACTTCGTACTATATAGTATCAGAATAGTACTATGTAGTACTAGAGGAAAAATTTACATGATTTTCGAAATCAGCACCCTCGAAAACCCCCAAATCGAGTATTTATGAAAAAAAAATTAAAAATTACTACTTTACAGTACTACTTAAGGAAAAAAGTAAGAATCAAAAAAATGAATGTCATTTTCGAAATGAGCACCCTCGATTATCCTAACTTCGACATTTGCATGGAAGAAAAATAATACTTTTCGGTTTCCCCAATCGTACTTTTCCCCAATCGTCTTTTTCCCCAATCGTCCCTTTCCCCAATCGTCTTTTTCCCCAATCGTCCAACTCCGGCAAAAAACGTATCATTTTGCATCCGGGAAGTATCAAAAATGTGGCAAAATGCTTCCCTCTCCAAATGAAAACACTCCGATTTCAAAAGCTCTTTTTGTGAGAGAAAGGGCCCTTCAAAACGGAGTTTTTTTCGCTTGGAGAGGGAAGCATTTTGCCACATTTTTGATGCTTCCCGGATGCAAAATGGTACGTTTTTTTGCCACTGGATCGGGTCCGTCACTGTAACTATGCTCCGCAATTTCAGCGGAAAAAGAGCGAGTTTGGTCGAATCTGGCGAGTGGCGCCGAGACCGGCTGGGACTTTTCGACTCGCTGGTTCGCCCGCGAAGGCCCGCATGTCCAGACGCTGAAATCCATCCGCACCACGTCGATTGTGCCGGTCGATTTGAACGCGTTTATGTGCATAAACTCGCGGATCCTCGCCTCGTTCTTCGAGATCGCCGGCGACATTCACAAGACCGCCCGATACAATCGCGAGTACGAGAACATGAAGACGGCGATTCGGAGTTTGCATTGGAACGACGAGGACGGGATCTGGTACGATTTCGACCTGGAGAGCAAGAAACATTCCAACACGTACTACGTCTCGAATGCACTGCCCTTGTATGCGAAATGCTTTGACGATGAGGATGAAGTCACACCGTTCAGGGTGTACGAGTATTTGAAGGTCAGATTTTGATGAATTTTTCTTGAGTTTTTAGCGAGTCGAGATATCCAATGATTTGCTATCAGTCTGTCGGGTAAATAATGTGGGTTTGTCGCGCTTTGCAATCGCCCATCATCGCTTTGCGACGGCTAGCCGCGGCTGGGAGTTTGATACACGACAGCGACGAGGCGAGAAATTTTTCTGCCACAAATCCACATTATTTTCCCGACTGACTGATAATATTATATGTATTAGTGTTCTCATAAAGTGCATGGACATTTGTCGCGCCCCGCATCGTTCACAAAAAACCCCCACTTCTTCGTTTTCGCACAGTGCGTTTTAAAACCTTATCCAATGCTTGTCGCTAACGCACAGTGCATCTTTTTCTTTTCGCACGGTGCAAACCTCAAGAAAACCCGTTTGCACTGTGCAGATCGATAGTAATACGCCAAAACATGGATTTTTACAAGCTGTGATGATTTTGAAAATCATTTTTTGTCCCTTTTTTTACATCTTGATTTTTCAGCGGGAAGGTGTTCTCAACTTCACCAAAGGCATTCCCACTTCCCTGGCCATGGGAAGCGAGCAACAATGGGACAAGGAGAACGCCTGGCCACCCATGGTGCACATGGTGATTGAGGGTTTTCGGACGACGGGTGATCCAAAACTAATGAAGGTAGCCGAACTGATGGCCACTCAATGGCTGGCTGCGAATTACAAGGCCTATGTGAACACGTACGCCATGTTTGAGAAGTACAATGTTAGCACATTGACTGAGGAGTTTGGAGCTGGCGGAGGAGGAGAATACGAGGTTCAGGTGAGCAGAGTGATGTGGATGATATATGAATGAGTGCCTGTCTGTCGGGAAAACAATGTGGAAAAATGGCATTTTTTAGAATTTTTTTTTGCAATATCACTTTTTTGTCAAGTGCAATATCACAAGCAGCAGATTTTGGATTTCCTTCAAATTTGGCAAATATGCTCTCTCTAGGCCATAGATCGACCACTGAAAATTTTAGCTGGCCATCTGCGCGAAGAACCGATATTTTCGATGCAATTTTGCTCTGTGTATAGTCGGCGCGCACGGTGCAGTTTTGTCTCGCCACGTCGCACCGTGCAGTCATGTCAATGTTTTTTGATTTTGTGGCCCAGAAAAAGCATTTCTGTCAAATTCGAAGCGAATCCGTGCGTCGAGTCTCACGCAATCGCTTCTCAAAAACTTCTCAGTCTGTCGGGAAAATAATGTGGATTTGTCGCAGAAAAAAGTATCGCCTGTTCGCTCACCAAATCTCCAGCCGCGACTAGCCTTCACAAAGCGATGATGGGAGATTCGAAGGCGCGAAAAATCCACATTATTTTCCCGACAGACTGAGAAGTTTTTGAGAAGCGATTGCGTGAGACTCGACGCACGGATTCGCTTCGAATTTGACAGAAATGCTTTTTCTGGGCCACAAAATCAAAAAACATTGACATGACTGCACGGTGCGACGTGGCGAGACAAAACTGCACCGTGCGCGCCGACCATTCACAGTGCAAAATTGCATCGAAAATATTGGTTCTTCGCGCAGATGGCCAGCTAAAGTTTTCAGTGGTTGATCTATGGTCTAGAGAGAGCATATTTACCAAATTTGAAGGAGATCCAAAATTTGCTGTTCGGGATATTGCACTTGATAAAAAAATGATTCTAAAAATGCCATTTTTTATATTGAGGGAAAAAATTTCTTTACCGTATTTTACCATTTTCCCTAATTTTTCATTCGATTCCTGATTTTTCAGAAAGGTTTTGGGTGGACGAACGGCGTGATTCTCGATTTATTGGACAAATATGGCGATAAGATGACGTCATCAAGCATTTCAAACAAAATTTGCGGGATTTTCATAGCGTGTCTACTGTTTATTGCGTTTTAAAATCAACTTGTAGGATATTTACAGCATTTTAGAAAAAATTTTTTTTTCTCTATATACCGGTTACTGTATAATTACCGTATTCCTTTCCTATAGTCGAATAAATATTTCTATTATAATTTAATCGCCAAATTTTGAGATCAAGCTTATTTTCACAGTCCCTTGTTGTAGTAGACTACAGTTGGCGCGTTCCGCAGATTAAAAATGGCGTCTCGCACCTCCGGCTCCAATTTCTTGACGAGAATTTGGCTTTGTTGCGGGAAAAAGGCGCATCCAATGGGCGTGGCGAACGTCAGCATCAATCCGGCAAAGCAGATTTGGAATGGGGCTGCGATCCAAGGGCGTTTCTGAAAAAATTAGTAAAAATTGAAAAAATAAAAAATATTTTTTGTTTTGATTTTTCTGATTTTTTCGGATTTTTAAAATTTTTTTGGGAAAAAAATAATTTTTTAAAAATCGAAAAAAATAAAAAAAAAAATTTTTTTAGATTTTTTCGGATTTTCTGATTTTTTTGGATTTTTAAAATTTTTTGGGAAAAAAAATAATTTTTTAAAAATCGAAAAAAATAAAAAAAAAATTTTTTTTTGATTTTTTCGGAATTTCTGATTTTTTTTGAAATCCGAAAAATAATAAAGTTTCAAAAAAAAAAAAAAAAAAATAATAAAAAAATCATTTTTACCTGATAAAACTTGGTCTTGACCAGTCTTTCCATCACGATTGGGGCCGAGACCATGAAAGGAATGGCCATAAAAATTCGGCTTACAATGACTTCAGGGATGGCTCGAGGAGCCACTCTTTTACTCTTTGCTATGCGATTACCTTCAGCGCCGAATAGCTCAATTCCATCGGCCAGCTCACTAAAAAAATTTAATAAATTAAAAAATAATATTAAAAATATTTAAAAAAAATAAAAATTGGAAAAAAATATAAAAAATAAAAAAATAAATAAAAATTGGAAAAATCAAAAAAAAATATTAAAAATATTTAAAAAAAAATAAAAATTGTAAAAATAAAAAAATATTAAAAATATTAAAAAAAAAATAAAAATTGTAAAAATAAAAAAATATTAAAAATATTAAAAAAAAATAAAAATTGTAAAAATAAAAAAATATTAAAAATATTTAAAAAAAAATAAAAATTGGAAAAATCAAAAAAAAAATATTAAAAAATAAAAACTATAAACAATATCAAAAAAAAACTAAATAAAAAATCCAAAGCCCCTACTTCCACCGAATAATCGGGATATTGATCATATTAGCGACGGCCACAGCGCAAAACGGGACCAATCTTTGAGCCAGAGGTGGAAGTTTTTTTGTGGCCGCATTTAGTCCCAATGCCGCTGTAACGGCACTGGAAGTCGCGCAAAAATATGCAAACCAAAGCCGCTGCGAAGTCTCCTTCGATTTTCCGGATTGATTGGCAAAATTTACCATGGCATTATACGACTGGTTGATCCATTGCCAAAAGATTACGGCTGGGGTGGATCTGGAAATTTGATGATTAAAAAAAGACAAAAAATCAAAAAATTTTTGTTTAATTAAAAAAATAAAAAATCCAAAACAAAAAAAAAATTTTTAATAAAAATCGAAAAAAATAAAAAAACCCAAAAAATCAAAAAAAAAAATTTAAAAAATTCAAAAAAATACTTAAATTTTTTTTAATTACCTATAAAAAGTGAGCATTCCACCGGTAATCGTCATATTGCAAGGTACCTGGCTGCTCATTCTCCCCAAAACGAACATTTTCTCTCCAGTTGTGGGATGAAAAGCCGAGTCATAAAGATGTTTGGCCCTCCACAATTCATCAACGGTCATGTTCGGAGGGTAATTCTTGTGTTTTCTGAAAAAAACAAGGTAAAACACGCTGACAATCAGTTTTATTTTCAAAATGAAAAATTGGCATATTGTTTGTCATGCTGAATACAATATTTCTACGAAAAATCAGTTTTTTCCGAGCGAAATCGGCAAAGATACACTTAAAAATGGCTTTTTTCTGACCGCTCTCTTCATTCCGCATACTCTCTCGCGCCAAAAGTTTTGTTAAATTTCCTGGCGCTGCCTGCAAATCAAAAGCTGAAATTTTCAGCAATTAGTTTCTGGTCTATAAAAAACATGTGGGCCAAATTTCATTAAAATTCCAACATCTAGCCTCGAGCAATTCGCATATGAACTTACACGTAGTCATTGACGATTTTCTGGCATTCATTGAGTTTCTGCTCGCTTGTAAACAAGTTGAGTGGGTTGGTTGTGGTGAAGAAGTGCTTCAGACGTCCCTCGAAGGTCTTCTGATCCCATCGTGGCTTCGTCAGATCCGGCGCTTTCCCCTGACGGACCAATTCCGCGACCAGGGTCGACATCTGACCTAAAATAATACAAGTTATTGAAATTACATCTAAAATACGACCCAAAACTTTGAAAAAAATGTAAAAAAAATAATTTCTTACCTTTTTAGGTTATATTCTCTACCGTACAACACACTTCTGACCAAAAAATGTAAAAAATTTCAAAAATCAAAGAAATTTTTTTTTTCAAAAATTTGCATAAATTGCCATTTTTTGGATGACCAATTTGATTCTCAGCTAGACTATTCTCATTTCGGTCAAATTCCAGTCGGTTGAATTCTTCTTCGCACTTCCAACATGGCCTACGAGCCACTCGGGAATTTTAGTAAGTGAATTCTGGAAATGATGCGAAAATGCTTCAGTTTTACGAGCGAAATGGGCCATTGAAAGGAGGATTAGAGGGCTAGAAGTAATTAGGAAGGGAATAGTAGACTTTTTGAGGCCAAAAATATCAAAAACTTGGAAGTTTTTGGGAAAACTGAAAAATGTATATTTTTGATGACTTTTTTGAAAATTTCGGGATGTATAGCTAACGTTGCAGATCTCGGATCTCGTTGAAATTTTGCATATAGACTTTATACAGTTCACACATCAATTCGTGAAAATTTGAGCTTAGTTTTGACAGCTGAGATATTCGGCTATTTTTTCCGAGAGAGCACGGGAAATGAAGAGAGTGGGTTAGACAGAAAATAAAATCGATTTTAACTTTCTGAACTTCTCTCGGAAAAAATTTTTATTTTGTTGATATATTTTACCGTTAGTTGGCCAAAAAAATTTTTTTAAATTTTTCGGCCACAAAATCAAGCTAATTTCTGCAATTTATCTAGAAAAACTTGATTCAAAAATTATATAAAAGACATTGGGATCAAAATAAAATGAAATTCGTAGTTTCCATCGCTCGAAAAAGATATTTTTATAAAAAATATCCCCATTTCTCACGAAATTGGCGTATTTTTTTACAACGAAGGTTCTCTGATGCCGCTTGACCCGGCTTGAAGATAAAATTCAGACTTTTTTGACCGGAAATTAAAGAAATTTTTTTTTTGATATTCATTTGAAATTTTTTTGATAAGCTGTGAAACTTCTGTACAACAAACTTCCGTACAACAAAACTTGTCTATAGCAAATAATTTCAACGGTTGCAAAAGTCATTTTTAAGCCAAAATTAAACCTCCGTACAACGGAACCCTTCTTAGCGAACAATTTTTTTCATTCCCTAGCGATTCGTTGCGGGCCTGACTGTAGCTTCAATTCATTTTCAGTTAGCAATGTAGCTCAAGTGGCGGACGACTACGAGAATTTGGAGGAGGTAGCGGACAAAAGTACTAATCCGCCGCGTTCTACTAAGACTCCGGCTCCTCCAGCTCCGCCGCCACCGCCTCCGCCACCTCCTCCACCACCACCTCGGCCACCGCCACCTCGCGCCGCTCCAAAGCCGCCTCCTCCACCGGCTACTCCCCGCCGTTCGACACCCGTCAGTCGCCCCAAACCGTTGACTCCGCCCACTCCAACACCCACCCCCAGGGACGACGACACTTCGGGGAAGGTGGAGGTGAAGACCAAAAGCGAGTTCAACGGGACTAGTGTTGTGAGTTGATTTTTAAAAAGAGAGTTTTTTTGATTTTTTGGAGGAAAAATTGAGCTTTTTATAATGCTTATCAGTCTGTCGGGAAAATAATGAACGCAATGTCGCAGCGCCAGTCGTATCGCTGAAGTGAAAAGCAATTTGATTTTGTCGCGACACAGTTCATTTTATCGGCAGAGATGCGATTTTCGATGCGACAGTGCTCATTATTTTCCCGACAGACGGATAATGTGGATTTGTCGCGGCTTGGAATCCCCCTCATTTCTTTGCGACGGCTAGCCGCGACTGGAGATTTGGTACGCGACAGCGATGAGCTGAACTTGCCCACCAAATCCCCCAGCCGCAACTAGGCGTCGCAAAGCAATAATGGGCGATTCCAAGGCGCGACAAATCCACATTATTTTCCCACCAGAGTGACATAGCAAAATTTTAAAAAAGTTTAAAGATTGGAAGTGCCTTTCCTAAACCTACTTTCAGGAAAAATCAGCGACCACTAACGAAAAGACCGCCTCGGCTAAATCCTCCGTTCGACCGAAATCGAAGCGTCAGTCCTCTGGTGAGTTTGTCAAGAAACTTCCATTTTTGGATGCGAAAGAATGGCCCTATGGCTTTTCGACGACAGTTCTGGTCAACGCAAAATCGATCTATACGAGCCCTAGGCAGGCGGAGAGCCAAAAACAGGTTGTAGGAGGTGCCTACGAGGCCTGGCGATGCCGCTGGATGCTCGGCGGAGACTTATAATATGACTACAGTGACGGACCTGATCCAGTGGCAAAAAACGTGCCATTTTGCTTCCGGGAAGCATCAAAAATGTGGCAAAATGCTTCACTCTCCAAGTGAAAAAATCTTTGTTTTGAAGGCCTTTCCCTCACAAAAAGAGCGGGCGCGCTTTTGAAGTCAGAACTTTTTTCACTTGGAGAGGGAAGCATTTTGCCACATTTTTTATACTTCCCGGATGCAAAATGGTACATTTTTTGCCACTGGACCGTTTATTACCCCCACTGTAGGTAATAAACTAGCCAGGTCTAGTTTATCACCCACTGTAGGTGATAAACTAGACCTGATCAATCTAATTATGCCTTCGCCGAGCTTCCGCCGAGCATCCAACGGAGATTATCCAGGCCTCGTAGGCACCTCCTATTAACTTTTTTGAATGCCCACTTGCCCTACCCCGATACGTCTTGATGGATTTTGCGTTGACCCGAAGTGTCATCGACCCGCGAAAAGCTTTTAGATTAGACGCAAAAAGATCAGTTTATGTAATCATTATTCTTTTAGCCCGAAAAAGTAAACAAAAGAGCGGCAAGAGTAGTAACAAAAGCGGCAAGAGTAGTTACAAGAGCCACAAGAGCGCCAAGAGTCCCAGAAGCGCCAAGAGTCACAGGAGCTCCAGTCAGAAGAAGAAAAAAAGCCACGGGCATTGCGTTTGCTGGGCGGTGATTGTTCTCCTCCTGGTCACGACGATTCTCATCGGAGCTGCGGTTGGATTGATCTACTGGAAAAGTGAATACTTTTTTGCTGCACCCGACGTCCATAAAGTTCAAAGCGCAGTCACCAACTCCTCTTCCATATAATTGCGAAGCTTGAGGTTTTATTATGTAGAATAAAGAATTTTTGAATCGATTTGGGATGGAATTTGAGATGGAATTTTACAGTGGACAAAAATGTATCATTTTGCATCCAGGAAGTATCAAAAATGCAGCAAAATACCTCCCTCTTGAAGTGAAAAAACTCTCTTTTTGTGAGAGAAAGGGCGCACAGCTCAAAACGGAGCCTTTTTTTAGTTGGAGAGGGAGGCATTTTGCCACATTTTTGATACTTCCCGGATGCAAAATGATACCTTTTTTGGCACTGGATCAGGTCCCTCACTGTAAATTAGGTGGGCCAAAAAGTCTTGACATGTTGCACGGTACGTCCAATCGCATTGCCGGATGCGCCAAATCATCCTAAACCTTTTACCGCCACCGAAAGACGCTTGTCCTGTTTCAGCGGCGGGTCGAACAAGCCATTCCGTGGATACTATGAAGTACGGAGCTTTTCGGAAAACGGACATAGCTAGGCAGGCCCACTAGTTTGTCTGGAAAATAATGAACACTCTGTCGCATCGAAACTCGCATCTCCGCCGAGAAAATGAATTGTGTCGAGGAAGAATCAATTTCTTTTCTCTTCAGCGACGAGATCGATACAACGACACCTATTTTCCCGACAGACGGATAAGTGACAACTGCATTTTTCAGAGAGTTCGTTTTTCACTGTGTGCTTGCACCGTGCAGACTGTCAGAACTTTTTGCTCCACCTGTCAAAATTTGAGGCATATCAGTCTGTCGGGAAAATAATATCAGTCTGTCGGAAAAATAACGGCGGATCGTCGCAGCAAAATATCTCGCCTCGCCGCTATCGCGCATTAAATCCCAAGTCGCGGCTTGCAGTCGCACAGCGATGATGAGCGATTCCGAGGCGCGACGATCCGCCGTTATTTTCCCGACAGACCGATGTGGATTTGTCGCAAAAAAAATCTCGCCTCGTGCTGCGGCTAACCGTCGCAAAGTGATGATGGACGAATACACATTATTTTCCCGACAGACTGATAATTTTATAATTCCCAGAGGTCCTTGAAGACCTCAGCCCCATTTTCTCACTGTCTCCGAGGAAATTGACGACAAGAAATTTTGAATTTTTCGAATTTGAAAATTTTTTTTTACTAACTAAAACTTTGAAGAGAGAAATTCATTTTCCCCAATCAATTCGACCTCCAATCCCTTTGTCAAACCGGTCGGTTTGACCTCAAAATGGGTCTGTATCAGACGTTCCATGATCAACCAAAGATTTTTGGATTAAGAGGCAGCACTGGTAAAAGATCATACGAACTTTTTCAAATCAAATTCTGATGCTTTTCAGTGATTCTTTTTGCCTGCACTGTACTCTATGTGCTCTTGACCGTGATCGTCGTCACTTTCCTCAATCGTCGGATCAAATCGCCGGAGAAGCTGAACAAACCCAAGCATTTGGATTTGGATGCGACCAAGAGCAAGGATGCGGATAAGAAGGATAAAAAGAAGTCAAAGGCCAAGCCCAAGGGCAACTCTAAGGCCGGCAAGTCGAAGAGCAATAAGAAAAAGAAGAATAAACCGAGCGACAAGTCCAAGGAGAGCAAAGCCAAGGAGAGCAAAGCCAAGGAGAGCAAAGCCAAGGGGAGCAAAGCAAAGGGTTCAAAGAAGAAGGAGAAGAAACGTCCTCCGGTCAAATTGTCGGGAAAAGGTACGGGAAAACCCTCAAAGGCCAGCAAAGGAAGCAACAAGAAGTCAACCTCCAAGGACAGTAAGAACAAGAATAAAAAGGGAAAAGTCAAGAAGCAGTAGCTCCGATTCGAGGGTAAGTCATCAAAATTCGTTGATTTTTTTCCGAAATTTGGTCCAAATTACAGTGACGGACCTGATCCAGTGGCAAAAAGCGTAAAATTTTGCATCCAGGAAGTGTTAAAAACGTAGCAAAATACCTCCCTCTACAAGTGAACAAATCCGATTTCAAATTCGCGCCCGCTCTTTTTGTGAGGAAAAGGGCGCGCTCTTCAAAACGGACGTTTTTTCACTTGGAGAGGGAGGTATTTTGCGACATTTTCTGATACTTCCCGGATGCAAAATGGTACGTTTTTGCTACTGGATAGGTCCGCCACTGTATCTGTGCATGCCACATTTCGATTCCTGAAAATTTTAGCTTGCGATTTGCAGGGAGAGCCGAGATATTCAACGATCTTTTTTGAGAGAGCATGGAAAATGAGGAGACGGTCAAAGAAAAATTCCCGAAAATCTTTATTTTCTCTGGTCGTCTCCTCATTTTCCATACTCTTTCCAAAAAGATTGTTGAATATCTCGGCTCTTATTGCAAATCGCAAGCTGAAATTTTCAGGAACTGACATGTGTAGTATTCAAAGAATTTATCTCAAATTTCAGCCAAATCTGACCGTCCAATCTCGAGCATTCCCATTCCCAACTTATCTCATCTATTTATAACTTCTTTATTATCTGAATAAACAGTCAAAAAAAAACGATTTCACATTGTATTTTAGGAAATAAAAGATTAGAAAATGGAGATAGAATTCAATATATCACTGGAAATTCGGGGTTTGATACGATATTCAAGTGAAAGTTGGAAGAGAACGGGATTTGAACTTTTTTAACGGGGATTTACAAAATCCGGGGGGAGGGGGGGTGTTTAACTTAAAAAATGATTTTTTAGTACCTCGTAGAGTCAATTACAACCTCCTCAATCCAATAGACAAAAAAAACAACCAAAACTGAGGCAAAAATTCAAAAAATATAGAATTAAAGATGGCTATATCTTTCAGTATAAATATAAAAAAATTTCATTAGGAAAATCGGAGATAGAAAATTTTTAGGAGGCAAAAAATCTTAATTATTTAAATTTAGACCGTACTTACAGACAAAATAGATTTAAAAAACTCGATAAAACGCAATAACATGATAGAAAAAACATACATTTTTTTAGAAATCCATCCAATTTTTTACAACTTGGCCTGAGAAGATGGGACATAGGTCGGGATTCGGGCGGTTCCACGGTTGTAGAAGTAGACTTGACCCAAAATCAGGATGTCGATTGTGATCTAAAAATAAAAAAATTCCAAAAAAAGCAAACATTTTTTTTTCATGACTTCAAAAAATCTCACCTGCAAGCATCCACAAATCCAGAACTGAGCTGGAGTCTGCTTAAAGATAAAGTACAAAGTTTTTCCCACATCTCCAAGCAGCCACATCAGGACCATGTTGACGCTCATGCCTTGAGTTGAGTGTCTTTGGAAGTTGCGGATCAGCTGCGGGAGACCCAAACAGGCTTCAGTCAGGACGGCGACCAATCCCAAGCCTTCGATGTACAAGTTCGGCTGAAAAAAAATTATGAAATTTTCATATTACTTTACGCGTACAGTGATTTAGTGGCACAAAACGTATCATTTTGCATCCGGGAAGTATCAAAAACGTGGCAAAATGCCTCCCTCTCCAACTCAAAAAAACTCCGTTTTGAACTGCGCGCCCTTTCTCTCACAAGAAGAGAAATTTTCTCTTCCAAACAAAAAAGCAAGCTTCTAAACATCTCCAAAACCCATTCCAAAATCACCTACCTTGCACTTCGGCTCCTCCAGTTTGATATCTTCGTGAAAATCGACTCCAGCCGGGCAATGGACTTCGCTGAAGAAGTAGGTAACGCCAGCTGAGACGATGGAGAACCCGATAAGGGCAACGATGAAGCTCGAAAGATCGTTCCATTTCCAAAATGCCGAGAATAAATGGCCTTCTGAAGAGAAAAAAGTTTTAATTTTAGGCTTCAAATTACCCGTACTTTTTGGTAAATTGAACTCGGAATTTTTAATTTGTCATAAGATTCCCAGAATGGCCAATAACCACAAGAGGACAGGCCCTCTCCCATGGGCCAAATGAGTTGTTTGAATTACTAATTTGAGCTTAAATTCTGCAACTCGGAGGGAGACATGTTGACACCCTGTCGAATTTTTGTTCAACTGACCGCAAGTTTTTGGACATCAAAAGCAACAACAGTGAATACGAAAATTTGAAGTGAGTAAAAGTTCGTCAAATGGCGCATAACAAGATGAGGGGAGGATTTCTCCCGCGGGTCAATTGGGCTGTTTGGTTTATCAATTTGGGTTAAAAATTTGCAACTTTGGGAGAAATTTTGACACCAGATCGGATTAAAAAATCGCAAGGAAAAGGTAGTGTTGTCTGTTATAGCTGAAGTTTGTTGTACGGAAGCTCATTCTACCCCAAAATTGTCTCCAAGAACCTCCGAAATATTTTATTATAGAGCGAGAGATTGTTGTGCAAAAATCATTTCACGATGCACAACAAAATCAGCTTATAACGACCAATTTCAGAGGTTCCAAGAGACGACTTTAGACTAAAATGAACTTCCATACAACAAACTTCTACTATGACAAACAACACTTCTTTTTCCTTGCGATTTGTTGATCCGATCGGGTGCCCAAAGTTGCAAAGTTTAAACCTAGATTGATAAATCAAATAGCCCAATTGACCCGTGCGAGGATTCCTCCCCTCATCTTGTTATGCGCCATTTGACGAACTTTCATTCACTTCAAATTTTCGTATTCACTGTTGTTGCTTTTGATGTCAAAAAAAAAATTCTTTTGCACTTTTACATTCCACCCTCCAAACGCCCTCGCGGTTTTCGTCACGATATAAGACAGCTTCCAATTTACTACCGTCGCATTCTTGAAAGCATCCGCAAAAATTGGAACACATTGCGTGACGTTCTGCACATCACACTGAATGCAACTCAAACTCGAAACAATTCGCTCGCATCACATGCTTTTCATTTTTGCAGCATTTCCCGGTGTTTTGCATACGAGTTATTAAAAGAATCCGGCCCATATACTTGATGCAACCCACTCGTTTTTAATCATTTCCGTGTGTTGCGTTCTGCGTCATTCGAATGTTTCTCTCGGCCCGCTAATTTTTGGCGCTTTTACCCTGAAGGCTGAGAAATTACACTCCTTCATTTTTTTATTCCTTAATGTTCTATGCAAGCCAGTTTGTTTTGGAGAAAAAACTCAAAAATTAACGTAAAATTTTGACGGATTACTAGTCGCTTCGCAAAGTCGTTGGAGTCAATTTTGCGACATGCACTGTGAGAAAACAAAATTCGCATTGCTCTGTGCAATTTCTTGATTGTTGCATTGGGTAAATGCCTTTTTTGTGCTGTCGCTCTCATCTTGGCTTTTCTTGCATAGTGCAAACGCAAAAAATTACTTTAGCGACTCCGTGGCCTCGTCGCAAATTGTTCTTTTGAGGTTTCAGATGAAATTTCCAAGCGTGGCTTGACACCACACATAAATACCCAATAATGTATTCATTTTGACCGTAACCCAACAAAACTTTATTTCCAATGCATTGATTTACTATGTAAAATGCAAATTTAAATATTTCGGGCCATTTCAAAACTTCGCCTCTCTGTTTTAGCGCTCTTTAATTTTTGTGGCCTTACTTGCATTCTATTATAGTTTGTAAACGGGTGCTTTGGAAATGCGTGATTCTTGGCAAAGTGGGCTGTAATTAAACCTTAATGAATCTGCGGGAAAATACGTTGCATATTCGCACGATTGCTTCCTCGATTTTTTGATTACCCTATTCTTTTCATATTCTGCATAAGTAAGATCGTTTTTTTTTGAAACACCAAACTTCTCTTTATTGCATCAGCATTGGGAATTGTAAGCAAAACTGCATAGAAGCCTCAGTTACCGACCCTATGCTAATAGTATATTTCAAAGCTCTAATTATCGGCTCGAAAATCTCCGGCATAAATCTTTTATCGCTTCGAAAGTCCGCATCCAATTTGTTCTTCGATGGCAACTACTCCACGAACACAATTTCCCGTTTATTGTTTTATTCTCGGCATCTGGCACTAAGTCCCGCGTATCGAGTGAAAATCTCAACCGGCGGACTAAGCGCGCCGCCGAACATTTTTGGGCACACGAATGGCCAGGAGTAATTGAATCTGCACGTTTGTATGGTTTTCGATGCTCACTTTAAGTTCGTCTTCTTTTATAGCGCGCGCTTCTGAAGCCGCGTGCACCGTCTTCGGCCTGTTTTTTCGGACTCGTAAAACTTCGTCTCGAATGGGGGGAGATTCTTCGGCGTTTATCCGCGAGAGCGCCGTCGAGTTCGACGAGATAAATTTGCCCGAGGGTTTCGGGCGGGGAGAAGAACGGAGGACAAACGAAACTTGTCGCGGTCAGGAGAGCAAATAATTTCCGCTCGGGCTTGTTAACGAATGCAAATTTGCAACTTTTACCTGTCGCCTCGTTTGCAGGTATTTTTGGCCAAATGCGGAGCTTAGTGGGAGTTATTAACAGCTGTTTTTACAGTAATATCTCCCCGCAATTGACGCGTGTTTACGTCCTTAACCGCTCAAGTTTCCCGAGGACTATTCACATGTTTAATGCCGTGTTTTCGTAAAGTAACTTCCCTATTTAAAAGCTTGAAGTTTATCCATATTTAGCATGCATATTTCTTTTGTTTAGCAGATTTTTCAGCCGACAAAAAGATCAAAAAAGGAGATCGAAAAAGTCTTGAATTTGATATCAAAAGGTATCCCGGTTTTCTTTCCTCTCCGGGATACCTTTTTACAGGGTCTTACAAAAAACGTGAAGGAAAGTGGAAGGCTATAACTTCCGGCGGAGGTGGCGCAGAGACTTCGTATTTGAAGTATGTATTTTTAAAAGACATAAGTTTTTTTTTAAGCTCTTAAAGTGCAAACTGAGGTCGCTACGACCTTATGAAGTAGAGGCATCTCTACCCCGAAAACAAGGTTTTTTCGGTTGAAAATGATCGAGAATTTTCGGACTTTTTAGGTTCAAAATCACCAGGAAATGTCGGATTTTTTGAGGTTTCTTGTTGTAGCCTTTAAGAAAACGTGCATAATTTGCAAGTGTTGGCACTTTCCTCCTATTTTTCAACATCATCCATATCGAAACCCCCCAAAAAAATCCGACATTTCCTGGTGATTTTCAACCGAAGAAGTCCGAAATTTCTCGATCATTTTCAACCGAAAAAACCTGGTTTTCGGGGTAGAGATGCCTCTATTTCAAGGTCGTAGCGACCTCAGTTTGCACTTTAAAAGCTTGTCATTTCGTAGACAAAAACTTATGTCTTTTAAAAATACATATTTCAAATACGAAGTCTCTGCGCCACGTCCGCCGGAAGTTATAGCCTTCCACTTTCCTTCACGTTTTTTGTAAGACCCTGTATATCAAATTCAAAACTTTTTTGATCTCCTTTTTTGCCTTTTTTTCGTGTGCGCTATCACTTGATCTTGTTGCGACACAATTCATTTTTTCGCCCGCAATTTTCGCTGCGACATAGTGCTCATTATTTTTCCGACAGACTAACACTTCGCGCCCAACTTTTTTCAGACGGTCAATTCATCATCGCTTGCTATTAATTTTTTCCTATCAAAAATGCGCTTTTGGCTTTATTCAAACCCTTCGCCAAACCTCTTCCTCGCCGGTGTTCATATGAGAATGGGAGTTTCGCACCGATTATTTCCATGCTCGAAGCGTTTGCTCGATTAGTGCCCTTTATTACTTTCTCGCTGCGTCTTCCGCACTTAGGGCGCCGATGTGAAGCAGGGGAATGTAAAAATTTCAGGGAAATTCCCCCGAGGTCCCATGGTTCCTGGCTTGGTGTTAATATACTCTCTAACGTGGCGCAAAATGAAACCTAGGATGGAAGGAGGGGAGGGCTGCGTGTTTTCTTGCAGAAAAGCATAGGGTTAAGGTGCTAACAGCAATCCGAACGTTCTAATTAAGCCTGATAATTTCCATGTTTACCTAATAAGCTGTGGGGAGACGAGCAGACAAACTCAATCTTCGTGTAACCTCGTTATTAAGGCGTTCCCGGTCCATTTGAACTCGGGCCAAGACCTTTTCCGGCGCGAATACATTTGCGTAAAATCCGGGGATTCCCAAGAGTTCCCGTCGTTTTAATTATAAAAAACTTTCAAGATTCCGTTGTATAAATCTTGAACTCAAAATTGCCTCAAAGACCGCAATTTTTTCGCTTCTTTAAACCTTTACACTCCATACTTCCAAAACCTTTTACAAAAAAATATAAAAAAGATCTAGCACATTCTGACAGGCTCATTAAAATCGAGATGCTCTGTTTTTGACGCCGGGTCGTTCTCCCGTTTTTTCTAATTTTAGTTTAGTAGATTAGTCCCATTTATGGAAACGTTTCCGGATCCGAGCAGTCTGCAGTCCACATCCGGTGAAACAGTAACCAGTGCGTATAGTGGGTACAGTGATGGTCCCAGCACATCGGACTACGGTTCGCTTGGATTCGCAAGTAAAAACGTCTCCGAATGCCCTCAGGTAATAAAACCAATGACTTCTTCTTCAATATCATCGTTTTCAGCAAGCTTTTATCAACGCTGCGGAGCGGCATGAGCTCCCGACTCCACTTCTAATATTTATTTCTCTCCCCGCAACCGCAATAATTCTCCTCACAATATTTGGCAACCTCCTCGTCCTATGTTTCAAAGCTCGTGTTGGCCGGACCAACACAACATTATTAGTATGGAATTTGGGTCTAACCGACTTCCTGGTTGGGGTTGTCGTTCTACCGATGGGTGCAGTCTATCTAATCAGCCGAAAATGGGTCTTCGGCCGGATTTTATGCCGCATTTGGGTAGCGGCGGACGTTACGTTTTGCACTTGTTCAGTTGTAAGTTGCGTTTCATTAGGCTACTCGGTTGATGTCTGTTTTATAGACATACTGCGGTCTAAGTGGGGCCTGGGGACGTGGAAGTTTCCATGGTTTACGATTAGACGACCGGCTGGTGCAACATTGAATTGAGGAGTATAAAAACCCTTTTTTAGTTTCCAAAAATAGCTCGCAAATTGTAAACGTCATATCCCACTCCCAACAAATACACCTTTCTCACCCTTTACTAGAGATCTACATCTTAGGAAGACCATACAAATCCAATAAATTAATTGCAATTTCAGGTCACGATATGCATTATATCCGCGGACCGTTACCTGGCTGTGACTCGACCGTTACGCTACAAAAGTCTGGTGACAAAATTCAAAGTCATCGGAATTATGATATCGATATGGACGTTTTCATCGCTCATTCTGCTGACCACAGTAAAATGGGAGACAAACAAGTGTGCTGATGAGGTAAATAACACTCTGCTAACAATCTATTTCCATTCTTTAGTCCATCTGCTACGCCGGAAACGAAATCCGTTACCTGGCGCACAGCGTGGTCTTCGCCTTTTTTATTCCGGCGTCGGTGACTCTGACACTTTACTGGAGGATCTACCGGCTAGCACGGAATCGACAAAAGGCTCTAGATAGAGGATTTCTAATGATTCTTGGGCACAACATGAATTTCTTGACAAATACGATCAGTCAAAATGTAAGAATATCTTCAATAGACACTAACGTAAAGCTCTAGGCCACATTACGGGTTCACTTTGGTAACAACAACGGTATGGTGGAGCATCAACGACGAGTTCTGCGAACTCACGAACGGATAGCCAAGACATTAGGAGTTGTTTCTTGTTCGTTTTTGTTTTGTTGGCTACCGTTCTTCTCGCTTTACCTTACCAGTAAGTCTAACCTTTCTTAACGTTTATAACAACCTCAATTGCTCAGTACAACATAAGTTTTAGACTATCAATGCAAAGGCTGTGTTCCAACGATTGCCATCGACATTGCCTCATGGCTAGGCTATTGCAACTCAATGATCAACCCTATCATCTACTCATTCACCGTAAAGGACTTCAAACGTTCGGCTTTACGACTAATCTTGCCAATTTGGCAGTTTGTTTTCCACTGTTTGCCAGTAAAGATCTTGCCAAAACCGCCAGACCGTATTGCACGCGTATCAAGGAGCGGGCAGAAGGCAAAGAACCGACGGAATAACAACCTTCTAGATGGAAGAACTCGAGCGTGTCGGAATGCCTATGGAGGTGCTGCCAATGGCAAGAGTAGACAACTGATTAGCGAGACCACGTATAACAAAACGTACGCCATTCTCATTGGCAATTCCTCGTGGAAAAAAGTTCCTGGACCTGTTTCTGACAAGAAATTTTGAACAGGGATCCGAGAACCCTCAAATTTGATATCAAAAAGTATCGTAAAGACACAAAAAGACCGTTTCCAATCTTAACGGTCTTTTTGTGTCTTTGCGATACTTTTTGATATCAAATTTGGGCGTCTTTGCTTTTCTGGTGTCATTAAATATAACTCACACTTTCAGCGTGCCCACAATCTTGCCAGAGACTGTAGACCACGATCGCCAATCCTCAAACTCCTCAGACAACGACGAACTAATAAATATCGCTTCTGTTGACGACTTCAACGATCCCTCCATTCTGACCGACCCTACCACAACGACCTCCGACACTTTTTGCGCCACCAAGAACTTCCGTTGGGCGAAGCGAAAAAGGAATAGCAGTTGCAAAGAGCCTTTGACCATCACAACAAACCACATGAATACGACAAGATCAACGCCTACAAAGCTCAGCGAATGGCTGGACAAGACCAGAAAGTCTCGTAAAAACGCCGAGGACTCTCCGTTGGCCAAGACAGACGACTCCAGCCTTACGAACTCGTTTCATTCCGTCAAACTGGCGACTAAAATGAAGAAACGTTGGGCTTTTGGTCAAAAACGCTGTTCTCAAAGCATGGATCAGCCGGACGACGAGTCGTTGGACACTCCAGACATCGAGGACATGAAAAAGAGCCTGAATTTGATTGAAAGTCGGCGTGGGACTTTGCTAAACGACGAAGGACTGACTATCACTCAAATCCGACGAGGTACACTCAACAAATCAACAACTATTGACTGTTCCGGGCTCTCCAGCGACTCTACCGAGACTCCGCTACTTTCCTATCGTCAGATCGAATGTCGAGGAGCTGCGCACGTTATTCGTGAATCAATTACCCGCAAAATCGAACAGTATCACAACTCCTCTCACGACGAGCAAATCGAAGACCCTGGTGCCACAAAAACAACTCGCTCCGACGACGACCATCCCGAAGATCCTTGTACTCCACGGCCAATCCGTTATCGGACCTATCGTCATCGAGACAGCCAACCGCAGCATTCAACTGGTGAGGTGAAAAGTGAGGACAAATTGACGGCCAATACGGGATGTAACACATCCAAAGGGAGTGTGGAAAGTGTTCGAATCTACTTGCTCACCGAAGAAGAAAACGTCTAGGCCTTGTTGTAAATACGAGATTGCGCAATATTCTTGTTATTTTTGGGTTAAATTTTGAGTAAATCAAAGAGTTATACGGGTACTTTGATATTAAAAAAATCATTCTTTAATAAAAAAAAAAAATCAAATTTTTTTTGGGTCCACAACTAAAGTAATATAAAATTTCGGTAATTTCATTACAAAAAATAGCCCAAAGTCCACTAAAACCAACATAATTTTTCCCATACATCTTATAAAACCTCTATCTAAAATAATATCCCAAAAAAAATTTGTCAAAAAAATTCCTTTCAACTTACTCCAAATGGACTTCCTCTGCGATGGCGGAGTGATTTTCCTGTTCATTCGGACCGAGATCTCCAACATCAAGATCATGCATCCAATCATGACGACGGACTGGATCAACAGCGGGGTTTCAAATCTTTTCCCGAACCAGAACTCGATACGTAGAACGTTGGCGACGCACAATGCGAGACATACCAGTAATGAGAAGCCGAGAGCCGACTTTCGTTTGTGGATCTCGCCATATTGGAATACATATGGGATTGCTCCTAAAATTAGGGTGCATTATATTGTAGTAGGTGAATTGCGGTGATTTTTTTATATTCGAAGACTTGAAATTGATCTCCTGACGCCTAAACAATTTGCACGTGGTCTTTTTATTCTTTTCCCACTTGTTTGAGCCAAAAACTCTTTCAAAAAAATAAAAAATCCTTTAGAAAATTGAGAAAACGAAGGGGCATTTCAGTTTTTATATCTATTTTCACAGACTCAAAAGCGTTTCATTTCTCTCAAACAGTCCTTATCACTCATTCCATAGCTTCTTCCTCATCAAAACTCAACCTAAACGCCCAACAATAATATTGAAATACTTACCACCAAAGATCATAAACCCGGCGGCCAGTCCGCGGAGCATGGTTTGCAATAGCGATTCGAGTGGAATGAGTTGCATGGCATTGTGTTCGATCAACAGCATTTTGGGCCCACCCACAATGTCCTTTTCGCCCTCGGTCTCCTGATTAATAAGTTGTTTGGTGGCGGGAATCAGACGAGAACAGTGCGAGCAAGTGTCTGCTGTGTGATATAGTGACTGATTTGATGGCGGAATTCAATCGACTTCCACGAATTTACATTCTACGTCTGGAAAAAGAGGCTCGTCAAGAAAATGGTTGTCTAGTCGACTTGCACTCGAATAATTCGCAAAAAAGACGTGACATTAGAGTAAAAACGCTTCATAAAGACATAAAATGAATCGCTCTAATACGGGTTCACTTTGTAGAGGCTAAATTGGACTTCACAGTAACACTGCGCGAAAGGAAATCCAATTTTCGATCAAAAAACATCTTTTTTGGCGAAAAATAGTTCCGCATTTAATTTTTAGGTATGTTATCCTCCTATTTCAGTAATCTTCTTCAAAATCGGATATCAAATTGTCTTCGGCATATTGCTATACCCATTTAGCAATCAACTTCTATATTTTCTTACCTAAAAACAAAACAAAAAGATAAAGTAACATACCCAATCCAAATTACAAATTCGTGCTCTGGTCAAAAACCTCAGCCAATTTATCAATCTTCTCTTCTCCAATTTTCTGAATTGGACGTTGTTGTAGGCTTATTCCCTGAAAACATGAAAGATTTAGAAGAGAGTTCCTTCGTTGCTACCCGGTGTTTCAGCATGCGAAAGCGGCAAAAATAATCCAATCATGGGGTCAGAAGGGTCGCAAAAGCGGAGTTTGATGGAAATTAGATTCGAGAGGAACATAGTTTGATACAAAATTTGTGAAGTTTCAAAGGTTGAGATTTACATTAATTTAGTGGCATATCAGAAAATTTCGAAATGTTATGTGTAAAAAAGTTACTAAATTTAGAAACCACATTATTACAGCTTAAAATTTCATAAACTATCAAATCCTTCAAAATTTTTACAAAAATTTGTTTCTTTCAAAACAGTCATGTTTATGACCTAAAATAATATCAAAAAAAGAAACGAAGAGGGGTTGTAATCAGTACAGAAAGGAGCAGTCATTCAAACAGAGTGAGGAAATCGCCTTCCCATCATAAAAATTTTTGTTTGTGTTTTGATAATTTTGGATATTAACCTAGTCTAAAATAAGGTCAAAAGTGTGCAAAAAAGGAATGAAACATGCCGTTTCCACCCCAAAACACAATAAGAATCTAATAAAAGTCTTTCTTTCGCCCAGTGTTTGCAATTCCGGGGACTTATTCCAGAACAAGAGGTCTTTCTTTCCAAATTCCTCCAATAAATTTCTGTGCCTCGATTTCGATATTTTTTCGGTGAAAAATATAATCTTTCGGAGGGAAACTAATCCCCATGCCGTCGCCACCCGAGGGGTTTAGGATTCGAATGCGTCAAACGACATTTCTTTTCAATTGGATTGTCTGGCGGGCTCATAATCTAAATCAATATTTTTGGATAACAATGACTTCGAAAAGCTGAATTTGATGTTAATTCAGCAAGAAAATAGTGTGAATCACATTTTCCAACAACAAAATAGAAGAAAATTGACCGATACACTCGCCAAATAGCCATTTTTTATTGAATCACACCTAAAGTAATATCGTCAAAGTTCCGGTCGTGATTCGATTATTCATTCGAATCAAAATAAACAATTTGATAGTGTTCCCACAACAATTTCTGACTTAATCATTCCTATAATTCTATGATTCAAGCGAAAAATTACCAAAATAAATTCAAATCCTCCTAAAATAATATATTTGATAAGAACAGCCGCAAAACTGGCTAGAACTTGGAGGAAACAAACAAAAATACGTCAGTTGAGGTCTGAAGAACACAAGGCAGGGATAAATAACCCTAATTCGAACTTTTTCCCATGGAAACATCAAATTTTTCTAAAGCAACATCAAAATTTCTATACACCAAATTTTTCCCAGCTAAAAACCCCCACAGAGTTGAAGTTTCCGGGTCCAAATCCGAGTGAACTAGTTCCACAAGTTCGTGACACTATAAAAAACGTTATCCATTCCTCCCAAAAGCCGGCTTGGCCTTCGCTTTCTCCAGACGAACAAAAGTTCCCCGGTTTTTCGAGACGAAACAAAGAAAGGACGGAAAAACCAAACCCTCCGAGGGTTTGGCTATAGCCGAATGATTCATTCTGCTCGGAGAGTCGTGTAAGATCAAGGGCGCAAAGAAATTCAGCAGGAATTAGTCAAACGGAACGATTTTATATTGTTTTAGATACCAAGTTGAAGGAAATTTGATGGGGAGTCGAGGAATACGTCAATACGAAGGTAAATTGGGTAAAATGATAAACAATGGTTGACAATAATCGATCCGCGCGAGATGAAAGGACAAGAAGCAATTTTACTGCAATTATTTCGAGGAGAAAAGAAAAATGACGCGACAGCCTGGGCGCAGGCTGCCGACTGGTTCGGCGGGTCGGAAAAGGTTTATAGCCGCAGGGCGTGGGTTATTTTGATTTCGAATGACTTATATAGAAGTGTAGACTCGTTTATTTGAACTTAGAGAACTTTGTAGCATAAAATTATATTGTACTAGGCATCAGAGAGTTGGTCGACGTCATAAACCTCGACCGCGTATTTCTTGCGGTGAACCTCATAGGTATAGGTGCGTTGGTGCTTTCTGCAGGTTTCGATGATCCGTTCCGGTTTCGGATCCTTCGATGTGACCACATTAACTCCTTTTTTGGCCAGCAGGTCCAAGGTTTGACTGCGTTTTTTGATGATACTCGGAGTTTCCCTCTCTAGAGAACGGTCTTCTTTGCACTGAAAGTTAAGTCAAGGCCTTTATTTTGTTACTTGATAGATAGAATTTGAACTCTGAAGGATACTGGACCAAAAAATCAATTTCCAATCTTATTGTAGGTAGTACAATATAAATGCTTACCACAGCCACACCGAGCTCACTGGAATCGCAGTTCTTCTGCCTGCGAGACTTCTTAAACTTCTTCAAAGCTCTCGACTTCTTTCTGCTTACAGAACTCTGCGAGGACGGCGTCCTTGGCTTGACTGGGAATTGTTTCTTCTGAAAGCAACCATTAGTAAAAATAAGGTAATTTACCGTAGTAAAAGTCTCTGATTTTCTTTGAAATTTTGCCTGCCTACTCTATTTAGGCTGTATTTCAATCACTGAAAAGTTGACTCCGCTCTTTGCACCTGCAGCGGAGATATTCAACAGTCTTCTTTTAATGAGAGAGTACGCAAAATGAGGAGAGTTGGTCAGACAAAAAACATTTTTCGGCCTTCAAGAAAATAAAAGTCTGTTTCGGATAGAGAAACGAATATTTGTTCAAAAAATCGCTTATTAAACAGTAAAATTCACAAAGATATAAGTAGAAAATTGTCTGGTCAACTCTCCCCATTTTGCGTTCTCTCTCGGAAAAAATTACCGTCCAATATCTCCGCTGTATGTAAAGAGAGAAATCTCAAATTTTCAGGGATTAATATATGGACTACCCAGAGTCTACGGACAAATTTGGAGAAAATAGAGGACATGCCCTTAGGGAATTTTCTCTTTTTAATCAAAGAATCTATTTTTTAGCTTTTTCTAGATTTTTTATCCAAAAAACCCATGCTATTTTCAAAACAACCCACCCGGATCATCACTCCAATCTGGCTGTCTCCACATTTCACATAGGGAATATGAATTCCATCCGTATTTCCAAACTCGGAGCCATCGGCGAGGACAGATGCACGGGAAATGGTGGTCTCATCACAAGACCCATCCGGCTCAATTAACGCCGGATCCGGAATATTGGTGTCGGAGACGGTCTGAATAATCTCCGGCTCGGGGAGAAGCACATCATTAGGGTCGTCTTTGTCCAACGGAGAGGGCTTTTTGATGACCTTGGTCAGATCGGCGGCGCCTTTCTTGTAATCCAGCTCCTCCAGAAGATGGGGAGCGGCGAAGACGCGGAGGCGGAGAGTGCGGATAAACTCCTGAAAATTTGTGAAATTTTGAAGTGATTTTTGGGTTGCAGTGGACGATCTGAATAGCAAATTGCAAAAAAAATTTTTATTTTCATCAATTGTCAGTCTGTCGGGAAAATAATGAACACATGTCGCTTCACCGATCGCATCGCCGAAAAAAAATGAATTTGATTTTGCCACGACACAATTCATTTTCTCGGCAACGATGGGATTTTCGATGCGACAGAGTGCTCATTATTTTCCCGACAGACTGATAAAAAAGTTTCTCAAAATTCAACCCTAAGGTTTTCATGAAACTTGGGACAAATTAATATTATCATATGCTAAGATAAATGCAAAATTTTTAGCTTGCGGCTTGCAGAAATCACCGAGACTTTTAGGTCGAAAATTTCAAAAATCAGGCAAATTTTGAAATTTGTTTTGTGGTAAAAAGATGAGATTTATTTTTCCCAACGACAGAAAAATTCTATGCTAGAAATCACTCCTTTCTATGCAAGATTCTCAAAGATACGGCTCAAAAATTTTTTCTCCGGCCGTCTCTTTCTCTTTTTTCACACAATCTCTCAATGAGAAACATTGTTGAATTTCTCGGTATAAGTCGCAAGCCATAAGGTAAAACGTTTCAGGGATGGATACAGAGGCTAAGTAGAGAAAATGCTAAAAAAATGAAGGAAATCTGCCAGCAGATTCTTGAGCACTGGCACTGTGATTTATAACGACTTTTTTGGACAAAAGCCGATAAAAATTGGATAAAAATTCGGCCTAGATCCACTAAAATTTACTGTACTGTGACGGACCCGATCCAGTGGCAAAAAATATACTATTTTGCATCCGGGAAGCATCAAAAATGTGGAAAAATGCTTCCCTCTCCAAGTATTTGAAGGGTCCCTCACAAAAAGAGCGAACGCGATTTTGAAATCGGAGTTTTTTTCACTTGGAGAGGGAAACATTTTGCCACATTTTTGACACTTCTCGAACGCAAAATGGTACGTTTTTTGCCACTGGATCAGGCCCCCCACTGTAATAGAGCCAATCGAAAAGTTCCAGTAACTTTCTTCTCACCCGAAAGTCCGCGGTGAGCGGAGAGAACCCAGTCAATCGGCGCAGCTCCTTGTCGGCCTCGAGGATCCGTTGAACATCGGAGAGGCGGGTCGGACGGGCCGAGTCGAACTGGCACAGCGACTTGGGCAGTGGATAAGAGCGAGCTTCCGACATGCGCCTGGGAAAAAACGACCGGTTGGCTGAGGAGAGGCGAAAAGGTTCGGAATGAGAGTTTTCGAAAATCATTTTTTGCTTATAATCTTTAAGAAATTTTGAGTTGACTTTTCTAAGCCTAACTCACATATATGCAAAATATTAGCACTTTCATAAAGTGCATCGACATTTTTTCTATTTCGCACAGTGCATTTGAACTTTTTCCCGCGCTTGTCGCCAACGCACAGTGCATTTTTAATTTTTTGCACCGTGCAAACCCCAAAAAATCGTTTGCACTGTGCAAATTTTTGAAGCCGACGCAGCGACGAAGTTGAAACGAACACACTTATACAGGGTGTACCAAAAAAATGGAAACTTGTTTTTATAGCTATATTTTTTCGGAGAATCAAAATTCAGCAAAAGTAACGGTTATGATTAGTAACATAGAGCATTGTTTATAACATGTTCAATCTGTTTCACAGTGGCTGCCTTTGGTGGCGATATAGAGCTCCAAACGTGACGTAAAATTTTGGGGTCCGGGCCGCAGCTTTTTATGGGGGAAATCGGTCCCGTTCTTGGCGCATCATTTACGTTGCGGCTTCAAACTTTTGTGGAGCATAGTACAGGTGCTGGCCTTCTATTTAAAAAAATATATAGTCCATTGGATTCAGATCTGGCGAGCAGGCGGCCATTTCGCAGGCGGGACAAAATCGGGAAAATCGGTCCCATTTCGGGTCCTGAGTCGATTTTGCCTTGTGAGCCGGCGCTGAGTCCTGTTGAAACCCCAAGTTTGCATTGCCAAGGTTCTGCTGAGCTCACAGAAGCACGACAAAATAGAAATTAACGCGGCGCTAGTATTTTGTCCCATTTATTCACGAAAAACATGGAATTCTTGCCGCTGGCACAAATTCCGCCTTAAGCAATGACGACCCGGATTTTGGTGGTATTTGACGATGGCCAACAGGCTAGGAGCCTCACTGAAGCAGATTCTATCGTTCTGGTGGTTGTATCCGCTAAATATTAAACCGCGAACTGAATGCGCTCACGTCTCGGAGCTGCGGCCCACCCGTTTCACTTTCCGACATTTTTGCGCTGTATGCACTTTCTCTCGACTTTAAAGATCTGAATTTTTTAGAGCTTGTATGACATGAGGTTGAGCTCGGCTTTGACTATTCGGCCGAGCGATCGGTCGCTGATGTCAGTCTCAAGGGCTAGTTTTTCTTGAAAATCGCGGATTTTGCTGTGGGGGATCTTTCGGTTGAAAGAAGCGCTGGCGGTGCGTTTTCTTTCACTTCCTGGGCGCTTACTATCCGTATCAAGCTCCTTGGGCCTCGTGATTACTTTCGACACAACGTTCTTTCTATACCGAGCAAATTAACTTTTCGAACAGCTCCAAAAACAAGTCCAAAATCGAGGTCCCTTTGTTTGAAGTTCAAAAAAGACAGGTCGATTAATCGATATGGGCGTAAAAATCAAAACACTAGGACAGAAAAACACAGAGAATTTTGTAGTAATAAACTTCTTTGGCTACATCTAACCATTCTCGCGTCAGGACAAATGAAAAAAAGTTTCCATTTTTTTGGTACACCCTGTATGATGGGTGCGGACATGCTGTAAATCTCAAAATCGAAGATTTCCTATGTCCCGGCCTTGCACACGACCGATTCAGTGAGTCAGAAATCGTGTTTTAAATAATTTTATCGTTTAAAAAAATTATTAAAAAAATTAAACAACGTAGAGAGAAAAATTAAAAAGCACGATGCAGCGATATTCCGTATAGCATAAATTCCACCGCTCCATGGTGGAGATGGTTGTACAAGTGCAACTGGGACGGATACACACTGAGGCACAGGTGACAACTGAAGGAGGGGTAATTGTTTTACAAAGATGGGTAATTGTTCTTAATTGTTTTGTGAAAATTGCCGACTTATCGATACGCCGTCACTGTATCATTTTGATTTGGTTGGATGTTGTCCTCCAGCGTCACAGTGTGACGATGACGCATATGTTTCACAAGGATTTTATAGGTGGCATAAACTTTCTTACAAGTCTATACAACTATTAGGTGGATTCATAATTATCCGGCGGTTTTATTGGCGCTTTTTTTGTTAGTTAAAATTCGCGTTTTGTTATTTTTTTTTAAAAAAATAAGCTTCTCTATACTATAGTTAATAAAATAAGCTACTGGCGGTAGGCAAAACTCATAATGAGGTATAGGTATGCTGTTCGTTACTTTGACTACAAATCTGTTCAGCTGGATCGAAGGTTCTCGGTGGTCCGTGAGAAACTCACCAGCATCAACATAACGACTACTCAAATGAAATGAAGGACGTTGTGAAGAGCTGCGGTGTCTCTACAATCGTGGATACCATTCCTCTCTGGGCATTTCGAGAAGCATGCGAATCTGTCCCTGCGATTCTCAATAATACTATATGTATTCTCCAACCACGCGCTTCAGCTCACCCGGACTGGCTTCGGAATTGAGAACCGTTCATCCGAAGTCACTCATACGTGGAGTTTAGGAAAGAAGCCGGTACGAGGTTTGAAATCAACCAAACATCTCTAATTTTACGCAAGTCAGTAATATCTAATTTTACGCCAGTCAGTAATATAAGCAGGCTGGGAACACTTTTGACCTACTTAACTTTTTTTCTGTCACCCCAAAAGTTGTTTCCACTGCATAAGCAGGCTGGGAACACTGTTGACCTACCTAACTTTTTTCTTTTATTTGAATAATTTTATTTGTTAAAAAAATTAAACAACAATTTTATTTATTCAAAAATGTAAACAACGTAGACAGTTAAGCGCGATTCTGCCACATTAACGTAAATTCTACCGCTCCTTGGGCCCAGTACACATGGAAGTGTAAGTGCCCTTCCACCGGGTACACGCTCGGGCATACGTGACACCTGACTGGAATATCAATTCCTTATCTCATTTTTTTGTACACTTTATTTAAATTATAATTAATAAAAATACGGCAAGATTCTTGGGGAGGCCCGGAGCATATATTGTAAATATTAGATATCGTATTTGTTAAATGTCAATGATGATGACAAAAGGTGATTATTAATATTATGTATTATATATGGGAATATTATTATATTATATTAAATCACAAAATACTGTATTATACAGCTGAATATTGTATTATTATATAACAAATTTACAAAATATATATATATATATATATGTATATATTTACAATGTATATACATGCATACAACATGTATATAAAAGACAGAACAAACCGCATTTCATGGATCGAAAACACCGTTTTCAACGCCAAAATTGAATTCTCTACGCTAAAGTGCCACTGCGCGTTGTTTTACGGGGTTTTACGATTTCCTCCGTTGTTACGAATTCCCATAAAACGGATAGCGCACAAAAGACATGCCTAAACTGTGGATTTCACCACGGACATATGGGTCTTTTGCAACCTCTCGTCCTCAATGATGTGCATTGTGTCGTATGTGTTGATCAGTGTGTTGGGAAAATAGTGAGAGCTCTGTCGCTGTCAAATGTCTATGAACTTTATGAAAATAAAATTTTTCTGTCGGGAAAATAATGAGGATTTGTCGCAAAAAAAAATATCTCTCCTCGTCGCAATCAAATCCGCCGTCGCAAAACGCTGATTTGCGACTCGAAGCCGCGACGAATCCACATTATTTTCCCGACAGACTGATATGAAAACATGCACTAATAGCTCTGTGTTTTGCCCTTGTAAATATAATAATAATATGTAAACACTTTAACTCATCACTATGATTTTTCGACTCTGTTTTGTGCACGAATCTTATCAATCTTATCAGCGCCTTCCTCATTAAAAAATACCCGCGTTCATTTACACACTTCCCCATCTTGTTGATAGTGTATTCTTTCTCCCTTATTTTTTTCTGGAATAAATCATAAAATACGAATGAAAGATTCGGAAAAGAAGCTGCTGCTGCCCGACCGGGCCGGCGCAGCCTATGGATCGGTTTCAAGGTGAGTTTTTCGTTGAAGTTTGGGGTTAATTTGGGGATTTTATTAGAGAATTTGTTTGGTTGCTTAAAGTTATAGTATTATACTAGGGTAGGTGTACTTTTGAAACGGTCAAAAATATTAAAATAGTTGACAAACCAAGCAAAATCTTTTTCATCCGCTGATTCTAAGCGAAATATGAATTTTTGACATGCTCTTTCAAATGGCATAAGCAATTTTTTGATAGCCCTTACCATACCTTAAATGTTGCAATTTTCCATGGGGTAGGTATGCTTTCGCAAAAGAGTTTATAGGAGAGTTCTGTAAACCTGGTGTGGATTGAAGGCTTAATTGTAAACCGGGTAAGATTGAAGGCTTCAGGAACTTTTTATTAGTCTGTCGGGAAAATAATGAGCACTCGTTGCGCCTGGGACTCGCCCATCGTCGCTATGCGACAGCTGGGGATTTGGTGCGCGATTGCGACGAGGCCAGATATCTTGCTGCGGCGAGTTCACACTATTTTACCGACAGACTGATTGCTTGCTGAGATAGACTCTTCTTTTATATTTACTTGGCCTTCGTTGTTATGGTCTTAACCATCAATTCACGACAACCTTGGCTTGCACCCGATTTTAGCTGCGTAAAAAAAGTTTTAGGTTAAAAACTAGGACCTGAACCACTTTTGGTACCCGCCGTAAACATATCAGTCTATCGGGGAAGTAGTGAGGGAAATGTCGCTGCGCCAATCGCTAGAGGAAAACAATTTGATTTTGCCGCGACACAGTTAATTTTCTTGGCGGCGATGCGATTTTCGATGCGACAGAGTGCTCTCTATTTTCCCGGCAGACTGATATATTGATAGCAACAATTGATGAGCAACAGTAATGCCTTGTAACGGCACGTTGAACGTTAGTCGACTGAATGTTACTTTTTTCTATTCAAAACAAGCAATTGCAACTTCTACTGCCGTTTTGCGTACTCAGCAATTTTTAAAATGATTTTACGGCCTTTGTTATTACATATCAAAGAAGTCAATAGCACTTCTAAAAGCGATGACTTTTATCAATTTTTAGCGCATGGTCTTTACTCCACTTGCGTAAACAGCGATGAGAAATTAAGGAAGCCCCAAAATTTCTTTTCCAAAACAACAAAATTTAATCATCAGCGTGTCGGGAAAATAATGAGGATTTGTCGCTGAAAAATCTCTTGTCTCGTCGCAATGGCGTAACAAAATTCCAGCAGCGGCTAGCCGTTGCAAAGCGATGATGGTGCAGTGTAAACAGTGCGTATTTTATAACTAAAAAAGAAAAAAGTCTGCTGAAGACAGTGGGATTCGAACCCACGCCTCCGAAGAGACTGGTGCCTTAAACCAGCGCCTTAGACCGCTCGGCCATCTCACCACAACGAGCGAGGTTATGGTTTACTCTTTCGGTTTGAGGAGTGTGGTATATAAACCACGGCTTGTATACCACACTGTCGGGAAAATAATGTGGATTTGCCGCAGCGAAAATGGTCGCTATATCCCCAGCGCGTCTAGCCGTAGCAAAGAAATGAGGGGTATTTCAAGGCCCGGCAAATACACATTATTTTCCCGACAAATTGTTATCATTCTGTCGGAAAAATAATGAGAGCAATGTCTCTGCGCCAATCGCGACGCTAAAGCGAAAAGAAGTTTGATTTTGTCGCGACAATTCATTTTCTCGATGCGGCAAAGTGCTCATTATTTTCCCGACCTGCAAAAAAAACTACGCCTATAAAATTTACAACGCTTTGATCTATCCCTGACACAAGTCATTATGAATTGACAGCCATTTTAACACCCTTTTATTACTGATTAATGCAAATCAAGTCATTTCAGCCCGGAAGGATCCCATCACTCCTTCGACGCGAGCCCAAGCCCACAAAAGACCCTCGGCCTGGTATGTTTATTCGGTTATTACTGCGGTTTTTACGAGCTAGTCAGAGGGCTATAACTTGATTTATTACGCGTTGCGAAATGCATATTTTCTCTGGCCTGCGACTTCGACGGCGGTCGAAAGTCAAGGCGATGGCTATAGAAGAGGATAGTGTGTATGGGAAGGCTGGTCATAAGCCAAAAAGATTGAAGGAAGAGTCGGCGCTAAAGCTGGTAGGAAATCGTCTTTTGAGGAGTATATGTATAATACATATTATATAATACTAATATTTTGATTTTTGGTGATTGCTTACAACGTTTGTGTACCAAACCGTAAAGACCCCAAAAAATCACATATTTGCTATATAGAATAGCTTCGTTGTTTTGAGGATAAATTTGATCAAAAATGCCTCTTGGCTTCTACAAGACATATATCAGTCTGTCGGGAAAATAATGTGGATTTGTCAAAGCAAAATGTTTCGCCTCGTTCACACAGTAAATCATATAATCCTCAACATATCTCTGGCTATGCCTTGCAAAGTATAGATGGGCGATTCCAAGGCGCAATAAATCCATATTATTTTCCCTACAGACTGATATACATTTCATAGTATAAACTCTACTCTACTGGCTGCAAATTTTAGCTTGATGAGAGAGCAAGGTTTTCGGTCAGAGTTGGAGGTATTTCCGGACAATCCAAGTGCTTCAAGTGCTTCCCGGATGCTATCAGAAGTCCATTTGATCACTAGAGATCCTGTCCCCGACTATTAGTCTGTCGGAAAAATAACAAGCACATTTTTTTACTTTTTTTGATGAGAAGTGCCTAGACATGCCTCGATAGATAGAAATTACTACTTTGAAGTATCAGTCTGTTGGGAAAATAATGAGTAAAATCTCGCTGTCCTGATCGCATCGCTGAATTGAAAAACAATTTGATTTTGCCGCGACACAATTCAATTTCTCTTCGGCGATGCGATTTTTGATGCGACAGAGTGCTCATTATTTTCCCGACAGGCTAATATATCTTCTCTAAAGCTTTGAGAGCGGATATACGCATATTCCCCAATTTATCGATAATCTTTCAGTTCTCTTTTTGCCAACCATTCGACTACTTTCTCTTGACCGTTGGAACAATCGCCTCGATCGTCCATGGAGCGGGCTTCCCTCTGCTCTCCATCCTGCTCGGTGGAATGACTACGGTCTTCTTGCGAGCGCAGAATTCTCCATTTGTAACGAATAAAGATGCTGGAAATGCTGCGTTGCCGCCGATTTCTCAGTAAGCGAGAAATTAAAATTATTTCATCCTCTATTTTAGAGATGAATTCAACGCGGACGTTGTGGAATACACCATTTACTACGCGATTCTCGGAGTCGCCATGTTTGTGACGTCATATATTCAGGTGGGTTGACAACAGAGGGTACATCAAGTGCGATGCTCAAATTTTAATCAAGCTTGTCACAAATTTACAAGGGAAATAGCCCCAACTGCTACGCTCAGATCTGCTTTAAATTTTGCACACACGTTGGGCATAAGTCAAATATTAATGTTTGAAACTTTTAGCTTGCGCTTTGCAGGTGCAGCCGAGATATTCAACGATCTTTGAGGCCAAAAGAGTACGTGAAATGCGGAGAACGGGCAGAGAGAAAACACGTTTTAGCCATAACGTTTCCAATTTTAGACGAAAATTTTTTATTTTTTCTGGAAACGCTATTCTCAGAAGTACAATTAGGTATGAAACTTCTCGTGCCAAAATTCGGCAAAAAGTGTCAATTTTTTGCCGACTTTTGATCTAAAAATCTCGGTTGTTCTGCAAAGCGCGAGCTAGAATTCTGGCATATGTCTTAGAAGGACTAATTCAAAATTTGTGCAAAGTTTCATCAAAATCCATGCGTCCCACTTGGGTACTTACCTACCCTATAAGTATAATTTTAAATTTTCGAGGATTGATATGTGGCCTATGCCCTACTTGCGTGCTAAACCTAAAGAAAATCTGATTGTGTCGGGAAAATAATGGGCACAAAATTTGTCGAGGCCCCGATCGTGACGCCGAAGTAAAAATCAATTTGATTTTGTTGCGACACAATTCATTTTATCGGCGGCGATGCGATTTTTGATGCGACAGAGTGCTCATTATTTTCCCGACAGACTGATAATCAAAATACAAATTTCCTATTGCAGATCGCCTGCTTCGAAGTGTTCGCCGAGCGAGTGGTCCAGGCGCTGCGTCAGAACTACCTCAAATCCGTTCTGCGGCAAGAAATCTCATGGTTCGACAACACTCAAACCGGCAGCCTCACAACTCGGCTAAATGAGTGAGTTTTTCAACCAAAATTATCATCTTTTCGTCTAGCGATCTAGAAAGAGTCCGCGAAGGAATGGGCGACAAGCTCTCGCTGTTCATCCAGATGATGGCCGCATTTGCCACCGGCTTCATTGTTGGCTTCATCTACAACTGGCAAATGGCGCTGGTGATGTGCGCTTTCACGCCATTGCTGGCCCTCACCAACTCGTGGATGGGGAAATTCACGGCGGGCCGAGTTCAAATGGAACAGGAGAAATATGCAATTGCCGGCTCGATTGCTGAGGAAGCGTTTGGGTCGATGAGAACGGTGTTGGCTTTCAATGGGCAGTTCAGGGAGCTGGATCGGTATGTAGGGGTTTTATAATAGTAGAAAAAGGTGTTAAATTTTGATTTTAAACTCGCAGAGGAAGGGCTCTAAGTGCGACGCTCAGAATTTAATGAAACTTGGCACAAATATAGAGTAATTTTTGTTAACACTTTGCACAAATATATATAAATTAATTTTTAATAACTTATGCAAATTTTAGCATGAAAATTTTTGTTCATATTTCTACCGTAGAGAGTCATATTTCCATAAAAAATTAAGTTTTTCCTTGCAAGACTGGCAATGATACGGTCAAAAAGTGTTTTTATCTCTGACCGCTCTCCGCGTTTTGCCTACTCTTTCATCCGCAAGGATCTTTGCACCTCGCTGATATTTGGGCTGCAAAGACCCGGCTGAAAGATCATTTTTAGGAATTAATATTATGCCCGCCGTGTATACAAGATTTTCTGTGACTCTCTCCGCGTTTCGCATACTGTCTCTCGGCAAAAAAGATTGTTGAAAATATTTTGACTGCTTTGTAAAGCGCAAGCTAAGATTTTCAGGAGTAGTTGCGGCCTCCGCCCGAAATGTGTGCAAAATTTAAAGAAAATTTGAGCGTCACACATGGGACTCTTGGACTCTTCCCTTGCCAGTAAGGTTTTCAAAAAGTGTGAGCTAAAAATCTTTCATATAACACGTTAAATTGCATCCATGATCTGTGCGAAGTTTCATCAAGGCCCTTTTATCAGTCTGTCGGGAAAATAATGAACACAATGTCGCTGCGCCGATCGTGTCGCTGAAATAAAAAGCAATTTGATTTTGCTGCGACACAATTCATTTTCTTAGCGGCGATACGACATTTTGATGCGACAGAAAGCACATTATTTTTCTGACAGACTGATATCAAATCTCCCAAGTTTTCTCCATCAATCTTCCCTACTTTCAGCTACGAAAAAGCCCTCGAAGACGGTCGAAAAACCGGCCTCGTCAAGTACATGTACATGGCCATTGGATTCACCGTCACCTTTCTCATCATGTATGTCTCATACGGAGTCGCTTTTTGGTTCGGCTCTCTGTTGATTGTCTGGGATCCCAGCTTTGATCGCGGCACGGTTTTCACCGTCTTCTTTGCTGTCATGACCGGCTCAACATCTCTTGGCGCTGCGTTACCGCATCTGACCGCTGTGTCCATGGGCCGCGGAGCGGGAAGATATGTTTTGGGGGTGATTAACAACATCCCGTACATTGATCCGTATTCGAAACGAGGAGCCGTGATTCGGAAGCCGAAAGGAGCGATTGAGTTCAGTGGAGTCCACTTTTTGTATCCGTTGAGGCCGGATATCAAGGTAAGCGGCAACTATACATCATATCATCCTGTCGTGAAAATAATGTGGATTTCTCGCGCGTTGGAATCGTCCATTATTGATTTTGCGACGGCTAGTCGCGGCTGGAGATTTGGTGGGCGGCTGCAACGAAGACACTTTGCTGTGACAATTCCACAATATTTTCCCGACAGACTGATAAAAAATTGAATTTAAATTTCTACCAAGTTGCACCAAATTCTGAGCGTCGCACATTGAGAACCTATCCATCTGATTACTGAGAAGTTGACTTTTTCCAGGTCCTAAAAGGAATCAACTTCAAAGTGGAGCCGGGCCAGAAAGTCGCTCTTGTCGGAGCGTCCGGCTGTGGCAAATCCACCTGTCTGAATCTTGTCCTCCGCTTCTACGACCCAATTCAAGGCACAATCACGATTGATGGCTACGACCTGCGGGAAATGAATGTGGCCAAGCTCCGCGATTTCATTGGGGTCGTGAGCCAAGAGCCGGTCCTCTTCGATGGGACGCTGGAAGAGAATGTGCTGCTTGGGAATGACAATGCTACGCGCGAAGACGTCATAAACTGCTGTAAAATGGCCAACGCCTATGACTTTATTCAAAAACTGCCAGAGGGAATGTACACTCGAGTTGGGGAGAGGGGTGTTCAACTTAGCGGAGGGCAAAAACAAAGGATCGCGATTGCCAGAGCGCTGATCAAAAACCCCAAAATTTTGCTGTTGGATGAAGCCACGTCGGCGTTGGATACCGAATCCGAAGCCCTCGTCCAACGCTCCCTAGAGAAGGCGCAAGAAAATCGAACTACATTGATTGTCGCGCATCGGCTATCGACGATTAAGAATGTCGACAAAATCTACGTCTTCCAGGAGGGAGAGATTGTGGAAGAGGGAACGCATTCGGAGCTGATCGAAGCCAAAGGCTTGTTCTACGAAATGGTGCAGAATCAGCAGATCAATCAGGAGGAGGAACGGCAGAAATTGGGCGCTATCAAAGGTCAGTGATTTTTATGCGGCTCATAGGGGAAGTGGTTGAAGTTCGACGCTTAGATTTTGATCGAAACTAGAGAAAATTTAGAATAATTTTTTCGAAGACATATGTAGGATTTCTAGCTCGTGCTTTGTAGAAACGAGTGAGATTTGTCCAAAGTTGGACAAAATGTAACACTTTCTTGCGAATTTTGGCATGAAAAGTTTCATGCATATTTCTACTTCACACTTACTTTTGGGACACAACCGATCTCCGCGACTTGATTTTTTCTATTTTTTTCGGAATGCGCTTGCTTTCCCTCTCCGTATCTCGCTAGCCGTTTGAGCTATGAAATTTTTTCAATGGTCATTGCGAAGTTTATACGATGGGGTTCCTTACAACATTCATATTTCCTGAAAGCCGGCTTCTTACTCTATTGCTATGCCAATTTTTAGCCTTCTAGCTCAAACGGCTAGCGAGATATGCGGAGAGAAAACAAGGGCATTTCGAAAAAAATAGAAAAAGTCGCGTATATTGGTTGTGTCTCAAAAGTACAGAATGCCGTGCCTTAGAGCACCATGTTCTCTGATAAAGAAATCATTTTTTCCACGTGAAACCGACAAAAGTATGGCCAAAAACTGCTTTGCTATCTCGGACTGCTCTCCGCGTTTTGTGGGCTCTCTCGTCGACAAAGATCTTTGAAAATCTAGGTTGTAGACGCAATTGAAAAAAGGCTTCCATAGCGGCGTTATTTTCCGAACAACTTGTCAAAATATAATACTACAAAAATACTGAATCGGATCGCTAAAGAACAATAATACATGCTAACATAATGAATAATAATAGACAACATTTTTCAGAGCACTCCAACGAAAGTGATGCGAGCGGATCCGAACGCTCTTCGCAACGTCCAAATCTTGTCCGCAAGGTCAGTCAACGCAAGACGAGTGTGGTTAGCAGTCATAAAGGAGCTTCAAAGAAGCTGTCGACCGCTTCTTCGGCTGTCTCGCGATCCAGTACCGCGACCATCTACGATCTGCAAAAGGAATGCGAGGTAAAGGGCGGACTTAGACGTAGGAAGAGAACTCCTAGACATGTTTGTGAAATTTTAACGCCTAAGGTCATGAAAGGCGACAGCGAAGAAGGAAGTGAAAAGAGAGTGAATTATGTGGTAGAAGAGGTAAAAGGGAGTGTGTTTGCTCCTACTGCTCTATTTCTTTCGGGAGCTACAGTGAGGGACCTGACCCAGTGGCAAAAAAGTACTATTTTGCATCCGGGAGGCATAAAAAATATGGCAAAATGCTTCCTTCTCCAAGTGAAAATACTTCGTTTTGAAGGGTCCCTCATAAAAAGAACTGGCGCACTGGCACTGTGATTTTTAACGACTTTTTTGGACAAAAGCCGATAAAAATTGGATAAAAAATCGGCCTAGGTCCACTACAATTTATTATACAATGACGGACCTGATCCAGTGGCAAAAAATATACCACTTTGCATCCGGGAAGTATCAAAAATGTGGAAAAATGCTTCCCTCTCCAAGTGAAAAAAACTTCGTTGTGAAGGGAGCGCTCTTTCCCTCATATAAAGAGCGGGCGCGCTTTCGAAATCGGAGTTTTTTCACATAAAGAGGGGAGCATTTCGCCGCATTTTTGATACTTCCCGCATGCAAAATGATACGTTTTTTGCCACTGTATCAGGTCCCCAGTGAACGTATCAGTCTGTCAGGAAAATAATCAACAATTTGCCGCTGCGCTAATCGCGTCGCAGAAAGCAATTCGATTTTGTTGCGAGCGACACAATTCATTTTCTCGGCAGTGATGTGATTTTCGATGCGACAGAGTGCTCATTATTTTCCCGGCAGACTGATGATCATAAGCTGCAAACTTACAAGGGAAGCTCGAACTCCGACACTCATATGTGTGACGCTTTTCATGCCAAAACTTACAAAACAGTGCTACAATTTTGCCAACTTTTGGCCTAAAAATCTTGTTCTTTTCTTTGAGCCTCGCAGATTTTCCAGAAAAACTTTTATAAAAAATGAGCATTTTACTTCGAACACTTCCCTGTTAAATTTTCTGTCGCTGAAATCACGCTACACTTCCTTTCTTAACTTCTGGCGCAATTCCTTTCTTTTCAAACAAAGATATAACAATGCTACATACATTAAAAAATGTACGCTTATACACATGTTTAGGAGCGACAACTATCGCCGACTCCAATCACCAAGATCATGGCCATGAACCGAGAGAAATGGGGATGGCTTGCCCTTGGGCTGCTTGGCTGCTGTGTTAGTGGATTGGTCATGCCGTTCTTCGCTTTGGTGTACTCTCAGATCATCGCGGTGAGGCTTACGTTAATTTAGAGAGGAATTCTGGCGACTTGCTAACTTTTCTTTGGTGTTTCAGGTGTTCAGTGAGCCGGTGGACCAACTCCAAAAGGACGCCTTGTTTTGGGCCGCGATGTTTGTGGTGATTGGAATTGTCAACGGACTGGGATTCTTTACATCGGTAGGTGTCTGGGTTTAATATTTTTTTTTGATTTACGTATTAAAAAAAATAAAAAATACATATTTATTTTTTTTGAATTTCAACGCTCAGTTGTACTTGGTCATGATTTTTTTTGTTTGATTTTTCATGTACAGGCAGGCATAAGACACATACCATTTCCAAAAAGTTTTAGCTCGCGCTTTACAGGAACAGCGGATAGATTCAACGGTCTTTTCAGATTGAGAGAGCACGCTAAAAGCCGAGAGAGGTCAAAGAAAGGACCAGTTTTTGGGCATAACCTTGCCTGTTTTGTGCAAAAAAATTTTGCTCATGCCAAAATTAACAAAAAATTGATTTTTTTAGCCATTTTCCGACCTAAAAATTTCGATTGTTTCTACAGTGGGGGTCCAGTGGCAAAAAACGTACCACTTTGCATCCAGGAAGTATCAAAAATGTGGCAAAATACCTCCCTCTCCAAGTGAAAAAACTGAGATTTCAAAAGCGCGCCCGCTCTTTTTGTGAGGGACCCTTCAAAACGAAGTTTTTTCATTTGGAGAGGGAAGCATTTTGCCACATTTTTGATACTTCCCGGATACAAAATGGTACGTTTTTTGCCATTGGATCAGGCCCCCACTGTGCAAGATGCGGCCTATGAGTCTGACTAATGTATTCGAAAAAAATAGTCTGAATTTGTGTCAAGCTTTATGTCATCAAAAGCATATTGGTTGTCTCACTGAGAGGGCTTCTCCTTGTAGATCAAAATACCATTTTTTGATAATTTTATGACAACTTTTCCTAAAAAATAATATTGTATATTTGCAGGCCAACTGTCTAGGGCAATGTGGAGAAGCGCTGACCAAAAAACTCCGCTACGAAGCCTTCAAAAATCTGATGCGTCAAGACATTGGCTTCTACGATGACAAACGCCACAACACTGGAAAACTCTCGACAAGATTTTCGACTGACGCTCCGAATGTTCGCTACGTCTTCACTCGATTGCCAGTTCTCTTTTCGTCGATTGTAACGCTGATTGGCGCCATTGTGATTGGCTTTGTGTATGGCTGGAAGTTGGCGCTGATTCTGTTGGCAATTGTTCCGCTGATCTTGGCGAGCGGCTACTTTGAACTTCAAATGAAGGTAAGCGTCTTGTCATGGCTGGAGAGGCTGTGCAGGAAAGTCGCTAGCGAGCCGGGGTCGAAGTGGAACCTACCCCCTAGACCGGGGTCAAATATTTTTTTTAAATGGTAATGGGGGGCCAAGGTAATTTTCGCGAAACGTTTTTACATGGTCTTCAACGGAGGGACTCATAGACATGCCTAGAAAACCATTTTTTTGTATATTCCATTGGCAAAGAACAAAAAAAAGCCTGAAATTTCTTGTGCCCAAACCCCAGCCATAAAGAATTAGGCAGATCCCAAGTCCGGCCCCAAAAAAAAGTCTGCTCGGCCCTTCTTCGAAATTTTCGAAGCCCGATTAGGCCCTAGCCATGTCTGATGACGAGTGAACTTAATCGATGTTTATTATAGTTTGGGAAACAAATGAGAGATACGGAACTCCTTGAAGAGGCCGGCAAGATCGCTTCGGAAGCTGTGGAGAACATCAGGACCATCGCTGGACTCAACAAACAACTTGTGTTCCATTACAAGTACACTATGCATCTGGTGGAGCCGTTCTAGTGAGTTTGCGAGCCCTTGATGACTCTAGAATCGCATATGACAAATGACCTTTTCTATTTTCAGTTCAAACGTCCGCCAAGCCCATGTTTATGGAGGTGTGTTCGCATTCAGTCAGAGTATAATGTTCTTCATGTATGCCGTTGCGTTTTATTTGGGTTCAGTGTTTGTGAACGACCATAGCATGGAGCCGGTGGCGGTTTACAGGTAATAAAATTTTAAGGTTCTCCTATAAACTGAACACTCCCCTTTTCGAACACTCCCCCTAAATTGAACACTCCCCTTTTTCGAACACTCCCCCCAAAATTGAACACTCCCCCTTTTCGAACCCCCCCCCCCCGCAAAATGGAACACTCCCCTTTTTCGAACACTCCCCCCAAAATTGAACACTCCCCTTTTTCGAACACTCCCCCCTAAATTGAACACTCCCCTTTTTCGAACATTCCCCCCAAAATTGAACACTCCCCTTTTCGAACACTCCCCCCTAAATTGAACACTCCCCTTTTTCGAACACTCCCCCCCAAAATTGAACACTCCTCTTTTTCGAACACTCCCCCCAAAATTGAACACTCCTCCTTTTCGAACTCTCCCGCCAAAATGGAACACTCACCCTTTTCGAACACTCCCCTCAAAATTGAATACTCCCCTTTTCGAACACTCCCCTTCATTTTGAAACTTGAAAAATTAGGGTGTGACATTTTATACGATAAAAAAATTTCTAAATTTTATAAAAAGGTGAGTGTGACATGTTATACGATGAAATAATTTTTTTGTATATTTTTGTTATGTTCCGTTAAAAGTTGTTACAAATTAAAGTTATCATATTTTCTTACAGAGTATTCTTCGCGATCGCATTCTGCGGCCAATCCGTCGGCCAGATCAGCTCATTCATCCCGGATGTAGTCAAAGCCCGACTTGCAGCCTCGCTTCTCTTCCACCTCATCGAATTCCCCACGGCGATCGACTCGTTGGACACCAGTGGAAAGAAAGTTGTAAGAATTCGAATTTTTTTATAATTTGTATACATTATATTTGTCATATTTTGCAAAAAATCTCTCAATTGTGCTTGCAGATCGTCAAAGGAAATGTGCAATTCAAAAACGTCGAATTCTCGTACCCAACGCGGCCGCAGAACAAGGTCCTGCACAACATGAATGTCCAAGTTGAGGAGGGAAAAACGCTGGCGCTGGTGGGGCAATCGGGCTGCGGCAAGTCGACGGTCATGTCATTGTTGGAGAGGTTCTATCGGATCAAAAAGGGCTTAATTGTAAGTGGTTTTGCGGATGAAACTTGGAAAAAATTTAGATAGAAAATTTTGATGACAAAAAACAAATTTTGTAAGCTAAAAGTTTTACGTAGAATCGAGATTTTTTGGCCTGTTCATGGATAAAATTTGAGCTTTGAAGTATCAGTCTGTCGGAAAAATAATGAACAAAATATCGCTGCCCCAGTCGCGTCGCTGCGATGTGAATGATAACTCATCTTGTTGAACGTCGAATAGATGAGATTTGACCATCTTGAAGAGGATCGAATTTGACACACACAGACCAAAAAAATTGTCAATACGATCATGCAACTTGCACTTTTGGGTGGCAGAAGTTTTAAAAATGAAATTTTTTCAATCGTCGTTGCGAAGTGTATGCGACAGGGTTCTTTACAATATTTATATATATTTTCTGAAAGCCGGCTTTTTACTCTACTGTCATGCCAAATTTTAGCCTTTTAGCTTTAAAGGCCAACGAGATATGGAGAGCGAAAGCATGCGCATTCCGAAAAAATAGAAAAAGTCGCGGAGATCGGTTGTGCCCCAAAAGTACAGAATGCCGTGCGTCGCTTGAATTGAATTGAAAAGAAATTTAATTTTCACCATTCATTTTCCCGGCGGCGATGCGATTTGCGATGGACAGAGTGCTCATTATTTCCCCGACAGACTGATAATTTATTTTTATCTGGCCTTTTCAACACAAGCCCCTACTTTTTCAGACAGTCGACAGCATTCCCATCGAAGAGCTGAACATCCACTCGCTGCGCGATCAAGTCTGCATCGTTAGCCAAGAGCCCACGCTCTTCGACTGCTCCATCAAAGAGAACATTACGTACGGAATGCGCGCGCCCGTCACAATGGACGCGATTCACAAGGCCTGCGAGCTGGCCAACATCCACGAGTTCATCATGACGCTGCCGCAGCGCTACGACACCCGCGTCGGCGAGCGCGGCACGCAGCTGAGCGGCGGCCAGAAGCAGCGGATCGCCATCGCCAGGGCCGTGATCCGGGATCCGGCCGTCCTGCTGCTCGACGAAGCCACGTCGGCGCTGGATTCGGAGTCGGAGAAGGTGGTGCAGGATGCGCTGGAGAAGGTGCGAAAAGGCCGCACCTGTATCGTGATCGCGCATCGCTTGTCGACCGTTCAGAACGCCGATCAGATCGCGGTTGTGAGGGGCGGAAAGGTCATCGAAAAAGGCACTCATTTCGAGCTGCTGAATCGACCCGATGGCGCTTATCGGCACCTCTGTTCCACGCAGATTCTGGACGACCGCAATCTGGAGTAATTATTGTTGTGTAGAAGGCGATTAGATAAGGCTAGTATTTTGGTCTTTGTAAAAATAAATTTTGAGAAAAACAGCGGGAATGCTGTGATTTGGATGAGAATTTAATCGGTTTGTGAGCTTAAAAAATGGGCATTTAATAGCGAGGTGTATGTTTGACACCTTTCAGATAACATACAAAAAGGTATGGTGTCCAAAAATCACTGCAGAAGCTTTGCTTTGCGAACGGAATAGTATTCATGATAAAAACTTGTAGTACAACAGTACGTATTTTATAACCAAAAAAGAAAAAAAAGTCTACTGATGAGAGTGGGATTCGAACCCACGCCTCCGAAGAGACTGGTGCCTTAAACCAGCGCCTTAGACCGCTCGGCCATCTCACCACAACAAGCGAGGCTATAGTTTACTCTTTCGGCTTGGTAAAATAAATCATAGCCGAAATATAGTAGTCTGTCGGGAAAATAATGTGGACTTGCCGCAACACAATGGTCGTCATAAACCTTTCCCACTGTGATAAGGTTCTGTAAAACAAACAGCCATGAAACGAAGCCTGGCTATAGCCAAAAATTTCAATTTCGAGGCCTTACCTTTAGAACAAAATGACCCTGTGTTGAATAAACGCTTACACCATTTGTCAGGAAAATAATGCGGATTTGTCGCACTTTGGGATCGCCCATCATCACGCTGCGAAGGCTAGCCGCGACCGGAGATTTAGTGCTTTTCCTGCGACAAATCCACATTATTTTCCCGACAGAGCGATATCAGCCTGTCGGGAAAATAATGAGCCTCTGTCGCAATGAAAATCGCATCGCCGCCGAGAAAATAAATTGTGTCGCGGCAAAATCCAATTCTTTTCATTTCAGCGAAGCGATTGGGCCAGCGACATTGCGCTCATTATTTTCCCGACAGGCTGATATTTTTTTTTCGCTGCATTTGGAAAGCAAGAGCTAAAATTTTCAGAAATAGTTTCGCTCTTCGAAAATTTTCGGTGTCCAAACTGCAGCACACACTTGAACGGCATCATCCATCAAACTGGTAAGAGATATAATATATTAATCGGCGAACAGTAACAGGTTGTTCCATCGTCAAATTTCGCGGTTTAATATGACGATTTGATCATCAAAAGGCGAGTTGCTTTTTAAATTGTGAAATTTTGAAGAAAAACAGAAAAAATATCAAAAAAGGCAAAATTTTGCTTATCTTTTGGGTAAATCCCAAAATTTTTGCTCAAATTATTGTCCGTTGGGCCCTCAGGATGTGCGATGTTAACCACCAATAAACCCACCTTTTGCGCCGCTCATAAAAATAAGTTTTTTCCCCAACATTTCGGGCGTCTTTTTTTGCGCGCCGCGAGATCTTGACCTTGACTGATTTTGTGTTAGTCTTCAACTGACACAGCTCTTTTTATCCATCTCACCGAATTCTCGGGTTGATAGCGATTATCAGTGTTTTTGAATATGTGCGGTTTGCGTTTTGAGGGATTTTTGTGCGCGTGTTGATCACATTTTCGTATGTTACTTTAAAAAGGAAGTACTCCAAGTGCGAGGCTCAGATTTTTTTAAAATTTTGCACACAAATAGATCATAGATCGTTTTCCAATGCCTTAAATTTTTAGCTTGCGGTTTGAAGGGAGAGCCGAGATATTCAACAATATTTGCGGCCGAGAGAGTTCGCGAAACGCGGAGAACGGCCAGAGAAAAAACAATTTTTGGCCGTATCTTTGTCAGTTTCGTGCGGAAATTTTTGATTTTTTTTGTGTGAAAATTACCCTATAAGGTATAGGGTCTATATTTTTCTCCCAGAATTAAAAATATTTTTCCCCAGAAAAGAGAATTATGAAAAAAATGCTATTTTCTCCCAGAAAAGAAACGATTTTCTCCCAGAAAGCATAATTTTGTAAAAATAAAGCACGGAAGATAGTAAAAATTGATGAATAAGTAACTTTACAGGTAAAATAAGTTAAGTAGTACTGCAAAATAGTATTTGTAGCCAGTTTTTGAGGAAATATTGGAAATAGGGGTAATCGACCGCGCTGATTTCGAAAATGATTCTTATTTTTTGTGATTTTTACTTTTTTGTGGTCAAAGAGTGTGGTGAAGCAGTATCATTTTCATTTTTTTGCCGAAAATTGTCAAACTTGGGTTACTGAAAACGCTACTTGCAAGAATTACGCATATTACACGTTTTAAAATACGTGATACTAATATTAGAAGATTTGTGATAGAAGTTTATTGTATTTTCTATTGGTCAACTACAACATAATATGTACAATTATTAATATTACGAGTATTATCATGAGGGTTCAACGGAGAATACGGAAAATCCAAATCCTGTGGATGTCGAGGGTGCATCATTTTGAAGTCGTCTTGACGAGGAAGCTGATAACTGGGACTGAAGTTGTACTCTGGATCTTGAAGCTTGACTTTGCGTTATTGCTTTCCGTGGACGGCCTCTCTTCTTCTTTGGTTGAAGTTGATTTGCCATGGCATCTGGGGGATACTGCGCCAAGTTGAGCTTGCATTCGATGAAGACTGCATGCTTACATCTGTTCTTCTTGGTACCTTCGGGGCATGTGCATGTAAACCGCATACCAGATTTTGAGACGATAAAAACCTAAAATTATTTCGGATTATTCCAAATCCAAAAGACTTACTTTAAATCTGTTTTCCGCATAGTCTGCAAAACTTTCGAAGATATCTCCTGTGATCTTCCGGTAAATTTGCTTCACGGTCCTGGCGTCAAGAGCAAGGTGTTCGGATGAAGGCATCGCATAGATTTCGTTATTCTGGATGATGAAGACTGGCCTATTATTGCGCTTCATGGCAAACGCTGAGGCATAGATGTGTGGTGGAGTCTTCTGTTCGATTTGAGAAGGATCGGGATGGTGTTTTGACCAGTCTAGCTTAATCATATCGGTAGCCCAGGTGACAAATTCATGAAAGTTCAGTCTTTCTCGGAACGAATGTTGACTCTTTATCTGGTTATTTTGAGATTCCACTCCATTATTGGTGCTTGGAAAAGGGCTGGCACCTTCAAACCACCGAAAGACTTCCGAGTAGAGCCATTCCGTTTTGAAATACTCCACGAAGTTGGGGTCTATTCCAGAGTCCAACCAAGACTGCGACATCAGCAATCCAACTACAATTAAAGGCATATTAATGTAGGCACCTAAACATGGAACAAAAAGGTTAAAATCTTACCGTTTCTGAATTGACTGACATTTAGGGCATTGTGGAGCATGAAGATGTTGTCCTTGATGTTTTGGGCGACGGCTTTGTTGAACTGTTTTTAATTCTGGGCGAAAATATTTTTCCCTAAGGTATATATGTAGATCAGAAATCTTTTGTGACCGAGAGGCTATGGAAAATGAGGAGATGGTCAGAGAAAGAAGTGTGATTTTTTCGGAAATTTTAATCTTAATTAAAATGGAGTAACACAAATTTTTTTGGGCTGATTTGTCATCAACAAAGATAAATCTCGAAAATTTTTGAACGATCTTTGTGGCCGAGAGAGTACGCAAAACGCGGAGAGCGGTCAGAGAAAAAAACCTTTTTTGGCCGTATCTTTGTTAGTTTCGTGCGGAAAAAAATCATTTTTTGTGCAAACATTACTTTCTAGAATAGAAATAGGCACGAAATTTTTCAGGGGAAAATTCGCAAAAAAAATTTTCACATTTTTGCCAAATTTTTACATAAAAATCTCGGTGGTTTCTGCAAAGCGCGAGCTAGAAGTGTCGTATATGCCTTAGAAAAAACCATTCTAATTTTGTGCCAAGTTTCATCAAAATCTGAGCGTCGCACTTGGAGCACTTCCCTTTTTAGTTTGGCTCTCAACTCTTCATGGGTTTTTCTCCATCCCTTCCAAATTGAAATAAAAAAGAATTGGACTTTGCAAAAATGAGCCAACCAATCTACAAGTCATCGTTCATCTTTATCTTTCTAATTTCATTCGCAAACTGCCGACAAGTGTGTAAATTTGATCCCGAAAATCACTCCTCAGACCTGTAAGTTGTCGTTTTTGGTGTATTTTGTCAGACCAATATTCTTCTGTCGGGAAAATAATGAGCACTCTGTCGCATCGAAAATCGCATCGCCGGCGAGAAAATGAATTGTATCGTGGGGAAAATCAAATTGCTTTTCACTTCAGCGACGCGATCGGCGTAGCGACATTGTGCTCATTATTTTCCCGACAGAAAAAAGTCCTTTTAATGGTCTAAAAAATTTATGATTTCAGGATAGTCAGTTCGGAGAAGTGCGCCAAAACCGAATTTCAGCTAATGTTCCCCAAGTTTGAAGCAGTTAGATTTAGGATTCAAATATTGAATTCGTCCTGTGTCCCCGAACGTGATGTCATGTAAGTTTGGGCCATTGAAAAAGGGTCACTTTTAAGTGGCTATAAGTTAAAACTGTTTTCGCATTTTCATGACTTTCATAGAGTCCAAGAACACTGGTAAGCTTTCGCACAGTGCATTTTGAACCTTTTCCCACGCTTGTCGCCAACGCACAGTGCATTTTTTCTCTTTTCGCACCGTGCAAACCTCAAAAAAGCCGTTTGCACTGTGCGAATTCCTGGCACCGTCGCAGCGACGTAATTGACCGCGCTTTTGTCGCGGCGATATTTCGTTGCACAGTGCAAAAAACTAAAAAAAAGTGAAATGCACAGTGCGAAATGGAGGTGCTTTTTGCACTGTGCGGAAAAAAAGGTTCTGTCGCGGCGATATTTGGTTGCACAGTGCAAAAAAAAGAGAAATTCACGGTTCGAGATGGGGTTTTTTATGCACTGTGCGGAAAAAAACCTGCTTTTGTCGCAGCGACATCTTGCCGCACAGTGCAAAAAACCAAAAAAAGTGAAATGCACGGTGCAAAATGGAGGTTTTTGTGCACGATTCGGGCACGACAAATGTCCATCTACTTTGTGAAAATATAATACGAATATAGAACTCATATCGACTTCAACGGCTGCCGGATCGCCAACGTTCATGCCGTTTATACCGGGACAACCAGACGGCTGGAGATTTTCAAGCAAGGTGGGTCTTGAATTTACTTTACTTTTTTTGTGTACTTTTACATGAAAAGTTTTATCAGTCTGCCGGGAAAATAATAAACACAATTTCGCAAAACCTCAAATTTTTGGCGCTACGACTTTTCGGGTCAGCGACACTATGGATCGCGTCGGTTCGTCGTTCGATGCATGACAGAGGCTAGCGAAAGGCTTAGATAGTCGAAATAATAAGATTGATTGAGTTCTAGGGAAACTTGACACCTATTTTGATGTGTGGTTTTCCATGTGCTCACATCAATAATGTCTAATTAAACATTGCGAATCTTCGCTTTTAGCCGCAAATTTTGGCTTTTATATGGGACAATGACTCCGGGTAAAGAAAACTAACGTAAGTAATCGCTAAAATTAGGAAAGGTGGATATATTGCAAGTCTTCGCCAAGTCTCCGCCGAGTCTTCGCCGAGCGTCCGCGGAACATCCAACGGCTTTGTCAGGCCTCGTAGGCATTTTCTACAGTGGGGGACCTGATCCAGTGGCAAAAAACGTAACATGCATCCAGGAAGTATCAAAAAATGTAGCAAAATGCCTCCTTCTCCAAGTGAAAAAGCTCCGATTTCAAAAGCGCGCGCTCTTTTTGGTGAGGGCGCGCCCTTCAAAACGTAGTTTTTTGTAGTTGGAGAGGGAAGCATTTTACCATATTTTTGATGCTTCCCGGATGCAAAATGGTCCGTTTTTTGCCACTGGATCGGGTCCTTCACTGTACAACATTTTTTTGGCATTCGCCTGCCTTACGCCTCGTATCAATCGATTTTGTGTCGACACGAACCGTCGGGACGCGAAAATTTCCCCTTCTAACCTTGCTTCCCTAATTACCCACTTTAGTCGGAGTTGGAGAAGAGGTCTCCGCAACGGTCTACAACCGCGAGAATGTGGAATACACAGTCAACAAGACGGCGCTGAGCTTGAACACCGGCTACGACGATTTGTTGCCTATGAACTGCCATGGAATCTTCAAACTGAACAAGCAATCGCAGATTGTGATCCCAGTGATTGTGCAGTTCAGCGAGTCGACTTGTGTTGTGGAGGTGGAGTTTGTAAGTGTTCAAAACGTCAAGAAACAGCACTTACAGGGGAAGTGCTCAAATTTCGACACTCATACAATGAAGGACCCGATCCAGTGGCAAAAACCGTACCATTTTGCATCCGGGAAGCATCAAAAATGTGGCAAAGTGCTTCCTTCTGCAACTAAAAACGCTCCGTTTTGAAGGGTCTCTCACAAAAAACCGCGCGCTTTTGAAATCGGAGTTTTTCACTTGTAGAGGGAAGCATTTTGCCACATTTTTGATACTTCCCAGATGCAAAATGGTACGTTTTTTGCCACTGGATCAGGTCGCCCGCTATATTTTGATGAGACTTGTCGCAAATTTAAATTAATTTTTTGTGAAACATTTGCGAGATTTTTAGGCATCTAGCTCGCGCTCTGAGCGAGTTTTTTAGACTGAAAATTGGGAAGAATTTGAAAATTCTTTTTGCGAAATTTTGGAATAAAAAGTTTCGTACATCTTGCTGACGTAGAGGGCAATGGTTTCTCAAAAAAAATAACTTTTTCCGCATAAAGTTGGCCAAGGTATGGCCAAAAATTTTCATCTCTGGCAGTTGGCAAATATACCGCACTTTTTTGTGAATTTTGGCACTCGAAGTTGCATAGCTATTTCTACCGTAGAAGATAATGCTTCCACAAAAAATCACCTTTTATCATGCGAAACTGGCAATGATACGGCCAAAAAGTGTTTTCGCTCTCATTTGGTCTGCCTAACAGTGCCTTTCCAGATCAACGGGATCCCTCAGAGCCCGGACAAGCGGAAACTCGACGTCCCCGACAGAGCCGAATCCCGGCCTCGCTACGACAAAGCCGATGAGGCGGCCGACCGTCGGATTCAAGCGCTGGATTCGCAGCACTTCTCCAGATACGACGATGAGACATTGTTCATCACTGGCGACCGCACCGACCCCAACAGCTACTGGAAGTTGTTTGCCACCATGGCGGCTTCGATCGTCTTCATTCTGGTGGGAATTGGATACTTTTTGGTGACCAAATTCAAGCCGGCAGTGCTGGGGAGAATAAAGGTGAGCGATGACAATCAATTTGCGGATGGGAAGGAGGCAGCTGTTTTGTGACGAAAAGGAAATTTTTGTCGCAAAAACCATGCGTATCTTATAAAAATAAAAAGAGAAAATTCAATTGATGAGAGTGGGATTCGAACCCACGCCTCCGGAGAGACTGGTGCCTTAAACCAGCGCCTTAGACCGCTCGGCCATCTCACCACAACGAGCGCGGTTATGGTTTACTTTCTCGGTTTGCGGAGTTTACAGGGGAAGTACTCCAAGTGCGACGCTCAGATTTTGATGAAACTTGGCACAAATTTAGAATAATTTTTTCTAAGATATATGCGAGAATCCTAGCTCGCGCTTTGCAGAAACAACTGAGATTTTTAGATCGAAAGCCGGCGAAAATTTAGGACTTGGCACTAAGCATGGCTGCAAACCGGGCCAGCCCGGCCCGGCCCGGCCCGGGCCTGCGGGCCGGGCCTGAATCTCCAAGCCCGGCCCGGGCCCGGGCTTGGAAAATTTGGAAAGCCCGGCCCGGTTCGGCCCGGAAAATTTTTGTACTAGGTTGGAAAGAAAGAAAGCAGGAAATGAAGGGAAAATTATGGCACATTTTCGCAAAATGTAAAGAATAATTTAGAAAAACCTATACATAGTGCAATTGCCGCTTGACTATTTTTATAAATTACTAACTAGGGAAGTGTACAAACGAACCCTCACCAAATGGCAAGTGTTATACACCATTGGAAAGCCCTTGAAAAATGGTGAAAGGTACCATTTTCATTTTTTGCAGAATGCCTCAGGGCAAAAAATTATAAACGGTTGATTTGTCCCTTAAGTAGTTACAATATCTTCTATTAGGCAAAATAAATGTTATTTCAAAACGCTAAATGGTACGTATTACCATTAGGTTGGCCTAAGAATCATTATGAAGCTTGGCGCTTGCGAGTAAAACCATTTTACATATGACATTTACTGGTTTTAAACACCCATAAGGTGAAAAAACACTTTTCACTTTTTTTTAATCTTGAAAAACATGTAAGTTTGATGGTTTTTACCGTAATCGATCGTCTCCCAGAAAAATTAAAACCTTTGTAAAAGTTTAACGCAAATGTTTACCTAACTGTAAGAACGCAAAAATGATTTTGCCCAAGCTGGGAACCGAACCCGGCTTGCTTTGGCTTATCAGCCTGCTCCGCAACCACGGCACTATTGAAGCAACCCTCTCAGAGGATTTTTTCCTGCCCAAGAGAAAGAAAGATTTTTGTTGCAGAATGACCTAAAAATAATATAATTTACAGTATGTTGTCGCGGAAAGTCATTCTGCAAAAAATGAAAATGGTGTCTTCTACCATTTTTCAAGGGCTGTTCAATGACGTATGTCACTTATCATTTGGTGAGGGTTCGTTTGTACACTTCCCTAGTAAGTCGCCATAAATTGTCTTACCATATGGTTACTAAAAATCATAAAATTTTGTGTACAGTCACCCAAATTTTAGCAAAAATATTTTATCACAGATCTTTTATTGGATTTGAAAAAACCTGCAAGCGTATTGCGTATTTTTGAAAATTTTTCCTTTTCTCTTTTTGCCAGCGTATTAACTATGAGGTCGCACGTTAGAATTTCCAAAAATTTTTTCAAATTGACTTGAAAATTATTTTTTTTATTTGGGCGAGTGGTAAATAAGGTCACTTTACTTTCGCTATCAGCATTGTGTTCGAAAAAATGAAAAATTCTGTCGAAAAAGCTTATTTTTCCCTTTTTTCAGGGCAAAAACTCAGATTTCAAAAAAACCGGGCCGGCCCGGGCCGGGCCGGGCCTGAAAATCGAGGCCCGGGGTCGGGCCGAGAAATTAGTCGGCCCGGCCCGGGCCGGGAAATTTTGGAAAGCCCGGCCCGGAGCCATGCCTACTTGGCACGAAAAGTTTCATGCCTATTTCTACCGTAATGGATAATGTTTCTACAAAAAATCAAATTTTTCCACACGAAACTGCCAAAGTTATGGCCAAAAAGCGCTTTTCTCTCTGACCGCGCTCCACGTTTAGCGTGCTCTTTCGACGGCGCCCGCAAAGCGCGAGCTAAAACTTTCAGGAATTGATATTTAGTCCATACCCGACGTGTGTGCAAAATTTAAAGAAAATCTGAGCGTCGCACTTGGAGTACTTCCCCTGTTAGTAAAATAAATCACAGCCTATAAATTAGTATGTATAGTCTGTCGGGAAAATAATGCGGATTTGTCGCAACACAATGGTTTGCTATATTCCCAGCCGCGGCTAGCCGTACGGTGACGGACCTGATCCCGTGGCAAAAAACGTACCATTTCGCTTCGGGGAAGTATCAAAAATGTGGCAAAATGCTTCCCTCTCCAAGTGAAAAAAAAACTTCCTTTTGAAGGGTCCCTCACAAAGTGAGCGAGCGCGATTTTGAAATCGGAGTTTTTTCACTTGAAGGGGGATGCATTTTGCCACATTTTTGATACTTCCCGGATGCAAAACGGTACGCTTTTTGCCACTGGATCAGGTCCCCTGTAGCAAAGAAATGAACCTGTTTGTTTTTCTGTGTTTTGAAACCTTGCTAAACCTGACGTTTGCAGCCCAGCACAATGTCGTTTTCCAACCCAAACATCGAGCTGAACAACAACCCAACGCCGGATTCGGACTCTCACGCTGCGTCGAACCAAGTCATCTTCTCATCGGGCGGGGTAATCTTCAAAAATGTGAATGCGACGCAAGAGGACCAACATGGATTCTCCAACAGAGTTTATGAACAGTCTTTGTAAGAAAACATGTGTGCATTCACAACACCCGGGTCTTTGGAATTCCTTCGGAATTGTAGTATAATTCTTGACAAATCCTGTCCTGTTTATTGAATTAATAAATTATCAACGGAAAGCTGACAATACAATGTAAACATACAAAATTTGAATTAAAAAGTGATTCTAGGAGGGCCAGAAAGCCTTCACGTGTTAGCTGAGTCTGATTGGCACCAAAAAAATCCGAACTCTCCCCTTTTTTGAACACTCTCTCATTTTTAAAATTGAAAAAATAGGTGTGACATCTTATACGATGAAAAAAATTTTCAAATTGAGAAAAACTAGGCGTGACATGTCATACGACGGAAATTTTTTTTCAAATTGGGAAAAATTGGTATGACATGTTATACGATGGGATTTTTTTTCAAATTGAGAAAAATTAGGCGTGACATGTTATACGATGAAAATTTTCCAAATTGAGAAGAATTAGGTGTTGGATTGTTATACGATGGAAAATTTTTTCAAATTGAAAAAATAGGTATGACATGTTATACGATGAACTTCAGGTATGTAACTCCAAAAACGTTAAAGTTCGGTCAACGTGATGAATCCATTTTCAAATCCGTTTTTTGGGCGAAAGAAGCAAGTTCACGAGCTAGGCCGCGAGCTTGACGGTGATCGACCTATCCTCGGGTGTGAACACAGAGTAACCACCTTGGCTAGCTGTTCAACCAATTTCGCAACACTCAAATATAAATATTGGCCCTGCAGCCGATCTACCCCAAAAGAAATCAAACGAAGGAGCGAAAAAAATCTTTTCCATTTCGAAATTTTTTCCATCGTATAACATGTCAGACCTAATTTTTTCAATTTTCAAAATGAGGGGGAGAGTTCAGAAAAGGGAAAGAGTTCGGAGTAAAAAGTTTTTACTCCAAAATCAAAAAAAAAAAAGCTAATTCGAAAACAAAATTTGAGCAAATCTTTTACCCCGTCTCTTATATCAACAAAACAACACAAAAAATACCGGATTTATTCAAACTTCGGAAGGATAAACAAAGTCCGACCGATAATTCATTTGGCGATTCATTCCATCTTCGAATCCACCTTCAAAACCTCCGTTTTGGTCTTCTCGTCCGCTTTCTTCTTCTCGGATCCCTTTCCTCGCTTCTTTTTCTTCCTCAAACAGCCCATAATTGCCCTACGCTTGAACTAAAACAAATAAGAATTTATTTCGAACACCTCGAAATGATGTATTTTTGGGTAGATTTGGCCAGAAAAACGACCAATTTGTCTGGTCGTTGGCACCAATTTGGCCGACCGTTCGCAAATAACCCCACAAATCTCCCAACTTACAAAGCCAAGCACGGAAAGACCAATAAGGATCAAAAAGAGGAAACACCCTCCGCCGATTCCAACGTACATCTGAGTGTCCTCAGTCCAGAAAGGAGTTTCCTCCGTTGCCGTTGAGTAGTCCCTAAAAACCGATCAAAACAATGCACATTCAACCTACATATCACTCGAACCGTCAGAGAAGAAGCGAACATAGGCTTTCTTGAGCTTGTCGCCGGGAATGGTCGAGTTCAAGCAGTTGTGGACGACTTCGAGGTACTGCTAAAATTTAAACATGAGAAAAATTACTGTTTCACCAAAACTTACGACGTGATACCATTCTGAATTTTTGTTGGCGATCAGAGTAATATTACCGCCGGCGCATGGTTTGGCTTTCCAGGGAGGACTCAGAGCACCGACGGTGACTTCCTGACACTTCCCATCGCCGTCTTTGTACACATAGGTCCCATTGGCTTGATTCACACCCAATTTATCGTCCACCACTACGGGTATTTCCGCGCTGTTGATCTTCTTTCCATCGAGACCAAAGATGTAAGTGTTCCTCTGAGTCCTTTTTGGAATCCCGTAGAGCTTGTCCTGAACTCGGTAAACCTCGAAATCGGCATCGCAGGAATCTCTTTCGGTAACAGTGCGGATTTTGTTTGTGTCGCCGGCAACGGGGCAATTACTAAAACACGTCACATATAAATTAAAGCAATCAACTTACACAGATGCTCCATTGGAACCTTTAGTACTGACTTGTCCACCGAGTGCAATATCCTCTCCTTTCGCTACCATCTGCACATTAGCACCCTCGACTGTACCGTTTGTCAACTCAATCTCAATCGTCTTTCTGAAACAAAAAAGGCATTAAAATTCTCCAACGCAATAAAAAAATATTTATAAAGTTCACTCCTCATTCTCTGCACTATAGAGAATAACTGAAAAAATGGGCCAATACGAAAAAACGGCTTCGTGGAAATTGGACAGAGTGAAATTCGACAGAGTGAAATTGGACAGAAATAATTTGGACAGAGCGTGGAAATTGGACAGGGTGAAATTGGACAGAGTGAAATTGGACAGAGTGAAATTGGACAGATTTTCGCTGCAATCGTACGAAATGTCAATATTGAATCATCAAATAATTATTTTTTGCAGTGAAAAAAAATCTGTCGAGTTTCACTCTGTCCAATTTCACTCTGTCCAATTTCCACGCTCTGTCCAAATTATTTCTGTCCAATTTCACTCTGTCCAATTTCACTCTGTCCAGTTTCCACGAAGCCGAAAAAACCCGCTAAGATATGGCGCAACTCGGAAAACAAGCCTTGAAAAATCTGCGTAACTACCGTAAATTTTATTCGTTATATAACGAGCCTCGTCCCGGCCTGCCTTCGCCAAGGTTTCAGCACACTTTCAAGAGACGAAACCGGTCGCAGCGCAAAAAATTAGTTTTTCAAGCCTTGACATGGCTTTGGTTTTAGCCGCCAGAAACGAGCGAGTTTTTCGGGTCAAAAGTTGGAAAAAATGCCAATTTTGGTGAACTCTAGCATGAAGAGTTTGACCCGTCTCAAAAACTGCGCTGTAATAAAAAAAAATATCAGGCGCTGTAAATCTTCAGCCGAACCTAACAAAACCTTCTAAACTGACCGAGCCCCTGAAAAACAAGCACAAAGACCGTCCCCAACTTACTTTTCAATTGTTCCGTTCCAATCGATCGTTTTCATTTCAATTTTGCCGCCTTTGAAATCGAACACCTTGAGCTCGGCGGACTGAGGCTGCAGACCATCGAACACGCTGCACATCAAGAGCGACTTCACCAGCGTTTTCATCACAGAGTCGTCCATCGTCGTTGATCCAAGGAGCGGCCACTGACGAGAACGAGAACAACAAAGTGAGAGGGATCCGTCGAGATCCGCCGTTTTTATAGTCCATCCTCTAATTAACTCTATGCAAATTTTTTTTGTGTTGGTGGGAATTCGAGAAGAATTTTCGAAATGCATTCCGCGTAACAGGGGTGGCAAACGGGCCTCTTTTTCCAAATTTCAGGCCCGGGGCCCGGCCCGGCAAAATCCCAGGCCCGGCCCGGCCCGGTTCAAAATTTTGCAGGCCCGGCCCGGCCCGGCCCGGTAGAAATCAGGCCCGGCCCGGTAAAAGCCCGGTTAGGGCGCGAGCTGGAAATTTTCCTTTGATCTTACCGCCTCTGTAGTGTGCTAAAATCTGCTAAGAACTATCCTATATGTATTATATGTTCTAATTTGGACCTTATATTATAACGTATATGCAAAAAAGTACTATAAAGTAATAAACTATTGTAGAACTTGATATACTAAAAATATACAAACCTATCCAAAAATTTTTCCGGCGCGAAAACATTGAATGCCAAACGCTTGGCATTTCGACAAAACCGGGCCGGGCCTGAAAATGGCTCAGGCCCGCGGCCCGGGCCGGTAAAAAGCAGGCCCGGCCCGGCCCGTTTCAAAATTTGCCAGGCCCGGCCCGTTTAGGCCCGATCGGGCCGGGCTTCGCCGGCCCGGCCCGGTGGCCACCCCTGCCGCGTAATAAAAACTAGGGGAACAGTTGACCCGAGAAGAATTTTGCCCCATGTTCGTGATGTAGAATTTTCCGATTGAAGACGACTTGAAATTTGCCCAGAAAAGGAATGTTCACCAAGAGCAGGCTGTCCCATTCGATTTAATGTCAAGATTGCCCGTTTTCTACTCGCATGACTCGCCAAATTTTGGGATTTCGTGGTGCTCGTTGCGTAATGGATAATGTAAGTCGATTTTTTTATTGTTCTGTGCAAACTCGTCAAAAATGGATGGACATAGATTAGAGGCAGGGTATTAGGTTGATTTTATCACGTAAACTGGGATAATTTTATGGAACAGCAGCTTGAACGAGGAACGAAACGCGAGGACCAAGTGTAATATAAAATTTTCGTAAAACTAGCCGTTTCTGGTTCGAGATTGCGGGTTTTTACGTAATGACCTGGCTCTTTTTCACGGATTTCCTTTCTTGTGGACTTTTCTCGTTGGAAAATGTTGATGCTTTTTCTGTTTCAGAAAACCGATTGAGTCTGAGATCACAGCGCAATCAAGGGCGTAGTGAGGAGAAGATTGAACTCGGAGGCCAGGTTAGCGCAAATGACCTGCAGGGTGGTCGGTGTAAGTTGCGTCTTGCTTCAATTGATACAGCCCTCCTCATGAGGGGGGCTTATAATATTGTAAATATCGTCGAAAGACCTGATCTTCTTTATTTTTTACTGTTTTCAGTGAATCCAGACGCAGAAATACCGATAGAAGTTCCCGCAAATAAACAATCGATGCCCCCATCAGGACAAAAACAGATGAGAAACCTATCCGAAGCACAGATGCGTTAACCACATCTATTTGTTGTTTTTGGCAGTCAAAATAAACGTTTATACTGTAAGCTGCACAGCGTAATGATCTGGCGCCGGTGGTCGCGGAAATTAAAAAGAACCCTAAGATTCGGATTTTTCTGTTTTTAACGATCTTAACGCCAGAGTGTCGCTCGTGTAGCTCCAAAATTCCTTGATTTCAGAACGCATACATAGCCCATTCTTATAGTCCAAAAGAAAATCTGCACGTACAAGGGGACTGTTTCTGCACAACTAAGAGTTCATGGAAGGAATTGAAGGCACGGTCCTTCGAAACTCGAAATTTTTTGTCAGTTCGCCACAAATTGGAAAGGACTTGAGCGCAAAAATCAACATAGCGTTGTATACTAGATACGTGCTTATAATGGCAAAGCACGTCAATCCAAAATAGAAGAAAAAACTTGCCGCCCCTTTTTGGCGATTCGTTCAAAACGAAATGTCACTATCCGATAACACGCATTTTCTTATCTTTCTTCTTCCTTTTCGAGAAAAAGCAATTATTTCGGCGGAGAAAAAGTGCCGATAATTTCGCGACATTTCGTCTCTCTTTTAAATCAATGAAAACTATACGAAGTTTCGAAACGGTTCAGGAAATTCGCTGGATTGACGTGCAAAGGAAATGTCGTGGACGATTACTTTCCCTGAAACTTTAAAGATAGAGTCTTGTACGTATTTCATGTTTGCACAATCGCCCACTTAGCTCTTGTACTGTGACAGCCAGTGGGGCAAGTAGAAATATTTGTCCAGATTTTATCGGCGCACCCTGTATACAGTGGCCGACCTGAAAATTGGCCAAAAACGTACTGTTTTGCATCCGGGAAGTATCAAAAATGCAGCAAAATACCTCCGTCTCCAAGTGAAAAAAAATGCGATTACAAAAGCGCGCCAAATCTTTTTGTGAGAGAAGGGGCGCGCAGTTCAAAACGGAGTTTTTTTAGTTGGAGAGGGAGGCATTTTGCCACATTTTTGATACTTCCCAGATGCAAAACGATACGTTTTTTGCCACTGGATCAGGTCCCTCACTGTAAATGAAAATGGCGTGCAAATCAGCAAATCCGAGTTCTCTCTGCATCTCTCCCTCTGCATTCCGAAAATTATTCTCAAATTGCCAACAATACAAAAAAAATTGCATAGAATGAATCTCAAAATCTCGTGAGATTCATTTTTGTGTGTTTTCGCCCGCGTCAGCGGCCGCTCCTTGGATCGACGACGATGGACGACTCCGCGATGAAAACGCTGGTGAAGTCGCTCTTGATGTGCAGCGTGTTCGACGGTCTGCAGCCTCAGTCCGCCGAGCTCAAGGTGTTCGATTTCAAAGGTGGTGCGATTGAAATGAAAACGATCCACTGGAACGGAACGATTGAAAAGTAAGTTGGGGACGGTCTTTGTGCTTGTTTTTCAGGGACTCGGCTCAGTTTAGAAGGTTTTGTTAGGTTCGGCTGAAGATTTACAGCGTTTTGGTTCATTTTATTCTGAAAACGTTTCTTTCGACCTGCGCCGGACCATGAATTGTGTTTCATGCAATTGCCACTCCGTAAAGTTTTTCAATTTTTAGCAGGCTGCAGTGCAACTTTACGGAGTTAATTTGACAGTTTAACCTTTTAGGCAAAGATAGATTTTTTGAGGTACACACACGCCCGAAAAGGCGTAAGCGGCCAGATATTTTTTATTACAGAGCAGTTTTTGCGAAAACTCTTCATGCCAGAGTTCACCAAAAAAGTGGCATTTTTTCCAACTTTTGACCCAAAAATCTCGGTCGTTTCTGACGGCTAACTGTAAGACCAAAGCCACGGCAAGGCTCGAAAAAATTATTATTTTGCGCTGCGACTAGGCATGGCTCTCGGGCCGGCCCGGGCCGAAAATCGCGGCCCGCGGGCCGGGAGAGGTCGGCCCGGCCCGTTTCAATTTTTCTTCGGCCCGGCCCGGCTCAGCCCGCGGCCCGAAAATTAACAAACAATAAAAAACCTTCCTTCACTATCAGATGTGACATATTTTTCTTTATTACAACGACTAACAAATAAATTTTTAAAGCAAAAAATTACTAACAAACGCATTGCCTTTTTTGCCGGGCCGAAAATTGCGGCCCGGCCTGTTTCAATTTTGTTTCGGCCCGGCCCGAACACCGGCCGGCCCAGCCCGGCAGCCAAGTCTAGCTGCGACCAGTTTCGTCTCCTCTTGAAAGTGTGCTGAAACCTTGGCGAAGGCAGGCCGGGACGAGGCTCGTTATATAACGAATGAAATTTACGGTAGTTACGCAGATTTTTCAAGGCTTGTTTTCCGAGTTGCGCCATACCATTTTAGCGGGTTTTCTTTCACATTGGCCCATCTTTTTCATTCTCTATAGTGCAGAGAATGAAGAGTGAACTTTTTAAATTATTGCGTTGGAGAATTTTAATGCCCTTTCTGTTTCAGAAAAACGATTGACATTGAGTTGACAGACGGTACAGTCGACGGCGCTAATGTGCAGATGGTAGCGAAAGGAGAGGATATTGCACTCGGTGGAGAAGTCAGGACTAAAAATAGAAACGGATTACCTATGTAAGTTCGTCTTAATTTATATGTTACGTATTTCAGTAATTGCCCCGCTGCCGGCAACACAGATAAAATCCGCGCTGTTACCAGAAGAGTATTATGCTATCCCGAGTTTGAGGTTTACCGAGTCCAGGACAAGCTCTACGGGATTGCAAGTGCGGCTGCGAGGGAAACTTTCATCTTTGGTCTCGATGGAAACGAGATCGAGAGTGCTAGAATACCCGTAGTGGTGGACGATAAATTGGGAGTGAATCAAGTCAATGGGACCTATGTGTACAAAGACGGCGATGGGAAGTGTCAGGAAGTCACCGTCGGTCCTCTGAGTCCTCCCTGGAAATCCAAACCATGCGCCGGCGGTAATATTACTCTGGTCGCCAACGAAAATTCGGAATGGTATCATGTTGTAAGTTTTGGTGAAACAGTCGTTTTTCTCATGTCCAAATTTTAGCAGTACCTCGAAGTCGTCCACAACTGCTTGAACTCGACCATTCCCGGCGACAAGCTCAAGAAAGCCTATGTTCGCTTCTTCTCTGACGGTTCCAGTGATATGTAGGTTGAATGTGCATTGTTTTGATCGGTTTTTAGGGACTACTCAGAGGCCGTCCTTTGGACGTCGAGGCGGTTGACCCACATAGGAATCTTCAACGGGGTTTTCATCCTTTTGATCCTTATTGGTCTTTCCGTGGTTTGCTTTGTAAGTTGTGGGATTTGTGGGGTTATTTCCGAACGGTCGGCCAAATTGGTGCCAACGACCAGACAAATTGGTCGTTTTTCTGGCCAAATCTACCCAAAAATACATCATTGCGAGGTGTTCGAAATAAATTTGTATTTGTTTTAGTCGGAGCGTAAGGCAATTGCGGGCTGTTTGAGAAAGAGAAAGAAGCGAGGAAAGGGACCCGAGGACGGACGAGAACACCAAAACGGAGGTGTTGAAGGTTGATTCGAAGATGCAATGAATCGCCACATGAATTATCGATCGGCCTTTGCTTGTCCTACCGAAGTTTAAATAAATCCGGTAATTCTTGTGTCGTTTTGTTGATACTTGCAAAGTAAAAGACTCTTTCGTCTGATTGGTCTGAAAAGGAAAGTACTTTTATGGGGGCTCCTACTTTTTGACCGGACATGTTGAAACATCCGAAAAATTGTGCCGATTAAGAATATGTAAAAATTGGCTGCCCAGTTTCCGGTTTTAGGGGTGAAAAATGAATCGGAAGTTGACATAAGGTCCTATATATAAATTGAAAAAATGATTTGAAAAAAAATTTCCATCGTATAACATGTCACATCTTATTTTTCTCAATTTGAAAAAATTTTTCGTCGTATAAGATGGCACATCTTATTTTTCTCAATTCGAAAAAATTTTTCGTCGTATAAGATGTCACATCTTATTTTTCTCAATTTGAAAAAAAAATTTCCGTCGTATAAGATGTCACATCTTATTTTTCTCATTTTGAAAAAAATTTTCGTCGTATAAGATGTCACATCTTATTTTTCTCAATTTGAAAAAAATTTCCGTCGTATAAGATGTCACATCTTATTTTTCTCAATTTGAAAAAAATTTTCGTCGTATAAGATGTCACATCTTATTTTTCTCAATTTGAAAAAAATTTCCGTCGTATAAGATGGCACATCTTATTTTTCTCAATTCGAAAAAATTTTTCGTCGTATAAGATGTCACATCTTATTTTTCTCAATTTGAAAAAAAAATTTCCGTCGTATAAGATGTCACATCTTATTTTTCTCATTTTGAAAAAAATTTTCGTCGTATAAGATGTCACATCTTATTTTTCTCAATTTGAAAAAAATTTCCGTCGTATAAGATGTCACATCTTATTTTTCTCAATTTGAAAAAAATTTTCGTCGTATAAGATGTCACATCTTATTTTTCTCAATTTGAAAAAAATTTCCGTCGTATAAGATGTCACATCTTATTTTTCTCAATTTGAAAAAAAAAATCCATCGTATAACATGTCACACCTCATTTTTATCAATTTGAAAAAAATTTCCATCGTATAACATGTCCGAAATGGTTATTTTCCAAATGGTACTATTTTCTATTCGCCGCTGTTGGTGTCACATTTCTGATCGTGCTTCTTGTAGTCTACCTGTCTGGTTGCTTTCGCGAGTGTCACACCTCGAATAACAATATTGTCTACCATTAGGCCACGCCTACCGATTTATAATACACAGTATGAAGCGCTACTGTGTAAATCGGTAACAGCTCTCTTTCTCTGCAACCCAAGACACTTCTCAGGGGTTTTTCGCTGCAATTCAGCGGGCCGAAGCGTCAAGGAGCCTGGAATGTGATCCATGTAAAGGTCGGTGAAGAAAATTCTTTTTTTTGAACAATGAACAACCGAAAGGGTTTATGCCGCGATCTGTGACAGAATTAGCAAAGGAAGGCTTAATTGACGCTGAGATTTCCTTTTTTTAAAAATATTTTTTGTCCATATCTTTGCCAGTTTCGCATGAAAAAGTTGATTTCCTATGGAAACAAGACGGTAGAAATTAGGTATGAAACTTTTCGTGCCAAGATTGGCAAAAAAGTGCCGTGATTTTTCCAACCTTCCATCGAAAAAGTTGGTCATTTTCGCAAGACGCTTAAACTTGCTAGAATTGGCAGGCAGGAAATTTCAAAAAGAAGTCTGAGCGTCGCACTTTAGTGAGATAAATGACATTTAAGCTTGCTTAGATTGCCCCTAAAACATAATTTTTTCCATGACTCTACTACCCCATGTTACCTTATAAAACGATAGGAAATGCTCATTATTTCGTCTCCAAGTTATAACCCAATTTATTTCTGAGAGCGCGGCTTCGGCCCTCAAGCAAAATGAAGCCTTCGGAGAAAGAGCCGGGAGCGCGGGCCGAAGGCCGGCCGCCGTAAAAGGAGGGGACCCAAAAAGCGGCCCAAAACAAGCCAAAAATACGGGAATTCGTCTCTTTTTTCCCTCCCTCCACACCACCGCCGGAACACTCGATATACGGAGTTATTTTGCGGCGAAATTAAGAGGCTTTCTTTGGGGATTTTAACAGTCAAAAAATTGTTGAAAATTCTATAAATGGGGAGGTGGATTATGACGTGGGGGATGAGTGGAAGATCTCCAAATTTTTGGAGATTCTTTATTCGCATTTAGAAAAGCAGCAGCTGAGGGAGAACAGGGGAAAACAGGGATTAAGGGGATTTCCAGATATTGCAATTCTTTTTTTTTTGGCTGCGGGAAATGAATTTTCAGTCTGTCGGGAAAATAATGAGCCCAATGTGGGTGCGCCAATCGCGTCGCTGAAGTGAAAAGCGATTTCATTTTGCCGCAACACAATTCATTTTCAACGCAATTTTCCATCCAAAAAATTGCTCATCATTTTCCCGACCGACGGATAATATAGCGCTGTTTTCTCCTGGAGAGCATAGGTTTGCAACAAAACGGTTTTTTTGTTCGGTTATGACATCAGATTACGTGTCTGGCTTTCAGGCTTGGGTCCCTTCCGGCACAATATTCCGGTCAACGCATGGAACGTCTCTTGGTGAGCATCGAAAAAGCGCCGGATGCCAAAAACGTCACGGGCTTGGTGGAGGCGGTCTATGTGGCGAAAGGTAATTACAATCACTTTTAATTTTCCATTTTATTATCTTAAAATATAGATGTTTTTTTTGCAAAATTTTTTTTTTTAATTTGCCTTTAGTCTGTCGGGAAAATAATGAGCACAATGTTGATGCATCGATCGCGTCGCTGAAGGGAAAAAATGGTTTCATCACAATTCATTTTCTTCGGCGGTGATGCGATTTTCGCTGCGACAGAGTGCTCATTATTTTCCCGACAGACCTATACATACATTAGACATGACTCATGTCCCAATGACTTAAATTTTAGTTCATATTTAGTGTACAGGCACAGCTGAGATATTGAACAATTTTCGCAGCCGAGAGAGTACGCGAAACGCGGAGAGCCTTAAGAAAAAAACTTTTTTCTGGGAAGCATTAACAATTTTCCGTCGGAATAGGCACGAAACTATTCCAAAATTCGCATGAAGCCAACTTCTGAGATATCAGTCTGTCGGGAAAATAATGAGCTCTCTGTCGCATCGAAAATCGCATCGCCGCGGAGAAAATGAACAGTGTCGCGGCACAATCAAATTTCTTTTCACTTCAGTGCTACATTGTGCCCGTTATTTTCCCGACAGGTGATAGTTTATATTACAGTGCATGTGTGAAATGACACAAGCGACATTGCGACTGTACGATTTAAAAAAAATTTGTCTAATTTTAAGAATCTACAGTGGCGGACCTGATCCAGTGGCAAAAAACGTACCATTTTGCATCCGGGAAGTATCAAAAATGTGGCAAAATGCCTCCCTCTCCATGTGAAAAAGCTCCGATTTCAAATGCGCGCCCACTTTTTTTGTGAACGAAAGGGCGCGCAGTTCAAAACGGATTTTTTTTAGTTGGAGAGGGAGGCATTTTGCCGCATTTTTGACACTTCCCGGATGCAAAATGATACGTCTTTTGCCACTGGATCAGCTCCCTCACTGTACAATTTTCAGAGTCCATAAAAATCCCGGCGGTTCCGATCCCGGAAAAGCGGAAAAAATGCTTTCACATCTTCGACCTCATCCTCAACTCCAACAAACAAAAGCTGGTCCCACTGGCCGTCGAGGGCCTGCAACAACTTCTCCGGGACTCCGCACTGCTCTCGGAGTCGGCCACAAAAAAGGCGGAGGATTCGCTGTGTTCGCAGATGCTTCGATGCCTCAAGCCGCTGCCCCAATGGGACAAGCAATATCAATGTCAGATCTTAACTGTGAGTTGGCAATCCAGTAATAAATGATTTTTTCTAGATCATTGTGCAAGTCATATCGTTGAATGAAGTGACCGTCAACCTAAGCGATGTGCACGAGGCTTTACAGGTAAGAGCGTTGATGTGTAGCGCTTAATATCAGTCTGTCAGGAAAATAATGACCACAATGTTGCTGCGCCGATTGCGCCGCTGAAGCGAAGAGAAATTTTATTTTGTCATTACACAATTCGTTTTCCTGGTAGCGATGCGATCTTCGAAAAGTCGGGATTCAAAAAGAACCAAAAATTTAGGCTGTTTGTTTGCTAATTCACCCATCTCTTCTGTACAATATCTATGCAGTTTCACAAAGAATATGCGCCTCCTCCGTCGCCGCGCAAAATTATTTCTTGAGTGCAAGAGTTGACCTGTCAAGGAAAGAGTTGACCCATCAAGGAAACACTTGACCCACCTCCATTGCCGCAATCCCTCTATGGAAACGACTGCTTTCAATTGCAGATCTGCACATCCACCTTCTCCAGTGAAGACACGAGTGTTCGACTGGCCGTGCGCGCCGCCATCACCCAAATGCTGAACTCGTTTTGCTCAAACCGGCATTGCAAGATAATCCGGCAAGCGTCCGTTGAATCCATGTGCCAAAGCAACCACAATCAAGAGGAGATTGCGGTCTTCATGGAAATGCAGGCGTTGCTGTCGAAGGTCCACGAAAAGCTCGCATCCGCGCAGTCCGCCGAGGACCTGCAATTGGCGCTGGATTCGGTGTACAGTATTCTCAGCGCTCAGCCGGGGAACTGCTTCAAATACATGCCTTTGTACAATGTTTTAAGGTTGGTAAAATACGAGGCGTTTTCTTAAATAATGACTGACTGATGAACAGCAATTTTGCAGTACTGAACTAGTGCCATCAATGCTGTGCCTTTTACACTCCTCGGACGAACGGCCCCCGCCTGCCAAGTCGCTGTTAAGCCGAACCGCGACGACTCCAGTCAGCCTTACCATTTTCAATTCGCCGGAACTGGCGCGTTCCTTCTACCAGTAAGTTATTTAGTGGCGTTAACGATTAGTTAACGGCCTTACGTTTTGTCTGCACCATGTAAAAAACCTAGTTTTGCACCGCGCAAAAAACCCTATTCTGCACCGTGCAAAAACCCCATTTTGCACCGTGCAAAAATCGCATTCGACACCGTGCGAAAAACCTGATTCTGCACCGTGCAAAAATCCCTTTCTGCACTGTGCAAAAACCCCATTCTGCACCGTGCAAAAATCGCATTCTGCACCGTGCAAAAACCCCATTCTGCACTGTGCAAAAACCCCATTCTACACCGTGCAAAAACCCCATTCTGCACTGTGCAAAAACCCCATTCTACACCGTGCGAAAAGCCTGATTTTGCACTGTTCAAAAACCCCATTCTGCACCGTGCAAAAACCCCATTCTGCACCGTGCAAAAACCCCATTCTGCACCGTGCAAAAACCCCATTCTGCACCGTGCAAAAACCCCATTCTGCACCGTGCAAAAACCCCATTCTGCACTGTGCAAAAACCCCATTCTACACCGTGCGAAAAGCCTGATTTTGCACTGTTCAAAAACCCCATTCTGCACCGTGCAAAAACCCCATTCTGCACCGTGCAAAAACCCCATTCTGCACCGTGCAAAAACCCCATTCTGCACTGTGCAAAAATTACATTCTGCACCGTGCAAAAACCCCTTCCTACACCCTGCGAAAAACCTGACTCTGCACCGTGCAAAGATCGCATTCTGCACCGTGCAAAAACCCCATTCTGCACTGTGCAAAAACCCCATTCTACACCGTGCGAAAAGCCTGATTTTGCACCGTGCAAAAACCCCATTCTGCACTGTGCAAAAATTACATTCTGCACCGTGCAAAAACCCCTTCCTACACCCTGCGAAAAACCTGACTCTGCACCGTGCAAAGATCGCATTCTGCACCGTGCAAAAACCCCATTCTGCACCGTGCAAAAACCCCATTCTGCACCGTGCAAAAACCCCATTCTGCACTGTGCAAAAACCCCATTCTACACCGTGCGAAAAGCCTGATTTTGCACTGTTCAAAAACCCCATTCTGCACCGTGCAAAAACCCCATTCTGCACCGTGCAAAAACCCCATTCTGCACCGTGCAAAAACCCCATTCTGCACCGTGCAAAAACCCCATTCTGCACTGTGCAAAAACCCCATTCTACACCGTGCGAAAAGCCTGATTTTGCACTGTTCAAAAACCCCATTCTGCACCGTGCAAAAACCCCATTCTGCACCGTGCAAAAACCCCATTCTGCACCGTGCAAAAACCCCATTCTGCACCGTGCAAAAACCCCATTCTGCACTGTGCAAAAATTACATTCTGCACCGTGCAAAAACCCCTTCCTACACCCTGCGAAAAACCTGACTCTGCACCGTGCAAAGATCCCTTTCTGCACTGTGCAAAAATCCCATTCTGCACCGTGCGAAAACCTGTTTTTGCACTGTGCAAAAACCTCATTCTGCACCGTGCAAAAATCCCATTCTGCACCGTGCAAAAACCCCATTCTGCACCGTGCAAAAACCCCATTCTGCACCGTGCAAAAATCACATTCTGCTTGAAAAAACGTAATACGTAATATCAGTCTTTCGGGAAAATAATATGCATTTTTCGCAACGAAATGTGTCGCCTCATCGCAGTCGCACAGTAAATCCCCAGCCGTGGCTGGCCGTTGCACAGCGATGATGAGATTTCACGGCGCGACGAATCCATATTATTTTTGCGACAGACTGACATATTTATGATCTCCATCAATTTCTCACATTTTCAGAGTTGTGGAGCAACTTCTCCGTCTGCTGAGTCGTGCGCCGGACGCGGAACCAATGGTTCTGGAGCTTCTGCGGACCGCGATTGTCTTTCCTTCCGTGTCGCGGCGGGGAGAGGCATTGAAACTGTTGAAGCGAACCTTCTCAACACAGTCCAGGTTCCTCGAATTTATGGATCTCTGCGCCAAAGAGCCGCAGTTCTGGCCGCTGATTCTGAGCTGTTTAGAAGAGTGCGTGAAGCAAGGGTCGACGGAGACGGCAATCGACGCGGTCAAGGCGACATCGGCGTTGGTAAGGGCGATAGTTGATAGGAGATGTGCTTCAAGTGCGACGCTCAGATTTTCTTTAAATTTTGCTCAAAATTTGAGCATAGATCAGTTTTTGATGAAATTAGCTCGCGTTTTACTGGAATGGCCGAAATATTGAACGATTTGTGCCGCCGAGAGAGTATGCGAAACGCGGAGAGCGGTCAGAGATATAAAAACACTTTTTGGCCTTATCTTGGCCAGTTTCGCAAGGAAAAAACTGATTTTTAAGGAGACGTTACCCCCTACTGCAGAAATAGGCATGAAACCTTACATGCCAAAATTTGCAAAAAAGTGGTACATAACTTTCGACTTTTAAATATCTCGATCGAATCGGCAAAATGAGAGTCATATGTCTTTAAAGACATTTTCCTAGATTTACGTCAAGCTTCATCAAAAAATTTGAGCACCGCATTTGGAGGCATACTCAAAGTTTTGATGGATCTTAAAAGTCGTTAAAATCACGCTAAATTTTTGTTTTCAACTTTTGTCGAAAACTTTTTTTGCCAGTTATCGGTATGTCGGGAAAATAATGGGCACTCTGTCGTATTAAAAATCGCATTGCCCGGGAAAATGAATTGTGTCGCGTCAAAATCAAATTGTTTTCACTTCAGCGACGCGATTGGCGCATCAAAATTGCGCTCATTATTTTCCCGACGCTGATTTTTAAGCAACTTTTAAAAAACACACAAAAAATTTCAGTTCAACGGTCTGAATGGGCAGTTAAACCCGAAGCTCATGGATCAGCACAACACTCTTGTCTTTGAGATCCTGAAAACTGCCAACAACGCTCGAGGTCATGGACGGGTCGGTGCGGGGATGATTCAAATCTCGCGACAGCGGAAAAAAGAGAAGCTCAACGAGGAGTCAGCAAAGCTGTTTGTAACAAAGTTGAAAGAGAATGTAAAAGCGTGGAGTGAACTGGACATTGCTGAAGACGTGGACAAGAAAATATTAGAGTTTTCGGAGAGCATATCTAATGGTAAAATTTTTTTATTTTTGGATAAAAATGTGACTGTGTTTAGAATTTTCCCAGCTCGAACCGGAAGAAGGAGAAAGTCCGGCGTTTCTGAATACCGATACCGCATATCTCACTACCTACGCTGCTTTGTCGTTTGGTTTGAGGCTGAAGACTTCAGAGCCGGAGAAGGTAAGCAATCTCTCAAATCTTTGCCCACCGGAAGCTGTTGCTCCGACTTTCCTTAACGTTTTTTGAAAGGCTCTGTAAAATTTTCCGAACTTTGTAGTATCAGTCTGTCTTAAAAATAATGTGGATTCGTCGTGCCTTGGAATCGCTGACGGCTGGAGATTTGGAGCGAGAAGGTGCGACGAGGCGAGACATTTTACTGCGAAAAATCCACATTATTTTCCCGACAGACAGTAATGTGTAGCAAGTACATTTTTAGGCCTTTGTCGGTTCGTTAGAACGAGTTTAAAAAAAAATTTGTGTTTAAATAATACACCAGAATTTGCGCAACTGTATGCAATATGCCTTTGATGCATACGACATGATGACTTTTTCTTTTCCTTTACAGGCCCTGTTCTTCGACCAAATCAACGGCTCCGGCTGTATGATCTACGCGAAAGACCAGTGGCTCAACTCGATCTTTGACTACTTGTTAGACGCCGATTTGTTTGACGAAATCCCGGCGCCCGAGAACACTGTGCTCTATCAGGCAGTTGACGACTACGACGGCTACAATGGCCAAAAAATGTCGTTTGTCCGGAAAGAAGAGGAAATAGAAGTGGCCGATGTGCGATATCAGTACTGTAGGTGCCTTTACTCCCGTTATAAATTGCCTGTTTAGTCAGGCAATGGCTGAAGGACATGTTTGCGGCAAGCTGGAGTACAATCCTATACCTCTTGACAAAATTTTCATTGAGTTTGGATCGGAAAAACATGGCCGATAAGATTCAAATCGACGCTACGGAGGCCACATTTGATGCCACATTGTCGCTGATGTATTTGTTGATGAAATTACGTAAGTTTCGAGCTGTGAAGACCAAGTAAAACTAAAAGGAAATAACTCTTAAAGCGCCGCTTATATTTCGATGAAACTTGGCGCAAATTTAAAATCATTTTTTTTTGAGATCTATCCGACACTCTTGGCTAACACTTTTTTAGAAAGGAACGAGATTTTGAGGTCAAAAGTTGTCGGAAATTTGAAATCGGAGTTTTTGAAAACGGAGTTTTTTCACTTGGAGAGGGATGTATTTTGCCACATTTTTGATACTTCCTGTGCAAAATGATACGTTTTTTGCCAATGAATCAGACCCTCCACTGTATGTCCAACGTGTGTGAAAAATTTAAAGAAATTCTGAGGGTCGGAATTGGAGTAATTCGCTTGTAAATTTACCCAGCTGTACATATTAGCGCAACTAAATATTCCAGGCCTCTCATCCGAGCTGATCTGGGTGTTCGAGAGGATCGGCGAGGAGATCTGCCTTCTCGAAGACCTCCGCGAATTCATCTATCAAAACATTGGCCTCGAAACCAAGAAGCCTTGGAGAATCAACCGGATCGACGCGCTTTGCCTGGGCATCCTGCTTGACCACTCCATCGACGTTGGAGTTCTCTCGCCGCAGTCGCTCAAGTACACGGTCCGAGTGATTGAGTACATCGTGGAGTTGGAACGATACTCGTTTCGACTTACAAAGACGGCGAACACAACGTATGACGCGAACGAGACATCGTTGAATGGATTGCTATCCAAGGTCTCGCAGAATGAGCTCTCGTTGGCGACGGTGGGCAGGGTGTTGGATGAGCTGATGCTGAAGATTGATACGTGAGTCGAATTTGGGAAAGTCGCGTCGTGTTTTAAACTTTCTATCGATTTGTTGGAAAAATAATGAGCCTAATGTCGCTGTGCCGATCGCGTCGCTGAAGTGAAAATCAGTTTGATTTTTTTTGCTTCACGATTCATTTTCTCGGCGGCGATGCGATTTTAGATGCTACAGAGTGCTCATTATTTTCCCGGCAGATCGATACGTAGCTTTTTGGGTTGAAAATTTACTGTCTCTTGAGACGCCACTTTTAAGTTAAAAAATAACCGGTTGATTTGCTGTGGAGTCTCTAAGATAATAAATATGAAAACCGCTGATTCCAGCGGCCTCTGTGAGCCGAGATATCGGTCTGTCGGGAAAACAATGTGGATTTTGTCGAGCCTTGGAAATCATCATTGCTTTGCTATCCACGGCTGTAGATTTTCTGTGCGACTACAACGAAACAAAGAAATTTTGCCACGGTAAATCCACATTATTTTCCCGAGAGACTGATAATCAACCAGAAAGTTTGACCTGAACCAGTTTTTCCTTCGGTTTTCCGATATTGTATGTTGAAAAAGCGCTTTCAGTTTCTTCGACACCGCCTCGAAGAGCCTAAACCTTCACGCTCTCTGTCACCTTCTTAAATTCCTCTGCACCGCCGATGAAGACAACCTCCGGAACATTGAAATTACACAGTCTAAAAACGCCGTCGATGTCATAATCTCCAGCTGCGCGTTGCCGCGAATTTCGCGGATTGTAACGGGTTCAGTCCAGGGCAGACCGCAGATCCACTTGATGCGAATCTGGGGTGCTGTCAAAGAGCATTTGGTTGAGGTGGGTTAACATGCCTAAGGCAATGTTTTCAAATTTAGGCCGCCTCCTCCAAATACCCGGTCGAAATCAACAAGTTGGCCTTGTCCGCGATTTACGATATCATTCGCGCCATGTTGAACAGCGAGACGAATGGCTCAACGTTTTCGCAAAGCCTCTTCAACGCGTATTTGGATATTGTGTGCTTCAATGTTTGCAATGAGGAGACTCAAGAGCACGTGGTCTCGAACCTGGCCACCTTCATCGAGGACAGCCCGGATCAGCTGGGAAGCGGCTGGAAACCGTTGTTCGGAGCGTTGAAGGCGATCCGAATATCTCCGGCGAAGGAGGCTGGTAAGCATTTTCGTTGCCTTAAGATTACTTCTTACGGTTTTTAGCGGACGATGAAGTTGTATATTCTCCATTGACATCAGCCAACTACGCTGTACTGGATGTGTTCAAGAAGTACATGAGCATTACGGATGGAGAGATTGTGCTGCCGACGGCAATGGAGTTCATTCATTGTATGGTTCATTACCTGCAGTCTACGGATGGACTGGATCAACGTAGGTTTTTCGCTGAAAGCTAGGGAATCTTGACGCGAAATCAAGGCCACATTGCGATGATGATATTAGCATTTTCACAAAGTGCCTGGACATTTTTTCGCCCTCGCACAGTGCATCTTGAATTTTTGTCGCCAACGCACTGTGGATTTTGCAAACCTCAAAAAGACCGTTTGCACTGTGCGAATTCTCGCGGCGACGCAGTTGAGAATAGCTTGTGTCGCAGCGATATTTCAAATTCACAGTGCAAAGCCAAAAAAGCTCAATGCACGGTGCACGTCAAACTGAGGAGTCCGGTGACCGGAATAGACTCTTCGCTATCGGTTTTTTACACTTCGTCTTGATTTCGCAGAGAAAGAGAGAAAAAAGACAGGCAAAATCGTACTCTCTCGCCCCAAAAATTCCCCATTTCTTCCCCGACAAAACGTTTTTTCGCGTCTTTTTTTGGCAAATTACCAATCCATTCACCGGACTGTTTTAGCTTATCTCAGTTTGACGTGCGGTGCAAAAAATCTAGGGCTTGTGGCACACGCCGCGACAAATGTCCAGGCACTTTGTGATTCACTCTGTCGGGAAAATAATGAGAACTCTGTTGCATTAGGAATCGCATGGCCGCCGAGAAGATGAATAGTTTAGTCTGTCGGGAAAATAATGGGCAAAATTTCGAAAACAGTACGGGGTGTTTTTTGTGTATAGTATGGTGCAAGCCGCGACAAATTCCTATGCACTTTATGAAAATACCATCTGTCTGTCGGGAAAATAATGAGCACAATGTCGCTGGGCCGCTCGCGTCGCTGAAGTGAAAAGCAATTTGATTTTGACCGCGACACAATTCATTTTCTCGGCGGCGATGCGATTTTCGATGCGACACAGTGCTCATTATTTTCTCAACAGACTGATAGGAAAGTTTTATCAATTTTTTGCCCAATTTATCCACTGATATCGACCGTTTTTGCTTCTTTCAGTACCTCAAGACCCGGACGCAGCGCCCTCCAAGGAGAGTCAGCGAGACACGGCGATTGGAGAGACTGTATTCTCATTCATCAACGTTCTGCAAGCCCGTCTTATTGGCTACTTCAACAACCCCTCCGTCCGACCGGTTCCGTCGTTACTCAGTCGACTTCAACATCGGGAACAGGCCTTGGAATTCTGTGACCAAAGCCGAATGGATGAGAAATTGGAAGAGTTGACGGATCTGGCAAATTATCTGCAAGAGGATCAAACTTTCGGTGTGGATCCTTCGAAACTGAGTTATCGCTTGGCTAGTAAGTCTTATTTATTGTATCATTGGGAAGATCAGGCAGAATGAATCAGTTTTCACGGCCAAAAAGAGGGGCGTTTTGGGTAAGGTTTGTATAGAGTGCGCGGGCACGTTTTCCTTTCATCGCGAAGTCGCCCACGCACCGTGCAATTTGCTGGTTTTCGCACAGTGCAAACTTGGAAAAGCGGTTTGCACTGTGCGAATGATTCGCCAAAACCGCAGCGACGTAGTTGGAAAAAGCTTGCGTATCGGCGATAATTTGATGCACCGTGAAAGAACTAATGGTGCACTGTGCAAATTAGGGTCTGCACCGTGCATTTTGCCACTCGGCAAAAGGTCTACGCACTTTATGAATTTTTGGTACCTCTTTCTCTCAAGGGATTGGGCGTGGGAAAAATCTATGCGAGGAGGGACCAAGGTAATTCTGGTGACAAGAAACTCTTCTGTGGCAAATAAAACCGTTCCCACAAATTTTGGATCAGCCATGAAAGTTGCGGATCCCTTACTTAGCCACATCTTTGACTATGATTTTTTTTCAGGAAAGTCCCTACAACTTCCTTGGACGAACTGGACGGACACTCAAAAATGCGTCGCCGAACTCCTTGTCGGTTTCATCGACGAACTTTGTGGCCTTTTGTTGACCTGTTCGCGTCAAATCCTCTCAACTTTACTTGTGCAATTCACTGACTTTGTCAAAGCCATATCTGACTCGCCTTTAGGTAAGATTTAGCCTTCTTTCTGCTATTATTTTTTCATAAAGTGCATGGACATTTTTTCTTGTCGCACAGTGCATTTTGAACTTTTTTCCAGGCTTGTCGCCAATGCACGGTGCAGTTTTTCTTTTCGCACAGTGCAAACTCAAGAAGAGCCTTTTGCACTGTGCAAATTTCTGGCGCTGTCGCAGCGACGTGGTTGAAACGTGCTTTTTATCGCTTGCGATATTTCGTTGCACGGTGCAAAAAACAAAGAAAAAAATGGAAACGGTGCAGGAATCCTTCAATTGCGACCCAAAATGGGGTAAAGCGACACCGCACGTCAAACTGAGGAGTCCGGTGACCGGAATAGACTCTTCGCTATCGGTTTTTTACACTTCGTCGTGATTTCGCAGAGAACGAGAGAAAAAAGACACGCAAAAGCGTACTCTCTCGCCCCAAAAATTCCCCATTTCTCCCGCGACAAAACGTTTTTTCGCGTCTTTTATTGGCAAATTGCCAATCCATTCACCGGACTGTTTTAGCTTATCTCAGTTTGACGTGCCCCGTAGTGAAAATTTTAAAATTTTTTTGGGAAAAACTTGGTTTAGGGGTTCTCGAGGGTGCTGATTTCGAAAATCGTGTTCATTTTTGCTGAAAAAGCCCCGGAAATGGACTTAATGCTTGATTATGATGGGGTTAAGACACATTATTTAGGCCAGGTCGTCACACGAGTTTGGGGAATAGGTCGGGAGCCAGTGAAGTTCAGAAAAAATGAAGACGATTTTTGAAATCAGCAGTCTAGAAAGCCCCTAAACCAAGTTTTTCCTCAAAAAAATCAAAAAATTTTTACCCCGGCGTCGCCTTACCCCATTTTGGGTCGCAATGTAATTCCACAATGCAAAATTGGGGTTTTTATGCACTATGCGGGCCACGACAGATTTCCGTGGACTCTAAAAATAAATGAAATTCTTACATTACTGCCAATTTTAGGAGTCGACTTTAGTATTTTCATCATCTGCGCCACAATCATCCCGTCATTGCAAAAATGGTCCCGTCGGGAAGTCGATGGCTTCGTTCCTTCCAGCCAGATCTCGGTTAGCGCAAGGAATTTGAAACAAGCCGCCACGGTGGTGACGGAAATGGTTGGGGAAATCATAAGGTAAGACTAGCAAAAATTTATTCTAACTTTATTCGACTATTTTTTAGCAATGCCCCATCAAATCCGTCAAGTGAAGCCCTTGCATATGATATTTTCTCTTTTTTCAACGAACTTTTATCCCATTCATCGCCATTTGTCGCTGGAACTGGAAGCGCTTGCTTCCGACATCTGGTCAACTCGTTCGGCAAGGACTTTGAGGAGAATGTCTGGGAAGTCGTGTGTTCGTCGTTGTGGAAAGCAATGTAAGCTGGCGAATGCGTAATATAATTCGGCATGAAAGGTTGAATTGTGGACGAACTTTTCACTATCCGCATTCAGTCTTTCGCTGTCCGCAATTGAGAATTTTTTCCGGTCCGCACTTCCTTCTACTGTCCGCAAACACGGTTTTCGATGGCACTGATTTCGAAAATCGTATCCATTTTTTCTGAATTTTACAATTTCGTATTTTGCAGTAAAAAATCAAAAAATACTTCTGATGAGAGTGGGATTCGAACCCACGCCTCCGAAGAGACTGGTGCCTTAAACCAGCGCCTTAGACCGCTCGGCCATCTCACCACAATAACCGAGGTTATGATTTACTTTTTCGATTTGAAGAGGGGGCCCTATTCATATGTAAGAAAACTCCCATAGCTTTGAAAGCGGTGGAATTCAAATAATTGTTGTCCCATTCGTGTTGTCAATGTAGGGACCAGGGGTTGTCAATGCAGCATTTCGGTTGAAGAATAGTTATTGTAATTGGCAAATTTCAGCGGTTTGGAGTTTTTGTCTAACGGGCGAGAAATCCCGGGTTTCTGCGAAAAGTATAGTGCCCGACAATTAAAAGTGAAGTCTCGATTCTGAGCCCGATATTGCCCTGAGGCACAAGGTGTTCCCCTAGGCCTCTTCGGTACCCTACGCCGATACAGAGTGCCAATTTTCATACATGTGCACTTTAAACGCACTGTGCAACGGGCGATTGAAAAATTTTTGGGCGACAATTAAAAGTGAAGTTTTTAATTTTTGGACTTACCTGACCTTTTGAGGGATCTGTTGGGACGGAAACCGTGCAGAGACATAGTCAGGGTTACAGTGAAGAGCCCTAGACACAATTTTCGAAAATTATCCAAATTTTTTATGGTACCATTTCCCGGCATCAAGACGCGGGGTTTATGTGCCACAAAACGGGGCGTTTAGGCACAATTTGTTGTAAGACTGGTAATTTTATGATGCTGAATACATTTTCTGACTATCTTCATACAAATAATGCTGTGAGTTTGTCAAATTTTGGCCCGCTTCAAAGCGTGCTTATCGACAACGGTACTAGTCAAGGAGAATATCGATGCAATTTCGAAAGATGTGTCTAGGGCTCTTCACTGTAACCCTGACTATGTCTCTGCACGGTTTCCGTCCCAACAGATCCCTCAAAAGGTCAGGTAAGTCCAAAAATTAAAAACTTCACTTTTAATTGTCGCCCAAAAATTTTTCAATCGCCCGTTGCACAGTGCGTTTAAAGCGCACATGTATGAAAATTGGCACTCTGTAACGGCGTAGGGTACCGAAGAGGCCTAGGGGAACACCTTGTGCCTCAGGGCAATATCGGGCTCAGAATCGAGACTTCACCTTTAATTGTCGGGCACTATAAATAAGAACGCTCGCACCTTATACATATGCATAGGGTTGTTTATTTTACCAACCCTTTCAAATCAAAAAAGTAAATCATAACTTCGTTTATTGTGGTGAGATGGCCGAGCGGTCTAAGGCGCTGGTTTAAGGCACCAGTCTCTTCGGAGGCGTGGGTTCGAATCCCACTCTCATCAGAAGATTTTTTTTGATTTTTTTATTGTAAAATACGATTGATTTTATCTGCAAACAATTTTATATTGATATGACAACCACTGTGTTGCGGCAAGTCCACATTATTTTCATGACAGACTGCTATAGAGTCCGTGATTTATTTTACCAAACCGAAAAAGTAAACCATAGCCTCGCTTGTTGTGGTGAGATGGCCGAGTGGTCTAAGGCGCTGGTTTAAGGCACCAGTCTCTTCGGAGGCGTGGGTTCGAATCCCACTCTCATCAGATTTTTTTTCCTTTTTTACTAACAGGGGAAGTACTCCAAGTGCGACGCTCAGATTTTCTTTAAATTTTGCACACACGTCGGGTATGGACTAAATATCAATTCCTGAAAGTTTTAGCTCGCGCTTTACGGGCGCCGCCGAAAAAACATTATCCTTTACGGTAGAAATCGACATGAAACTTTTCTTGCCGAAATTTGGCAAAAAGTCCAAAATTTTTGCCGACTTTCGATCTAAAAATCTCGGTTGTTTCTGCAAAGCGCGAGCTAGGATTCTCGCATATGTCTTAGAAAAAATTATTCTAAATTTGTGCCAAGTTTCATCAAAATATGAGCGTCGCACTTGGAGCACTTCCCTCGTAAATAAGCAATTTTAAATAACAGAAACAATATACATATTTTCCACGACAAATCCCCTAAAATTCTCTTCAATTTCCTTTTCTTTACAGACCTTTTTTCAGCTGCCTCAGCCTCATTCCCATCCGCAAATTGATAGCCAAATTTGTCCCTAACTCGGTGGACCTGAACGGCGATATTGGAGAGGTGCATGTGGTTGTGAAGGAAAACTGCCGCCAGCTAGACCTAACGGAATTCAAGATCATGTGTCATCAGATTTTCCAAATCGAAAGCACCAAGTCTCCGCAAAACAAGAGCATTGATCTGGAAGTGGAGATGAGCAAAATACAGTTCAACTATGTCTTCGTTTTTCGACCAAAAGGAACGGAAAAAGTCGCTCAGGCTGATCGGTAAGTAAAGTTATTTGCATGGGAGGTGGTCCAAGTGGGGCGCTTAGATTTTTTAAATATTTGGCAGGGATTTCGGGCATAGGCTACATATCAACTCCTGAAAATTTTAGGTCGCGCTTTGCAGGCACAGCCGAGATATTGAACGATCTTTGCGGCCGAGAGAATACGCGAAACGCTGAGAGCGGAAAGATTTGTTTTTTTTGTGGAAACCTTACCCTATACAATAAAAAGAGACATGAAACTTTTCAAGACAAAATTTCGAAATTAAAATTCTCTTTTTTACCAACTTTCGACCTAAAAGTCTCGGTCTTTTCTGCAAAGTGCGAGTTAGGGATCTGGCGTATGTCTTGGAAAGACTTAGTCTAAATTTGCGCCGAGTTTCATTGAAATCTGAGCGTTTTATTTAGCTTATTTTCCCTGTGAGTCGTGATAATAATGATGGTCACGAAAGTTCTCGGCTTTTTTTAATACATGGAAACATTTTCCCTGCCTAACTTATACAAAATGTACGTATATTTTCAGAGCGGTCTCAATGGACGAGATCATCTCCGGCCTGATGTCAGCGCAAGCCCTCCTTCAGCTCTTCTCTCAACTCCTGGTTGGCCAAGTTCACTCCTCCCAATTGGGTGAATCCATCACTCGAACACTCTCCTGCCCACAGGGCGACAAACCGCTGGCCTCGGCGTTATCTCAAAAGCAATTGGGAGTCCTCGTGGCATGCCTGGATGGGATTAACTGTGTCGCTGACGAGTTCGACGTCCGCCCAGCGCTCAAATATCTGCTGCAAAAGCTGATCAATGGCGATCAGCCCGCCAATCTGTATCGACTGTCCGTGGCGAGCAAGGCGATCAAACTGCAGACGGTTTTTGAGCTGGCAAAGCAAGGAGAGCCGACAAAGTAGGTGGCGAGGAATTTGTGGATGTTGTCAAGTTAAATTTCCTGATCCAGTGGCAAAAAACGTACCATTTTGCATCCACGAAGCATCAAAAATGTGGCAAAATACCTCCAGTTCCAAGTGAAAAAACTCAGATTTCAAAAGCGCGCCCGCTCTTTTTGTGGGCGAACCCTTCAAAACGATGTTTTTTCACTTGGAGAGGAAAGTATTTTGCCACATTTTTGATACTTTCCGGATTCAAAATGGTACGTTTTTTGCCACTGGATCAGGTCCCCCACTGTACGTCAAAATACCGTTCGAAAAATGACCGACGTATCAAAAAGCGGGGCTTGGCAATTGACAAGGAAAGTACTCGAAGTGCGACCCTCAAATTTTGTTACAGCTTGGCACAAAGTTGGATTATTTTTTTCCAAAGCGTATTCCAGATGTCTGGCTTGTGCTGAGCAGACGACCGAGATTTTTAGAGCGAAAGTCGGCAAGAAATTAAACACTTTTGCAATTTTTGACGTGGAAAGTTTCATGCCTTCTACCGTATAGAGTAATGTTTTTGGGGGACTTGTTAGACTCCGATAAAACCTCAAACAACAGAAATATTACAAATAAGAATTTTTAAAGAGATTTCAAGCGTTTAATATCCCAAATAACGCCCTATTCGGCGGAGAGTTCGCAGAGCAGACAGTTGTTCGTCGCACGACCATTCTTGCTGGAAACGCTGTTTCAGTTGATTGAGTTTGTCGTCGGCTTCTTGTTGAGTCTTTTCCGATGCGAATTTTTGTTTGTCCGGCAAAGCGGATATTTGGTGATTAGTGTCGGCCACAAAAATTCTGCAAGAAAAGTGAATATTATGTCATTACTTGCTTATAACCAATTAGTACTGTAAAGTAGGATTTTTTTAATTTTTTTCATAAATACTCGATAAAGGGGTTTTCGATGGTGCTGATTTCGAAAATGACATTCATTTTTTTCTGATTTGAAAGCAGCACCATCGAAAACCCCTAAATCGAGTATTCATGAAAAAATTCAAAAAATTTCCACTTTATAATACTACATAAAGAAAAAAGTAACGATCAAAAAAATGCTATTTTCGAAATCAGCACCCTCGATTATCTTAATTTCGGCACTTGCATCGAAGAAAAATAATACTTTTCGGTTTCCCCAATCGTCCCAGTTCCACTTACCTCATATGAAACAAAAACTGCGCTAACGGCGGGCGCTTCCTCCGGAAGAATGCGGCTAGTGATGAATGGAAATCCTCGATGAACTTCGAAATCGGCGTTGTTTCAGAGCGATATTGCGTGAAAAACTTTTTCCCCAGCGGCCCATCCACATAGGTCGCAAAGAAGGACAGTACAAGCTGTTTCAATTGTCGAATTATTTTCCGACTATACCGATTTTCTTTTCTCTGAACGTACTCTAGAATCACCGCTTTAAGCGATTCGTATTGCCTCCGCTTTGTGTGTTGTAGTCCTCCGAGCGTCCGGCACACTTTTTCCACGATTGGAAAGTGTTCGGTTTTTAGTCGCTTAAAACGCGATTTCCCCAATTCCTCGAGCAGAGCCTGCTTTAGAAGAAAGACGCATAGCACCGGCTGTACGGACGGGAAGACCTGTAAAGGAATATCGGTGATACTAGTCTGTCCGGGAGGTGGTGGTGTGTTGTCTCAGAACATACGGTTATACATAACACTTACCATGGCGAACGCTTTGACGGATGCGGTTTCGTATGGAAAGTGGGCTGTTCTCCATTCAATAGTTAGTCCAGCTTCTTGCAAAAGAGATTTCAGCGCTCTGCAGAGAGGAGATTCAAATATAAGGTAAAAAAAAGCATGGCACGTCAAGATTTTGCGCTCAAAGGGTTATCCATCAACACAAAACTTGGAATTTTGTTTTCCGCTTATGAAAGAGTCCAAAAATCCGTCTCAATGACGTTTTTTGGACAGACGAAAGGCGAAATATTGCGTAAAATGAAGAGATTTTGCATCTCGAAACTGAATCATATGATTTTTTTCGATTTAGGTTCAAAAGATCCCCCTTGTTTCAGACTATGTTTCCATCAAACTTCAACCAGGGTCGAGGGAAACTCTTGGAGAAATCGGCAAAATCGCCAAATTTTTTAGGCTTTGTTAGTTTAGGCTTCAAACAGATAGCTGACGACCCATTTGTTATATGAAAGAGGGCGACAGGTTATCGTTGGAGCAAAAATTTAATTTTTGAGCTAAAACAGAATGCCAAGGATTTTTCATTGCTTGAGCGCCTTTGCTCGATTTTTTCTTGACGCGCATAGCCGAAGGAAATTATTGTAGTAGCAACTTACATAAACAGTTTTCTGTACACACTATATGATTTCTTTTTCATGGGGGCCAAAAACATTGGCAACACGTCACTTTCAACATTTCCAAAAATGCTCAACAGCTGTAGGTATCCTGTGGGGCAGAAATCGTAGGTCCCAGCAATAAATATCTCTGTGGACCCCGCAAGAGCCTTTAAATGCGTTTCCGTTGTGAGAAGGAAGAAGTTTGGTTGCGGTGTCCGGATCCATGGCTCGTTTATTCCTTCAGAATCTGCAAGTATCATTGCTATTAGCCTGTCGGAAAAAATAATGAGCACAATTTCGGTGCGCCGGTCGCGTCGCTGAATTGAAAAGAAATTTGATTTTGCCGCAACACAACTCATTTTCTCGGCGGCGATGCACGTCAAACTGAGGACTCCGGTGACCGGAAAAGACCCTTCGCTATCGGTTTTATACACTTTGTCTAGATTTCACAGAGAAGTCAGAGAAAAGACGCGCAAAAATGTACTCTCTCGTCCAAAAAAATCCCCATTTCTTCCCCGACTAAAAGTTTTTTCGCGTCTTTTTTGGCGAATTGCCAACCAATTTACCGGACCGTTTTAGCCTATCTCAGTTTGACGTGCGATGTGACTTTCGATTCGACTGTTTTTTCTTACTTGTAATTGAAGAGAACTCCTTGGTTTTCACGTCATCACTTTCGACCAACTCTTCCACGGAGCTAATTTTAGGATATCTCGAGGAAAGGGATCTCGAAATTGCTTTTGTCATCCTTTTCTGTTGTTGTGAGATATCTTCGTTTGAACCGTTCATGGCTTCATTACCGGCATATTGCTGAAGTGTTAGGGTCACCTTGTTTGAAGCGGATTGATCAGTTTCCGGTCCGCATTCACCTATCGTATTCAGCAGCTCTTTTTCACATATTGTATTCAGCAGCTCATTTCGTTTCGATCTTCCCATCTCGACGTCGAGGAGTCGAGGCTCGCAGTAGTGTCGGAGTTCGTGTGGGTTGCCCTCCCACACTCCCGTTGTCATATTCCTTGCGCACCCTTGAAGCGAGTCCACGATGATCCGGCCGTCCTTCAACGAACGGCAACTCGCACAGACATAGCGGACAATCGTTTGTTGGTTCCTCTTCCACTGGCCACCATTCGTTAGTACATAACAACGCGTCTTATCAGCTGGGTGCTCCAGAATAAGTTTTGTTTTGAAGTGTCGCTTTGTTGATGGAACTGTCATTGCTCGAATGTTGGGATTTGTAGGATTTAGTGGGCTAAAAAAGGGTTCATTAGTACTACAGTGGGGGACCTGATCCAGTGGGAAAAAACGTGCCGTTTTGCATGCAGGAAGTATCAAAAATGTGGTCTTTTTGTGAGGGAAGGGCGCGCCTTTCAAAACAAAGTTTTTTTTCACTTGGAGAGTGAAGCATTTAGCCACATTTTTGATGCTTCCCAAGTGCAAAATGGTACGTCTTTTGCAACTGGATCAGGTCCGTCATTGTAGGCGCAAAAAGTCCTGAGAATTTATTGAGTCCATCGGTCAGTCGAGAAAAAAATGTGGATTTGTCGCAGCAAAATTTCCGCCTTATCGCAGTCGCCAAATCCCCAGCCGTGGCTAGCCACCGCTTGTTTTTTGATAGGCGATTCCAAGGCTCGACAAATCCATATTATTTCCCCGACAGACGGATATAGTAATGCGTGCGTTGGACGGAACATACCCGAGTTCTTGTTCAATCAAGCGGTTCGAATCATGAATAGAACCGGGTGTTTGGTGGGAATCCTGATTTGACTCCATATTATATCCTGCAGGCATCGGATGGACTTCTCGATTTGGCTCTGACGATTCCATTTGTGTAACCTATACGCGCGAACTGGAAAAAACCTTACACATTAGTTTGGCCTCAAAACGAATGCGAAAAGTGTCTTGCACATGAAGTGGGCTGCCCTCTCGAAGCAAGTCCCTGGAAATCGCGTGCAAGCCACTTCGCGTGTGCCGCGGTTCCCACTTCGCGTGCCCTGCGAATTTTGAACGAAGCTTTGAGGGGGTTCCTTATATATACAGTGCGCGACAAAATTATAACCGCACTTTAGAAATTGCTGTAACTTTTTTGGTTGTCAATAGAAATGTGTGATATTTGGCTCTAATATGCACTAATGTCTCACGAATCATGTGCCAAAAAATTATTTCGGGAGATTTCCCCAATTTTGAAAAAAATTGAAAAAACCAAAATTGTGGTGATTTTCTATGCGACAAAATCATAACCGCACTTACTTATTTGGTTAATTAGCCTAACTAAATCACTGAATAACAATAACTAATGTTTAGTTACAGTGTCTGAGGCTTCAATAACGTCGATTAAATAGCCGGGAATACTATGGTCAAATTTTTTTTAACCTCTTCTGGCTAATATTGTACCAGAATCGAAAAAGTGCCTATTTTAGCTCAGGTAGGCCGTTCGGACAGAGTTTGCCAGTAACTAACTGACTAACCCAGGAGCCTATAACACATCTATACGTTCTGGGAAAAAAGGTGTACCACTGCAGCAGAGCAAGGGCGTATATATCCGCCGAGTTTCCAACTCCAATTTCCCTTGGGCTCATATAAACTAAGAAATAGGCTACAATTGTAGCAGTAAAGCTATGCTGGAGGTTGTAAGACACAGCTACGTCATGACTGGGCGTCATATGAAGTTGTGGCCTCAGCTGGCCGAGTCCACGGCAGAACGCGGCCGAGATTTGCCAAGGTGACATTGGCAAAATAGGTTGATCAGTTAAAGGTTAGTTTAACATCATTACAGTGCCAAAATCCTTGAAGATTTTATGGCCAAATGATGTACCTGCCGGCTTCACACATTGCCTACATTACAGACGAAAAACCAAAAGAGAAAGAGCGTTGTTTTCCGCGCCGTAGCGTTTCAGGTGGCTAGTTGATGATTTGGAGCAACTTCCAAGAACCGAAGCGCTTTCGTTGGCGGTCACATCAACTCAAATAAGTATCCTTGAGTACTAGGGAGTCTTAGGCAAGCATCTGGTAACGTATTGGCAATCCGGCTACACGTTAATGCAGGGTAGTGCTCGCGTATACCTTAGCTGGTCGACAAAGCTGTTCCTCAAACAGCAAGGAATTGCTACCCCGAAGGAGCCTATGCGTTCCTTGGATTTATATCCTATAGAGAACGTGTGGGGCTTCCAGGTTTGCTAACCAACACCCATTATTTTACAGTAACTGAGCTAAAATAGGCACTTTTCCGATTCTGGCACAATATTGGCCAGAAGAGGTTAAAAAAACTTTTCCCAGAGTATTCCCGGCTATTCAGTCGACGTTATTGAAGCCTCAGGCAACGTAACTAAACATTAGTTATTGTTATTCAGTGATTTAATTAGGCTAATTAACCAAATTCGTAAGTGCGGTTATAATTTTGTCGCATAGAAAATCACCAAAATTTTAGTTTTTTCAATTTTTTCCCAAATTGGGGAAATTTCCCGAAATAATTTTTTGGCACATGATTCGTGGGACATTAGTGCATATTAGAGCCAAATATGACACATTTCTATTGACAACCAAAAAAGTTACAGCAATTTCTAAAGTGCGGTTATAATTTTGTCGCGCACTGTAATATATGTGTTAGTATATGTATTATGAGAATTCGATGTAATTTTTTAAAGTTTACAGGCGTAGTACCCCAAGTGCGACGCTCAGATTTTGATGAAACTTGGCATAAATTTTGGAATAATGTTTTCTAACAAGGAAAGTACTTCTATGGGGTATGGAGTTACAGGTCGAGACATAGCAAAAAAATTGCAAAACTTTTCTGATTCAGAATATGTAAAAATTTGCAGCCCAATTTTGGTTTGTAAGGGCGAAAAAAATCTCACAACTTTTCTGGCAACACTAAAAACATGCTGCATAAAGTGAAGCCCTTGTAGAACGAAACTTGGCTATAACTAAAAAAAGTCAAATTTGCAGGTTTATCGGTCTGTCGGGAAAATAATGAGTTCTCTGTCGCATCGAAAATCGCATCCCCGTCGAGAAAATGAAAACAAAATCAAATTGCTTTTCACTTCAGCGACGCGATCGGGACAGCGACATTCTATTCATTATTTCCCCAACAGACTGATAGCGTTTTCACAAAGCAAACCGTAGATTTTCTTGCGGCCATGACGAAATGTCATACTGCTTCTGGCCCAATTTTGGTTCATAATTATGCCATGTTTTGCAGAGACGACGTCGCCAAAGTCTCGAAAAAACAAGGAGCCTCCAATCCGAACTATCGCTACATCCGTCTCGTCGATCAGCTCGTCGAGAAGGCGTTTGATCAGCTGGAAGAGCTGGAACTTCAACTGGCCGGCAAGTCGTCCATCCGGGATCGGTCCGACTTTGAATGCGCAAATCTCGGGAAATCGGGGTCATTTGGGAGTGAGGAGAGCGCCCCATGCACTCCAATGAGTCCACGGGCCAATCCATTCGTCAAGAAGATGAACATCAAACCAATGAATTCCGTGGAAAGTGTGGATGGAATGCAGGTAAGGAGGAGAAAAAGCTTTCAAAATTCAAAAAATCGCGATCTGTAACTTTAATAAAAAATTACAGTACTCCAAGACCAGTTGGGCGATATAAATCAAATTTTGAGTGAGTAAAAAGCAAGGATATAGCAAGATCTTGTGAAAATTTCAGGCAGCGCTAAGCAGAAACCGCACAGATATGAGATTTCAGAATTCAAAAAATCTCGGTTTTAGAAAATTTTATGTTAAGAAAGTAGCAAAAACGGGATTTTTTGAATCTCAAACGACAATAACTACGCTGTCTATAAAAAATATGATTTCAGATTTTGGCAGTATAATCAATTTATGATGTTTATTCATACTATATTTTTAATTTTTTAAAATTTTCAAAAACCGACATTTTTTTGAATTTTGAAAGCTCATATCTCTGCGGTTTCTGCATAACGCGGTCTGAAATTTTGACAAGATCTTGCCATATCCTTGCTTTTTTCTCACTCAAAATTTCATTCATATCGCCCGAGTAGTCTTGGAGTACTGTAACTTTTTATTAAAATAGCACAATACTATCATATAAGCCTAATTTTTCAAATTCCAGAAAACCCAACTGTCGGATCTGGACCTTCGAGCCATTGCGCAATCCGAGGTGGTGGCCATTTTAATTGAACGAGTTGCCGCCGAAGATACCATCGTATTCCGCAACTTTTTGCCATTGTTTTTGCCGAAAATCCGAAAATTGATGAAGATTTGTCCGGCGAAACGCGCTCGTTTTGCTTGCTCGGAATTTTTGGATCGACTGGACAAGGAGTGGGAGATCACTTCGTAGAATCGTATTTTAGAAATTTATTTTTTTTTTCATTTTTTTTTACTACTGTAAAAATAATTTTTCCCACCGAAAAATTTTAAAATCTACTGTAATATCAATTTTGTGGTTAAAATTGAAAAATACGAAAAGATTGTGAGTATTTATTGCTAGTATTTATTTAGTTTCACAATAAAATAAATGCCCTCTTTTGGCGGAATTTTTGGAGAGAAACGAAGAGAAAGGAGGGCCGTGGTGAGATGGCCGAGTGGTCTAAGGCGCTGGTTTAAGGCACCAGTCTCTTCGGAGGCGTGGGTTCGAATCCCACTCTCATCAGAAAGGCTTTTTGATTTTTTTTATTGTAAAATACGTTCACTTTTGCCTTCGAAGAATTTATAAGGTACCAAAATTATTCAATAAATTTATTTTACGACTTAAAAACTATTTTTTTAATTCAAAAATCTAATTTTTCTTTCCTTTTTTGCCCACAGATTTTTCGCCGTCGTCGCTACTGCTTATTTCTGCATAAAAGTTCTCTCGAGCAATCTCCTGGATATCCACAGGCTTGGAATTGATCGTGTCGTACGCTCCACCTAAAAATAAACTCAAATAAAATCAAAAAAAAAAATTATTTTTGGTCCCACCACGACTGTTTTCAAAAACTTTTCTTACCAGTTTTGAACGCCAATCCACAGCACATGACCAATCCTCCCAAAAAACAGGTCGTAGCAAACGCCAACAAGTGCAAAAACAACGTTCCGGACTGTTCGAAGCCCCGGCTTCGGAATATGGTATAGTCGATCGTGTCTTTGAGGCCCTCTCTGAAGCTCGCCACTTGCTCTGCGCTCTCAAAAATCGGGATGCGGACCGCTTTGTGGGCCGGATTCAACGAGTTGAGTGCCTTTTGAGCCGCTTCCACATCGTGGCCGGGGATATTCTTCTCCTCGTCGAAGCTCTTGTAGTCCACCAGGTAGTAGCACTCGCTAAAAGCCGTAAACCGGCGACTTCTCCAACTTACTCCGTCTTCTGATCCACCACAACTCCATATCCCTTGCTTTTGGTCGAGATGAGCACAACGATGCCCTCATAGAAGACTGCCGGATACCAAAAGTCCAGTTGGGAGGTGAAGTAGTCATCGCCATAGACCATGCCTCCGTACTGGAAGAAATTTTCAAAATGATGTCAGTCTGTCGGGAAAATATCGAACGCTTTGTCGCTGCGCCAATTGTGACGAGGCAAGGCCAAAATTTCAACGACAAATCCACATTATTTTCCCGACAAATTTATACTAGGCGGACCAAAATATCTTGACATTTCTGCACGGTGCGCCCTTGCGCAAAAAATTTGACGCACGGAGACGAGTAAAATTCACGATGCAGGGCGCAGCTCGCGTCTTCGGCGGAGCTCGAAAACAAGATGAAACTTAGCGGAAAACTATCCTTTTTCTGGCGCCGCGCTTTGCAGCTTGCGCCCCGGTTTCCCTGCAGACTGCGAATAAAAGTAGGAAACAGCCTAAGCCTAACCTGCCTAAGCCTGAGACTAAGCCTAAGCCTGAGGCTCAGCCTAAGCCTGAGGCTAAGCTAAGCCTGAAATTCCTACGTGTTTCTCAAATTCCTAACCATGTTTCGCAGTCAGCAAAAGTTGTGGGCGCGAACCGGAAATTCTTGCTTTTCGGCGGGGCCAGAAAAAGGATAGTTTACCAACTTAGCTCCGCCGAGCCGTGAAACGTTGTTTTCCGAGCTTTTTTTAACCCGCCTACTATCAAATGCCTTACTTTTTTGGCATGAGCCCGATGATAAAGTTCCCTTTGATGGAGGGCCGGCTTCAAAAATGGGCACACTTCCTTCGTCTCGGCATCATTTGCGTCACACGTTCCGAGGTCTGAAAACAATGCTAATTTTATGAGAAGTCATTTTTACCCGTTGTCTTATTGAGGTTGATTTCCTCAACATCAACCGCTGACGACGCGCCCCATTGGACGAAATTATTTTTGCCTTGAACTAGGACGAATCCAGTGGGATCTGGATCGGAATTAGGCTTGAAATGGACTTGTCTGTCACCACTGAAAATAAAAAAATAGGTAAAAGTTCCTTATTTTGGCCACAACTTGTAACTTTGCGGAAACTGGTCGGAATTAGCCCAAATTTAGCGTGCACGCTCAATTCATCGTTGTCAATGCCCGGACAGTGGATTTAGTTAGTGAGGTACCTTCTTTTTTACGTACCACCTTACCCTTCAAAAAGGGCTGCTGCCCGCGATTTAACACTTTATACGATGAAACATGTCCGGAACTAAACTTATTGCCTCCGTATGGAACTAAATGAGTCGTCGTAGCCTTCGTAGGCATGTACCCTTAAAACTATAGAGTTATTATAGTAATTCAGCAGCCGAAGCCTTTTTTCCTAACTTTAGTTCCCAAGCTTGGGCGCAGTTCGCAGAATACCCTTGTTGTGGCCAAAATAAGGAAGTTTTTCCAAAAAATAAAAAAAAGTAAAAATATAATTAAAAAAAATAAAAAAAAATCCAAAAAAATCAAAATTCCCAAAAAAATCAGCTTACCTCACCACGGTAAATCCCTCTGCACCAGTACAGACAATGTAATTTTTGGGATCGCTGAAGATGGAACATCGATCCCAGCCCGGCGCTTTGAACGATCCACTAATTCTATCGTTATTCCCGCTTTTGATCGAATACATCACCTCCTTTCTCTCTTCGTCGTAGCCCAAGTCCACGTAGCTGTGATAGTTGTTGCTGAGGAGGGTCTTGCATGAGGCCTTGTTAGCCACTGAAGAGAAAAGTGGTGGGAAAGATGGAAAAAAAAGTCGACGAAAACTGGCCCAAAAATTTCATCAAAATGAAAATTGAAATTTTCATTTCTTTTTTTGATAATAAACCAATGCGCGACAGTCCGATTTTTTTGACAAGGAAAGTACTTTTATGGGGGCTCCTACTTTTTGACGGGACATATCTCAAAAAATCAGAAAAATGTGCTGATCAAGGATATATAAATCTTAGCTGCCCATTTTAGGTTTTTAGGGGTGAAAATGCCCAAAAACTGGCTTAATTTCCCTAAAAAAGGTGCAGGCATTCGAAACGATAAAAAGCGCATTCGGTCTCTTCCTTCGGAAGAGAGCGGTGTGGCCGAGTGGTTAGTGCCGTAGTCTGGGAATCAAGAGGGGAACGCCGCACGGGTTCGATTTCCCTTTTGGGCCGAATCAACTTTTTTTGACGTTGAAGGTCGGAAAAATGAATTTTTGTGCCAATACTGATTTATTACATCTTAGAAACTCAATAAGCATCATTTTAAGCGGAAATAAAAATTCTAAACCCGTGAAAAATTAAGCGGAAAGGGGTTTAATAGGACTTTAAGTCAACTTCCGATTAGGTTTTCACCCCTAAAAACCTAAAATGGGCAGCTAAGATTTATATATCCTTGATCAGCACATTTTTTCTGATTTTTTGAGATATGTCCCGTCAAAAAGTAGGAGCCCCCATAAAAGTACTTTCCTTTGTGAAATTTTCCCTACACTTCGGTCATAGATCACATATAAACTCCAGAAAATCTTATCCAGCCCTTTGCAAGGGCAGCCGAGATATTGAACGGTCTTTGCGGCCTAGAGAGTATGCGAAATGCGGAGAGCGTTCAGAGAAAAAACGCATTTTTTCGGGGAAAAAACTAGTCGTCAAAACTTACGCTCCTTGGGAGACATTTTGACATAACTCTGCGTCAACGGAAAGATGACGGACAGAAAGAACAGCCACAGTTTCATGTCCAAATTCCAGGTGCTTCGCGGCTGTGTCGACCAATTTGAAAGGAAGAAACTTCAAAATGACCAATTTTCTTCAATTTTGAGACCTTTTATATTTTTTTCATTTGACCGTTTTCTTCGTGCGAAAAAATTGATTTTTTGGTGGATCCTTGCCGTTCATACGAAAAAAATTCTTTTCTTTGTGGAAATTATTATAGACTGATATTGTTCTGTCGGGAAAATAATGTGGTTTTACCGCGAAAAAACGCCTCGCTTCGTCCCAGAAATTTCCATCATCTAGCCGTCTCAATGCGACGCTGGACGACTCCAAGTCGCGATGAATCCACATTATTTTCCCGGCAGACTGATATAACAAAGCAAAAGAATTTGAAAAATCAATTGACTGCTTTAAATTCAATAGCCACATTAAGTTAAAAGGCCATACAAACAGTTTGTATATTCAATTCAAATTAGCGTGGCAGTCGTCACTAAAACCGTCTTGTGATGTCTAGCATACGGTGGCTTTATTTCCTTATTTTTCTGTTCTCACTTTCAAGCTGCAACGGATACAAGGATGAGTGTAGGTGGCAGAAAACTGTGATGGAAGTTTCCAGGGAATTGATGCCTAGACAGAGCTCTGAGGTTGGACCGGGCCGAAATCGCGGTCCACATCAACCACAAAAAAGTTTCAAATCGGGAAAACTGTTTGCAACACTTTTTGAGGATGCCCAAGGTAGCTCAAATTAGAAATTGGAAACGAGTCGGATTGACCAAAAAATAGTATAGATTTGAAAACCTTATTTTAGACATCTTTTGCTACTAAATCGTTCCGTAACGAAGCAATTGCCTAAATTCTTTTTTCTATGAGCATAATTAGAGTAGTTTTAGAAAACAATAAGCAACCCTGGGTCATATACTAGCTTACTCACTCAAAATTCCAAAAAAACTGATATTTAGGTGACTAAAATAATATTAGGCCTGTACCCGGCCCAGAGCCATGTCTAGCCCTGGCCATGCCAAAGCAGATTTAAAACGGGCAGGGCGGCCCGGAAAATTGAATTTGCCAGAAAAAGAAAAATTGTTGATTTACTACAATGACGGACCTGATCCAGTGGCAAAAACGTATCATTTTGCATCCAGCAAGAATCAAAAAATGTAGCAAAATGACTTCCTCTCCAATTAAAAAAAGCTTCGTTTTGAAGGGCTTTCGGATTTTTTTCACTTGGAGAGGGAGGTATTTTGCTGCATTTTGAAATTTTGATACTTCCTGGATGCAAAATGGTACTGTTTTCCCACTGCACCAGGTCCGCCACTCTATGTAAAGAAACAGCTGTTTTACACCACAAAACTAAATTTCCCATACCCGGGCCGAGCTCAGAGAGGTTTGGCCAGGCCCGATTTACATCGAAGTTTATTCTGAACGCTCTTTGCAGCTTGCGAACTCCCTAGTGCACAAAGATTCCTCAATGTGTGCCCCCTGTAGCTCACTGAAAACTGCCTATTATAAATCCCCTTTTTAAATCTTTTTTCAGCGTCCGCCCCAAACAACCAAACCGGGATGGTGCATACGACAAGCGATAAACTGCCACGTAATGTCATAGTGCACCAGTACGACCTTGTCATCACGCCGTTTTTTGCGTTCAAAGGATTCGAATTTGACAAAGGTAGCAGAAACAAGCCTTTTTGCATAAGCTTTCAGCGCTCCTCAACACCTTCAAAGGGAACGTTAAGATCACTTTCAACCCGATTCAAGCCAACAACAGCGTCACGTTGGCGTCAAATCCGGAATTTGTCACAATTCAAAGTGCTGTTCTCTCATTAGATGGGACGAATATTGAGATTGCCAGCAACTCAACGGATTCCGATGACCATCTAACATTGGTGACGAAAACCCCGCTGGAGACGGGTAAGAATTACACGTTGCATTTTGTGTTCAACGGCACAATGGTTAATGGATCGAACGGAGGCCTCTTTTCGTTCGATTACACGGACAAGGACGGGAAGAACACGTGAGTACCAGGGATTGCCACGGCTCCGGAGCCGGCTCTTGGCTCCGGCTCTGAGCGGCTCCGGAGCCTCCGAGCCGGGAGCCAGAGCCGGAGCCGGAGATTTTGGGGTCGGCTCCGGCTCCCGAGCCCAAAGTCGGAGCCAGGCTTCCCAGCGGTCAGAAAAGTAAAAATTCCGTGATGTTGTTAAACCAAATTGCTTGAAAAACACTGCGGAGGATGTGACTTGACTGCAAAAACGTTGGCTGTATGATCTCTGGCACTAATAACTTTTATTTTTGGAAAAATATTTTTATAAAAACATTTTGCATAGGAGCCGGGATTCGGAGCCAGAGGCCTTTTTAAATTTTGCACGGAGCCAAGAGCCGGAGCCGGAGCTGCAAATTTGGCCTCGGCTCCGGCTATGGGAGCTAAGAGCCGGAGCCAAAATTTTGACCGTGGCAATCTCTGGTGAGTACCATACGAGGGGGAATAATGTAGCATTCAGAGGATGAAATTAGTTATCAGTCTGTCGGGAAAATAGCGAGCGCTCTGTCGCATAGCAAATCGCGTTGCCGCCGAGAAAATGAATTGTGCCGTGGCAAGATCAAATTGCCCTTCACTTCAGCGATTGGCGCACCTGCACTGTGACCATTATTTTTCCGACGGACTGATAAAAAAAGAGGCTTTACGGCCAGCGAATGGCCTCAAGCGCGACGCTCAGATTTTTCGTAAATTTTGCACACACTTGGGGAATGGGACACATATCAATTCTTGAAAATTTTATGATAAAGTCTGCTGAGATAAATACCATCGGTAATTAAGTCTGTCGGGGAAATGATAAGCACTCTGTCAGATGGCAAACCGCATTACCGCTGAGAAAATGAATTGTGTTTAAAAAATCAAGCTTCTTTTTCGCTTCAGCGACGCGACAGGCGCAGCGACATATTGCTCATTATTTTCCCGACATGATGATATACAAAGCATACCAGTCGGGTTGTAAAGTCACTGGAGTCGCTTAGGCGATATGCACTGTGAGAAAACAACAGTTTGCCTTGTGCTTTTAACGAGGAAAAGAGCGCTGCAAGAATACGAGTTGCTTGAGGGCACACGCCGAATTTGGTGGTAAAAAGCATACCCACCGTCCTTGTAGGTCCCTTAATAGTTCTAAGATAACTGAACCATGTCGCTTACTCAAGGAGACTGAGAAAAGTTTAGTTATTTTAGGTGATCAGAAAGTTTTGTCCACCAATTTTTGAAAAACCTGCGTAACTCGCCTAAGGACAGAGACACGAAAAACAGTTTTATGTGGCACATTCTGCCTGTCATAACTAGTACACATGCCAATTTGCAAAGTGATTGCGTTATATTCACTTCAGATATGGGTGGTCAGAGATTAATGTCCGGGAGTATAGTATATGTATTTCAGCTCGCTGGCCGCTACAATGTTCGAGACAATTCATGCTCGTCGCGTCTTCCCCTGCTTCGACGATCCCTTCTTCAAGGCCGTGTTTGTAGTGACGGTAATTCATCCAAAGGGGTCGCAAGCTCACAGCAACGCTGAGGTGGATATAACACAGGATTTGGAGTGAGTGTCTACGGCAAACACCTTCATAGTCAATAACTTTTTCAGCAAAGAAGTGATGACAAAGTTCAAGCCGACTTTGAAAATGTCACCGTATTTGCTGGCCTTTGCCGTGGGCGATTTTACAGAGAGAGTTGTAGAGTCCAAAAGGGGTGTAAAGGTATGAAAACCCCATTTCTCGGGTTGACGATACTTTGGATTGCCTCGATTTTGTACCCACTGTACACACATTTTTTGAAACTTTATTGCAGATACGATCGCTGGCTGTCAAGATCTTCGAAGGCTCCGTTGACAAGGCCGCAAAGATCGGCGCAGAATGTCTGGATATTATGGAGGATTTGCTGCAAGTCAAGTACCCCATGATGAAGTTGGGTAAGTAGTAGGGTTGGAATGATAACGTCGTCCTGTAGACCACCTTGACACGATCTCTCTCGGTGCCGGCGCAATGGAAAACTTTGGACTTGTAACCTACGGCAACAAGCTGCCGTTGCCCTTTCCACTACCACTCAAGATGGAGATAGAAACAGCTGCTGTCGTCTGCCACGAGACCTCGCATATGTGGTAACTCTACTATTATGAGTTTTTAGGGCTGTCAATATAACAAATAGATATTACAAATATTTGTGTCGTATATTGTCCGTTCAGGTTCGGCAATCTGGTGACTGCGGAGCGCTGGGGATTGGAGTTCCTCCACGAAGCCTTTGCCGTTTTTTTTGAGGCCGCTACATTGCGAAGAATCGATCCCTACACATTCACAGTAAGCTCCGTTTAATGGCACAGACATGTTTATATAGGAGTCAGCTAGAGTGGCGAATATCTTGGAATATGCTGAAGCCTTTGCGCAGGCCCCGAAGCATCCGGTGGCTGCTGATAGGAGTTATTTTGACGGTCAGTTTTTATTTGGCTCTCTGTTGTAATTTGATTTTTTATAACACCTTTGTCATTGCTTTGCAGAGGTCACCTACGGATACGGCTCTGCAATTGTCCACAGCATGGAAGGGGTTTTCGGCAAGGATACGTTCTACAAGGCCCTGCATACGTACATCAGCGAGAACATGTACAAAAACGTCGACTTGGAGACTTTGCTGAGTAGCTTTGAAAGGGTGAGCACAAGTAAATACTAGATGGGCCTATCAGGTAGAAGGAGGACTCTATCGGCGTGTCCGAAAAACAATGAGCAGTCTCTCGCAGCAAAAGTCAATTCTCGCTGTTCTAATAGGTACCATAGGATATTTCAGGGACCTCAGGACCCAAAAAGTAGCTGAAAGCCACAACGACTTTGTGGGCCTGCAAGGTTCAAGGGTGTTCAATTTAGGGCTGTAAAAATCTTCAAATTCATGTTCAAGTTCAGGCGTAGAAAAATTTCGTTGTCAGAAAATTTTGTTGCCAATTCTAACTAGGGAAGTGTACATCCGAACCCTCACTAAATGATAAGTGACATATGCCATTGAAGAGCCCTTAAAAAGGTCTTGAAAAGGCATTCTGCAAAGAATGAAAGTGGTGCCTTACACCATTCTTCAAGGGCTTTCCAATGGTGTATAGTACTTGCCATTTGGTGAGGATCGGTTTGTGCAGTTCCCTAGTATTAAAATCAAGTTGAACATGTAAAAAAACCAACTTTTTTGCTCAGAACTTCGAGATTTGATTGTGCAACAACGTTTGTGCGCCAAGAAAGGGTTAGTCTGATATTGCAGTAAAAAAAGAGCCGTGATTTTAAGTCTGTCGGGAAAACAATGAGCACACGTCGCTGCGGTGATCGCGTCGCTGAAAGCAATTTGATTTTGTCGCGACACAATTCATTTTCTCGGCGGTGATGCTATTTTCGATGCGACAAAGTGCTCATTATTCTCTCGGCTGACTGATAAACGACACAACCTACACCTAGTTTTCCCTTACTTTTTTAGGCCGCTCCCTCGAAATATCTGTGTGATAACCTGACTGTTAGTGAGTACATGCGTGATTACTTTCTACAAGCCGGAAGCCCTCTTGTCAACATCACGTATGACGAAAACAACCGGCTCAAAATGAAGCAGATCCCTTTCGAAAATAACACCTTGTGGAATGTCCCCATCTTCATGAAGAACCTCGATACAACGGAGGAATTTACATACTGGCTGCTGAAGAATGGCCGGCATTGTGTGCAGAATGCCAAAGGCCGCATTGACAGCAGAATGCCCTATTTTTTCAACCACAACTCCAGGTCATTTGTGAGAATGCGCACAAATCTTCGTGTCTGGGAGAGGGTCCGAAGCCATCCAAGTTTTATGGAGCTACCCGCCGAAAGTCATATTGCAATGTGTGCGAATTTGTTACTCATGAAGCAGCAGGGAAATATGTCTTACGGACAAGTGCTTTATGATATTGTAAAGCATAAAAACGGAAGCGTTAACCCGCTCCTGTTCAGGTGGTTCTCGAACAATAGTGCGGTATGTATTATATTATACTTTATCCGTCTGTCCGGAAAATAATGAGCACTCTGTCACGCCGAAAATCGTAAGCCAAGAAAATGAATTGTGTCGCGACAAAATCAAGTCGCTTTTCACTTCAGCGACGCGATTGGCACAGCGACATTATGCGCATTATTTTCCCGACAGATTGACATTTGAAGGTTTTGAGACGGCTAAAAAGCGAAATGTCTGAAGTTCGACACTCAGCGTTAGATATTCTGTGACATGTTTTATTTATAGATAGGCTACATATCAATTAGTCAAAACATAGGGCTGCGGAGGCAGTAGGAAATGCCTACGAGGCCTGGAAAAGCCGTTGGATGGTTGGCGGACACTCGGCAAAGGCTCGGCGAAGGCTCGGCTTGCAATATGTCCACCTTTTCTAATGTTAGCTCTTAGTAACGTTAGTTTTCTTTACCCTGAGTTATTACAACATATAAAAAACTAAAATTTGCTCCAAAAACGAAGATTCGTTGCTTTTGTCTAGACATTATTGATGTGAGTATACATAAAATACCTCAAAATAAGCTCCTAGGAGCCGATCAATCTTATTATTTCTATAATATTATGTAAACCTTTTCCTAACCTCCGCCATGCATACAACGGCGAACCGAGGCGATCCATAGTATTGTTGACCCGAAAATCAAACTTTTCAAGATAAATTTGCAAAAATATCGACATTTTTACCCAACTTTTGAAAAAAAAATCTCGGTCGTTTCCGCAAATCGCAAGCTAGCTGTGTCGTATGCGTCATAGAAAACATTGACTGAATTTGCGCCAAGTTTTATGAAGATTTGAACGTCGCACTTGGGGCACTTCTATTTGAGGGTTACGCTTTCTGAAAGCTCACTGTATGATACTGGTTTTATTGAGGATTTGGCCTTAATTCCTCAAGCCCAACAAGCAAAAATTTTTAGCTCCCTTTTTTCTTTTTCAGCATTACCTAGACATCTTGAAGATTGTCAGCGACAAATTGAATCCCAATAGTACGGCATGGGAGGACAGGTAATTGTTTATTTGCTACAGTGGCGGACCCGATCTAGTGGCAAAAAACGTGCCATTTTGGATCCTGGAAATATCAAAAAAAAATGTGGCAAAATACCTTCATTTCCAAGTGAAAAAATTACGATTTCAAAAGCGCACCTTCTCTTTTTACGAGGGACCCTTCAAAACGCAGTTTTTTTATTTGAAGAGGGAGGTATTTTGCCACATTTTTTGATACTTGCCGGATGCAAAATGCTACGTTTTTTGCCACCGGATCAGGTCCGTCATTGTATATCAATCTTAGAATACTCCACCTGTAAAATTAGGGACAACTTTTCTCCAGACTTCGCGCGGACTCCATCTTCTTGGATGCGGTGCAAGCGGGTGTTGAAAGTGCAGTGAAAATGGCGAAAAAGTTGTTCGCTGAATTCACCAAGGACTGTGCTCATGGAACCGAGGCCTTGGTGTGCGAGAAGTAAGTTAGAGTAGAGCGAAGCCTCGGTATAACAAAAGTTGTCGGTTAAACGGGTTTAGAGGTGCTGAAAACTAATCAGCACCAAAATCTATGTCCGTAGAACAAGCGAGCAAACTCCCATATAGCGGAACCTCTCTATAACGAAAGTTTTTATATCCGTCTGTCGGGAAAATAATGTGGATTTGTCGCTGCAAAATTTCTGGCCTCGTCGCAGTCGCCAAATCTCCATACCTCGCTAACCGATGATGGGCGATTCCAACGCGCGACAGATCCATATTATTTTCCCGACAGACTGAAATATTCATTTATTTGAGAGCTAATAAACAGTGTAATTTTTTCAGATTTATTCCTGAGTTCCGCTGCGGAGCGCTCTTCGAAGGAAACAAGACAAAGGAGGGCCGCCAATTCTTGCTCGACTATTTCCAACGTGTCGCCGAGAACCCGGTCATTGCGTCGGGATTGGCCCGCTACTCTTACACTTGCGACCTTCCGTTGAAGTAAATATTTATTACTGGGAAGAAACGGCAGTTGAGGGCAAATTTTCGGCAAGGGCTGGGCCGACGTTGGGGCTGGGCGAGTGCCGGCCTTGGAGCCACAGGGGCGGCAATTTTTCAGCCGAATTTGTGTCGGCTTCAACTTTCTTAGTTCTGGGCCAAATGCTAAAATCCTTTTTTCCATGAATCCTCAGACATCCCCGGTTTGTTTCATACCAAATACGCCATATACTGGGCTTGGTTCGAATCAGTCTGTCGGGAAAATAACGTCGGGTGCGGAATGTCTCGCCTCGTCGAAAAGAGCACCAAATCTCCAGCTTCGACAGCCCTCGCAAAGCGATGATAGGCGATTCCAAGGCGCGACAAATCCACATTATTTTCCCGACAGGCTGATAGTGATTGGTCTTGTTCTTTTGAGTTCATTTTTTGTCGTTTTTGGCATGTGTGAAAATAGCCAGAAAAATGAGTTTTTTGCCAATTTTGTCATGGAAATTATCATGCCTGGTCCTGCCGTAGAGTGTTCCGTTTCCACAAAAAAATATGTGGCCCGGGTCTTGCCGTATGTGCAAAATTTAAAGAAAATCTGAATGTCGTAGCATTGCTTCTTCTCTTGTCAATTATGGAAATTAGAGCGTTTTGTTTGTAGTTAATTTTTGCCATAAGCTAATAAATAAATATAACATATTTGGTGTTAAACTAAAGGTTCTGCTGCCGGCTTATTTATTCGAAAGAATACTCAAATTTGAAGTGATATTTTAGACGCGATCGTATTCGGGCTTCATCTGTGCGAACCATGGATGGTCCTCAATGCGCTTCTTGTATGCCCTGAGGAACCTCTGCCCTTCAGCGGAACGACTTCCTTGGAAGTAGACACCTTGGCGGAACTCTGGGGGAATTCTGAAAGCAAAATTCATTGTTATATTCTATTAGGTCGTGCAGAAGGTTCGTTCGTTTTTTCACTGCTTTGTTTTAAATACAAGGCTGGTTTGTTCTTTGGCAAATGGAACATGTTTATTTTATACAGCTTTTTCTCCTCCACCAAACTGGCTGTATCAAATAAATATGTGCCCTTCGCCAGACAACAAACAATCCTCGTAAAACAAAGCAATGAAAAAAACGAACAGACTTTCTGGACGACCTAATAGAATATTGACAATGAATAGTACGGGCTGAAAAATGGTAGGCATACCTAGGACAGTCGACCAGCTCTTTTTCCGGCGCGCAATCCTGCATGAACTGCGCGAAGAGCTCGGAGGTCTTGTTGAGGACGCTCGGAATTCTCGCTCTGACAGCCAAGTCCAGAAAAGTGCCAGCAATCAGTCTGAAAAACGGAATCCTTGAGTTAAATACAACAATCTTTGCCCGTCAATTACTGTATGCAATTGGCAGGCGCCGCGGAGATGCGGAGAGCTCTCGAACGGTCTTCGCCGTCGAGAGAATAGGCGAAATGCGGAGAGCGGTCAGAGGGAAAAACACTTTTTCACCATACCGCTGTCCATCTCACAGGGTAAACATGATTTTTTCGAAGAACCCTAATTGTAAAGAAAGCTGAAACACTAAGCCATGAACTTGCCAAAAGTTATCCAACAACTTTAAGTTGGCCTACTAAACTGATATACAAGGGAAGTACCTCAAGTGTAACGCTCAGATTTTCTTTAAATTTTGCACACGCGTCGGGAGTAGACTAAATATCAATTCCTGAAAGTTTAAGCTCGCGCTTTGCAAGCTCCGCCGAAATATTGAACGATCTTTTCCGCCGAGAGTGTACACTAAACGCGGTCAGAGAAAACCTCCTTTTTGATCATAACTTTGCCAGTTTCGTGCCGAAAAAATTGATTTTTTATGGATACATTACCCTTCACGGTAGAAATAAGCATGCATCTTTTCGTGCCAAAATTCGGCAAAAAGTGTCAAATTTTCGCCAACTTTCGATCTAAAAACCTTGGTTATTTCTGCAAAGCGCGAGCCCGGATTTTCGCATATATCTTAGAAAAAGTTATTCTAAATCTGTGCCAAGTTTCATCAAAATCTGAGCGTCGCACTTGGAGTACTTCCTATGTGAGGAAAAAAATTCGATGCTACCAAAGAGGACTGTCGTTACCCGAACAGGGCCAAAGATTTATTTTTAGCTCAAACTCTGAGGTTCATTTTTTCGATTCTTGGCATGTCTGTTGCCAGTCGGATAAAACCTCCTCCGCCACTGACCTGTTCTTCCCCGTGAACGTGTAATCAAAGCTGCCAAAGACAGTCGTCAGCATGCTCTTCTTATTGGAGTATGCCATTACGTGCAACATTGGTTCCAACTCCCCAGTGCCATTGGTCTTTCTCACAGCGTTCATAGCGATCCTCTCAATGTCACCGTCGTCCAGAAACTTCCTGCGCCGCACCGTCCGCAGAATGTAGTACTGGTTGTGCATGGAGAGGGTCGGGAAGCGGGGGTGTTGCGCGGCCGACACCCAAAGCGTCGGCTGGATCTCGAACACCGCGTAGCCTTTGGCGTCGTTGTTGAAAACGTACTCTCCGTCGCCGCGGAGGCTGAACGGAGTTCGGCAGCCGATGCTGCCGTCCTTCCGGAGCCAAATCAGGTGCTCCTTGTTCTCCTTGAGGTCCAGCACAAAGATCGGCACGTCCCATACGTAGTTGTGCATGGGATCATTGTGGCTCGATTGTGTGATCACATAATTCCAGCCTTGCAGAGTAATGTTCACCACCGGCAAATGCCGACGCGTCAGCACGTCCTTGACGAACGTGGTGAATGAGACGTCGTGCAAGAGGTCTCCCCCGTTGGCCTGAAACTCGGTGTGATTAATCCCGGCTTCGTCCTTGTGGAGGGCGCACTTGGACGGCTCACGTCAAACTGAGGAGTCCGGTGACCAGAATAGACCCTTCGCTATCGGTTTTTTACACTTCGTCTTAATTTTACAGAGAAGACAGAGAAAAGACGCGCAAAATCGTACTCTCTCGCCCCAAAAACTCCCCATTTCATCGCCGACAAAAAGTTTTTTCGCGTCTTTCTCTGGCGAATTGCCAATCCATTCACCGGTAAGCATGGCTCCGGGCCGGGCTTTGCAAAATTTTTCGGCCCGGGCCGGGCCGGCTAATTTCTCGGCCCGGCTCCGGGCTTCGATTTTTCAGGCCCGGCCCGGGCCGGCCCGGTTTTTTTGAAATTTGAGTTTTGCCCGGAAAAAAGGAAAAAATAAGCTTTTACGATAGGATTTTTCATTTTTTCGAACACAATGCTGATAGCGAACGTAAAGTGACCTTATGTACCTAGGTTTTGCTAAATTTTTCTTTACATCTTGCAAAAATTTGTCATAATTTTCCTTTCATTTCCCGCTTTCTTTCTTTCCAACCTAGTATAAAATTTTCCGGGCCAAACCGGGCCGGGCTTTCCAAATTTCCCAAGCCCGGGCCCGGGCCGGGCTTGGAGATTTAAGCCCGGGCCTGCGGCCCGGGCCGGGCTGGGCCGGGCTGGCCCGGTTTGCAGCCATGCTTATTCACCGGAGCGTTTTAGATTATCTCAGTTTGACGTGCGCCTTCTTTTGCGAACATTACAAATGCATACTTTGACCCAGCTTCGAATCAACGTGTCCAGGCCGGCGGTAGCATAGGCTCTCTCTTGCTGATAGATCCGCAGCCCCTCGTAGAACACCTTGTCGGAGAGAACATGTCGAATTGTGCGGAGGAACGCAGCGCCAGCCCGCGAAAGCCTGTCTAAAGGCGAACAAATTGCAACGGTTTAGGACTATTTGGACGGCACTTAAGGAAGCCGGTACCTGATGAAGAGGGCACAAAAAATGATATTACGGTATCACTTTTTTCCTCCTCACGGTGTCCTCTTCGCCCAGGTGCCTTCAACCATACGTCCAAAGACATGGAGAAATCGCTGTAACTTACAATTAAAATGACTTTTGCTGTCCACTACCGGATCGGTGGAATCGTAATAACCGGAAACTGCCGCCAATGCGTCTGGAACTTCGTTCCAGCCCTGAAGTTGACATGTATAAAGTATATGACATATAGCATAATAGCACATGACTTGTGAACTTACCGCCAAATATTGATATTCGTCGAGCTCCGCCAAAGCCCGATCATAAAAGTATTGGCCGAACCCGGTCTCCAAGAACTCGGCGCCCCAAGTGTCGGGCGTTACAAGCCCCCCGAACCACTGCTCAGCCGTATGCCCGCAAATGACCGCATGGCGCTTATATTGGCGCGACAGCGTCTCTCCAATTCTGCTTGGAAGGACGTTGGAGTAGGTGTTGAGGCCGAGCTGAGCGATCGCATAGGTTTCGATGGTGTCCAAGTGGTCTGAAATTTGATTTCTACTCGATAGTAAATATTAGTGTGTCGGGAAAACAATGAGAACGCTGTCGCATCGAAACTCGCTTCGCCTGCGAGAAAATGAATTGTGTCGCGGTGAAAATCACATTGTTTTTCGCCTCGGCAACGCTAATGGCGTTGGGCGTATTGTTTTCCCGATAGACTGATACTGCAAAGTCGCAAATTCGACCTCTGGACGCATACCTAGGCATTTCTCATCGAAAAAAACGGCAAAACATTACGAGTTCACTTACACTGGGGGACCTGATCCAGTGGCAAAAAAAACTTACCGTTTTGCATCCAGAGAGTATCAAAAAATGCGGCAAAATGCCTCCCTCTTCAACTTAAAAAGCTCACAGATTTAAAAAAGCGCGCCCGCTCTTTTTTTGAGGGAGCCCTTCAAAACGAAGCTTTTTCACTTGGAAAGGGAAGCATTTTGCCACATTTTTGATACTTCCCGGATGCAAAATGGTACGTCTTTTGCCACTGGATCATTCACTCACTGTAGAAACAAGTAAGAATTAGAGTAAATGGATTGGATTTGCTAAATCTTCACGGCGAGCTTTGCAAACTCATCGCTGTAATTGCGAAAATACTGGTATATTTTCATGCTCTACTCACCAAATTTTTTCAACGGATATTCCGCGCCGACCAGCCTCTCCATTGCACCCACACATCGAGCCGCAATGTTCGCGGCGTCTTGAATGAAACCTTTGTTGTCGCGGACGGCAATGGCTCGAGTCTGGAAATCGGTGGCGTCAACGAGAACGCGCTGTTCGACATACCAATACTCCACTTGCGGAAGTGGCATTGCTCTGCACGAAGTCGCCGACCGCAAACGCCAGTTGATACGTGGACATCCTGGGAGTTGGGTGGAAGCGAGTCACGGTTTGTTGAGCGCTGAAACGAGGCGAATATTGTGATTGAGAGGGGTTTTATGGCAATAAATTATTTTCTATTGATTTCAATGCCTGCAATGTCCTACTTTCGGCTTGATTGTTCGGCAATATCAGCATTACTGTAGACTGCCGCTCCCTTCGGATGTATCAGAGTCAAATTGATAGGGGCTTTGAAGTGGGGGTCGTCGAAGCATGGGAACGCCTCTCGGGCATACGTGGTTTCGAAGACGGTGGAGAGCAGGGTGCTGAAACATGTTTCTGAGTATGAAAAAGATGAAAAATTAGATAACTTGCTTTCTCTTTTCATCTCGCTCTTTATACGTCTGCACAAAGACTCCTCCAGCATACGACTGTTCGTTGATTTTGCCAGTGTATTTGAATGCTAGTCCGTACACCTTTGCGGTCACTAATTCCGCCCCCAAATGGAGAATCAAATGATCGTTGGGGCCGGCTTCGACTCTCTCGATCCCAATGAATTCCAGGCCATCGACAAGAGAGGTGGAGTTTATTCGCACCGACGACGCCAATTCCAACCGGCGCGTCGGGTTGGGGACTGAGAAAGAGATCGCAACTTCGCCGTTGAAGGTGTTGCGAAGAGCTAAAAGGTTGTATGTAGCGCCTCAATCGGAAGACCTACCCTTATCGTATTCGAAGCCGCGGAAGTCGAAGAAGGGCTCAATAATGAGACCGTAGGAATGGACGACCACCTCATGCGGGAGGCTGTCATTTGTTTCGTAGTTCAAGTTCCAAGGACGTTTGTAGAAAGGGTCATCTTTAGGAGGGGTTAGGTTGATTGGCTCCAGAGGGAGGTCTGAAAAGACGCTGTGTTTAATGAAAAGGGCGGAAAAAATATTTATGACCTTCAAGATAGCTAGTTAGCAATTTTACATTGTTTTAGATTTTGGCTGTTAGCTGCGGCGAATTTAGTTTCCAGGGATATAACTGGCTTAAATAGTTAACGCATGGTTAAACAGGCCTTGTACAAAATTCAGAACCCATTTTGAAGGCAAGCTTGAAGCGAATGAGACATCCGCCTTCCACACGTGATGACGACCGAAGCTCTTCCTTTGGCGAGCTCCACAAAAGCAGCAATATTGTGCACTTACGATTCCTGCCTTCAACGGGTCCACCGTAGACAAAATTCACATAGAAAAGAAGTAGAACAAGTCTCATGGTTCTGATCCGAACTGTAATATTTGATGCTCTTGTGCACATCGACTTTATATATATAGTGCCAACATGTCATCAGCTTTGAGGCACTACAACTCTTTGTAGGGAATAAACTAAATCAGGCATCAAGTAGAAGCCGCTTTGTTAACGTCTTATCAATTTTTTGACTGCATATGGTGGCGAAATACAAAAGCAAGGCTAGTTTATACATTCTGTGTAGACTGGATGTTGGGCGCTGCAGTCAAAATCAACTTTGTGCATATATAAGTCTGTCGGGAAGTTATCGAGCATTCTGTCGCATTGAATCGCTGAGCCGCCGAGACAATGGAGTGAGTCGGGGCGGAATCAAACTGCTGTTCACTTCAGCGACACGAACGACATTGTGCTCAATATTTCCTCGCGGATAAATTGCGGCAGAGAACGAGATTTCTTATCGCTGTGGCTGCGTGCGGATTAATTATCCTTCAAGTTCGCTCGCAAGGAAAGTCGGTATGTTGAGGCGTGGGTTCGGTAGGGCTTTCCAGAATTTTCCGAGCCCAGTTTTACGGCCTGGATTTCTTGGCATCCAAAAAAAGGCGTATATATAGAGTGGAGGCTCCGCTTCCAGAACATAAACATGTTGTAATGAACCCCGCTCCGCAATAAGATGGCACAGTATTTCATTCTTTGAACTTCTTGCGCCAAAAAAGTCATTCTACAGGAATGAAATGACAAATTTTAAAAGGTCCGCCGACTTTCCGGAAGGACTCATACGCATTTTATGGAAACACTAGTACCCACAATACGCCATGTGTGCTACGCATGGTTGCAAACCGGGCTCGCCCGGGCTACGAAAATTTTGAAAGCCGGCTCGGTTCGGCCCACATTTTTATCACAGATCCTTTATCGGATCTGAAAAAAAACCGGGCCGAGCCTAAAAATCGAAGCCCGATGTCGGACCGAAAAAAATTTTTTACAAGGGAAATTGTCAGATTCCACGGAACCTGGAGTTATCCACGATGTGTCAACTCGATGGAATTTATGGAGAGAGAGATGTCGCCCCGTGTCAACTGTTTCCCAGCTGTTTTTCCCCGATGTTCGAGAATGTTCGGTGAAGAGATCCCGAAGCGGAGCGCCTGAATCACGACACTGTAGCCTTCTCTGAGGTTTTGTCCCATCTTGATTGAAGTTGTTGTATTGTATGTTGTTGTTGAGTATTGTTGAAACGCTGTGTTTTGCTATTGCATTGAATTGCTATTTTACTTCTATTGTAATTGTTAAACCTCTTTGATAAATTTATCTATTCGACTTAAGTATCATTTATTCTCGTGTTTATTTCCAAGGGGAACGAAAACAATCGATTTCCCAATTTCCACATCAGCAACCTTCCACTTGGAAGGCCAAGTATTTCCAGGTAGACGGTGTTGGAAGTAATCGACTGCAGACGGAACCGCAAGACCACAAGCCATCTCGTTTATTTCTTTTCTATCCGAAGGTGGAATCGGACAGAAGTACCTGAAGTGCGACGCTCAGATTTTCTTTAAATTTTGCACACACGTCGGGCATGGACTAAATATCAATTCCTGAAAGTTTAGCTCGCGCGACGCAAGCGCCGCCGAGTGAGTATGCCAAACGCGGAGGGCGGTCAGAGAGAAAACCACTTTTTGCCCATTACTTTGCTAGTTTCTTGCGTAAAAAGTCGATTTTTTTATAGAAACATTACACTTTACGGTAGAGATAGATATAAAACTTTTCGTGCCGGAATTTAACAAAAAATGTCAAATTTTCGCCGACTTTCGATATAAAACTCTCGGTTGTTATTGCAAAGCGCGAGCTAGGATTCTCGCATATATTTCAGAAAAAAATATCCTAAATTTGTGCCAAGTGTCATCAAAATCTGAGAGTCGCACTTGGGGTACTTCCCCTGTTAGCCGGAAAATTTTGCAATTCCCGGCCTGGAGTCATGCCTAATGTATGCCATGTTGTTGCACCCCACGACGTATGTATTTCCGTTTGCTCTCCTCATTTCATTACAAGATGGTCGCGTTTTTAAAGTTTAGAATTTTCGAACTGATAAGAGTTTCGTCGAAACAATATCATCGGTATGTACTAATTAATTTTCTTGGCCGCTCCTCTTCCTCTTGGCTGTTTTTGGGGGTGACGCAACTGTTGTCTCGTTTATCGGCGAAACTGATAATTCCCCGGAGATCTTATATAGGTAGGTGCAGTCCGAAGAACTTCTATTATTGCTAGTCCCGCACAAAGATGAGGCTGCTGCTGACGGCTTTGCTGACTGGGCTGGTGTTTTGTTTCGACGGAGAGGAATTGTTGTTGGAAAGTAAGGGTGAATTTTCCAATTTATGATGACTTATTATCATCGCATTACTACTATCTGCTTGTTGAAGAAGATGTGACACTTTTTGCATGAATTTTGACATAAAAACTTTTGTATCAATTTCTACCGTCGAGGGTAACGTTTCCACGAAAAATCAACCTTTTCCGCACGAATCTAGCAAAGATACGAGCGAAAAGGGATTATATCTCTGCTCGTACTCCGCCGCACTCTCTCAGCCGCAAAGTTATATAGTTGAATATCTCGGCTGCCATTGTAAAGCGTGAGCTAAAATTTTCAGGAATTCCTATGTGACATAGGCGTGCATAAAAATGTTTTGAAAATCACATGTCTTCCCTTATAAATCAAGCATTTTTTTTGGCCGTCGTCCGGTTGCAGAAACAGAAGCAGTTTTAAAAAAATATCTTGTCAACTTTAATGCGTTTTGCAAAACATCAAACCGACAAATATGAGCAAAAATTAAAGTTTCTCCTTCAAAAAAAAAATTTTTTTTTTGCTCTTTTCACTGATAACACTCCACACTCACAACACATTTTTTAGAGATCAATGAAGACCCGCTGAATGCCTTTTCCGTTGAGACCTTCCCCAGGCCGAGATTGGGGCTGAACCTTCATACCGGCGACCGTTTGCCGCGCGAAGTTACGGTCCACTCGTACGACATCCTCCTGGAGCTTTTCTTCAACTTCAAGGGATTCGATTACAACAAGGGTGCGCTACTATTATTAAAAGTGCATATCAGTCTGTCGGGAAAATAATGAGCACTTGTTCACATTGAGTGGTGCGATTTTCGATGCGACAGAGTGCTCATTATTTTCCCAACAGACTGAAAGCATAGACACTTTACAGTATTTCCAACCCTATTTCAGCCCTTCGAAACACATTCAATGGCCAAGTTTCGATCGTATTTTCGGTCCTCAACAACACAAATCAAGTCGAGTTGGCATCGGCAGTGAAGCTACAGACCAGCAAGCTGTCTGAAGGCAGACGGGCTATCAAAATTGAGAAGTTGGAACCAACTTCAGCCCAGCATTTGATCGTCCATTCGGCCGAAAAACTCGTGCCCGGAAAGAATTACACTCTGGCCTTCAAGTACGATAGCAAGATGAGCGGCGCCTACAGAGGTGGCGTCTATTATTATGAATATGCTGATACGTAAGTTCGAAGCGCCATTGACATCGGCGATGTCTTTCCGGCTTTTAGTCGAACAAGGGAAGTTTTACAAGTGCGACGGGCCGGCCCATACTCGCGGGCAGCTAGAATAGAGAGTAATCAAACCTTTCGTGCCGAAACTCGCAAAAAAAAACTGCCATTTTTATCAAAATCTTATCTAAAAAAATGTCCAAGGCACGGGCTAGTGGTCCTCTCAGAAAACAATAATCTAAATTTTTGCCAAGTTTCATGAAAATCTGAGCGTCGCACGTCAAACTGAGATAAGCTAAGACAGTCCGGTGAGTGGACTGGCAATTTGCCCAAAAAAGACATAAAAAACGTTTCGTCGAGGAAGAAATGGGGAATTTTTGGAGCGAGAGAGCACGTTTTTGCGCGTCTTTTCTCTGTCTTCTCTGCGAAATCAAGACGAAGTGTAAAAAACCGATAGCGAAGAGTCTATTCCGGTCACCGGACTCCTCAGTTTGGCGTGCGGCGCACTTGGTATATCATACTTCCCCTGTTAGTTACTCTCGCGGGAAATAATCCTTCTACTGAGAACGAAAAAATGCAGAAAAGAAAAAGTTATGGGAAAAAATTGTTTCTCATCGTCAATAGCCGACTCTTCAATTTCGCATGCTTTCTCTTTATGAAATATCTCGGGAAAGCGCGAGCTCAAACTTTTAGGAATTGATATGTGGCCCATGCCTTTTGAAAAAGCAAAATTTTAGAAACCTTTAAAACGGATTTTTTTACAAAGTGAAGCATGGCCCGGACATTGTTGCGGTGACAATCACCGAATTTCTTCAGATTTGGCTCATAGAAGACCCACAGGGCGTACATCGAAAGTGTCAAACGTTTTTGCGAAATTTGCATTGTTCGAGGATTACTGTAACATTTTGTGTTTTGTAAAGTTTCTATTGTGATGGGCTGAGGGATGGAGCGTTGCGGATGAAACTTACCGACTGGATGTTTTCGACCATGGCCAACATTTTCCTAATTGAAATGTTTTTTGTATCTCTTCATCTTTTGGTAGTACCGTAACCCTCAACATACCATATCGATTACTGCCAAAAATTGGGAAAAGTGTAACCAGTTTTTAAGCTTGATTATAAAGGTTGGACACACTCTCCGTAAAATAAGACCAAAAAATCCAAAATAAAAATATAAGTTTTTGAGATATACGCGTTCAAAGTTGCTATGTTCGGTTACTGTAAGACCAAAATGGAGATGATGAATTTTCAAACGGTACCATTGATTGCCACGCCTCACCCATTAATAGACTAGCCTGAGAAAAATATTTTCAGATCAAGAAATAAATATTTGAGGCTTTATTTCAGGCTTTATACGATGGTTACTGTAGTTTCTAACTTTTGTCAATTTCGCTAACCATTTTTTTCAAATGACGCATTTAGACCAGCTATCCCATTGAGAAATGTGTGTACAACGTAAAAATCAAAAAATCAAGGTTATAGTACTATCAATTCTTGAAATAAAGGGAGATTACGGTAGCCGTATCCGCTTTTTTCGCTGTTTGGCCGCGGCATTCTTTGGAGATGCTAGTGTAAACAGATTTGAGACTGGAAATTCACTCAGAATGGATAGAGGAGTATTTTAGCAAAAAATCGCGAAAATAAAAATATAAGTTTTTGAGAAAATCCGGGATTACGGTCATTTTGGAGGGTTTTTGGGCTGTTTGGTCGCGGCATTCTATGGAGATGCTAGTGTAACCAAATTTGAGACTGGAAATTCACTCAGAATGGATAGAGGAGTATTTTAGCAAAAAATCGCGAAAATAAAAATATAAGTTTTTGAGAAAATCCGGGATTACGGTCATTTTGGAGGGTTTTTGGGCTGTTTGGTCGCGGCATTCTTTGGAGATGCTAGTGTAACCAAATTTGAGACTGGAAATTCACTCAGAATGGATAGAGGAGTATTTTAGCAAAAAATCGCGAAAATAAAAATATAAGTTTTTGAGAAAATCCGGGATTACGGTCATTTTGGAGGGTTTTTGGGCTGTTTGGTCGCGGCATTCAAGTTTTTGAGAAATTTCGAAATTACGGTGATTTTAGGGGATTTCCTGTCCGAAATTACCGTAATCCGGGATTTTCTCAAAAACTTATATTTTTATTTTCGAGATTTTTTGCTAAAATACTCCCCTGTATATTCTGAAGATATTTCCGGTCTCAAATTTGGTTACACTAACATCTCCAAAGAATGCCGCGGCCAAACAGCCCAAAAACCCCCTAAAATGACCGTAATCCCGGATTTTCTCAAAAACTTATATTTTTATTTTTGCGATTTTTTGCTACAATACTCCCCTGTATATTCTGAACATATTTCCGGTCTCAAATTTGGTTACACTAGCATCTCCAAAGAATGCCGCGACCAAACAGCCCAAAAACCCTCCAAAATGACCGTAATCCCGGATTTTCTCAAAAACTTATATTTTTATTTTCGCGATTTTTTGCTAAAATACTCCTCTATCCATTCTGAGTGAATTTCCAGTCTCAAATTTGGTTACACTAGCATCTCCAAAGAATGCCGCGACCAAACAGCCCAAAAACCCTCCAAAATGACCGTAATCCCGGATTTTCTCAAAAACTTATATTTTTATTTTCGCGATTTTTTGCTAAAATACTCCTCTATCCATTCTGAGTGAATTTCCAGTCTCAAATCTGTTTACACTAGCATCTCCAAAGAATGCCGCGGCCAAACAGCGAAAAAAGCGGATACGGCTACCGTAATCTCCCTTTATTTCAAGAATTGATAGTACTATAACCTTGATTTTTTGATTTTTACGTTGTACACACATTTCTCAATGGGATAGCTGGTCTAAATGCGTCATTTGAAAAAAATGGTTAGCGAAATTGACAAAAGTTAGAAACTACAGTAACCATCGTATAAAGCCTGAAATAAAGCCTCAAATATTTATTTCTTGATCTGAAAATATTTTTCTCAGGCTAGTCTATTAATGGGTGAGGCGTGGCAATGAATGGTACCGTTTGAGAATTCATCATCTCCATTTTGGTCTTACAGTAACCGAACATAGCAACTTTGAACGCGTATATCTCAAAAACTTATATTTTTATTTTGGATTTTTTGGTCTTATTTTACGGAGAGTGTGTCCAACCTTTATAATCAAGCTTAAAAACTGGTTACACTTTTCCCAATTTTTGGCAGTAATCGATATGGTATGTTGAGGGTTACGGTACTACCAAAAGATGAAGAGATACAAAAAACATTTCAATTAGGAAAATGTTGGCCGTGGTCGAAAACAGTCACACAAAAAGTTTTGGACTCATAGAACCATCACCCGGCCCACAACTAACGCCACTTTATAAAATACAAAATGTTACAGTAATCCCGGAATGGATGAAATTTCGCGAAACCCTTCTTCGCTTTTCATCAGCATGCCCAGGCCCTTCTACAGGCCTAGTTTCAAGAAATTTGGTGATGGTCGTTGCAACAATGTCCGGGCCCCTTGGAGGGAAGCTTCAATTTGTAAAAAACTCTGTTTTAAATCTTCGCTTGCGAGCTTCTCTACTTCCTTTCAAGCTCCAGGTAATATTTAAATTGGTTCTTTCAGCTCGCTGGTTGCCTCAATTTTCGAGACCACCTACGCTCGAGAAGCGTTCCCGTGCTTCGACGACCCATGGTTCAAGTCCTCCTTCACGCTCTCCCTGATCCATCCAAAAGGAGCGAAAGCCTACGGCAACGAAGAGATCGCTGAGCAAAGATACTTTGAGTAGGGGAACATACGTCGATTTTTGGCATTGACAATTTTTTTCAGCGAACAACGAGTCCTCACTCGTTTCAAGCCCACCGTTCAAGTTTCGTCGTATTTGATCGCGTTTGCCGTTGGTGACTTTGTCGAGAGCAATTTTACCTCCAAAAGCGGAGTTCTCGTAAGCCTTGCAACGCTTATCTTTTATAGTATTTATAGTGTTAGTCTGCCGGGAAAATAATGACCAGAATGTCGCTGTGCCGATCGCGTCGCTGAACTGAAAAGCAATTTGATTTTACAATTAATTTGACGCGATTTTCGATGCAGTAGAATGGTCATTATTTTCCCGACAGACTGTTAAATGTGTATATTTCAGAACCGCGCTATCGCCGTCAGAGCATTCGACGGATTCACCCAAGACTCGGCGCTTGTCGGCGCCCAATGTGTGGATGCCATGGAGAGCCTGGTCAAGTTCAACTACCCGTTGAAGAAGCTGGGTAAGGCTTCTGTTTAGAATTGGGAAAATGGCAGTTCTGTAGCCGAAAACTGAGATCCCAAATGGCTGAAATTTGTTGAAACGTAGCGATTTTCTTTACTTTCAGACCACTTGGATACCGTTGTCTTTGCTGCCGGAGGAATGGAAAACTTTGGGTTGATCATCTACGGAGGCTACGTTCCCAACAGAATTGGGCAAACCGCTGCGGAAGAAGTCGGACGCAAGAGGGTTATCTGCCACGAAACTGCCCATCAGTGGTAAGTAACAGTACCATTGGTACCATAAAGTCCCGGCAACTGGCCTTGTTTGTCTTTCGGAAATTTTGAACCTGCCGCGTTCCCCGTTTTTGCACTGGCGACATGCAGTTACTTCAGGCGTTAGTAGTAACAGTCTGTCGGGAAAATGGTGGAGCAATGTCGCTGCACCAATCGTATAGGTGAAGTGGAAAGCAATTTGATTTTTTCGCGACAAAATTCATTTTCTCGGCAGCGAGTCGATTTCGATGCGTTAGGGTGCTCATTATTTTCCCGATAGACTGATAATTAAAAATTTACGGCCCTTCCTAAAGGGGTTCGGCGATTTACCGAAAGCTTATATCTATTTGCTTCAGGTTCGGCGACGTTGTCACAGCGGACCGATGGGGCTGGGAATTCCTCCACGAATCCTTCGCCACCTACTTCGAGATCCATGCGTTGGGGCAAGTCGAGAAGTTCAGCTACCTTTCCGTAAGTTTATAAGTCTATTTGCATCAACAATCACCTCATTCCCACCTCTTTACCTTCAACGCAACTTTAGGAGTCCGCTCTTGCTCAAACCGTTCAAAGCGCCATCTCCTACTACTCTTATGCCAGTCATCCGATCGTTGACAATGTCAGTCACTTCGACGGTAGGTCATAATCATCTCTGAAGTAGCATTATTTACCAAGGCATTACCTACAACGTCGGCGGAGGCCTTTTGAACTCGATTCGCCATGTTCTCACCGACGAGGTCTTCTACGAGGGTTTGAAGATCTACCAGCATGAGAACGCCTTCAAGAATGCTGGCTTGGACACATTGCTGCAGAGCTTCGTCAAGGTAAGAGTCGTTTTTTGGGATCAAGACAAAATCGAGCGATACGAAGCGTAGGGCAGGTGGATACCAAAAAACAAGGTTGTAGGAAGTGCCTACAAAGCCTAGCAAAGTCGTTGGACGCTCGACAAAGGCTCGGCGGAGACTTGGCGAAGACTTGCAGGATTTCCACCTTTTCGAATTTTAGCGATTACTAACGTTAGTTTTCTTTATCCTGAGTTATTGTAACCCGACCAATCTTATTATTTCTACTAACTAAGCCTTTTCCTAGCCCTGCATACAGCGACGAACCCACGCGATTCATAGAATCGTTGACCCGGAAAGTTGTAGCGCCGTCGCTCGCACTCTGCCTTTTTGTCACACAGTGCTAATGACTTTGCTTTTCGCACCGTCCAATAGATTTTGTTTGGTGTAATTTATCACCAAAATGACGTTTCAGGCCAGAAAGAGCGACATCCTTTGCGGCGATCTCACCTTCACCGAGCACGCCAAGGATTACTTCTTACGAACCGGTGTTCCCACTGTCGACGTCCTCAAGAAGGACGGTCGATTCCAAATCACTCAAACCAGCAGCAAACCCTACAAATGGAATGTGCCCGTCTTCGTGCTGGATCTGGACACGGACAAAGAGCATGTGATCTGGCTGCTGAAGGACGGCAAGACCTGCTCTCCCGACAACTTTGAGCTCAAGGACGATGGGAATTACGTCTTCAACAACGACGCAAAGGCATTCGCAACCTTTAGAATCCACAATGACATTCATTTCAACGCCGTTGCGCATGACAAATTCCCTCATCTTTCGCTGCACAACCATTACTACATAATGCAGTCTGTGTCGAGGGTGAAACAGGGCGAGCAACTGGCTGAAATCGTCTACAACGCCGCGAAAAAAACGAAGGGAAATGTGCACTACAGCTTGTTGAGATACTTGCCGTATAATAGTAAATATTACAAAGACATTCTGACCATCATCAGCGATAACTTTGACTACGAGCCCACTGGAAAGAACAGGTAAGATGAGGAGTCATAAAGAGGAGTTTTTAATGTGTTTTAGAGTGATCGGAGGCTACTTCCTCGACAACGCGGTCCGAGCCGGCATTCCGAGCGCCGTAAAGAAGACCACCGAGCTTTTCGAGCAGTTCAAGGAGGATTGTGCGCCCGAAAGGGAACTTGTCGACTGCCCACAGTAAGCGCCGGCTGCTCTATGCTCTCTACCCACTATATCGGTCTGTTTTCAGACTGATATCGTGTATGGAGAGCTGTCTGCTCTTCAGCCAATAAAAAAATCGATTTTCAGACTTGTCCCCGAATTCCGACAAGCCGTTTATCGTCAAGGAGTCACCACCGCCGAAGGCAGAGCATTCATCGACAAGTACCGACAGCGCCTCACTTCGCACAAATGGCACGCCCGAATGCGAAGCGAGATCGACCGCGCGAACTTCTAGTTTTTGCAATAATTTAATAAAAGCTCGAGTATTCAACTTGGTTAGTGATTTTTGCGAGGATGTTTGTCTGACAGGAAAAGTGCCAGATTTTCCTTTGAAAGTTTCAAAAAGGGTCGGGCGTAAAACAATAGATCACTCCTCGCCTAGCTCGGGGACCGAACGTACACCTGGGGCCAATCTGAAAGTTTGCTGAAAATCATAGGGCGAAGCTAGGAGACCTTGCACGGGTGCAGCACGCGTCTTGGTCGCAGCTTGAAAACAAGCTGAAACTTAGCTCCGGCGAGCTGCAAAACGTTGTTTTTCGAGCTGCGCCCTACCATTTTCAGCTAACTTTTAGCAAACTTTCAGATAGTGCATCGGCCCTTGGCTTCTTCTGTAACTCTGACAGCCAACAGCTCGCTCAGATTATCCTCTCATTATCTGACCTTTCTCTCTCATTCCCAAATCCTCGTCCTACGGTGGGTTGTGGCGGAATGCCAAGATCAGGGTCTCTTCGTTGTGGGACACAGGCTTAGTCGGAAAGTCGTTGGCGGAGATATGTTTGCACTCCACTTTCATCCGAAGCATGAAAAAAAACAAAAAAAAACCCATTTCCATTGATTTCCTTTCAAAATTATTCAAATTATGCAAATTTCCCTTCGAAATTATGCAAATTCGACCCGGCCAACAAAACCCCCACCCACTCATTCCGCCACTCACTTCCTTCTCAACTCTCTCGGCGGGTCGGTGACACAGCCCGAAGATTTGGAGCAATGCCGCCAAAGAAGCCGGCGCCCACGGTGCGTAAAGGCAAACCCCACCACCGCAGCAAGAAGCTGGAAGATGAACCGAAACGAGATGAGGACACCATCGACGATGAGGTCGCGCCCGCCAATCCCGCCTCCACCACCCAACGTGGCCCGAATAGCGCGGCCGGGACCGCCGAGAAACCGGTTGGCAAGTCGAGTCCCAAGGAGAAAAGGAAGGAAAAGGTGGGTTGGCGGATGATTTTAGATACTGGGGACCTAATCCAGTGGCATAAAATGTGTCGTTTTGCATCCGGGAATTACCGAAAAATGCAGCCAAATACCTCCGTCTCCAAGTGAAAAACTTCGTTTTGAAGGGTCCCTCATAAAAAGAGCGGGCCCGCTTTTGAAATCGGAGTTTTTCACTTGGAAAGAGAGGTATTTTGCCACATTTTTTTGATACTTCCCGGATGCAAAATGGTACATTTTATGTCACTGGATCAGGTCCGCACTGTATGTTTTTTTTGGAAAAATCCGTTTTTGTGCCCTCTGGGGCCAATCTTAGACTAGTCGCCGCAGAAAGTGCGTAGACTCTTTATCAAGGGCCGTACTGCATAATTGTTTTTTTAATTTCAATTTCAGGGCTCGAGACAAAGGAGATCAAGGCCCGCAGGCAAGTCAACAAAAGGTAGAGTAAAAATTTTTTCATCAATAAATTTGTCTTGCAGGCCAGACAACGGAGCAACCGGGCGAGGCGAAGGGACCTCAAAGGGGCAAAGAGCTGTCGAAAACCCAGCTAGAGGCCGCCAGAAGTTTTCTCACGGAGGTTTCCAAATTAGGCAAGTAACTTTTTGAATGTCGTTGTGGGATAAAAATAATAAGAAAAATTTGATGGATTTTTGTTGATTTTTTGGTGGTATTTTCCTGATTTTTTTTTTGCTTTTGCAGGCCGAAAAAAGACCCAAGACAGGGCGCAGCTCGCAGAAAATATTTTTGTCAACAGCCATTTTTTGTAAATTGTTTTGGTCAAGAGCGTAGCTAAGGGAAACTCGAGAGCTCGGTAGAAGCGAATTTTATGTAAAGTCTAGGGCGCAGCTCGGAAAAAATATTTTTTTTGCGGTGGACTAGAAGCAATTTTTTGCCAATTTATTTTTGAAAGTAGGCTACTAAACCCGCAAATTTGCCTTTATTTTTTGTTTTTTACGGAGAAGGCAGGGCGCAGCTCGGAAAAATTATTTTTCGCAGTATTCCGGAAACGATTTTTTTTGCCAATTTATTTTTGAAAGTTGGCTGCTAAAACCGCAAATTTTTCCTTTTTTTGGTTTTTTACGGTGAAGGCAGGGCGCAGCTTGGAAAAAAATTTGTTATTTTTTTTTTATTTTTTTCATTTTTTACAGGCAGCGAAGGGGTCTGCAAAGAATTCCAGGAAGAAGTGAAAAACTTCCTCCCGCCTCAGCCCAAATTCGACGCATTTGCCGCGAACACGACCCGCAACCGCTACAAGGACGTCGCTTGTCTGGACGCGACCCGCGTGGTCCTCACGCTCAACGTGCCGCCCGAGACGGACTACATTCACGCCAATTATGTGCAACTTGAGGGCTATGACACCCGGAAATACATTGCCACCCAGGTAGGAGGGGCGAGAAATTGAAGATTTTGAGTTTTTTAGGCGCCCACCGAGGCGACAACCCCCGATTTTTGGCGAATGGTCTACGAGACTGAGGCCACATCCATTGTGATGCTGTGCGCAGTTGTGGAGAGTGGCATCGAAAAGTGCGCCCAGTATTTCCCGGCGCAGGAAGGAGCCTATGTCAATCATGGGCCCATGTTCGTCAACAATCGAAAGGTGAGCTCATTTTTATGCACGGAGCAAAATTTTCTAAATATTTTTTTTTTCAAAATATTTTTTTTTTGCAAAATATTTTTTTTGCAAGATATTTTTTTTGCACAGTGCAAAATAAAAAAAAATTTTTGAGATTGTTTTTGCACTGTGCAGAATTTGAAATTATTTTGCACGGTGTGAAAGGTCAGAAATTTATTGCACAGTGCAAATTTTGGCCTGATTTTTATTTCACAATGCAAAATTAGAAGTTTTTTAGCACTTTGCAGTTTCGAAAATTATTTTGCACCGTGCAAAGTCTTGGATTTTTTTGGCATAGTGCATGATTTCAAAATATTGTGTTTTTGCACTGTGCAAAACAATAATTCTAAATTTTCCAGGTGTGGACCCAGGATGAACTTACAATGCACACAATCGAAGTTATTCCGGACGGCTGTTCCAATTCCGTGCTCACGAAGCTGATTGTTATGCACCAATGGCCGGATAGAGGTGTCCCTGGAAGCACGATGAAAGTCCTCCGGCTGTTGAGATCCATCCCGAACGTGAGTTGCAAAAACAGACTTTACAAAAAAATCTAAAGGCATAGAGTTTTTTCTGGCTTGAATTCAAATTTTTTTACTTTTTTTGGGCCATAAATCAAAAAAATCCCCCAAAAAACAAAATTATTTTTTCCAAGCTGCGCCCTAGCCTTGACTTCGAACTTGTTTTTCTACTTTCATTCTGCAGCCTGAGGCAGTTTTTGAATAGTAATGTTATCTTATTTTTTTCAGGGAACCTGTGTGATTCATTGTTCTGCTGGCGTTGGTCGGACTGGAACCGCGATTGCTGTGGACTTTGCCATGTTCACCTTCAGGAAAAGACAAGAAAAGCCGGTGGTAAGCTGGGTATTTAGATTAAGTTTTATGTGGCATTTGTCCGTGGAAAAAATAAATTTTTCCAAGCTGCGCCGAAGCCTTGAATTTGAATATTTTCTGCAGTTTTTGTAAGCATTTTTAATTGCTTTTTTGTAGATCAAAGACATCGTCAAGAACATTCGAACGCAACGCGCCTGCGCCGTCCAAACCGAAGCCCAGTATCTGTACATTGTGACGGTGTTTGTCGACTACCTGAGCGTCAAAATTAAGGATAAAAAGACTCAAGCGTTGGTCCACCAGTTCAGGGAGACCATTCCCGCTCCCAATCCCGTCTGAACATTGACAATAAAGTTCATTTTCCGTGGACGTTTTGGTGATTTGAACTTTTTGTTAATGGCGGCGTTATTTTTACACACATGCCTCCACAAACACCCGTGTCAACTGCTTCCCCAGCTGTTTTCCCCGATATTCGAGAATGTTCGATGGAGAGATCCCGAAGCGAAGCGCCTGATTCACGGCACCGTAACCTTCTCTCACTTGCCAGGTTTTATCCCACATTGATTGATCAGTCGTTTTGTTGTAGTTGTTATGGTTGTGGAGTTGTGTGAAGTGCACTAGTCGCGCCATAAAGTCTGTAGAATTTTTTTCGCCGACGTCGCGGGTGCAATCGCCGAAAAGTGCATGTCGCTGGTGCAAAAGCTGGGAATCGCCGCGGTGCGTGCGAAAAAAGGGTTGAGTGCATTGTGCAAATTCTACGGACTTTATGTCGCGACTAGTAGTATTGTTGTTGTATGTTGAATGTTGTTGTAGAGGTTGTAACTGTTACTCTTCTTGAAGGGGAACGAAAACCTCGATTATCCGCCGTCCACATCAGTAACCTTCCTCTTGGAAGGCCAAGTACTAGTCCTTCCGGAAAGTCGCCGGACGGAAATGGGCGACATGCACTGTGCGAAAAAAGTCAGGGTGCGAGCGACACCCGAAAAAAGCCTATTGCACGGTGCGAAAAGCAAGAAATTGCACAGTGCAAAGTGAACTTTCGTTTTCGCGGAGTGCACGTCGCCGATTTCCGTCCGGCGACTTTCCGGAAGGACTAGTAATTTCCAGGTAGAAGGTGTTGAAGGTAAACGACTGGAGAAACACCGCAAGACCACAAGCCATCTCGTTATTTCTTTTCGCATTTCAGTCTATTCGAAGATGGAATCGGACATAGACTTGGCTCCCGGGCTGGCCGGGCCAAAATTTCGGGCCGGTTTCGGATCGGCCGGGCCGGCTGTAGTGCATTCCTTTACTGACTAGCGCTTGCAGACAGAAAATTGGTTAGAGGTGAAGTCTTGGTCAGCCTTCGTTCATCCAAGAGTGGTACATGACTGGCTTTATTACTTAACCCATCATACGTTTCGGTGCGCCCGAACACCGCAATCTGTACGAACTGTGGGGCATTTCTTTCCTTCACAAACTTTGTAGCGCTCTGTATTTCTTCGAAATGAAAATATCAAACTTCTAAGATCAAATGCAACGATTACGAACACACCCCCGCCGTCCTCGTTTTCCAACATGCTCGGACTAATCCGGGTTCACTCTTCAGCGACTTGCGACACAAGCCTTTATGATAAGACGCTTTCCGCACAAAATTAATGCGTCTTGTTTGTCATGCAATATTCCGTCTACTCCTCGCACAAATCGCTTACTGCGCACCAAAGGTTTATCAATTCTACGTATTGTTGGACGATTTTACTCTTCAATCAATCTACATTGGCACGAACAGAACGCAATTAAGGGTGGGATTGTCGTTGGCCAGTCCCGACAACATCATTGTTGATGGAGTGTGCGGGGCAGACTATGGAAAATGCCGGAAATATTGCGATGTCCGTAAGTTGGGCAATGTGCTATAAGTCTGTCAATATTTTAGCAACCCTATGTTCAATTTATTGCAATCCAATTTGCTGTATGTCAAGTACGTTGCGCCAGCTTCGATGCGAAGGGCCGCTGAAAGGATACTACTTGCATGAGTCGTTGGAGTTCGTCCCTACGAAGGAACACTGGAGGTCTTCGATCGACGACGCGGTCGGCATTTACGCTCAGGACATCCTGGCGATTGCAGAGCTCACCGGCGATGAATTAAAAATACGACCGGCAAGAATCGCGTTGAACGTCGTCTCCTCAATGACCGATTTGGCGCAGAAATATCAATTGCCGGAAATGTAGGTGGTCTTTCGAGTTCTTTTTGGGGCTGGCATGCACCGAAACCTCGTATACGATCTTTTCAGCAACAAGCTCGGACTCCGCCGCCGCTACGCAGCCCCTTCGTTTGTTGAGGAGATATATCGGGCCGGACTAATACCACAACCAATTCTGACCTTTACCCACGCCCAAACCCAAGGCTACAGGTCCATCTACCTCGGGACTCGGCATGATTTGCATTGCGATGAGTGGAGCAGGGTGCCATTTGCTCACGATGTTGAATTTATGTTCGACAGCGTCGAGGTGGACTTCCTGGGACACCAGAAGAGCGGAAACTTTCGAGTGAGCAATCTTCCACCATACAAATTATGCAGTATTTTTTCAGACTATGCTCTCTGAAGGACGGATATTGTACCTCCAACCGCAAGTTATCAGCTTCCTGCTTGCACAAAAAGCGGTGGTACTTAAAGAGAATACCGATTATGTCTACTATTTGAATCCGATTTTTGCCAACTCAACGCTGAGCTGGACGTTTTCAACCGGCTTCAAAGTTGCGTTGACCACCGAACTCACCACGTACAAAACTCCTTCGTTCATTGAGATTTATTTGAAAGCATTGGAGCCGAATCCTGACAATGTTCAGTGGATTCTGAATCATGCCGTGTTTTACAAGTATTGCGTTGCGTTTGATTACGGTGCTAATGCGGCGCTTTTCGCTTACTGTAGGGATTGTTTTTCGAATAAACTTGAAGCAAGCTATGAAAGGAGAGCACGGTATTGACAAGCAACGGGTTATTGACATGTGTTTGGAGCAGATGACAAATCAGAGAGAAATGTACAGCGCGGATTGTCCAAACTTTTAAGTGGGTAACATTTTCGATAACGGAGGGAGGTACTATGAGCATGTCGTGAAAATAGTGGCTGATCGTAACAATGAGATCCTCGGTTCCTCGTCAACACGATCAGACACCGAGTCTCCTAATACGCTGTCCTTGACAAGCTCTCTCAACATTCCAACATTCACCTATGACCTCTTTGTTCTCCCAAATACCACCATATACAAGATGGCCAATACACACGATGTATTCTAACTGTCCACACACGCTGTCGGCCAACCGCTCGCTCAGGCTGTGACTTCCAAACTATGATCCAAACTATGAAATAGTAGAAAGCAAATAAAGCCAATCCGGAGATGGTGTCGGTCCTTCTCCGTTATCGACGAGCCGCACCCATTACGCAAAAAAAAAATGAAAATATAAAACCCATAATCCCAGCGGCACTTCGCACCTTTTGTGGGGCAGGAACGGTGGACATCAGTTCGAATGCGTCTTGTTTTTCATGTAATATTTATTCTGCTATTGGCTCGAGGCATCTGTAGCGCCCCGAGGGTCTACGTGTTTACTGTGTCATTGGAGGATTTTAGGCTGCGATCGGTGTACGTCGGCACGAACAGGACATTGTTATATGCGGACTTGTCATTCGCAAGTCCCGACAATATCATCATTGATGGAGTTTGTGAGCCGAATTACGGAAAATGCCAAAAGTATTGTGATGTCCGTAAGACGTATAACATAATAATAAACTTTTTGCCTTAGCCACTCTATGCTCAATATACTGCAATCCGATTTGCTGCATGTCAACTGTTTTACGGCGCCTGCGATGCGACGGTCGGTTCATGGACCAGTATCAACACGAGTCATCCGAATTTGTGCCGACGAAAGAGTACTGGAGGTCTGCCGTCGACGATGCTGTTGGAATTTACGCCGATGACGTTGTAGCGATCAGGGACGGGACTAGCTTTGAAATGACTGTACGGCCAGCAAGAATTGCGCTGAACGTCGTGTCCTCAATGACGGACATTGCACCTGACGTCAATAAGCGGGAAAAGTAAGCAGAAATATGGTTGTCGGTTTGTCGGGAAAATAATGAGCTATTTCGTCGCTGAAAAAAAAGCAATTCGGTTTTGCCGCGACACAATTCATTTTCTCGGCGGCGATGCGATTTTCCGTGCGACAGAGTGCTTATTACTTACCCGGCAGACTGATATCTCTCTGTTGGAAAAATAACGTGGATTTGTCGCAGCAAAGTCTCTGGCCTCGTCGCAGCCACAAAATGCCTTGTCCCGGCTAGCTGTCGCAAAGCGATGAGAAGCGATTTCAAGTGCGATCAATCCACAGTATTTTCCCGACACACGGACATAATACGTACTATGAATACTGTAGCAGAAGATGAGCTTGGCTTTGATGGGGATAAAATCCGATTTTTATTTATTTATTTATTCAGACTGACAAGACCGGATTTCATAACCTCCATTTCTCAAATTTCAGCAACAAACTCGGCCTGAGGCGTCGTTACGGGCAGTCCTCGTTTATACAAGAGCTGGCTCAAAACAAAATAATACCAAAGCCCGTGATCAGCTTCACGCACGTCAAAATCGCTGGCTCTCGGGCAGTTTACTTCGGGGCCCGACATGACTTGTACTGCGGCGAATGGAGCACAGTGCCGTTTGTGCATGAAGTGGAATTCATGTTCGACACGATAGATGTGGAGTTCTTTGGATACAAGAAAACGGGCAACTTCAGGGTAAGTTTTACACGGTTTTTATTACAGAGAGCTCTGTTCCTGCGCCAATGAGTGCCCACTGTTTTCTCGACAGTCTGAGAGCAAGAACAAATCATGTTTTTTTAGACTATGCTAACGGAAGGACGAACATTTTCCCTTCACCCAGAAGCAATTAGTCACTTGTTGGCTCAAAAAATCATTGACTTGAAAAATGAGACCGATGACACGTACTATGTCGATGCCGCGTTTAAAAACACAACACTGCACTGGACGTTCTCCACCGGGTTCCGGCTCGAATTCTCGGCGGAAGATGCAATCTACGGAACTCCGACGTTCTCGCAGATCTACCTCAAGGTGCTGTGGCCGAATCCGGACAATGTTCAGTGGATCCTGAGCCATGCGTTGTTTTACCAGTATTGTGTTGCAATCGACTATGAAGCAGATGTTGTTCAGTTTGCTGTGTGCACGGCGTGCTATGCGAATAAACTTGGTAAAGTGTGTGGCTTTTGGAGAGGAAGACTACTACACTTTTTCAAAAGTTCATATCAGTTAGTCGGGAAAATAGTGAGCACAATGCCGCTGCCCCAATCATGTCGCTGAAGTGGCAATTTGATCTTGCCGCGGCACGTTTCATTTTTTCAGCGGCGACGCGATTTTCGCGACCGTGTGCTTGTCTTCCCGACAGACAGGCACAGTAGCCACTGGTCCAGTGGCAAGAAACGTACCACTTTGCATCCGTGAAGTATCAAAAAATGCAGCAAAATACCTCCTCAAGCAAAGTCCGCTCTTTTTGTGAGGGAAAGGACGCGCTTTTCAAAACGGAGTTTTTTAGTTGGAGAGGTAGGCAATATGCAACATTTTTGATGCTTCCCGGATGCAAATGGTACGTTTTTTGCCACTGGATCAGGTCCGTCACTGTACTACGCTTTTTCAAGAATGCCAGATTTTTTGCACAAACTCAGTTCCGCAATCTCGCAGGGACTCCGTTGAAAATGGCTATGGCTACATGATCTTTTTATTTCCCAGAGCAAAATGGGGTTTTTGCACCGGCTCAGAGACGAAAAGTCTACGCACTTTTGAATAAGGTTAGAAACTGAACTTTCTAAAATTAGAAAAAGTGATTGGATTGTATGTTCTCGCCATGTCTCCGCCGAGCATTCAACGGCTATTCTAGACCTCGTTTTCACCTCCTATAAGTCTGTCGGGAAAATAATGAGTACTCTGTCGCATCGAAAATTGCATCGCCGCCGAGAAAATGAATTGTGTTGTGGCAAAATCAAATTGTATGCAACCTTTGCAGATCATATTATAATATCGAAAGTATCTCGATGAAAAACGCACTCACTTTTCCCCATCAAGAGAAATCCAAATTTAATTAAATTCCACTTTCGTTTGAGTTGCGTTGAAAAGAGACATGGAGCATCTGGGATGGGAGGGAACACCGTTTTTTATTCACCCTTTTTGATGAGATCTTTTCAACATTATTTTTTACGATTCGTAGGAAAACATGAACAGAGAATAATAAAGGTTTATTCGACTTGATCTCTTTTTTAGCTCCTTGTTTTTGAGTTTGCGTTAAAAATCGAGGATTTTTGATTTTATAAGTCTGTCGGAAAAATTGTGAGCACTGTGTCGCAGATCGCATCGCCGCCGAGAAAATGAATTGTGTCGCGGCAAAATCAAATTGCTTTTCAAATCAGCGCATTGGCACAGCGTCTTTGTGCTCATTATTTTCCCGACAGACCGATCTTTCAGGTTGCCGTAACGAAATTTATGCTTGGTGCTGAAGTTATAAAAGCAATTTGATTTTATCGCGACACAATTCATTTTCTCCGCGGCGATACGATTTTCCATGCAATAGAGTGCTCATTATTTTCCCGACATATTGATATTATGCGCTTTACCGCGACATATCTTCCTCTTTCTTTCCTTTTTTGCCCCTCTTTCCCCTCTCCTCCACCTTCGAATTTCGGCCACAAACACAATCACATCGCAAGCCGGAAGAGGGTCGAGAAATCAGGCATGCCCATGCTTGTGCGTCCTTCTACACTCATCGTCTCCGGGCTTGATTCCGAGGCGATGGGGGAGAGACGAAATCGCGGGGGTGACACCTGTTTCAAAAAAATCTATTTTTCGTGTTTCTGGGCCCTCGGGGCGAACATACGATTCCGCTTTTTTCGTCCTCGAAAAAAGTTTTTTGGAGGAATTGGGACATGACGAATTTATGGGGATGGTTTTGTTGTTCTCACCGCTTATTGGAAGAACTAAATCTACCGCTTTAGTTTTATTAAGAAATTTCGAAATTTTTGACCCATTTTTAGGCAGTGAGGAGTATATCACTGCCTAATTCGATTATTTCTCTTTTTGCTATCACTAATAGGGATGAGTCTGTCGGGGAAATAATGAACGCAATGTCGCTGCGCCAGTCGGGTCGCTGAAGTGAAAAGAAATTTGATTTTCTCCGCGACACAATTCATTTTCTCGGCGGTGATGCGATTTTCGATGTGGCAGAGCGCTCACGAGAGTATGGTCAAGGAGTTGACGGGCCGCTATAGCAAAATGAGGTGGCGCGCCGTCTTGTTGAAAAACAAGACTGGCAAGGGCCAATTTTGCATAAATTCAAAAATTTTTGAAAATTAAATTTTTTTAAAAATTTACGTGAAAAAGCATGTTTGACTTTGAAGGGACATAATTCGACGTAGGATTGGTCATTTTTAATGATCATTTTTTTAAACAAAATGGCAACTACTAAGGAATAAAATGAGCTATTGCTCAAAAAATTGAACAATCCTATAAAAAGTTATAAGCATTTTACTCTACATCCGCGAACTTAGCTGAACCACCCTGTATTTTTTCTCGAAATTATTTTATTCCTTTTGTCAGTTGTGACACTTCGTTTGGACGAAACTCAAAAGTGGGCGGGAGACATTTTTGTTCTATTTCGGTTTGCCGTGCGTAGTGGCGTATTTTAACCCCATTTTGCAGAGTGCATTTCACCTTTTCGCAGTTCATCCCTGTGATTTTTAATCGTTGGCACAGTGCAAACCGCTTTTTCAAGTCTGCACTGTCTACGCACTTTCGAAAAAGACCCAATATTTCTCTTCCTGTCAGGGGTTTTACAACCACGTATCCAAAGGTATCTTTGATATACTTAGAAGATCCTTGTGGTTTGCATATTTTTAAGAGGAGAGCAGCGCTTTGCACCTCTTTTTTGAGCGGCAGGATGCATTTCACATTGAATGCGATGAAGAATACTTCCCGATGACATGCTATTTTACGGCACAAAGTCCGTGCAGCTTGCGCAGTGGGTTCTTCTATGATTTTTCGCGGACCACCGCCGTGAATTTTCGTTTTTACCCAAGCGACATGCACTTCTTCGCGAAGCGACCCCAAATTTCGCGTGCGACGCCAGAAAATAAATTCTACGGACTTTACGCCCCCAAGTAGCAATTGCTTTGTTTTTATTGTCGTTTAAGCAATCAGACATTAGCTTTATAACTTTTCTCTCGTATTATTTTTGTTTGCCATTTGCTAACGAGTTATATGTAATCCGACACCCTATGCATGCCTTCAAATCCCATCTTTTTTGAACTTGTGTGTTGAACTTTACTCTCAGATGACACTCGTTTTCTTTGAATTAATTCCGGACAATTCGGTCCAATCCGTTTAATAAATGCTTTACATAAGTCATCAGCATTTCCCCCAGAACTTGTTGATTTTCGAAGACGGACCCGCTCGACTCTTGTCTTTCGCCGTCTCGGGCCCTAATTCCCGGCCATTAAGTGCACACGAAACGACAATTGTTTTATAAAACGTGATGTCACGAGGCGCCCGAACCCAGGAGGTATTCCCCATCTCGAAAATAGAGGCCATCGGCCGCGAAAACACCCGAGAAAACACTCTTTTTTGCCTGTTTTGATTGGTGAGGCCAGCTCGATATTTGGATGACTAATCGGTTTTCTTTTCCTCTAGGAACTTCTCTACGATAAACTTTGGTTCAACGAACCCGTCTATTACAAACATCAGAGGTCTCAAGAGTCAGTTAGGTCCGCTATGGGTCAAAACGAACCTTTTATACAACGAAAGACTCTAAGCAGTCCAAAAAGCTCGTTTTCCCATAGTTCGGTTGCTGTAGGGGAAATTCAGTTCTTCAGGAAATAATAAGCACTCCGTCGCATCGCAAATTGCATCGCCACTGAAAAAAATCAATTGTGTCGCGGCAAAACCAAATGGTTTTTCAGTTCGGCGACATTGTGCTCATTATTTCAGTGCATACATGCCCGCACTTCTTGGCCCGGCTAGTATAATATATTACGCTAATGCGTAGACATTTTTTCGCGGCGTAAAATGCTTCGAAAAAAGCCTACAGTACGGCAATCTCCCTTGTGATCTGAACATATTTTACTGATTTTTGTGGAACTGAAAACCAATATTTTTTTCAAATTGCGAGCTAAAAATCTCGTTGAAATTTCATCAATCTTAAATCATCGTGCTTGTGAATCGCATGGAGTACTACATGCAGAATCTGATGCAAACTATCCTGAATGTTTTCAGAAACTCCTTGGAGAAATAAGCCGTCTATAACAATCACAGTGGTAATTGAAGGGTCAGCCAAGAAGTCAAAGCCACTAAGAAATCTCAGCCCAGCCAGTGACCTCAAGGATGCAGAGCAAGTGAGTTTTTTTCTATTTTCATCATTCACAAAGGAAGGGTTCCAAGTGCGACGTTCAGATTTTGATGAAATTTGGCAAGAGTTTTAATAATGGATAAATTTTTTTCAGGCATCTCCAGATTTCCTAGATTGCGCTTTGGAGAAATATACAGAAATCACCGAGATTTTTAGGTCAAAAGTTGATGAAATTTGGCATTTTTTTGCGAATTTTGACATGAAAAGTTTCATCCCTGTTTCTACCGCAGTAAATAATGTTTTCACAAAAAAAATCAACTTTTTCCGCACGATACTGACAAAGGTATGGGCAAAAAATTCCGTTCTCCGCGTTTAGTGTACTCTCTCGGTCGCAAGGATTGGTGAATATCTCGGCCGCGCCTGCAAAGCGCGAGCTGAAACTTTCGGAATTGATCTGAAATTTTTAATGGCCTGTGCCCGAAATGGCTGCAGAATATAGAGTAAACATGAAAATCTGAGCGTCGCACTTGGAGTACTTCCTTTGTGAATTCAAAAAGTAAAAAGTTTTTTTTTTGAATTCGGTAAAAAGATACCTTATTGCGCAATAGTGTTATATTTTTATATCTCTACGCTTTCTAAACTTACCATTTTTTATCAAATAATAATACATATGACACCTTACCATATCCCACCTCGTTGATCTTTTGACTTCCAAATCCCACCTCACGTTGCATTCAACCGCTTCTGCCAAGTCGATCATAAACTTCTCACACTCTTTCCGATCATACTTTTGATTTTCGTATCAGAGCGAGAATGTCAGCCGGGGAATGGCGGCAGATCGCCCATATTGCGTTAAAAATAGCGAGAAGTGATTGGAAGAGTAGGTTAATGGCCAAAAATATTAAAATCGATCGTTTGTCAGGGTTTATAGCAGGCCCTCAGGCGTTCTTCTTCTCTCGTCCCAGATCCCTTCACATTTTATGCATTGTTCGGCTTTGGGTTTTGGGTTTCTGTTTGAGGAGCGTGAGAATCGCATTTTAGGGAGCGCTCGGAGTTCGGATGTTTTTCGCGTGAGATGAGCGGGTTTGCAGGGTCAGCCGGGTCAAAAATCTATCACTTTTTTTGAATTCACTTCCTTGCACAGTGCATTTTCAGTCAGTACGCGAAATCGCTTCGGAAAAGTCGCAGCGACTCGGTTGAACATGGCTTTTGTCGCGCGATATTTCGATTATATTGCACAGTGCAAAATGAGGTCTTTTGCACGGTGCAAAATGGTTTTTATGCATGGTGCAAAATGGGTTTTATGCACCGTGCAAAATGGTTTTTATGCACGGTGCAAAATGTCTTTTTTTCATAGTGAAAAATGGGTTTTTTGCACGGTGCAAAATGGTTTTTATGCATGGTGCAAAAGGGTTTTTTGCCCGGTGCAAAATGTGTCTTTTGGACGGTTAAAAGTATGTTTTTTGCACGGTGCGAAATGTGTTTTTTGCACAATGCAAAATGGGTTTTTTCACAGTGAAAAATGAGTTTTATGGACGGCGCAAAATGTGTTTTTTTGGACGGTGAAAAGTATGTTTTTTGCACGGTGCAAAATGTGTTTTTTGCACAATGCAAAATGGGTTTTTTCACAGTGAAAAATGAGTTTTATGGACGGCGCAAAATGTGTTTTTTTGCACGGTGCAAAATGTGTTTCTTGCACAGTGCAAAATTGGATTTTTGCACGGCTCAAAAAAGGTTTTTTGGACGATGCAAAATGGGTTTTATGACGATGCAAATTGTGTTGTTTGCACGGTGCAAAATGTGCTTTTTTAGCCGATTAGTCCGTCGGGAAAATAATGAGAACAATGTCGCTGTGCCAATCGCGTCGCTGAAGTGAAAAGCAATTTGATTTTACAGCGACACCATTCATTTCCGATGCGATTTGCGATGCGACAGAGTGCCTATTATTTTCCCGACAGACTAAGGTTTTTCTGTAGAGATGTCCTTTTTAGCTTAAAATTGATCCTTGCAAACTATAAGACTGCACTTTACAGACAAGTTTTGTTTACGGAGATTTGTTGGACAGAGTTTGCATGTATTTTAAATAGAATGGAAAAGTTTTTTTAAGTCACCACGAAAATGATACCCTTGTATCAATTACCAATAGCAAAGGACCAAAGAGCTTGTGGAGTAATAGAAGAGCTCTGTTTTGCGTACTTTTAATTTGGCTTCAAATTTTAGTGATTTTTGGGGGGAAAAGTCGTGTGTTTTCTTTATAGGGAAAGGACCCCAAGTGCGACGCTCAGATTTTCTTTAAATTTTGCTTACATTTCGGGGGATAGAACACATTTAAATTCCTGAAAATTTTAGCTCACACTTCACAGGGAAGCCGAGAAATTTTAGCCATTTTTGCGGCCGAGAGAGTACGCGAAAGGCGGAGAGCGGTCAGAGAGAAGTCTTTTTTGGCCATATCTTTGCTACTTTTGCACGGAAAAAAATTGATTTATGGTGAAGATTTTACCCTCTACAGTAGAAATAACTACGAGAATTTTTGTGTCAAAATGCGACAAAAAATCTCGAAATTCCGCCAACTTTCGGACCAAAAATCTCGGTCATTTTCGGAAAAAATGTCACTCTAAATTTCTGCCAATTAATAGTAAGTTCCTTTAAAATCTGACCGTCACACACCGAGCACTTGCATTATTGGCAAAAAGGAAATTATCCGCTTGATACCTGCAAGAATTTGGATCGCAAATCACCTGGTTTAGTTTTTTGTGGCCCTCTCGGCATTCCTGATTAAATGCCGACAATTTGGAACATCTGCGGAACATTGTTTTGACCGGGGACGCTTGAGAGAAGCATTGTCTTGTTTTGCTGTTCCGACGATGACATTAAACTTGGTCTTTGGTTTGCAATAGGTTTGGAAATGCAGGGGCATTGTTTTAGTAATAGTAGTTACTAATTTTGCAAATGGTTAATGTTGATTTTTTCGACAATTTTTTTTTTTGATTTTCTGAGTTTCTTTTGTGAAATTTGGTATTTTCCCTTGGGCATAATGCTTACAAAAAATCATTTCGTAGGCTAATTAGTCTAGACACCACTAGTGGAAAAAACGGCAATTGGTTTTCTGAAATGAACAGTTTTGCTTTGCATATGGCATAAACACTCGTAAAATTTGGGTTTAGAGCTTTGGGAGTTCTTAATTTTTGATTTTTGTGCTTCCAGAGGTTTCTTCTTGACCCTCGTAAACTCATCGTAGAATCTGTTTGCTGCTGGTCGGGCCGGAGATCCACTGGAATGATTTTTGGCGTTTGCACAGTGCAAAAAAGTCAAGGGCGAGTGACATCCCAAAAAAGCCTATTGCACGGTGCAAAGTGAACTTTTGTTTTTTCACAGTAATGCCACGGGAATGATTTCACCGACTTTCCTGATGGCCTAGTAGGACAAAGAATAAGTATTTATACATATCTCTGATTTCGTGCATTTTCATAAAGTGCATGGACATTTGTCGCGGCCCGCACTGTGCACCCTAATTTTTTGCACCGTGCATTCTACTTTTTTTGGTTTTTGCACTGTGCGGCGAAATATCGCTGCGACAGAAGCAAGTTTCAGCCACGTTGCTGCGGCGGCGCCAGGAATTTGCCTAGTGCAAACGGTTTTTTTGAGGCTTGCAGAGTGCAAAAGTTCAAGATTTTTTTTGCACTGTGCGCTGGCGACAAGTGGGAGAAAATGTTCAAAATGCACTGTGCGGCGGAATATAGTTGCGAAGTAAGCAAGTGCACAGTGCAATCGGCCTTTTTGGCTTTTTTGAGGTTTGCACGGTGCACTGTGCGCTGGCGACAAGTGTGGAAAAAGTTCAAAATGCACTGTGCAAACGCAAAAAAATGTCCATGGACTTTGGGAAAATACTAATATAATTCTTCTAACAACCCCAATCTCCCTGTTGACAAGCACCACGAAAAAACAATTCCCATCCATTGTGAAAAACAAAAATAAAAAATTGGGACTTTCGAGGTTGGTGTCAGCAGCCCCCCTGGGGGGAATGTGTGGTCTTTCCGTGGCATTTCGAACGACCGTTATTCATTCGATTACCCCATTTTGCTTTTCGCGGACTTAAACGTTTTCCAGAGAACAGGGGTTTCTGTCTCTCCGGGTGCCCTGTTTTTGCATCGTGCGTCGGATAAATGGTCGCAGTGCTGGATCACAACGACAAACCGTAAGCGCCGGGGGGTTTGGGGCGATTTTTGTGGGGCAGGGCGATTGGATTAGGGTAAATTTGGGGTAAAAAATTATTAGTTATCAGATTATCAGAAAATGTCACATTCTTATCCAAGTTTCATTCTAAAAATCTCAGTGATTTCTGCACAGCGCGAGCTAGAAATCATGCGTCTTCAACTAATCTAATTTTGAGCCAAAGTTCATCAAAGTCTATGTGTAGCACTTTGTGCACTTCCCCTGAAAGTTTAATGGGTTTGATGGCCCTCTGGAAATGATGATAATTGTCTGCACTATGAAAAGATGTTATATTTCTGTCCTGATTGTCTCTAGAAGTCTCCATCAATTATAAGAGCGGTTATGGTAGCTTCTATCACATCAATCGTCATGTCATCATAGTCCTGAGGATGACTGTTTCTAAAAACAGATACGGTGATATGGTCAAAGGGCAGATCTTGATGAAGCTTGGGGCACATTAGGATTATCAGTATGTCGGGAAAATAATGAGCCTAATGTCGCCGAGTCTATCACGTCGCTGGAGCGGAAAGCAATTTGGTTTTTACCGCGACACAATTCTTTTTTTTCTCGGCGGCGATACGATTTTCGATGCGACAAGTGCTCATTATTTTCCCGACAGACTGATAGAAACTTTTATATTGAGATCTTTAGATCGAAAAATTATTTTTTTTCCAACAGAGTATATCCAGTTCTTCTCGATTCTTTTGTCTGACCATCCCTCTTGATTTCTATAGTCTCTCGCCGTCCAAGAATGTTGAATATCCCAGCTGTTCCTGCCAAGCGCAAACTTAAATTTTCAGTAATTTATATGTGGCCTAGAAGCAGTAGATGTGCCGAATTTCAAGAACATCTGAGCAATACTTGCTGAGAAATTTCACATTTTTTCTTCATGTCTCATTTTCATCCTCTCCGTAAGCTTTATGGCAGCAAAACAAAATTTTTTTTTCCAACTTGCTATATATAGTGCATAACGACCATTTTCACCATCATTTTTCAATAGCCATCTCCATCTGAATGTCCCGTGATTGTGCTCGAAATGTGACCCAGAAGAGTGCAAGCAGGGTTTTGGGCCGTGGTTCGCGGATCCCCGTCCCTTCACGGCTCGGGGCGTGTTTGCGTGCGAGCCTCGGCCAATTGCTGCAGTCGGGGTCGCGGACCCCGTTGTTTTTATACCCACCTGTTCCGAGGAGAGGAGAGATTTTTAAAGACCGAACGGCTTATGGTCCCAGTTGTTTGTTAACAGAGATCGCTCGGTTATGACTGGAAGGCAAAGGCTGGAAAACGAAAATTTTAGGGGTTGCGACGGAAGTTGACGGATGGGAAAAGTGAAAAAAAGCTCTTATTATATCGCATAAAAAGTTAAGACGACAAAGATAGAGGATGGATGTGAAATTTGACACAAAAAAAATTATGATGACGTTAAAAATTTATAGTGCAATATCTCGGCGCGCGATAGACAGATTTACTCAAAATTTGGCATACATACTCCTATTAGCCTATAGATCAATCTGTGAAAATTTTTCCTCGGGCTTTGCAACCGCAGCAGAGATATGGACGATTTCTTCCGAGAGAGCACGAAAAATGAGGAGAGTGCGCCAGACAAAAAATAGTTTTCGGCTACAACTTTTTGAGCTTTGCTAGGAAAAAATAGATGTTTTATGGGGAATTTTCGTTTCTCACTTCTGACGATTTTTTTGCAAAACAGGAGTCGAAAAAATGCCAGTTTTGACTTCAAATTTTAAAACTTTCGCCTTAAAAATCTTAACGTTTTCTGCAGAGTGTGGGCCAAAAATCTGACATAAGTCTTATCAAGGTCTATTCTTGATTTGTCTTTAGTTTTATCGGAATCTGTGGATCCAATTTTCAGGACTTGCAAATTGAACTCTAGCAACTTAATTGCCTTAAAAGTTAATTCAAATCTCGAATTGTGGCGAATCATGATCTGTATTCTCTCTCTCATATCCTCATCCTTTGTTTGCGTGCATCATGAACCCAATTTCAAGTCATGCTCATTGGTTTTCTACTTCATCTTTGTTTACCCTCATCTTACACTTGAAGAAAGCAGATCGTTCGCAAAAAAAGGTGTCAACTAGCTGAATATAATTTCTAGAGCCTCAAGACAGCTTCCAAAACAGAGTAAAATCAAATTCACCCACATTACTTCAATTTCAAACAATTTGAATTCAAAATTCCCGCGCAATTCGCCACTTTCGACGAGTTCTTGGCATTCCGCCGCAAGCCCATCGGAGATTTTCTTTTTTTTTTATTCCGCCGAGTTTTGACGGAGATCTCGAACTCTGTTTTTCGCCTCTCCCTCTCGATTCGAAATTCCCGAGACCGTCTTCGAACGGCCGCGACCCGAGAGAACCGCACGCCCGAGGAGTGCGGCCAGACGGGCGGGCCCATTTTCTCGAGGTCTCGACGTTCTTGTGCCCTTCGTTCCGGGGGCCTGTTAGCTCATTATCTACCTTGTCTGCTATTGTTTTTCTCGACATCATTTTTCGAGCAGGTCGGGGTTGTAGAAGGTAAATTTGCAAATTTTTTTTTGTGTTGATCTGGATTTTAGGGACTTTCGAGGATTTTCGGCCAATTTGATATCTAAAACCCTTCAAACTGCTTGGAGGTGGTGAACTAGAGGGGCATTGTGCTTTGAAGAACCGTTATCAACTGTTTTTTGGAGTTTTAAATAGTTCTTTGCAGAGCTGACATCAAATTTATATTGCACTTGGTTGAACTTGAAGGAATTTTTGTTTTTTCGCCAAAAGTTTAAAATTTTTGACTTTTTATGAGCTCCAGATAAATCCAGATCAATACGCGTCTTTTCCCTCGTTGAATCTTCCTCTTATCTTCTTCTTTCTTTAGGTTTTCTCCACCACAGATTGATCAAAGTTTGCCCGCAGGAAAATCGAAGCTGAAGCCTTGTTGGCGACATAAAATTGTCCGAATCGGACTAAAAAACTTTCTAAGGCCTTCAAAATGAGTATGATCCCAGTTGCATCGGATTTCAGTTACTATGCCGAGGATCAGACCATATCGATTCCGCCGAAGAAGTCGGAACCCACAACGTCGGCGGGCGAAAAGCGCAAGATCTACGGACGGGATCTGCGTGATATCGACGACAATGACCTCGACAATCTATTGAACAACCTGTCCGTGGAGGAGATGGAGGAATTGAATAACGATTTGGATCCGGATGTAAGTCAACGTTTTTTGATTTTTTCTTGTTTTAGGCAAAACAAATATGCATATAAGGTTGAAAGAAATGATTCACAGACCATGTTTTTGCTTTTTCCAGCAAAAAATTCTTTGATTTTGTCGTCTTTCCATATAAAAATCCACTCTTTTGATATTACACTAGGTCCATCAAGGAGAATTTAAATTTTTATCTATTCCCCTTGTTCTTTTCAGAACTCAATGCTTCCGCCCTCGCAACGAGGCACCTATCATATCGACAAGACCCCAACAGGCCCATATAAACGTGAGAAACTGCTGCAACATCTGGAAGAAGAAGCCAAACAAGATAAAGATTGGGAAGAGAAGGTGCCATTTGCTTTGGGGCAGAAACGAGGTAAGCGCTGTTTTTTATTGTTTGTTGAATGTTTTAGGAACCATTTCGAATCATCTCAATTGATTTTAGGCAAAGTGTTTGAGGAGAAGAACCCGAATGTTCAAGATGGCGGAAAAGGGAAGGATAAGAAGGTTCCCATGCCGATTATGCTCGATTTGGACAGTGACACAGAGGGCGAAGGCGATGACTTCATTGAGAAAGCCTTGGACAAAGCGCCAGAGAAGGATTTGGTCGACTTGGCGGGAATTTTGGGTATGATGATACCAAGTTTAATATAATTTTCATTCTCAATTTTTAGGAATGCATAACGTCCTGAACCAAACACAGTATTATAACGCATTGAAGGGCAAGGCCCAAGACGAAAATACAGCCACTTTTGACGGTGTAATCAAAGCATATCAGCCACGAATTGTTCCAGATGAACCCGAAAATCAAACAGATGTAGATCAGTGCATACAGTAGGTTGCAATTTGGGTTAAGCCCATTTTTTATTGGATTTTGAGGCATTAGATTTCAAATGGAAGAGGTTTTGGATATTGATTTTGATTATTTTCGACTCAATTATATTGTTTTAGACGGTTAGAGACCAACGATCCAAATATGACGGAAATCAACATTAACAACATGAAGCGCCTACCCAAAGAGAAGATCCGCAAACTGGTCAAGACTGCATCCAATTCCAAACATCTCACCAAACTCTCGCTTTCCAACACCGCCATCGACGATCAGGAGGCGCGGCCTTTGGTGGAGCTCATCGAAAACCTCCCCTCACTGCGAGTGCTGAACGTCGAAAGCAACTTTATTAGTCCCGAGATGATCGCCAAGATGCTCCGTGCCACCCTGAAACATCAGAGCATCATCGAGTTCCACGCCGAGAACCAACGACAACAGGCGTTGGGCATCCCCATCGAGATGGACATCATGATGACCGTCGAGGATAACGAGTCCTTGTTGAGGGTGGGCGTGTCGCTGCAGTCGATGGAAGCAAGACATCGAGTCTCGGAAGCGCTGGAGAGAAATTATGAACGAGGTAGGCGAGGGGTTTTGATTTGGGAAAGGATTTTGGACAGTGCTATGTTAGCCTTGAGGTAGATGAATTTAAAAGAGACTTCGCCAGTTGTGGAAGGAGGGTCTGCCCTAGAATTTGACCCCCACTTTTTTCTGTCTCAACTGATGACATATAGGCTGTTAAACAACTTGGTGAATTTTTTTCGAAAAATTCGTCATCATGACCGAGATATGACACATTTATTGAATTTCGTTTAATGTGATATATTGTGCTAATTTATCGCCGCAACATTGCAGAACTGAGTACACACACGTTATAGGCCATGCTGAACAACTTTGTAATTGACCCCAAGTTTGTCAGGTTACTGTAACATACCGTAACGCCCATGCTTGATCAATAAATCTTGATTTTCTCGATTTTTTTTCAATAATTTTCTCGGAATTTTTTTGCATTTTTGGAATCAGCATCAAATTCTGCATCGGATAGACTATATGCGCATCTCCAGATAGGTGTACAAAAATGTCGTGGCGCAACCGGTAGTGGGTCGGACTACCATTCAAAAGGTCCCGGGTTCGAGTCCAGGTGGAAGCAAAAATGCTCAAACGCGCTGGAAATTGTACCAAAACAGTTTTAACCTATTGGAACTGTGTTTAAAATAAATAATAATTAACATTGTTGCCTAAAAAGGCTAAATTTTGGATTTTACGAAATTTTTGAAAATCATGATTTTTGTGGGCCCAAATCTGCCGAAGAAATGAAAATTTTTTGTAAGCGATTTTTTTGTTTAGAAACAACGCATGGCACATAGAAAGACTATTCCTCAAAGGATTTCGTTCAGTTTTGCCCAAAACACCAAAAAGTTGAACTTTTTCGTTTTAATCGGAGAGCACCGCCAGAACCCAGTAAGCCGAAGTGACGTCATTCAAACGTGGATACACATGTTTTCCACTATGGGGAGTCAATTTTTTAGCAAATTTTACAAGACTGAATACTGTAACATCATGAAATATGTGAATATCTACAAATTTTCAAATGTAAATTTTTTTGTGGAAAATTTTCGCGGCTATTAGAAAGATATTTGAAAGCAGCGCAAAATACTGCTCTATAAAATTGGAAACGATTCCGCGTAAGGACTCCTGAAAGTCATTATTTCAATGTTTTGTCAAATGCCAAAATACGAAATTTTTTTGGTGTTTTGGGCAAAATTGAACGAAATCATTTGAGGACTACTCTTTCTATGTGCCATGCGTTGTTTCTACACAAAAAAATCGCTTACAAAAAGTTTTCATTTCTTCGGCAGATTTGGGCCCACAAAAATAATGATTTTCAAAAATTTCGTAAAATCCAAAATTTAGCCTTTTTAGGCAACAATGTTAATTATTATTTATTTTAAACACAGTTCCAATAGGTTAAAACTGTTTTGGTACAATTTCCAGCGCGTTTGAGCATTTTTGCTTCCACCCGGACTCGAACCCGGGACCTTTTGAATGGTAGTCCGACCCACTACCGGTTGCGCCACGACATTTTTGTACACCTATCTGGAGATGCGCATATAGTCTATCCGATGCAGAATTTGATGCTGATTCCAAAAATGCAAAAAAATTCCGAGAAAATTATTGAAAAAAATCGAGAAAATCGAGATTTATTGATCAAGCATGGGCGTTACGGTATGTTACAGTAACCTGACAAACTTGGGGTCAATTACAAAGTTGTTCAGCATGGCCTATAACGTGTGTGTACTCAGTTCTGCAATGTTTCGGCGATAAATTAGCACAATATATCACATTAAACGAAATTCAATAAATATGTCATATCTCGGTCACGATGACGAATTTTTCGAAAAAAATTCACCAAGTTGTTTAACAGCCTATATGTCATCAGCTGAGACAGAAAAAAGTGGGGGTCAAATTCTAGGGCAGACCCCCATTTGAGCCTGCTTCAGCAACTCGCGAAGTGTCTTTTAAATGGTCATAACTTTTTACAAGCTGTTTGGAATTTAATAAAACTTGATAGTTGGTGTGGTTATGGGCCAATTGAGAGAATCCATAAGTTTTTAGATTACATTTTGCTTTTGGACAGGGCTATGTTAGCCTTGAGGTAGATGAATGTAAATGGTCATAACTTTTTATGAACTGTGGGGAATTTAATAAAACTTGACAGTTGAAGCGATTATGGGCCAATTGAGAGATTTTATGACTTTTTAGAGCAAATTTTGGTTTTAGACAGGGCTATGTTAACCTTGAGGGATGAATTTAAATGGCCATAACTTTTTATGAACTGCGAGGAACTTTATAGAACTTCACACGTGGAGCGATTATGGGTCAATTGAGAGAGTCTATGACTTTTTTAAGCTAGAGAAGGAAATTGCGTAGGCTTATATTACACTTGATTTATCAAACTTTCAGTAGTGATAATTTTTGCTGCAGGGTTTAGATCATGATGAAACTTGGATATAGGGAGTACAGTGCGTCCATAGGAGTCCATGAAAAATTTTATTGCGCACTATGCAGAAATATTTGAGATATGGCGATTGGATTTTTTTTTTGTTTTTTGAATTTTTTTAGAAAGTTTTGTCTGGGAAATGAAAAAAATTGGCAGACATACTGTTTGAACGAACCTCTCGACCATTTAATAATTTGTCTACCTGTTTTTTAGTCGATTTACGTCAAATTTTCACCTTTTTTTCTGTTTTCCAATCCTTGCACTTTCAGTCCGTCTCCGACGCCTGGCCCAACGCAAACAGGCGGCAGCGCAGGCCCAGCAGAACAACAAGAAGTAAAACCCAACGATCCATCGAGGGGCCGAGCCCCCCAACCCAACGCATATCACTTTCAAATCCCTCTTGGTCTCCCTCTCTAATGTTCGGAAACGAAAAAAATCGAAAAAAGTGCAATGCTTACGGAATTTTGCAACTTTTTTGCAATCTTCAGGGACTTGCCCCCAGGACAGACGATTTTTTCCGCTGGAGAATTAATTTGAAAATTGTGGAAATTGATTTTTTCGAGATTTTTTTTGGATAAAACACGGACAAAAATTGGCTCATGCCCTGAGGGCAACTGTCGAACATTTTTTATTTTCCTGCCCCGATTGTAAATCCGCATTTGTGTGTCTTCGGTTTGTAGCCAAAAGTTGTAAGAAACAGTTTATAAACCTCCGCTGAACCTTGTAATAAGACTCGTCTCATTCTCAATCTAATAATGTAATTGCCTGATAAATGATAAATACTGAAAATTCATGTTGAGTTGGAGGTTGGATACGAAAAAAAATGTTTGTTAGTAGTTTCGTAAAGTTCATGGCACTTTTTTTTCTTTCGCACAGTGCATTTTGAACTTTTTCTCACGCTTGTCGCTAACGCACAGTGCGAAAACCATTTTGAACTTTTCGCACCGTGCAAACTTCAAAAAAGGCTGTTTGCACTGTGCAAATTCCTGGCTTAGTCGCAGCGACGTTTCACCGCACAGTGCATTTTGAACTTTTTCTCACGCTTGTCGCTAACGCACAGTGCGAAAAGAATTTTGAACTTTTCGCACCGTGCAAACTTCAAAAAAGGCTGTTTGCACTGTGCAAATTCCTGGCTTCGTCGCAGCGACGCGGCTGAAAATTTTTCTCTTTTCGCACGGTGCAAACCTGACAATTGTGAGGTCAAAAGCATGTCATTCGACCAAAATTGCAACCAATTTTTACATGCTTTCCTTGTGAAAAAAGATGATTTTCCCAAAACTCAAATTTTATTCAAATATTGCACTAAGTGGGAAATTTGAATGGAGTCAAAATCAGGCCTTTCAACATTCTTGCGGTCATTCGCGTGAAAGACGTTGCTTGGGACGGTCGCTCCCTCGATTTTTTCGTTGCTCGTCGCTCAAGATGAAGACTCTTCTGGCGTTGGCACTTCTCGTCTGCTTGGGTAAGTCTTTGTCCGTTGTTATGGAGGTTGGTAGTAAATCGTGGGTTCCAAAATATCTTGACTGCTGATTTCAAGACTCGGGTTTTGGCCCAACCAAAAATTTTTGATTTATTTCGATCCCAAGTCTTTTGGCATTTGTTTATACATAGCCAGCGGGTTTCTCAGCCATGTTGAGCCTTAGATTAATGCTTGCTTTTCACTATGTTTTGGATGCACTTAAAACTTTTGTAATATTTTAGTTGTTTTACAAGGAAAACACTTTTATGGGGACTCCTACTTTTTGACGGGACATATGTCAAAAAATCCGAAAAATTGTGCTGATCAGGGACATGTAAAAATTAGCTGCCCAATTTCCGGTTTTAGGGGAGAAAATAAATCGGAAGTTGACAAGTCCTATATAAACCACTTTCGCTAAATTTTTCACAGGTTTATAAATCTTAGTTTACAAGGGAAGTACCCCAAGTGCGGCGCTCAGATTTTGATGAAACTTGGCGCAGATTTAGAGTAATTTTTTCTAAAATATATGCGAGAATCCTAGCTCGCGCTTTGCAGAAACAGCCGAGATTTTTAGATCGAAAGTCGGCGAAAATTTAGGACTTTTTACCGAATTTCCGCACGAAAAGTTTCATGCTTATTTCTGACATAAAGAGTAATGTTTCCACAAAAAATCTATTTTTTCCGCACGAAACTGCCAAAGTTATGGCCAAAAAACGTTTTCCCTCTGACCGCTCTCCACGTTTAGCGTGCTCTCTCGGCGGCAAAAATCGTTCGATATCTCGACGGCGCACGCAGAGCGCGAGCTAAAACTTTCAAGAATTGATCTTTAGTTGATGCCTGACGTGTTGCAAAATTTTCAAAAAATCTGAGCGTCGCACTTGGGGTACTTCCCGTGTTAGATGACTGCTTGCTTTTCATTGTGTCATGAAGTTGGACCTTTTATAATATTTTATTTGTGTTATATTTCTTTCCATTTCAGTCGATTCCACCCACTCGGTAAAATGCTACAGTTGCATGAACAGTGAAGGGAAAGACGAAGAAGGTAATGCCCTCGAAAATCAGGGAACTGCCTGTTTCAAACGTGATGGCCACGAGCAGACGGACTGCCCGAACGGTTGCCTTAAGGTTAGTGCAATTGGAAAACAAGGAAAAGCCATCGTCCGAGGATGTCTAGAAAGCAGTGACCTTGCAAAAACTCCCAGCTGCGCTAAAAGAGACAGTTTGACTCTCCGGGGACGCAGTGTCACTGAAGAAGCTTGCGTATGCAACACCCATCTCTGCAACGGAAGCCCCGGATCCATCCTGTTCTTCACCGTGCCTCTCTTCGCCGCGCTCTTTGTGATGACCATCTAGAGTTCATATTACTCGATGGTTTTTAAATAAACAATTTTTTTGAATTGCGCATCGTTTTTTGGCCGTTTTTCTTTCTGAAATTTTTTTTTTATGTTTTTGATTACTATTTATCGAAGCCGTTTTCTTGAAGCCCGTTGTCGAGCAGAACTTTCCCTGTTTGTCGGTTGTTGATCTTGACAGCCCACTTGGTACACATGCTTTTCTCAGTCTGGCCATCTTCTGTTCATTGGGTAAGTCGAACCAAAAAAAAATGTCTTTCCCAAAACTTTGCTGCGAAAACTTTTCGCACCGTGCAAACCTCAAAAACAGACGTTTGCACTGTGCAAATTCCTGGCGCCGCCGCAGCGACGTGGCTGAAACTTGCTTACGGCGCAGCGATATTTCGCCGCACAGTGCGAAAAGAATTTTCCACATTTTGCACAGTGCAAACCTCGAAACAATCCGTTTGCACTGTGCAAATTGATGGCTCCGACGCAGCGATATTTCGCCGCATCGGATTTTTGTGCACGGTGCGGAGCGCGAAAAAAATGTCCATGCAGTTTATGAAAATCTTACTAATAAGAGTTACAAAGGATGGAATTGCAAAAAAATGGAATTTCAAAAAAAAAAATTTTCTTCGCCATTTTGGTCCTTCTCAAGCCCCGAAAATGGTCGATAGTTCCGCGGCGACGAATGGAAAAGACCAATCATTCCATTCATGGGTAAAAGAAGTGGTCGAGGACCACGTCCCCATCAATTATTTGCCCAATTTTGATCTGGATGTGTGAGTTTTCGAAATTTTTTTATTGGCGATCGGATGAAAATTCGCCTTACCAGTTATTATCAACTTTTCTTTTGACCAAAAAACAAACTCGACTTTCAGTGAGCCAACCCAAGAGTCGGATTACGCCGCAATCTTCGAGACCATGTTGGCGGATCCGGAATTGGACTGGGCCGTCATCTACGACTACGTTCGATTGAAGCGCTACTGTGAGGTCTTGGAAGCGGATCTCCAGTCCGGCCGAGTCTCTGTTTTCCCCGCGTTTGAGGTCGATATTCGCAACTCTATCAAACAGCATTATGTGGGTTGAATTTTACGTGAGATTGCCGAAATTTTATCTGTTCAATTATGACAAAATTCGGCGCAAATTTTGGATTAGAATTTTAAAATAATTTTCTTCTAAAAATAATTCGTAAATCGTCTGATCAACGAATCATTTCAGTACCTCAACAGCGGCCCAACCGACAATCATTTCATCATATCGTTGAGAGAAAAGTACAAGAAATCGGTAGGTCAAAAAAAAATCAAAAAAAAATCTAATTTTTCCTGCCTTTTTCAGTACGCCGATTATCAGAAACGCTTCGAGAACAATGTGAAAATGGTGGAGAATCGGATTTCCGAAATGGCGGAGAAAAGGCAGGCAAAGGTGAGGGCGTTTTTGCGACTAATTAGGAGCAATTTGACCCTCAAATTTTGATCGAAATGGGCAAAAATAAAGATTAAAATTTTCTAGGACATGACAGATTCTTGGCTCACACTTTGCAGAAACTATCGGGATTTTTAGGTCGAAAGTTGGAAAAAAATTGACGATTTTTCACCTATCAACGGGAAAAAATGACAATTTTTTGTCAACTTTCGGCCTAAAAATCTCGACAATTTCTGCAAAGCGTGAACCAAAAAATCTCTCATGTCTTAGAAAATTTTAACCTTAATTTTTGCCCATTTTCACCAAAATATGCGCCAAATTTTCGTAAAATTTCTCTTCGACCCCGTTTTTTTCTAATTCAACCCCTTACAGTACTCAAGTCTTATCGCTGGAGTAAATGCGATGGGTTTAGAGAACACGGAAGAAATGGAAACGAAAACAGCGGAGAGCGCTGACAAAACGACTAGTGAATCCAGTTCTAGTACTGAAAGCAGTTCCTTGGGAACCTGCGAAGGCCGTTCGCCCGATTCTATGCTTTCGTCTCCGTTCAGCTCAACGAATACCTCCTACAGCGAAGAACTCGGGGACTAAACCAAATCATTTGAGTTTTTTGCGAATAAAAATAAAATTTTTCTTCAAAAAAGTTCAATTTCAGTAAACTAAAAATATTGTACTTGAGGTACCAACCGAAATTTTCAGCTAAGACTCTTTTTCAACAACAATTTTTTATTAACGAAAACGATTAGCAAATTCAACAGGTTAAGAGTACTAATCCGTCAAATTGTAACGGGATAACAACGAAATAATCGACAAGTGGATATAACAAAAAAAAACTCCTTACTCATCAAACTTTATAGAGTTGACTTCCATCGAAATACGACCGCCGGCGTAGCTTCCGCGCTTCTTTTTGGTCTTCTCATGGCGGAAGTTGCGGCCGCGAACTGCGCCCAGGTCCTTGGCGGCTTTTGACCCCCAGGCATCATGGGGCTGAAATCAAGTATTACTAGACATTTCCAGCGAACTTACATTATATGAGTTGTCTCTGAACTTCTCATCGACCTCATGTTTCGTAGAGCGAACTCTTCGGAATGGCGAGCTGCTTCTCTGAAAATACCAATAATGTAAAATTAATATAAAATTAGCTAGTAAAATAAAACTAAAACTACACTCGCACAGCGTTCTGTACTTTTTTTGGAATGATTCCGACACCGATTTTTTCGAATTTTTCTAAAATAGCCCGCATTTACGCGGGTGTCGCGAGGGAATACTGTAAGATTGAAGTGTAAAATTTGCAGTGCTTTTAGAGTAAAGATAGATCTTTCCAACGATACAACTTACGTAAATTAATATGGAAAAAGAAATTTGTAACCAACGCTGAAAAATGACCGACTTTGGATTTTCGGCGCTAAAGATTGCCCTTAGGCAGATCTCTTAGAAGAAGTGGATGCGGGCTATTTTAGAAAAATTCGTAAAAATCGGTGTCGGAATCATTCCAAAAAAGTACAGAACGCTGTGCACTCGGAAATCCAAAGAATGATCTTTTTCAGTTCCAAGTTAATGTAATTTTTACTGGTTTTTATTTTTGAGTTGAATACAGGGCGTTTCAAGAAATTTTCCACAATGTTTTTTCAAATATCTCAGGGCTTTTGTAAAGCCGCAAGCCCTAAGCTTTCCGCAAAAAGCTTTGTCGAAAATTTCATGAAACACTCTGTGTATCTACTCAAAAAGTAAATCAAGAAAATATTACATTAACCAAAAATAAAATATAAAATTTCGATAAAAATCAAAGGCTCTACATTTTTCAGAGCGTCTACAAAAACAATTTTCAACCCAAAGATTTCGAAAAATTCCAAAATATAGCATTACCTTAGGCTTGAAGCTTCCGTTGTTATTCTCAAAGGCATCACCACCTCCGCTTTTCTTCATTACTGGCTCTTCGCTTCCATCCGAACACTCCTCCAGCTTCCTCTTCAGATTTCTGGGTTCTGATTTTCTTACTGATGAATTAAGTGGAGTTGATGTCACAAATGAGGGTTCGTCCTCAGAAGAATCCTCCGAGCTGGACTTGGCCGGCTTGGAGTTCTTTGTACCATCTAAAGACAGTAAAATAAAACAAGAAAAATGGTCTTACTTTGAGCTGGAACTGGCTTGGCGACCTTCTTTGGTGGTTCATCATCAGAAGAATCCTCCGAGCTGGAAACGGCCGGCTTGGAGGCGGGCTTGGCAGCTGGTTTCACGTTACTTGTGCCATCTAAACATCAAATAAAGCAAGAAGAATAAGCTTACTTTGAGCGAGAACTGGCTTGGCGACCTTTTTTGGTGGTTCATCATCGGAAGAATCCTCCGAGCTGGACTGGGCCCGCTTGGAGACGGAGTTGGCAGCTGGTTTCACGTTCTTTGTACCATCTAAACATAAATAAGACAAGAAACGTGGACTTACTTTGAGCTGGAACTGGCTTGGCGACCTTTTTAGGTGGCTCATCATCTGAACTGTCATCGGAGCTCGAATCTTTCTTAGGGGTCGGTTTTGTGACTTGTTTAACCGGAGTCGCGTTCACTGGTGCTTTCTTTACAGGTTCCTCGTCTGAACTGTCATCGGAATCAGATTCCACCTTCTTCGGAGCGGCCTTGGCAGCAGGCTTCACGCTCTTCGTACCATCTAAAAAACAAATAAAATAAAACAAAAAAAAACTTACTTTGAACTATAACTGGCTTGGCGACCTTCTTTGATGGTTCATCCTCAGAAGAATCCTCTGAGCTGGACTGGGCCGGTTTGGAGTTCTTCGTACCATCTAAAGATAAAATAAGACAAGACAAATTAACTTGCTCTGAGCTAGAACTGGCTTCGCGAGCTTCTTAGGCGGTTCATCATCTGAGCTGTCGGAGCTGGAATCTTTCTTGGGGGTCGGTTTTGTAACCTGTTTAACCGGAGTGGCCTTTACTGGTGCTTTCTTTACTGGCTCTTCATCTGAACTATCATCTGAGCTCGAATCTTTCTTAGGGGTCGGTTTTGTGACCTGTTTAACCGGAGTCGACTTCACTGGTGCTTTCTTGACAGGTTCCTCATCTGAACTGTCATCGGAATCAGACTCCACCTTCTTCAGAGCGGCCTTAGCAGCAGGTTTTACGTTATTTGTGCCATCTAAACATCAAATAAAACAAGAAAAAATAACTTACTTTGAGCTGGAACGGGCTTGGCGAGTTTCTTTGGCGGTTCCTCGTCTGAACTGTCATCGGAGCTCGAATCTTTCTTTGGAGTCGGTTTTGTGACTTGTTTAACCGGAGTTGCCTTTACTGGTGCTTTATTGACTGGCTCTTCATCTGAACTGTCATCGGAGCTGGAATCTTTCTTTGGGGTCGGTTTCGGGGCTTGCTTAACCGGAGCCGCTTTAACTGGTGATTTCTTTACTGGTTCGTCATCTGAGCTGTCATCGGAATCAGACTCCAACTTCTTCTTCGCAGCGGCCTTCGTAGGACTGGGTTTAGCCGTACCTAAAGATCAAATAAACAAGAAAAATCAACCTACTTTGAGCTGGAACTGGCTTGGCGACCTTCTTTGATGGTTCATCTTCGGAAGAATCCTCCGAGCTGGACTGGGCCGGCTTGGCGACGGCGGTGGCAGCCTTCACCGGTGCTTTCTTTACAGGCTCTTCGTCTGAACTGTCATCGGAGCTCGATGATTTCTTGGGAGCTGGTTTTGGGGCTTGTTTAACCGGAGTGGCCTTAACTGGTGCTTTCTTGGCAGGTTCCTCATCTGAACTGTCATCGGAATCAGACTCCAACTTCTTCGGGGCAGCCTTAGCAGCAGGCTTTGAAGGACTTGGTTTAGCTGAACCTAAAGCTCAAATAGAAGAAGAAAAATAAACTTACTTTGAGCCGGAACTGGTTTGGCTACCTTCTTTGATGGTTCATCTTCGGAAGAATCCTCCGAGCTGGACTGGGCCGGCTTGGCGACGGCGGTGGCAGCCTTCACCGGTGCTTTCTTTACAGGTTCCTCATCCGAACTGTCATCGGAGCTCGCATCTTTCTTTGGGGTCGGTTTTGCGACTTGTTTTACAGGAGTTGCCTTCACTGGTGCTTTCTTGACAGGTTCCTCATCTGAACTGTCATCGGAATCAGACTCCAACTTCTTCGGGGCAGCCTTAGCAGCAGGCTTTGAAGGACTTGGTTTAGCTGAACCTAAAGCTCAAATAGAAGAAGAAAAATAAACTTACTTTGAGCCGGAACTGGTTTGGCTACCTTCTTTGGTGGTTCATCTTCGGAAGAATCCTCCGAGCTGGACTGGGCCGGTTTGGTGACGGGGGTGGCGGCCTTCACCGGTGCTTTCTTTACAGGTTCCTCATCTGAACTGTCATCCGAGCTCAAATCCTTCTTTGGAGCTGGTTTTGCAATTGGTTTTACAGAACCTAAAGATCAATAAAAAAAGACAAATAAACTTACTTTGAGTTGGAACTGGCTTGGCGACCTTCTTTGATGGTTCATCATCGGAAGAATCCTCCGAGCTGGACAGTATCGGCTTAGCGGCGGGGTTGGCAGCTGGTTTCGTTGTAGCATCTAAAAATAAAAGCGTCTATATTTTCCCCCAGTATAAAAGACATTTGCCAGAAGAGCGAATTGTAGAAAAATAATTTTTTTCCTAGAAAGCATAATTTTACAAAAGTAAGACACAAAAGCAATCAACAAGAGTAATGAGTAACTTTATTTGTAAAACATGATAAGTATTAATGCAAAGCAGTGTTTTAGTGGTTTTTTGAGGAAATACTCCAAATAGACGTAATCGACAGTGCTGATTTTGAAAAAAATCCCATTTATAGTGATTTCCACCTTTTCGGGGTCAAAGAGTGTGATGAAGCGTACATCGACAGCCTTTCTTTTTCTTCTTCTGCGCCGGGAAGAACATTGGCAAAAGACAATGCCAAAAACTACTTGCATTCAACGGGAACAAGATATTCAAGAAGAAAACATGGGACAATCTATTCAGACATGTCTTAAAAGACTTTAATGAATTCTCTCATGTTTTCTTCTTGAATATCTTTTGTTCCCGATGAATATAAGTAGTTTTTGGCATTGTATTTCGTCAATGTTCTTCTCTGTGCAGAAGATGACAAAGAAAGGCCGTCGATGTACTCTTCACCACACTCTTTGCCCACAAAAAGTTAAAAACCACAACAAACGAGAATTATTTTCAAAATGAGCACTGTTGATTACCTCTATTTTGAGTATTTCCTCAAAACACCACTAAAAACACTACTTTACATTAACACTTAGCATGTTTTACTAGTAAAATAACTTATTACTCATTTTAACTACTTCCGTCCCTTCCTTTTACAAAATTATGTTTACTGGAAGAAAATAAAATTTTCTTATGACTTTCTTTTCTGGAAAATATTCCCCAAAAGCAAACAAAAGAAGAAAACCGAACGTACTTTTGGCTGGAACTGGTTTGGCGACCTTCTTTGATGGTTCATCTTCGGAAGAATCCTCCGAGCTGGACTGGGCCGGCTTGGCGACGGGGGTGGCAGCCTTCACCGGTGCTTTCTTTACAGGTTCTTCATCCGAACTGTCATCCGAGCTGGAATCTTTCTTGGGAGTCGGTTTGGCGGCTTGTTTAACGGGAGTGGCCTTTACTGGGGCTTTCTTTGCTGGCTCTTCGTCCGAACTGTCATCTGAGCTCGAATCTTTCTTTGGGGTCGGCTTTATGACTTGTTTTATCGGGGTCGACTTCACCGGTGATTTCTTTACAGGTTCTTCATCTGAACTGTCATCGGAATCAGACTCCACCTTCTTCGGAGCGGCTTTAGCAGCTGGCTTCGTAGGGCTAGGTTTAGCTGAACCTAAAGATCAAATAGAACATGAAAAAAAACTTACTTTGAGCTGGAACTGGTTTGGCTACCTTCTTTGGTGGTTCATCTTCGGAAGAATCCTCCGAGCTGGACTGGGTCGGTTTGGTGACGGGGGTGGCGGCCTTCACCGGTGCTTTCTTTACAGGTTCCTCATCTGAACTGTCATCGGAGCTCGAGCTGGACTGGGCCGGTTTGGAGTTCTTCGTACCATCTAAAGATAAAATAAGACAAGACAAATTAACTTGCTCTGAGCTAGAACTGGCTTCGCGAGCTTCTTAGGCGGTTCATCATCTGAGCTGTCGGAGCTGGAATCTTTCTTGGGGGTCGGTTTTGTAACCTGTTTAACCGGAGTGGCCGAAACTGGTGCTTTCTTGGCAGGTTCCTCATCTGAACTGTCATCGGAGCTCGAATCTTTCTTTGGAGTTGGTTTTGCAGCTTGTTTTACAGGAGTTGCCTTTACTGGTGCTTTCTTGACAGGCTCTTCATCTGAACTGTCATCGGAATCAGACTCCACCTTCTTCGGAGCGGCTTTAGCAGCAGGCTTCGTAGGGCTAGGTTTAGCTGAACCTAAAGATCAAATAGAACATGAAAAAAACTTACTTTGAACTGGAACTGGCTTGGCGACCTTCTTTGATGGTTCGTCATCAGAAGAACCCTCCGAACTGGACAGCACCGGCTTGACGACGGGGTTGGCAGCCTTCACCGGTGCTTTCTTTACAGGCTCTTCGTCTGAACTGTCATCGGAGCTCGATGATTTCTTGGGAGCTGGTTTTGGGGCTTGTTTAACCGGAGTGGCCTTAACTGGTGCTTTCTTGGCAGGTTCCTCATCTGAACTGTCATCGGAGCTCGAATCTTTCTTTGGAGTCGGTTTTTCGGCTTGTTTAATCGGAGTGTCCTTAACTGGTGCTTTCTTGGCAGGTTCCTCATCCGAACTGTCATCGGAGCTCGAATCCTTCTTTGGAGCTGGTTTTGCAATTGGTTTTACAGCAGTCGCCTTTACTGGTGCTTTCTTGACAGGCTCTTCATCTGAACTGTCATCGGAATCAGACTCCAACTTCTTCGGAGCGGCTTTAGCAGCTGGCTTCGTAGGGCTAGGTTTAGCTGAACCTAAAGCTCAAATAGAACAAGAAATATAAACTTACTTTGAGCTGGAACTGGCTTGGCGACCTTCTTTACAGGTTCCTCATCCGAACTGTCATCGGAGCTCGAATCTTTCTTTGGAGTTGGTTTTGCAGCTTGTTTTACAGGAGTTGCCTTTACTGGGGCTTTCTTTACTGGCTCTTCATCTGAACTGTCATCGGAATCAGACTCCACCTTCTTCGGAGCGGCCTTGGCAGCAGGCTTCACGCTCTTTGTACCATCTAAAAAATAAATCAAATAAAATCAGAGAAATGGACTTACTTTGAGCTGGAACTGGCTTGGAGACCTGTGACTTCTTTTCTGGCTCTTCATCTGAACTGTCTTCGGAGCTCGAATCTTTCTTTTGAGTCGGTTTTGCGGCTTGTTTTACCGGAGTCGCCTTCACTGGTGATTTCTTTACAGGTTCTTCATCGGAACTGTCCTCAGAATCAGACTCCACTTTCTTTTTCGGTGCTGCCTTAGCAGCAGGCTTCGTAGGACTGGGCTTAGCTGAACCTGTCTTCTTCGGCTCATCGTCGGAACTATGTTCATCGTCCGAGCTGTCATCCGAGCTGGCTGGCTTTTTTGATTTTGCGGCAGATTTGTTCAAATTTCCCTTGATAGGATTTTTGATCACTGGTTCATCATCTGAACTATCCGAACTGGATTCGGCGGTTTGCTTCTTGTTACGGAGGATCGCCATTTTTAACCTAAAAATCGAATTTTTAGTAGGCTAGCTCTAAAACAATATTTTTGATAAAACAACATCTATAAAGTGAAAATAAAGGAGAAAGTCCTATCATTCCATCTACAGAAATTGATTTAGGACCGAGAGAAAGAGAAAGCGCATGAAAGAAGCAAAGCGCTGCGCCCGAGGTAGGACGCAGCTCGCCTGCTGGCTGCGGCCGTCAAGTTATACGAAAACTCCGGAAAGCATTTTCCGATCGTCGCAAATGGAAGTCATGGGTCTATCTGGGTAAATTAGACCATATTCAACATTCCTTTTCAGTATAATCTGCCCAAAACATAAAAAATTTAAAGATTTTATTGATTTATTCCAGTTAAAATAATATCGATAAGCAAAGGCGTTGAAAATTACAGCAGAATACTACGAGACATTGTGTGAATGTACAGTTAGACCATAACTGAGAAGACGAAAATCCCTTCTACATCAAATTTTTATTTATTTTACAACTGAAGTTGGTTTTTTACAAAATTTAAAGACATTAGTATTGAAAATAAGAGAGATGAGCCCGTTAATCGTTTCAAAATAGAGGTTAGGAGAGAATGGCCAAGAAAGTTACGTTTCTAAGCGGATTGTGGTATGATTATGGTTGTGAATGTTCGGGTTTCGCAGTGATTTCGAAGACTTTTTCTTCTGAGACATCGAAATGGGTATGGATAAGGTCAAAATTGAAGTAAATCCCATGGAAATCTCAGAAATTGCAAAACCATAGTGAAGATTGAGTAACTGCGAAGAATCTCCATCATATTTGGCCACTTAATCCGAGGCAAAATTCGCTTTTAATGGTGGAAATTCATCCATGTCGTTGAGGTCGTGCGGGGATTCGATTCCTGAATGATCGGGGCCGGCTTCGGAGCCGCTTTCATCGCTGTAGGTTTGTCGATGATGGGCGGAGAATGAGGATGAGTCGGAGAGATCCGAATCGTGGCCCTTTAGGGCTGTTGGCCGAACTTTTTCGGTTTCTAAAAGATCAAAGGTTAATGTCAAGTGTAATATGGTGATAACGCAAAATCTAGCCGGCGTATTTTGAAGAAACTTGGTTTGGAAAAATAATACTGATTGCCAAGGGCTCTGTAAAAATTTCGAATTCAAAAAGAGCCGCCAAGCTACAAAGTTTTCAAAACCAGGTCTCTGATTCTACTACAATATGCCAAACCTCAGCGGTCAGTGACAATTTCACTCCGCCATTCTAATATACTATTCTCAATCCTTTCAAAAGAACCTATGCCAAATTTGAAGTGAATCCAACCGCCTCAGAAGTTATACTAGACAAAAATTTTCTACCCCCTGCTATATCAGCACAACTACGAAAAGCTTACTGCTTCTGACATCCGGAGAGCTGGAATCCCTCTGATCCGGAGGGCTAGAGCTCGCCGAGGACGGAGTGCTTGACTTATTCAAGCTCTTTGGCTTTCTGCTTGGTGGACTAGTCGATTCTCTTTCATTCGGCGAGTGGGATGCCTAAAAGTTCAAAACAAAATTTTCAACCACTTACTTCTTTCTTTTCACCGCTTTCCACCTTCTTTCCGATGGTAGTCGAGCTGATTGGAACTATGCTTCCACTCGGCTCATCACCAGCCGCAGGGCCAATTCGGAATTGTCGGATCAAGCTGCATTCCTTGTCATCCGATTCGATGGTGTAGTAGAAAAGATAGCCATCAGCAGTGGCGACGACGAGATAGGTGGTGCCGTTGATTTTGGGAAGTCCCACAACAGTTTTGGTTCCAGCCATTGGGAGGCGAGCAGTGCAGATCGACTTCTCACGGAGCATAAGTTCATTCATGTGAGAGGGGAGATAGGCGGTGGCTTGTTGCGAAAAATAGCTGACCCAGGCCGTCAGGTTGTCTTGAGTCTCCTCGGATCTGAAAATAAGGGATATTTCTTTGTAAAAAAATAAATAAGTACTCTATTCCAAAAAAATTATATTGTACTAGGTAGCTAATGTTAAAAACTCGTCATAAATTTTTTATCGCCAAAATTTAACAGCGGAAAGCTCCAGAAATAGCAAAAAGAGTCCTTCTACTGTCTATTTCAACCAACTTCACCATGTTGAAACAATCAAATTCCACTTGACGAAACCAATACCTCTTCATCTACAACAATCCCCAAAACTCACCTCTGAGTATCCTGATTGGTCTCTGGCCTGATCAAAGAGAACACATGGATAGTCTCTGTATTCGACGAGCTAGCCAACAAAGTTGAATCCGCATTGAAGGCCAAAGAATGAATTATGACACATCTTTTCATTCCCCTTGTGAACTCAAAAAGTCGAGTTCCAGTGGGCACTTCAAAAACCCGAATCACAGTTCCTTTCTCCGACGCGGTCGCAATCTTCGTCGAGTCTGGACTGAATTTTATCGCTGCCAAAGGTCCATCATGAGCGGCGAATCCGCAAGTTGCGGTCAGCGTTTCCGCATCGAAGATTTGAACATGTCCGGTTGTGGCTGATCCAGGATACGCGAGATAACAGCTCTCTTCGTTCGGACTGAGGTCAACCAGACCCAGCGGGTTGGACGGAGTGTCACGGATCACATGGAGAAGCTATAATGACGTATCACTAATGTATCGATTTCGACAATTTCCCAATTGATATGTCTACCATAATATAAATCCAAATTGGCCGTCAAAGACATCTCTAAACGCCAAATAAAATCCGTATCAACTTACCCTCATATCTCGGATATTATGGACATGAATACTCTCTTCCAAACAGACGACAACCCGTTTTCTGTTCAGTCTGACGGAAAGGATCGCGGAACTGTAGTTGTGATTGCAAATCTCGTTGTCTTTTTGATAATGATATACACTGAGCTTTCTTGTGTGTTCCATGGAGACAAATGTGATCAAAGAGGAGCTGAAGAGTCGCTCGATAACGCATGTTCGTTTTGGTGCTGAAACGAGAACAAAATTGTGTTGCAGTAGGCAGCTCAGATTATTTTATTTAAAAGTGAGTTAATTTGACTAGAGAGCTGACGGAAAAAAGTTCAGGAGATGGCCAGAGATCAACGGAAGCTCTTGGGACAAAAATCGATTGGGTTCAAGCGCATGACAAAGACGATTTTTATATTATACAAGACAGCTACCGAGCCTAACATAGAAACTCCTCTAAAAACAAAAGAAAAATGTCAAAACCACTCACTGCTGCTTTCATGCACCTTCTCCAGACTCTCTATTGATCGGAGCAAGTACAACGCGTACCCATCGTCATGCCCAACGGCCAGCGCGGAGCAATCCTGGTTGAAGGAAACGGCCAACAGCTCCTTCTCCGCAGTCTCTTCAACCTTGGGGATCATGATCGCTTGGTTCAAGCACTGCACAGTATAATCGAAGAAGGGCTGATACTGCTGAAAAAGAGCGTTCATCTCGTGTGGGACCCGTTTTTGTTATATTACACCTGGATTATCGACCCGACCTGAAAAAAGAGGTCGCAAAAATTGTATAAGGTTATTGGGAGAGTGCACTCCCTCTTCTGCAAAGATATTAGTAGATCACGTTTCTTTTCTCGCGAGCACATGTTCGAATTTATGAGAGAAAATGGGGTGGGCGCAGCCTGCGCGACGCGTTTCGCAGGCTGCAGAAGGGAAAATGTCGATAAAATTGATAAAAAAGGTAGAAGAAAGCCTTCTTTTGATGTGAGAACAAAATACGGGGTGGTGTAAGCTGTAACAAATCAGCCTACAAAGAAAAACCTCTGGTTTGACCATAAAATTTGCCGATCTCCCCATTACCAATGTTGTGATAGGGAATTGGAACGCGTTTCTGCTCAAATTGCGCAAAATTTCGTCGATAACTGTTGGTTTGCGGCAAGCAGATGCGTGACCATCCCCCGTAAAGGTCCCGACAAAATGAACAGTGATTCGAAAGTAAGGCAAAACCCAAATTTCGCCGAGTATAACCTTGTTTTTTGATCCTGCCCGGAAATTGCACTTGAGAAAACAGATGGCGCAAAAGTGCGAGAAAGTCCAACAAATCTCGACGTTTTCAGACAACAGGTCTTTATTTACACAGAAATCGGGCTCAATAATAACTTTTTGTGGAAATGGAAACGTATTTCAGGGTTTCGTCGGCAAAGTCCTTGTTCAGGTAGAAGGACGGGTTCTTTTCGGTTTCTTGCAGGGTTTCCAGATTCTGGAGATCATCGGTGGGAATGGGCGTGAGTGTGCAGTCGGCGGGCTTGATGTCGAGGGCGGTGGCGGTCACGGCGCGACATAGTTCGGTGGACTCGAGCACGCAGTGTTCGAGGACCCAGGGGAAGGTTATGACTTCTAAAAAAATGGAGCACGTTGCGTTTGATTTAGGTCGAAATCGAGGTAATTAGACAATTTAGACTTTGATAAGGCTAGTTATATAAGAATTAGGACTTTTGAACGCTTTCCAAGGCGGTTTACATCAAAATTTTCCAAAATTATTTTAAAAAAGTGGCCAAAAAGTAAAAGTTAGATTGCTTGAAGCGTGGTGATCAGATTGCCTTCAAATTTTGCATGAATTTTCTTCCTACACTGAATGTCAATTACCCAAAATTTTAGCTTACCCTTGGCAGGCGCGTCTGAAATTTTCAACGATCTTTATAGACGAGTGAGTTTGAAAAATGAGGAGAGACAGTCAGAGAAAAACTTTTTTAACCCGAGCTTTGTGATTTTTGTGGAAAAATTCATTGATTTTCCTATGACAGACATCCTTGTCCATGATCATAGACCTTGACTTACTCTCCGCGCTCGGCCTTTCCACCGGATTCTTGTCCAACAATCGGTTTAGGAGATCTTTCACGGGAATAGTGGTATTGGGGTTCTCGATAGGTCGATAGGCATCGTTTGCGATTCGTTTGTAGATAATAGGGATCTCTCCGCTGAATGGGCCGGTAAGTTCGACCATTTCGTAGAGAATGCAGCCCAACGCCCACATATCCGACTTGTTGTTATAGGGATTGCCTAGAAATGAAGGAATTTTTAGTGGACGATGAAAATACAGGGAAAACTGGGTAGAACGATTTGTATTAGGCCAAAAAAATTGTTTGTCATAGAGGGGTTTTGTTGCATTGAGGTTCATTTTGGCCTACAATTGCCTTGTGGGACTTCCAAACTCGTTGTTATAGGGAGGGTTCGTTTTACACGGGCTTGTTGTAGTGAGGCTTCAACATAATGGAGCCTCTCTACAACAAACACCTGTAAAACGAACCCTCCCTATACCGAGCGATTTTAGAGGTTTTTGCAACGTAATTGTAGGCCAAAATGAATTTCCGTACAACATAACCCTTCGATCACTCTGTCGGGAAAATAATGAGCACTCTGTCGCAGCGAAAATCGCATCGCCGCCGAGAAAATGAATTGTGTCGCGGCAAAATCAATTTGCTTTTCGCTTCAGCGACGCGATCGGCGTAGGACTCATTATTTTCCCGACAGACTGATATAACAAAAAAAAATTTTGATGCCTTTCGTTGTACAGAGGTGCCACTGTATTCAAAAATTGATAAAAAAAATACAAACAGCCTTCCACATACCGTTACAAAGTTCGGGCGACACATAGCTCGGCGTCCCCACAAACGAATGCGCTGCTGACGTATTCAGCTCTCTGCTGATCCCAAAATCCGCCAACATGACTCTCGTCCTTCGGCGATTCAGCAAAATGTTTTGAGTCTTCAAGTCTCGGTGTAAAATTCGCTTGCTGTGGATGTAGCGGATAGCGCGCGCGACTTGAGCGAAGTAGTACATAATGGTCTTCTCGGGAATGTAGACGCCTTGCTGGTCTCGGATAAGTTTGTCCAAAGTTCCGCCCTCGGCGTAGTGCATGATTATGTTTAGCTCATTTCCGCAGACTTTGTAGCCATAGCACTCGACAATGTTTGGGTGGTTGAGGGATCGGAGCAGCTTGGCTTCGTCTGGAATGGGGTGGATTTATGGGACAATCATGGTTAGTTGGTTTCTTTAACCCTATTTTTTGACAGTTTTAGCTCGTCAAAAAAATAGGTTTTATTTTTTTATGATTTGTCTGGGGAATTGTAAAGTCATAAAACCGAGCATGCCTAGCTAAATTACCCCAAGTGCGACGCTGAGATTTTGGTGAAACTTGACACAAATTTAGATTAATTTTTAATAAGACATATTCGAGATTTCTAACTCGCGCTTTGCAGAAATGACCGAGATTTTTAGGTCGAAAGTTGGCAAAAATGTGACACTTTTTTGCGAATTTTGACATGAAATTTTTCACATCTATTTGATAGAGCATAATGTTTCCACAAAAAATCATTTTTTTCCACGAAGCTGAGAGAGAACTCGAAGTGCGGAGAGAGGTCAGAGAATCAAACACTTTTTGACCGTATCTTTGCGAGCTTCGCTTGGAAAAAATTGGTTTTTTTGGAACCATTGCTCTCTACAGTAGAAATGGACATGGAACTTTTCGTGTCAAAGTTCACAAAAATGTGTCACCCTTTGCCAACTTTCGATCTAAAAAGCTCGGTCGTTTCTGCAAAGCGCGAGTTAGAATCTTGAGTATGTCTTGGAAAAAATGAAACTAAATTTGTGCCAAGCTTGATCAAACTCTAAGCGCCGCACTTTGAGCACCTACTCTGTAAAATTGTGTCGGGTTTTACAAGATTAGCATTTTCATAAAGTGCATGGACATTTTTTCGCCTTCGCACAGTGCAAACCTCAAAAATTGCGAAGATGCACTGTGCGAAAGCGAAAAAGTGTCCATGCACTTTATGAAAATGCTAATAATAGGCCGTTTGTAAAGTCGGTGGAATAATTTTTGGCGACATCTAAAAAAGCCGATTGCACGGTGCAAAAAGCCAAAATTTGCACAGTGCAAAGCGAACTTTTGTTTTCGCACAGTGCATGTCGCCGAAATCACTCCAGCGATCTTGCGAACGGACTAGCATCAATCTCACTCCAATCTGCAAAAGATTCGATGAAACTCGAATCTTTTTTCCCCCAATTCCTGGGATTTCTTCTCTTTTCGCGTGTGTTTTTCGATCGTTTGCGAACAACAAAGTTATGCATGACGTCGCGTCTGAACTCTTTTATGGTTAAAGTCAAGTGACATTGTTTTCGCAGACCGCTGATTTATTGTGCGCGAAACGAGAAATTCATTCCCGAGAGCGGTGACAAATTGGTCTGTTTGGGGCAGACATGTGCTCCATTTTGGGCTTGATTGATCCCCATCGGAAAAGTGAATTATGGTGGAAACAGTTTGATGTATGGGATGTCACGGACAGTGTAACTTTTGTGAAGATGCGAGAGTTTTGGAGACCATTTGGGGAACAAGAAAAAAAAGGATAAACATGGACGTCATTTGAAACGCATGAAGTTTGTGATTGCACTTTGCAGAAAGCGTTAAATTTTGTTAAATGCGCGCTCAAATTTTGATGACACTTGGCATAAATTTAGAATAAGTTCTTCGAAGACATATGCCAGCTTCCTAGCTCGCGCTTTGCAGAAACAACCGAGATTTTAAGCTCAGAAATTTGGAAAAAATTTGACACTTTTTTGCAAATTTTGACATGAAATTTTTCACATCTTATTCTACACTAGAGAGTAATCTTTCCACAAAAAATCAATTTTTCCGCGCGAAACTGGCAGAGATATGACAAAAAAAAATGTTTTTTCTCTGACCGCTCCCCGCTTTCGCACACTCTCTCGCCGACAAAGATAGTAGAATATCTCGGCTGGCCTTGCAAAGCATGAGCTAAAAGTTGCAGGAATTGATGTGTGGCCTGGCCCCAAAGTGTGTGCAAAATTTAAAGAAATCTGAGCGTTGTTTTATATTATACTTGGGAAATTTTCCTTACTGTTAGAAAATGGAAATAAACGAGATTTTTTTGCAAATTTAGGTTTACAAATTTCGGGATTTAATAGTATTGGGGCATACAATTTTTCTTCCAAAAATTAAATTTTTTCGGGCGAAAGCAAAAAAGTTACGCCAAAGACTCTCCCCATTTTGCGTGCTCTCTCTCTCGCAAAAAAGCTCATCAAATCCAAAAAAAATCGGCTTACTGATCACATTTCGCCTAGTGTCGCCATGCGACATGGGGATCATGACACGTTTGACAATGTACTTTTTCGGCGGTCCTCTGGCATCTCGGGGTTTGTGGTAGATGGAACAAACGCCAAATGCCCCCTGGCCAATAGTGCAGAGTTTGCGGAACCCGGCCATCGGATTGACTGGATCCAGCTCTTCCGCCTGACTAGTTGAGGAGTACATTCTGAAAAATGGACGATTTTTAGACAAGGAAAGTATAGAAATTTTAAAATACACGAAAAATTGGGTAAAATCGGAAAGTAAAAGTGATTTTTTTGAGGTTGAGAAAATCAATGTTTATTTTAGTCTTGTGATACAGTATTTCTACTAAAAATTAACTGATTTGGAGCAAAGTCGGCGAAAATATAGGCAAAAAATAGGTTTTGTCTGGCCCACTCTCTCCATTATACGTACTCTCTCGGTATGTTTAAAGCGCAATATCTCCGCTGCCCCTGCAAAGTCTGAGCTAAAATTTTTAGGGACTGATGTATGGCCTACATAGAATATTTAACCAAAATTTGAAGAAAATTGAATGTTAAACTTGGGGTCCCTCAACAAAATTTTGCAAGAGAAAATACCCCAAGTGCGACGCTCAGATTTTCTCTCAATTTTGCACACACTTCGGGCATGGGCCACATATCACTTCCTGAAAATTTAAATTTTTATTTTTTCGCGCTTGGCAAGTGCAGCGAAGACATTCAACGGCCTTTGCGGATGAGAGAGTACGCGAAACGCGGAGTGCAGTCAGATAAAAGCGTTTTTGGCCGTATCTTTGGCAGTTTCGCGCGGAAAAAATTGATTTTTTGTGGAAACGTTATTCTGTACAATAGAAATGGCTGTGAAAAATTTCACGCCAAAACTCGCAAAAAATGCCACATTTTTGACCTAAAAGTCTCGGTCGTTTCTGTAAAGAGCGGGCGGGGAATCTCACATGTGTCTTAGAAAAAATCATTCTACTGTAAATTTGTGCCATGTTTTATCAAAATTTGAGGGTTGCACTTGGGGTAGGTACTTATCCTGTCAGATCCACACAAAAATTTTTGATGACAAAATACCCTCCAAAAATGTCAAAAATGAAATCCAAAAAAAAGTCAGAAGCATAGTCTGTCAAGAAGATTGCATCCGTGAACTCCGCGAGTAGTCGGAACGTTGAAAAGGAATGCGTTCGAACACGTCTGTAATGGGCGGAAGAGCGGTAAACAAAAAAGCGCTTCACCGAAACCTTTATGAATTGCTCCGGAAATTCGTAAAACACTGCTCCATTAACACCCCTTTTAGGTGACTGGGAAGCGCGCAAAAACCCGCGGGGACACAAGAATGCGAGAGATTTCGCGATCGTCGATGAAAATCGAATAACACTGGGGAAAAAAGTTTCATCGTTGATGAGAAACAAATCTAAAAATACGTTTCGTTGATAGCGGTTTTTCAAACTGAAGTAGTAGTCCGTTTGCAAAGTCGCTGGAGTGATTTCTGCGACATGCAGTGTGCGAAAGTAAAAATCAACTTTGCATTGTGCAATTTGTTACTTTTCTTACACCGTGCAATGCGGTTTTTTGTGGTGTCGCCGTGACTTTCCGCACAATGCAGACGCCAAAAATTACTACAGCGACTTTAGGAACGACTATTATTAGCATTTTCATAAAGTGCATGTACCCTTTTTCGCTTTCGCACATGCATCTTCAAAATTTTTAAGGTTCGCACTGTGCGAAAGCGAAAAAATGTCCATGCACTTTATGAAAATGCTAATGGTATTTTTTCCACGCGAAGCTCGCAAAAATACAGCCAAAAAGTATTTGTCCCTCTGACCGCTCTACGCGTTCCGTGTACTCTCCCCCGTTCCGTGCAGAAAAAATTGATTTTTCGTGAAAACATTACCGTCTTTGGTAGAAATAAGCATGAAACCTTTGATGCCAACATTTGTAAAAAAAAGTGTCACATTTTTCGCGGCGGCGCAATGGAAAAAAGCTTGTGTCGCAGCGATTTTGCTTAGCGCTATCAAATGCACTGTGCAAGTGATATTTTTCTTGCGGCGCACGACGAAAAGTCTACACACTTTATGAAAATGCTAGTAGACGCGCCATAAGGTCCCTCTACCTTACTTTTGCACTATCCGTTTTTTTTCTTTTTTCGCACTATTCTCCATTTTCGCACTAGTGACATGAACTTTCGCGCGACACCAAAGACAAATGTGTCGGGAGTTTATGGGGCGTCTAGTCCGTTCGTAAAGTCGCTGGAGTGATTTTTGGCATTTGCAATGGGCAAAAAAAGTCTATCCGCGAGCGACAGCCCCAAAAAAAGTTCAATCGGCCCAATTTGTTCGTAAAAAAAAGTCAAATCGAATGTTTTGATCCAGGCAGTTCAACAAAAAAAAAACGGTCATCGATTCTTCGTCTAAACACAGGGGAAAGAAAAAATTTGTTGTCTTAAAAAGGTTAATGACTCTTTGATCTTTTACGTCTCGGTCATCACTTCGCCCGAGAACTCTAGGGATCCCCCTACCTTTTTCTATTCATTTTTCGACCTCTCTCAAATTCTAGGAGCTGCTGTCAAGAAGATTTCGATTAAACTCCCTCAAAGTATGCGTCATCGGCTTCTTTGTCCACCGATATGTTTAGTCATCGGAAAAACATCTCGAAAAATTCCACATCCCCAAAAGTTCAAGGTGCAGGGGAAGTACTGCAGGTGCGACGGTCAGATTTTGATGAAATTTGGCACAAATTTAGGATAATTTTTTCAAAGCCATATACGAGACTTCTAGCTTGCGCTTTGCAGAAACGACCGAGATTTTTAGATCGAAAATGAAAAAAAATATGACCCTTTTTTTGAAAATTTTGACTTACAAAGTTTCATGCTTATTTTTACCATAGAGTTTTATGTTTCCATAAAAAATTAAATTTTTCCGCTCGAAACTGCCAAAGATATGGCCAAAAAGTGTTTTTCTCTCACGCTCTCCGCATTTCCCTTACTCTCTCATCAGCAAAAGATTGTTGAATATCTCCGCTGTTTCTGCAAAGCGCGAGCTAAATTTTCGGGAATTGATACGTGGCATATCCCCGAATTGTGTACAAAATTTAAAGAAAATCTGTGCGTCGCACTTCAAGCACTTCCCTTTGTCATCACAGCCTCTAAAAGACCTCTGACAAGCCGCATTCCATCCCAACGAGTGTTATTAAACCGGCATGTCTTACAAATTCCAATGCTTGGAGGGGCTGACAGACCGCATCAATCAGCAGCTCCCCCCAATCTTTTTCTCTCCCCATTTTGAGCCGCTTTGCGCGCAGAATCCCCATTTGATCCGTTTGCAGCAGTGTAGATATTGATTTAGAGGAATTTATAAGACGATGATAAGAAAAAAATAAGAAAAAAGATAGGCAGACCTTTCATTTCTAGTGTTTTTATAAAGTGCATAGACATTCGGCCCCTCCGCACCGTGCACAAAAAATTTAAAAAACCCCGTCTCGCACCGTGCGTTACACCTATTTTCTTGGGGGTTTGCACTGTGCATTTGAAATATCGCTCCGACATAAGCAAGTTTAAACTATGTCGCTACGACAGCGCCAGAAATTTGCACAGTGCAAACCGCTTTTTTGGGGCTTGCACTGTGCGAAAAGGGAAAAATGCACGGTGCGTCGGCGAAAAACGTGGGAAAAAAATTCAACATGCACTGTGCGTTCGCGATAAAAGGCGAAAAAAAGCCAGGAATTTGGCACAGTGCAAACGTCTTTTTTTGAGGTTTGCACGGTGCGAAAAGAGAAAAATGCACTCCATCGGCGACAAACGTGGGAAAAAATTCAACATGCACTGTGCGCAAGCAAAAAAAATGTCCACGCACTTTATGAAAAAGTCCAAATAAAACAAGGCATTTCTTGGGCAAGAAAAGGTTTTTGGGGGTCTAAGTGGGGTTTTTTGGAAAACGGAAAGTTTCTCGAAGGCCGTCAGACCGTCGTGAAACTTTTTATCAGTCTGTCGGAAAAATAACGGCGGATCGTCGCATCAAAATGTCTCGCCTCGCCGCTGTCGCGCACCAAATCCCAAGCCGCGGCTTGCAGTCGCAAAGCGATGATGGGCGATTCCGGGGCGGGACGATCCGCCGTTTTTTTCCCGACAGACCGATATTCTGCTCGTGGCAAAAAAGTCCCGAAAAGTGAGCTTGCACTGTGCAATTTCGTTTTTTTTACTACGGTGCACTAATTGGGCCACAATCCGCTGAAAAAAGTTTTAGCTCCCACTTTGCATCCGCCGCGGAAATATTCAACAGTCTTTCGGCGAGAGACTACCCAAAACGAGGGGTTTTGGCCAGACAAAAAATCGTTTTTTTTTATTATATTTTTCATCCACAAAAAAGTGATTTTTTTCTTGACGTGCCGGAAAACTACCATGTAAAATTTTCAAAAATAACCTTAAGCCCCTAACCATTTTTTTTCCTTCGACCCCGGCTTGGTGGTAGCCCCACATCCCTGGCTAAGCCCTTTTAATTTGTATTAGTCTGTTTAAAAACAGACTAATACAAATAGAGTCTATTAATCATAGGCTAACGAAGCTTTGTCCTGGCTAGCCAAGAAATCGTAAAAGATTGCTTTATTTCCCCTAATTATTGAAGTTTTCTCCACCTTCTTTCTCCCCACCTGACAACGTTCCCAATATAGCAACGTTTAATTGTGAGTTCATCGACCGTAAGAATCAAGGTTCACAGCCACCGAGCAACGAACTTGCAAAAGAATTCGAGGTTTCGCAACATCGTAAGAGTTTAACAATAAGTCAGGCGACGAATCATCTTCCGATCCACCCTTTTACACCCTCAAAAACTATTGCAAATCTATTGACAACGCGAGAAATTTGCAATGAAAATTCGAAAGCATTTAACTACAGTTGCAAAAGGTTATTATTAAAAGTCAAAAGAAGGCGTCGCAGGTCGACTGAAACTACTTACAAACCCTTGATTAAGTGCGCGCTTTTCTGCGGATTCTCCATTCGTTCGACGTCGCCGCTTAAATTGCAAAAAAAGGCAGCCGTTGACAACGGCGTTGATGGATGAATTCGACAATCCAGTGCAATCATAACCAAACACTGTGTGTAGCTGGGGTGTGACGGAGAAGGAAGCGCTTTGGCGATGTGGTGGAGATTTGACGGTTTTCTTTTGCGAGATCTTTAAAAATTGGTCAGTCAAGAGTGGAATGATCGACTTCTCTCGGCGGAAAAGTCGAGCGGAACTGTGGAATCAGAGGTTCTTTTTTATTTATGTAGTCCAGTTTGCATAAAGTATTACAAGAGATGCATGGAAAAATCATCACGAAATTCAACGCTCAGGTTTTGATGAAAATTGGCACAATTTTAGATTAAGAGTATCTAATTGTAAGGCATATAAGAGGCGTTCCGGGCAAATTCAATTTTTTTGGCCATTTCTCAGACGCGCGTTTACCATGTCAAATTTTTCGACCTGCAACGTGCAGAGCCCCTTTTTGTTGGCCTTGTACAGTGCAGAAGAAAAAATTGTTCTGGTCAAAAGGGCATCATCATGGTTGAAAAAAATTGAGTTTTACTGGAACCCCTTTTGTATGCGAGACTCATGTCTCGCGTTTTACAGAAATGATCGAGGTTTTTTATGTCGGAAGTTGGAGAAATCAGATATTTTTTTTGCTAATTTGGTCATGAGAATGTTAATGCCTAAATGTAGTCCGTTTGCAAGGTCGCTGGAGTGACTTCGGCGACATCCACTATGCGAAAACAAAAGTTCACTTTGCACCGTGCAATAGGTCGTTTTTGGGCTTTCACTCTGTCACCATTCCGTGAAGAATTCCCAGAAATTAGCGTAAACGCGAATATTTTGATATAAATGTAATGGATCGACCGCTTTTCGGTCAGACTTTTTTCCGTGGTGAATAAATAATTTGTGATCATTTGGAAGTTCCTTTGTGATAAGTGCGGTGGTGGAAACCAAGTGAAATCAACAGCGTGAGTCCATCTTTTCTTGCTAGGTTGCGTCTCCGAGTTAGGTAGGGACTACTAGTAGTAGCGGGCGAGTCAAGCGGGCCTTACATCACGACTCATACCTAAGTCTTGACAACTCGCACTCTTGACTTTTTATGCCCACTGCAAACACCAAAAATCATTCCAGCGACATTACGGACGAACTATCAGTCTGCCGGGAAAATAGTGCGCCCAACATAAATCGAGTTCGCTTTTCTATTCAGGAGGCTTGGGCCCGTTTAAAAACGCAATCCAGCTGCAAACTTGATTAAACTTTAAAAACTTTTTTCTCCAAAATTCCACGTAAAGTTTCTACTTTCCGTGCCTGATGAGGTAATGTTTATTCATACGATAGAATAGAATATGCGATGAGGTAGAATTTTCAGGAGCTTTATTACCGTAGGGAGAGTAATTCTTTCGTAGAAGGTTATTAGGTGGATCGAAGAGTCTTGACATTCCAATATCAGTCTGTCGGGAAAATAATGAGCACTCTGTGGCATCGAAAATCGCATCGCCACCGAGAAAATGAATTTTGTCGCGGCAAAATCAAATTGCTTTTTACCGCGACAATATTGAGCTCATTATTTCTCCGACAGACTGATCAACAATCGTTAATCCACAGTTCTTCCGCCCGTCCATGGGTCGCTAACAGATGCATTTTGCATTTTAAAGTTCTCCCGGATGAACCCGAAAATCTCCCTGACTCCCGTGTTGTATCGCTTGTAGAAGACCAGCGTGAAAATCATCACGAACGAGGGGTAGGCGTAGAACATTCGATAGACCACATAATACCCAATGATCTGCTTCTCCACGGGCAAATAAATCGGAACACAGACGTAGGGAATGATGAACCAAAAGAACTCGGCCAACATTTCGATTACTAGCCCGAGAATCAGCAGATGATACATCTGCTTGGTGCGCTCGCTGAACTTGTTGGAGGGGTTGTTTTGGAATTGATAACACTTGAAGGTGCAGATGGAGCCGACGACAAGGGTTAGCGGGTAGATGACGAATTTGAAGGTGCGAGTGGTGTAGCCGGTCTGAAATGCCGATAAGAAATTTTTTGGTTTTTAAAATCTCTACAAAAGCTCAGAAGTGTAGCATCAGTTTGTCGGGAAAATGTGGATTTGTGCGAGTGGTATAGCCGCTCTGAAATGGCAAGACCAAACTTTTGAGTCTTAAAATCTCTGCGAGAGGTCAGAGGTATATGTAATGTCAGTCTGTCGGGAAAATAATGTCGATTTTTTGCTGAAAAATGGCCGCGTCTTCGCAATTGCGCTGAAAATCTCCAGCCGCATCTAACCGTTGCAAAACGATGACGGGAGATTCGAAGGCGCGACGAATGCACATTATTTTCCCGGCAGACTAATAGGCATGGCTCTCGGGTCCAGACATGGTTTCTCGGCCTGGCTCCAGAGCCATGTCTAGCCGGAAAAAAAAACTCTTGACATGTCTATGCGCCGTGCGGCCGTTATTCTGAAGTTCCTTTGCACGGCAAAAAAATCAAAACATAACAAAACACAAACGTCACGGTGAGAATAAATCCCAGTCTGTCGGGAAAATAGTCAGCGCTATGTTGCTGCGTCAATTTTCCGTTTGCATAGATGCGACATGCCGCAAGCTCGTCTCCGCACGGTTCTAACATTAAGATTTTTTGGGCCACTGTTTTTTTCAGCGATAGTATTTCAGTCTGTCGGGAAAATAATGAGCACAATGTGCCTGCCATTCGCTTCGCTGAAGTGAAAACAAAATTGATTTTGCAGCGAGACAATTCATTTTCTCGGCGGCGATGCGATTTTTGATGCGACAGAGTACTTATTATTTTCCCGGCAGACTGATAATACCTTTGGGGTACATTTAAAGAAATTCAAAATAAATCTTTCGACTTACCCTTATAACAGTGATGCTATGACTAGTCACATATTCCTTCAAAACTAAACTGTTATTGGGAAATTGTGCTTGCAAGTCCCTTCCATCCTCGATCCCATGAATCCCACAGCGGTCATGCCAAGGATAAACAAGAAAAAACAAAAGAGCCCCAGAAAGAACCAACGATGCGACATGACGTACAACAACCTCGGCTTGTCGGTGCTTTGTGCATAACGATATAAAAATCGGCAAAGCGTGGTGACCGTGTACATTTCAAAGAAGGTGAAACTGATGCCTTGGAGTAGAACGGCAGCTCGGGGAATCTGTAAAAGAGGATATGAAATGTAGTATTTCATGATTGACAAGGAGGGGTGGTAAATGCGATGCTCAGATTTTGTTTATCAGTCTGTCGGGAAAATAATGAGCGCTCTGTCGCTGCGCCGATCGCGTCGCTGAAATGAAAAGCAATTTGATTTCCCCTCGACACAATTCATTTTCTCAGCGGCGATGCGATTTTCGATGCGACAGAGTGCTCATTATTTTCCCGACAGACTGACAACAGTCGAATAAAATGAAACACTTTGTCGTTTCGATAAAAGACTCGGCGTCGCAAGAAACATGCGCTCCGCTGCGACAACGACAAAGGTTTTGTTGTTCGCAGCGATTTTGAATAAACAAATGTTTCACTTTTTTCTCGGCAGAAGAGTGATAGATTTGGCACGCACGTCGGGCGCAGACCAGATATCCATTTCCAAGAAAGTTCAACTTGAGCTTTGCAGGCGTCGCCCACATACTATCAGTCCGTCGGGAAAATAGTGAGCACTCTATCGCATCAAAAATAGCATCGTCGCCAAAAAAATGAATTGTGTCGCGGAAAAATCAAATTGCTTTTTACTTCAGCGACGTGCAGCGACATTCCGCTCATTATTTTCCCGACAGACTGATATTTTTTTTGGAAAAATCCGATTTTCTGCCCTCCGTGGTTTCCCACTTGTCTTCACAGAAATTGCGTTGACTCTTTGTAATATTACAATATCAATCTATCGGGAAAATAATGTGTATTCGTCGTGCCTCGGAATCGCCCATCATAGCTTTGCGACTGCAAGCCGCGACTGGAGATATGGTTCGCGACAGCGACAAGGATTTTTTTGCGACAAATCCACATTATTTTCCCGACAGACTGATATCACCTTATCCATAATTCTATCTAAAGATGACAACTTACGTGAAAGTAGTCGATAATTCCTCTGGATAATGTAAAATTGTAATAAGGGAACAGCTCGATCTCATACGACGACATGATCATCAAATACATTTCGATCGAAGTTAACGAGCTCATAATATACCTAAAATTGTCTTATCAACCAGTCAACTGAACCACACAATCTCAGGAACAGTCTCTTACCACTTGTAGGTATGCATGACGTCCGCCGAATACACCCACACACAATACATGGTAAACGAATACGTGATGAAGTTGACGATCTGCACGATCCATGTGTAGATGCAGAAGGCCAAACGGACATTTTCGGGGACCAATTCAAAGTCCTGGAAAGTAATGTTGAACTGCATCGCCTCAGGCCATGATGCACAAAGAATAAACGGTGTCGCACACAGGGTTATGGGACAGGTGCGAATCGGGTGTTATGGAAGATGTCGAAATTTGGGGTGGCAAAATTTTCGCCGCTTACAAATATCACCTGTGGCATTTTACCGCGGTGACGAATGGGAAATGTAAGCGGCTGATGAACTGCGAGGACCGAGGAGGCCGGTACGGTCTGTTTGTCGGGAAAACAATCAATCTCTCTTAAAGCCATCATTTTTTCAGAAAGTTACATACATTTCCCCACCGATCGGAGACCTGCGATTCCACTGTTCGATTCCTCCCGGCGTCGAGACACTTGCGTTGCCCACTTTGCGGACAGCTGACATTTTTTGATTAGAATTACGATTTCCCGCCAGTAATTTACGTAGTACGATAGAAATTTTACATTGACAACTCTCTGGTACTGATAAGTACACAAATATATTAAATTCATCCACTGCTTTCAAAGTTATGGGAGTTTGTTTTCAAAAAATGGTAAAAAATGCCTATGGAAAAGCTTATGATGACTATTCAAGTCGCTTATACACCTGGAAATTTAATCCGCAACATCTAATCGTCAAGCCCATCGTTTGAACTTAAAGTTGTAAGCAAATTTTGGCTGATTTCAAAACATGTCCGCAGAATCTCTGTGGTTTATCAAGCTGCCCGCAAGTGTTGGCCCGCCATTCCTTCCAAGTCCTGGGAAGGGGTTCTGGATGCCACACAGCCCGTTTTAGCGCGCCCACAAAACCAGACCGACATGGGCAAATACACGTGGGCAGCCGTGAAAGATCAGAGCGAGTACTGCGTGTATTTGAATATCTATGCGGACAACCGTCGCAGTGCAAGTGAAAAAATGGACGCCATTGAATTTTGCCTTCTCTACCGTAATTTTTGATGATTTATCGGTCTGTCGGGAAAATAATGAGGACTCTGTAGCGTCGAAAATCGCATCGCCGCCGAGAAAATGAATTGTGTCGAGGCAAAATCAAATTGCTTTTCAGTTCAGCGACACACAGCATTCCGAGGTTTTTTGCCGCCACCGATCGGTCCCGATTTTCGCTCAAAATGACAACAGGGCTGCGCGTCTCGGCCGATAACTAGCTAGCCCAAAGACGAAAAAGAGTAAAAATTTATTTCCAGATAGAGTGAAAAAAGACCTATCCAATTATATAAATAGGTCTTATTAACTTTCTCCCCATAACGATCTTTTTCGCCGACAAAATTACAAATTTTTTTTGTTTATTCATGGATAAATGCACTTTATGAGTGCATAATTTTAAAAAAATGGTACCACTCGATAGCAAATAGCCTCTTCTATGACATATAATTTTTTTTGTTTATTCATGGATAAATGCACTTTATGAGTGCATAATTTTAAAAAAATTTTTTTTTCTCCACTTTGTGTTCTGAGCCGGTTTAGGTGTTAAGGCAACATCGCTGCATAGGGCAATGCCGGATGCCGATTTTACATTTTTTTTTCATTTTTGAGTCATATTACGTTCATCTCAATATTAGATACTGATTTTTGCTCCAGATGACAAAATGCCCTTTCATAAATTCACGTAATGACACCAACATGTTTGAGTTCAACATGACGAAAATAAGGGAATATTTCTTTCAGGACTAGTATTTAGGTGACAACAGACCTGCCAGAATATGCTCCGACGTTTATTTGGCTAGAAACAGCTATGGAATCCGGATGCAGCGACGTCCCGTAACACGTTGCACATTTGCGATTTTACTTCAAATTACGTTATATACGTGAAGTTCAAAGTCAATACGACTGAAAAGACAGAAAATTTTTTTAAAATCGGCATCCGGCATTGCCCTATGCAGCGATGTTGCCTTAACACCTAAACCGGCTCAGAACACAAAGTGGAGTAAAGATGAAAATGTGAAATTTGGCATATATATGTAATCGAGTGTGCACTACAACGCTATAACAGCCGATTTTTCATTTTTGTCCATCCGGTGCAAAAAATCCCGAAAAATATGCAAAAACACGTAAAATACGCTATTTTTTTGGATTTTGTAGTGCCCTAAGGGCCAGAATTTCCCTTATTTTTGGATATGTCATAGAAGAGGCTATTTGCTATCGAGTGGTACCATTTTTTTAAAATTATGCACTCATAAAGTGCATTTATCCATGAATAAACAAAAAAAATTTGTAATTTTGTCGGCGAAAAAGATCGTTATGGGGAGAAAGTTAATAAGACCTATTTATATAATTGGATAGGTCTTTTTTCACTCTATCTGGAAATAAATTTTTACTCTTTTTCGTCTTTGGGCTAGCTAATTATCAGCCGAGACGCGCAGCCCTGTTGTCATTTTGAGCGAAAATCGGGACCGATCGGTGGCGGCAAAAAACCTCGGAATGCTGTGCGACACGACCGGCCCAGCGAAATTGTGTTCATTATTTTCCCGACAGACTGATATGAAAATACTGTTACTACGTGGCCCAGACGGGCCAATTGATATTTTCATAAAGTGCGTGGACATTTTTCCACTTTCGCACAGTGCGTTCTGAACTTTTTGCCCGGCGTAACGTCATTGATGCCGTTGCAATTCACCCAAAAATTATTGTTCAAATTTCAAAAAATTTTCATCGCAATTTTTCACAACACATCAATTTTTTCAAAAAAACCGGCAAAATCTAATTAAAATCACACATTTATTTATTCCTGATAAAATGCAATTAGGTTTGAAAGCAATAAAAATTTGTATAAATGATATAAAATAAACCGCTAATGTCTATCTATAAGATAAGAAGATGCACTTTTAATTTATGAGGTCCCAAAATTACCCCATATTTTCTTCAATCTATTTATAGTGGGCCAAGAATTTTTTATGGAATTTGGCGAATCGGTCCAGCATTTCCTTGGTGAGGGCGGGTTGGGGGAGGATGGTGGTGCGGAAGTGCCAAGTTCCATCTCGTTGGCCGAAGCCGGAGCCGGGAACCACGCAGATTCCCGTCTCCTCCAGCAGTTGTTTGCAGTAGTAAAAGTCGGGGGCGACGCCGACAGCCTAAAGGTTAAAAAAAAATAAAAAAAAAACTGGGATTTTTTGGGTCAAAAAAATAGGAAAATTCCAAAATTTTCCAATTTTTCTTGATAAAAATGCTCGTTTTGGTGATTAAAATTACTTTTCAACAAAAGAAACCCCGAGAAAAAACACCCCAAAAAAAAATTCAGATAAAAAAAAATATATAAAATTTCCAGATTTTTCGACCAAAAAAAAAATTTTTTTTTAAACCCAACCCCCCTCCAAAAACTCATCAAAAACTTACATGAGCCATTTCGATTGCTTTTTGGGGCAACTCAATGTTAGGGAAAGCATACATTGCACCAGTGACAGCATTGCACTTCACTCCTTCAATCGAGTTATACGCTTCCGACACCATTTTGGCGCGTTCTTTCAATGAGTCCAGGACGTCCGTCTTTTCCTGAAAATTCAATTTTTTACCGTAGTCTTCGATTTCCTTCAATTTTTCACTCCAGAAAATCGACAAATCCAAATTCCCCTTACCTTCAGCCACAAATCGTATGAGGGTTCTCCTGGCTTGGGATGATTCACAACAGTGTCAATGACGGCCTGTCCCAGGACGGACGAGCAGAGTTTGGCGCTGATCATTTTCTTGAACTGCACATACACTTCCTTGTCCAGATTCACGAACTCCACGTATCCTCCGCGCATTCCGCATTCGCCCATGTAGCCTTTGGAGACCGAGTAGAACGAGGCCAATTCGACTCTAAAATATCGAAAAATAAATTGAAAAAAAATTTCGGATTTTTTCCATTTTTTTTGAAAAAAATACATTGCAAATACAATAAAAATATCTTTTCAAAAAAATATTACAAACTTGAATTTACTACGCTTCAAAAGTGCATAGTCTTTTTTTCCGCGGCGCACAGTGCATTTTACCTTTTTTCGCACGGTGCGGATTTTTCAAACATCTTGCACTGTGCACTTTCCATTTATCGCGCAAAATCGCTTCCGAAACGTCGCAACAACTCAGTTGAAAATGGCTTTCATCACGCGACATTTCGGTTGCACAGTGCAAAATGTCAAATGCACGGTGCAAAATAAAGTTTTTTGCACGGTGCGGCCCTGAGATAAAAAGTCTACGCACTTTCCAAAAAGTGTAGTACAACTTTTTAAGACATGTCCGACATTTTTTACTGGCAATTTGCAGAAACAAACGAGATTTTTAGGTCAACCGAAAAAAAACAAAAAAAAATTTTTTTTTATCAAATATCGATTGTTCTTTCAAATCACCAGTAAAAAATCTCGGACATGTCTTAAAAAGTTGTACAACACTTTTTCGAAAGTGCGTAGACTTTTTATCGCAGGTCCGCACCGTGCAAAAAACTTCATTTTGCACCGTGCATTTGACATTTTGCACTGTGCAAGCAAAATGTCGCGGGACAAAAGCCATTTTCAACTGAGTCGTTGCGACGTTTCTGAACCGATTTTGCGCGATGAATGGAAATGCACAGTGCAAGATGTTCGAAAAATCCGCACCGTGCGAAAAAAGGCAAAATGCACTGTGCGCCGCGGAAAAAAGACTATGCACTTTTTCAACTGAGTCGCTGGGTCTTAAAATAATTATACTCTATTCTAAATTTGCCCCAATTTCACCCAAATCCAAATTCAAAAAAAAAAAAAGTTTTTTTTTTAAACGCACCCTGAGGCATAAGGTTCACCCAGTTCATGAAGGACCTTTTTGAACGAATGGAACTTCTGTCCCTCTCCGTAGACATTCTCCTGATACACTTCGTCCGCAAACACAAACAGTTTCTTTTCGTAAGCGAACTTGAGGATCTCTTGGATATTCTCCTTGGACAAGACTTGACCCGTGGGATTCCCTGGATTAATCACGACCAACGCTTGCACATCGTATTCGTCTTGATGAGCTTTGAGCGACCGGTCCAGCTCCTCGATACTCAACGCCCAGCCATGTTCTTCGTCGAGGAAATAGCCGATCTAAAGACAGAGATAAAAATTTTTGAAGACCTTACTTGTCCAAGATGAAACTCTTCGATTGAAGCCGAATACAGGGGATATTGAGGTATGGGGATCATGATTCCAGACTTCTTGCTCTTGTTTCTGTTGATGAACAGTTTTAGAAGGTTCTGAAAAAAGTTTTTGATATTACTTCACCTTATTTTAGGTGATAAAAAAGCCAAAAAAACTTTCTGACCCTTTTTTAGGTCAAATAATATATTTTAAAGCCCAAAAAATTACATTAGGCTTCCTAATTTTTGTTTTCCCGTTAAAAATTATATTATCCATGGCATTCTCTTACCCGAATTGACTCCGACGCTCCTCCGGACAAGATAACATTCTCCGAATCGGTTGGAATTCCTCCATCTCGGGCCGAAATGAACTCTGCCACATGTTTTCGGATCACTTCCACTCCAGTCGACTGACTGTAACTTCCAGCGCTGCCTCCGCCACAGCCGGCCAGAATGCCCTTAGCACGTTGTTTCACATCCGATGGAATATCGGGCGACTCCAAGAGCTTGGGATACGACACGCAGGCCAAAACTTGTCTGATGAAGGTGATTGGCACTTGTCCCATGGCATGGGCATCTCCAATATTGGCTTTAATCACGTTCGCGAATGGATGTTTGACGCCCTGAAGGACATTTTTTAATGATAAATAAATAATATCATGTTTTAAAAGATTTTCAGGACATTTTAAATCCATTTTCACTTCAAAACAATTTTTTATATTATACTACTACCAGCCAACCGAAAACTTCATATATCTCAGCTTAACTTGAATATTTCCAACTAAAAAAAAAAAGATTAAAAAATGGTCCTTCCAGGTGATCTACGCAAAATTTCAAGCCAATCCATTCATAAATCTTCGAGTTAATACCTAAATTCGCAACAAAAAGAAACAAAAATCCCCACCTGAGCCAACTCCTTTTCCAGCTCCACGGCGCGGATGACGATCGGCCCGCGGACCGCGTACTCCATGCTCTTCACATTGGGGTTGATGTTGTCGTAATTCAGCACCTTTTTGCCGGCCATCCTCGACGTCTGACTGAAATAGACAGCGGAAATGCGTAAGAATGGCGGGTTCGAACGAAACAGCTGGTTCAATCCGTTATTCATGCTGAAAAAGGAGAAGAAACGGTCGGCGACAACAGAGACTTCAAGCTGGAGAACATCTCTTGGAGGGCTGAGAGCTCATTTTTCCGTTTTTTGGTTCTGTTTTGTATACAAAACATTGTTTTAGACATCAAGCCCTATATTTTGAGAAAGAAGCGTGCATCCGGTGAATAAGTGAGGAGTATCTCAATGTTATCGTTGAATCAGACAAAAACACCCCTGACAAAGCCCGAACAACATGGGTTAAAGATCATTTCCCTCACGAATAACCTTCAACTCTCTGCCAGCACACATGCCATTTGTTTTTTCCCTCCACTTCAAAGCGGAGGGGAAACCCCCACGATGAGCATTTCCGACCACAAAATTCCCTCTTGAAACTCTCGTGTTCCCCTCGCCATCCTTCATTTTAAATTCCTAGGCGTCAAAAAAAAAACAATAATATTCACGAAGACACTTACTAAACCCAACTGAGCTGGAACTGAGCGGCTCAGGAAGGAAATCAGTTGTGTGGACGACCGGTTAGCGGCTCCACTTTGCTCACAATGCGAGACATTCACGATCCACTTTTTTTTGTTCCAAAAAAAAAATTTTTTGCCAAAAAACATTTTGCGAGCTGCGCCCGAGAATATGCAAATTGCCTGGGATCTGGGATGAGTTATGGTGTAAATTGCTGTCGTATAGAAAAGTGAAGACTTGTATTTTATTTTCAAATGGCTTTTAATGTTATTGGACCCATTTTTGTTGGGTTTTGAGAATAAAATATATTGTAGTAGGTCTAAATCAACAAAAAGTTAAATTTCTCCCTACACAGGCTGAATCCAAACATGAAAGTTGGAAGAGACAAAGACTAGAGCATTCTTATCATTTCTGCAAAATTTCAGACACCGCGGTCCAGTAATCTTTGAGATTTCGCTTTTTTAAATCTAATCCTCATCTTCCCCTCATTTTTAACAAATAAATCAAAAAATTTCCGTTATAAAGCAAAGATCGCCTAAGGGAAAGTTCTCTAAACCGCAGCCGAATCAAGAATTGACCCCATAACTCTTATCTAGGACTCCAATTTTCCCAAAAAACGTACCAGAACTCTCAAAGTGCGAAAATTTTGATCTTCAACAGCCTCTTGAGATGCCATCCAGAAAAAGTTTACCGGGAAAACGTTTTCGAACTCACCTGACAACGTGTTGTTGGTCTAAACAAACAAAAAAGACCCCGTGGGAATGACAGTCTTTGGCTCTTCGTTTTTTTTTATCAGATCACAGCGTTTTTTGGAAGAGTTTTGATAAGATTACACATTTCAGCGATATTGGTGTAAAGTTTAAGAAAAATTGGGTAGACTTTGGGGTGAATAATGACCTCTACTGCCTTTATGGCAAAAATTTGTTTGTTTTTGTGGGATTTTTCGCACTTTTTATCACAAACAAGAGTGGTTTTATGAAGATTTACTTTTCAAAGGGCGTTTTTGGCCTAAAAATTCAAAAAAACTGCATTTTGATGACATAAAATGTCATCAAATTTAAAATACACCCCTTTGAAAGGGGTCTTCTAGGCTTTTTTTACTGTATAAAAATTGCAAAAACGACCCAAAAACCTTGTTTTTACAAGGATTTACCCTCTTGAAGAGACGTTTTTGGCCTAAAAAATGAAAAAACTACATCTTTGATGACATAAAATATCATCAAATTTAAAATACACCCCTTTCCAAAGGGTCTTCTAGGCTTTTTTACTCTATAAAAATCTCAAAACTCATCCAAGACCTTCAATTTGAATTTCAAAAACATATAAAACACTTCCAAAAACGACTGAAAACACCTAAACCCCTCGGTTATCCCACTTTTTTCGACTCAAAAAATGGCAATCCGAAAGAATATTGTCGAAAAATTCGACCATTTTTGCGACTACACATCGATTGTTGGCTTTCGATTACTGCGCTCCGAGAATCCAAGATGGCTACGGTAAGAAATCACAATAATTTTAGAGCAGTAATGTCCTGAATGGTTCAAAAAAATGGTCATTTTTTTCTTTGATTTTTCTTGGCCTGAACCGTCTACAGGAAAAAGGTACCCGTTTCATGAAACTACCACGTTATGTGAACATACTCACTGCAAAAATTGTTTGCCAGCTGCAAAAGTTGCCGACATATGGCTGTTCGAAGTTGCCGGGTCAGCGCACCCATTTTTAGGGAAATTTGAAAAGCGACTTCAAAAATTGTCCATTTCTTTATATCTCCCTATATTTAGCTTATCAGCAGTGTTATTTTTCATCACTTTTGCGGCGATGTTCGCGATTCAAACGAAAGACGCGTTTCTGCGATTCCTGGACCCGGCAAAAGTCCCAATTCCGACGTTCAATATGTGGGTCCACAAGAATATTACTCGCCCGTCGATTGCGTTGTGCTCGACAAATTGGAATACACGGTAATGGAGGCTAATATCAGTCTGTTGGGAAAAGAATATGAGTGTGGATTTGTCGCAGCAAAATGTCTCGCGTCGCCGAAGTAAAGAAAAATTTGGCCTTGCCGCGACACAATTCATTTTCTCATCGGAATTTTGATGCGACATTATGCTCATTATTTTCCCGACAGACTGATAGAACGAAATAAACTTTTTATGTATCAGTCTGTCGGGAAAATAATGTGGATTTTTGCAGAAAGATGACTCGCCTTTTTGCAGTCGCGTACCAAATTTCTAGCCGCTGCTAGCCGTCGCAAAGCGATGATGACCGATTCCAAAGCACGACAAAGACTTTGTGCATTATTTTCCTCACAGACTGATAGTATTGGTATCGTCAATTACTATTTTTTTGGCTTATACATATACATACAGGTTGATGGTGAACACAACGCAACAGAATATGTTCGAGATACTGATATACGAGATTTATAATGGCACTACAAGTGACAGTGCCGACCTAATAGAACACCTGGGACATAGTGATGAGTCGACAGCTCCTCCTTCTCCTGCTGTTTTGGCGGAGATCGAAGAAGCCAGAAATGTCAAAAGCATTGTGATGCAGTAAGTAAAATTTTTTGAAGAAGGGGTCAGATTAGCGCGAATCGGTCGAATACCGGGCGTAGGGCAGGTGGATGCTCATAGGTGATAAGCTATCCTAGGACTCGATCAATCTTATTATTTCTACTCGCGTGGGGGACCTGATCTAGTGGCAAAAAACGTACCATTTTGCGTCCAGGAAGCATCAAAAAATGTGGCAAAATACCTCCCTCTCCAAGTGAAAAAACTTAGATTTCAAAAGTGCGCCCGCTCTTTTTGCGGGGAAAAGGGCACGTCCTTCAAAGCGAAGTTTTTTTCACTTGGAGAGGGAAGCATTTTGCCACGTTTTGAATACTTACCGGATGCAAAATGGTACGTTTTTTGCCACTGGATGAGATCCCCCACTGTAAGCCTTCTCGTAGCCTTCCCCAAGCATGTAACGACGAACCGAAGCGATCCATACTGTCATTGACCCGAACTGTCATTGTCCAAAGTCGTAGCGCCGTGTGTCTCCTATAAACTGCCCTCATTTCTCTTCTACGCTCTCTCACTTTGACCTTTACATACCCAATTTTCAGCACTCAATTGAACAAGGATGACCCTGTGTATGAATACGTGATGCATCCGAGTTTCGGAAGATGCATTGTCTTCAAGACCGAAAATGAAAATGTATATAGCAAAGATGGTAGGATTTCCCGTGGTAAAAAATGGCTTATAGATATTGAAAACACTTATGATATCCAAGACTTTTACTTGTTGCGGAATAACGACTATGATCTCGAGTCTACGAATGACGATCAAACGCTATTCGCCGGCTTCATGTACAATGCCAAGTTCGGATTTCTGAACAGAATTGGGATGTCACCAGGAAACTTCTTGCAGATTAATGTGGATGGATTCACAGAGACTGTGGTGGGTTTGGAAAATTAAAAAAGGAAAAAAATAAAATGAAGCGAAGGCTTCTATAGTAGGCCTTACAAGCGAAGGCTACTAGTCAGTTCGCAAAGTCGCTGGAGTGATTTTTGTTGATTGCAAAGCGCAAAAAAAGGTCAGGATGCGACAAAAAGCAAGAAAATGTACAATCCAATGTAAACTTTGCTTTTTGCACAGTGCATGTCGCAAAAATCACTCCAGTGTTTTTGCTGCAACAACAAAAAGAATCCTTTTTGCAGAATATGGTAAAAGATGAGATCACAAAGAAAATGGAATTGTACGGTGAGTGAAAAACGCTACATCAGCGGACCTGATCCAGTGGCAAAAAACGTACAATTTTGCATCCGGGAAGTATCAAAAACGCAGCAAAATACTTCCCCTTCCAAGTAAAAAACCCCGGTTTCAAAAGCCCGCCCGCTGTGTTTGTGATGTAAAGCTATCGCTCTGCAAAAACGAGTTTTTTTAGTTGGAAATGGAGGCATTTTGCCGCTTTTTTGATACTTCCCGGAAGCAAAATGGTACGTTTTTTGGCCTCTGGATCAGGTCCGCCACAGTAGATGGAATAAGAAAAAACACAGGCAGACAGAAAAAAACATCATAAGAAAAACACAGACTGCCGGGCCGGGCCAAAAAAAAAAGATCCTAAAAATTGGCCAAAAAGCCCCTATGTATAAATTTAAAAGACCAAAAAAAAATATAATTCCCAATCTATTTAGTATGTATCCCAAACCCCCATTCCCTAATTAAATGTCCGAAACAAAGCATCTTGCAGAATACACAACCGACTTCCAGAACCGCCCACTCAGCATGGAGATCCTGGACGCATTCGACGAAGGCGAGTTCGACGACTACTCGGCCTTGGTTGGGAACGAGGAGAAAAACGAGTAAAGTGCCTTCCATTTGAGGTCACGTTTACGTGGGAAAACAAACTTTATGCGATTACCGACAATAGACGGCGGTGTTTTAATTGGATTATTTTGGGGGAAAACAAAGTTCAATTGTTACTATTTTGAGTCAATTTTAACTACAGGCGGCACAAAGTCATGGGAATTTCTCGCGGCCCCGAATTCTGCTCAGAATGCGACATCGGGTGCCTCGTTGAATTATCGCTTGGAAAAAAAGAGGCCCTTAAAAGGAAGAGGCCCCCAAAAGAAGAGGCCCCTCGACCGAAGAGGCCCCCTTTTCGATAAAATGTTTAAAAAATTCAAAAGGAAGGGTGACATCTTATACGACCAAAAATTTTTTAAAATTGAAAAATAGGTGTGGCATTATAATTATTTTTTTAATCGTATAAGATGTCACACCTATCTTTTCAGTTTTTAAAAATTCTTTGATCGTATAACATGTCACCCTTCATTTTCAGTACGGTCTTCGAATTAAAAGGGAGAAATTCATGGAACACGGAGAGGACTGTGGAGGATGATGAATTTGCATTGTAAGCTTCGCATTACCCGAAGGGTTATACGCCGTTTTGGCCGATTTTTAGGCACAACTCCTTGGCCATTAACATCATTTATCGGAACTACATTACTCAAGAGATATTGTACTCGGATGAATTCTCGTTTTGGTCATTACTGAGTGAGTCTGGGTAGTTGAGGAATTTTCTTGGAGGATGTCACTATCAGCCTGTCGGGAAAACAATTAGCACTTTGTCGTAACCAATACTGCATCGCCGCCGAGAAAATGAATTGTCTCGCGGCAAATTCAAATAGCTGTTCACTGCAGCGACGAGCACTTTGCGCTTACTATTCTATCTTCCCGACAGACAGACTGATATGTACTTATTAGTACCCGTATGAGCGAAAAACGAACTGTGCGCAGTGCCAAGTCGATATATGCGAGCACAACGCTTGAGAGCATTAACTTTAACTGGCTGGAACTCCAAGCTCTGTTGTTGCTTACGATTTACATATTCTTGCGACAAAAAAACTCTAATGAATGTAAGAGAATTTCCGAGACACCTGGGACTAGGCGGCCCAAAAAGTATTTACGTGTCTGCTGGCTCATTTTAATATTTTCAACTTCAAAATACCATTTCCCCCTAACTCATTGAGTGTTTATTCATTCTGCACCACTATTAGACACACTACCGATAGTAACCTCAAAATTTCAGCCGAAGTCGGTGGAGCGTTGGGTCTTTACTTTGGGGTGACGGTCATCACACTCTACGAGACGTTCTTCTTTTTCTTCACCGTCAAAGAAGTGAAGCCGATTAGGGAAATGGCACTGGACAAGAAGCTGACCAAGAGGATACTCTATTTCAAGGAGGCTAACGCTGAAGACTCGGCACAACTTCCCGTCCCGCTGCATTTGTAGAGACCAGAGTCGGTTCGGCTTTTAAAATCGATATGCACGTTGATCCCTTTGCGTATTTATTGCAATGAACCCACGCCGTTTTCGTCTGTCTCGCTATTAATGGTCGTAGACATGGCAATAAGATGACCAGTTGCTCCTTGAAGGCGGCGCGGTAATGTCTGCTGAATTGCAAATCAGATCAAGCATGGAGAATAAAAAGAAAACCCAAGAAAAACAGAGTTTCTCTTGCCTAAATATGGCGCTTGGGCCGGGCCAAAAATAAGGACCAAGAGTGGTCCAAAAGTCATGTCTACACTCCAGGGCTCCACAAAATTGAAAACCCAAGTTCAAAGTTTAAGTTCAGACATTCAAAACCTCCAAGCCTAGGACCAAGTTTGGACTCGCACCTGGCAGAAACGACCGAGATTTTAAGGTCAAAAATTGAAAAAAATGAACACTTTTTGCCAAACTTTAGCATGTCAAATTGTCGGGAAAATAATGAGCACAATGTCGCCGATCGTGTCGCTGAAGTGAAAAGCAATTTGATTTCGTCGCGACACAATTTATTTTCTCGGATGCGATTTTCAATGCGACAGAATGATCATTATTTTCCCGACAGAGTGATAAAAACTTGCACGCCGATTTGTACCGTATAGGATAGCGTTTCCACAAAAAATCAATTTTTTCCACACAAAACTAACAGAGATACAGCTAAAAGTTTTTTATCTCTAGCCGTTCTTATTTCGCGTACTCTCTCGTGGGCAAAGGTCGTTCAATATCTCGGCTGTCTCTGCGAAGCGCGAGCTAAAACTTTCAAGAATTGCTACGTAGCATTGTCTTAAATTTTGTGCAAAATTTGAAGGAAATCTGAAGGTCGCACTTATAGTATTATGTCTTACATTTACATAAATTTGAACTTTTGTGGAGCCCTGCTATTCTCCCCAATAACACTCACTTTGCGATGAAAAAGATGGGATAATTCATGGAGATGCACAAGTTAATCACCAATCCAGCCGCCGACGTCGCTATGTCCGGGATTTTGTCGAAAAGCAGCGACCAACCTGTACCCGACAGGTTCGTGAACAAGTAGGACCCGCTCATTACGACGCTCACAATCGTCAGCGACTTCAAGGTTTGTCGGCTTCGGTCAAACTTTTTGACTTTAACCCGCATCCAAAGTATTCCATACGGCAGAAGGGTTACGATGTTGGTGGCCGACGACGAAGCCAAGAAAATAGTTATAGCATCATCGGCGTACCCGTTAACCGGCAGACAAGTGACCGTGGAGTCCGGGGAGCGTTGGGCAGAGAGGTAGCCATAAATTGAGACGGGCAGAGGGAGAAGGAGTGCTGCCGCGATGATTGAGAACATGTACTTTCGGTTTGCAATGGAGGAGTAACTGAAACGTTTCATTTTGAATGTTTTGAAATTATTGGGGCAGCTGCTGGTCATGTGGGTTGAGCCTGAACTCTCCCCCTTTTCTGAACTCTCCCGCTTTTTGAACACTCCCCTTCATTTTGAAAATTGAAAAAAATGAGGTGTAACATGTTATACTATGAAATTTTTTTTCAAATTGAGAAAAATTAGGTGTGACATGTTATACGATGAAATTTTTTTTTAAATTGAAAAAATGAGGTGTGAGATGTTATACGATCAAATTTTTTTTTCAAATTGAGAAAAATGAGGTGTGACATGTTATACGATCAAATTTTTTTTCAAATTGAGAAAAATTAGGTGTGACATGTTATACGATGAATTTTTTTTTCAAATTGGAAAAAATGAGGTGTGATATCTTATACGATAGAAATTTTTTTCAAATTGAGAAAAATGAGGTGTGACATCTTATACGATGGAATTTTTTTTCAAATTGAGAAAAATGAGGTGTGACATCTTATACGATGGAAATTTTTTTCAAATTGAGAAAAATTAGGTGTCACACCTCTCGTTTTTTCAATTTTCAAAATGGGGGAGTGTTCAAAAAAATGGAGAGTTCAGATTTTTTGGTGTAAATCAAAAAAGGAGGAGAGTTCCGCCTTTTTTGGGGGAGAGTTTAGATTGGGGGAGAGTTCAGAAAAAGGGGGAGTTCTGCCGCAACGTGTGGGAAAAATGTCGGGAAAATAGTGGTGAGTCGTCGCAGAAAAATTCAATTTTTCGCCTCACCGAGAAGAAAGGGCCGTCAGGCACCAAATTTCCTGCTGCAGCTGGCCGTAGCAAAGCTACAGTAACCGACTTGATCCAGTGGCAAAAAACATAGCATTTTGCATCAGGGAAGTATCAAAAAATGTGGCAAAATGCCTCCCTCTACTACAAAAAAAAAATTCCGTTTTGAAGGGCTACTTCTCGGATGCAAAATTCTTGCCGATTTTTTACCGGTTTGTCGGGAAAATAATGAGCACAATATCGCCGATCGCGTCACTGAAGTGAATAGAAATTTGATTTTTCCGCAACACAATTTATTTTCTCGGGTGCGATTCTCGATGCGACAGAGTGCTCATTATTTTCCCGACATACCGATATTGCAAAATTTTTAGATATTATAAAAGCCCGCTTTATTGCCCCTCTCACTTACGCCAACGGCTTAGACACACAGAGAAGTCGGTCGAACGAGACGAATAGCAACATGCACGGCGTGAACAACGCACCATACAGAGGCACACACATTGAACGAAAACAATCGATTTGAGTGACATTCCCATCTTGAACGAATTTGTAGTATGCGGAGGTTATCTGCGATGTCTGATGTAAAATATCGCCGGCCGCTGCGAATGCAACAAAGATGTTGCATGTGCCGCGAAGTCCGCTGCAAAAGGTGAGGATTAGGCTTGTTGTTGTGTTCTAACATAAAAAAAATTGTGTGAATGAATATCTGAATCGACCGTATTTTTTAAAATGCTCAGTAGTAACTGTATGCTAATGGGACACCAAACTAGGTCTTTTGGGAGACGAAAGTCATTGTTTGTCACCTCAACGACCATTAGTCAAGTTTTTTTTCCTCTTGGACACAACTGCTTTCATCTGGCCAACGTTCCTTGAATCTACGCTGGATAGACTAGCCCAGGCATGGCCAGGTTGCGAACTTGACCATGAGTAACTTATCAGCCTGTCGAGAAAATAATGAGTACAATGTCACTGCGCCGAACGCGTTGCTGAAGTGAAAAGAAAATTGTTTTTATCGCAACACAATTCATTTTCTCGGCGGCGCACGTCATGCTGAGGAGTCCGGTGACCAAAATAGACTCTTTGCTATCGGTTTTTTACATTTCGTCTTGATTTCACAGAGATGTCAGAGAAAAAGGCGCGGAAAAACGTGCTCTCTCACCCCAAAAACTCCCCATTTCTTCCCCGACAAAAGGTTTTTTCACGTCTTTTTTGGCGAATCGACGATCTGTTCACCGGACCGTTTTAGCTTATCTCAGTTTGACGTGCGGCGATGCGATTTTCGATGCGACAGAGTGCTCATTATTTTCCCGACAGACGAATATCTTACGGTATGGGCAAGTAGCCTACTCCACGGACTATTGAATCAAGCAATTTTGCAACTGTGGAGAGAAAATTCCAGTCCGTTCTGAAAGTCGCTGAAGTGATTTTTGTGGCATGCAGTGTGAGAAAAAAACGGAAGTGCACTTTGTACTGTTCAATTTCTTGCTTTTTGCACCATGCTATTTTTTGGGCTGTCGCTTGCACCCTAACTTTTTTTGCGCAGCGAAGACGCCAAAAATAACTCGAGCGATTTTAGGAACGGACTAGTAGCCGGACTTCTGTCAAGCGATGACAGTGAAGAAGAACTATGCGCCACAGGACGTATTTTACCACTCCATTTTTAGCAACGAGACAGCTAAAAGTGCAGCTCTCAAATTTCTTTTTTGGAACAGACTAGGTTTCCAGTATTTCTCATTTCCTTTCTGAATGCATAGATTTTGCTATCAGACCGCATACTTATTACTGTCTATAAAACGGCCACAAAAGACTAGAGACACGTAAATTTTGACCGTAAATGTCGAAGAAATGCCCTTTCTCATGTCCTCTACCAAAAGCCACGTTGTTGTCCAACATACAAAGAATTTCAAGAGCTACAAAGTGAAATCTCAATAGAAATTTAAAGGTCCAATCTTCTTATCATACAGAAAAACCCAAAAAAAAATGATATGACATCTTACGGTTTTCTGATCGACACCCATATGATATTCCAGTTCCCGAAGATTCCGAACAAGGCAATAGCCAAGGACAGTATACTCATAACCGTCTCCATAAAGACACGTGGCGACGAAACAAGGTGGGAGATGTGTTTTCGGTCAGCCCTTCATGGGAACGTCCAAAGAATTAAGTAACCATAAAACACTGTCGTTGAAGGGGTAAAACGTGCAGACGGATGGGATAAATCGGGCCATTCATAGGAGTAAAGGCTATAAAAAACATCCACAACAAAAACCATGGACTTGAGGAGCACGTTGAACAGAAACCATGGATTTGAGCAACACGCCTATTCCACAATCGGCAAGGATTACTGCAACATTATTAAACTTTATTGTTGTAAAGTTGCGTTCAAAAAAACGTTTACTGTAACACCGCGTTGAAATATTAAGTTATTGTAACGTAGCATTTAGGAAGTTGGTTGCTCTTACACCGTGTTTTATCAGTTTGTCGGAAAAATAGTGGTGGGTCGTCGTAGCAAAATATTTCGCCTCCTCAAAAAAAAATGGTGCAGTCGCGGAACAAACTTCCAGCTGCGGCTAGCGTGCCAAAGCGATGATGGGCGACTACAAGGAGCGACGTCCTGCCGCTATTTTCCCAAGAAACTGATAAGAACTAGGTTAACTAGGTTCAAAAAATGTGTTACTGCACAGCATTCCGAACTTTTTTCGCCGGTGTCCAAAAAAATAAAAAAATAAAAAGTGGTTATCACGTTTTTATATGTGTACGGCTAGACATGGCTCCCGGGCCGGGCCGGCCCGGGCCGGCCTGGGCCGGGCCGCGGGCCGGGCCGAAATTTCGGCCCGTCGGCCGGATTTCAGGTCGGCCGGGCCGGCCGGACCATTTCCGGCCCGTCGGCCGGGCCGGCGTTTCGGCCCGGCCCGGCCCGGAATAGTTAAAATCCAGAATCTCGAAGCGAAAAGTGGGTTTGATAATGAATATAAACGAAATGTCAAGACACAATTGGTTTTTTTAAAGGTATTTTTGTTTTTAGATAGTTATGGAACACAGTATTTATCCATTTACATGATGATAGAAAAAAAATTTGGTCATAAGGAGTTAGACTTGGGGAGACTTTTGTTTCAATGGGCCGGCCCGGGCTGGCCCGGGCCGGGCCGAAGCAAATTTAGAACGGGCCGGGCCGGGCCGATGGAAAATTTGAAACGGGCCGGGCCGGCCGGAACCCTTCAGGCCGACGGGCCGGGCCGAGATTTTCGGCCCGGGCCGGCCGACCAGCCATGTCTATGTACGGCTACCAGAAGATATACCGACAAAAAGAAAAAAATCCGTATGTAGAGAAACCAATTTCCTTCTAGAATATATAAATTTTGTTACCAGCATGCTCGCTACCGTCGAGAAAATCGGCATTGAAGAAAGGGAAATTTCAATTTTGAATGCCAAAAAAATGTACTTTTTTGGGGTCGACAAAAAAGATGGTGGAGTCCATCGTGAAGAGAATTTCAAGGGCTACAACATACCGTGATTTCAAGATTTTTGTGGGGGTTTGAGCAAAGTTAGAGCCAAAAAATGCTTGATTTTGGCCATTTTTTGCTTGCTCCACCATCTTTTTTGTCGACCCCAAGAAAGTACATTTTTTGGCATTCAAAATTGAAATATCCCTTTCTTCAATGCCGATTCTCTCAACGGTTGCAAGCATGCTGGTAACAAAATTTATATATTCTGAAAGGAAATTGGTTCCTCTACATACGGATTTTTTTTCTTTTTGTCGGTATATCTTCTGGTAGCCGTACGCATATAAAAACGTGATAACCACTTTTTATTTTTTTATTTTTTTGGACACCGGCGAAAAAAGTTCGGAATGCTGTGTACTGTAGCATTATGTATAAAGAGTCGGTTACTGCAACGCTGTGCTCAAAACTAGGTTGCCGTTAAATCGCGCTCCAGCATTGGGTTGCTGTAACATTGCGCTTGAAAGCAGCGCAAAAATTGGGGTACTATACTCGGGTTCAAGAATTGGGTTATAGTAGAATCGCGTTCAAAAACTCGGTTGCTGCCACATCATGTTCAAGGACTCGGTTTTCAGTATATGAAATCGTGTTCAAAAACAAAGCTACTCGCGGGCAAAAATTGGGCTACTGCAACCCCTTAGTTCAGATAAAATTTCCACCAACTTTTAGTGCAGCACTTGCAATGAAAACGCTGCAATTTCCTCGTGGAGTTACGGCCGCTATTCTTTTTATATCGATAGAAAATCTCACGGTTTTTTGAAGGATAACGGTATTTTCCAATTTCCAAACTAACACACCTATCCCAAGCCAATTAAAATATACGCAAAGAGATGCTCATGGCGAAGGAAACGACACGAATAACGTGAAGTTGTTACGTTTTTGTTTTGTTTTCAACCCTTCATGGGAACTTTGAGACAATTAAAGCACAATGCTTGCGTTGTTTGTGGGGTAAAATGCCCTTTACCGGAATAGCAACACGTAGGGAAGGGTTTCAGTGGTCAGGGAATGTCGTAGACATCCGGAAAAGACAGTTGTAATAGATGTTGTGGTACATAAAAATAGCAAAAAAATGATGTCCATAATATTAACTTTATTTGCGATTATATCTTGCTGCTTGTAACAATCATTGAAGGTGTGTAGTCAACGCTCTTTATCACGCCCTTGAACGGCCACAGGCACGGCAATAGAATGAAGAATTGTTCTTGGAAGGCTCTGCGGTAGTTCTTGCTGAAATATAGAGGTTATACATATATGTATACATATGTATATATTCAAGCGCATTCTTCAACATGCCCATTCAAAATATAAAGTCCGTCGGGAAAATAATGAGCACTCTGTTGGATCGAAAATCGCATCGTCGCCGAGAAAATGAATTGTGTCGCGACAAAGTCAAACTGCGTTTCACTTCAGCAACGCGACTGGCGCGGCGACATTGTGCTCATTATTTTCCCGACAGACTGATAATAGAGGCAAGAAGTCTTGATGTCATCCTGTCGGCAAAATAGTGGCCAAGGCCGCGCCTTGGAATCGCCTATCATCATGGCGCAGCGACATTTTTTCTCACTACTTTTCCGACAGATCGACAAAAGCGGCATTGGCCATTAATTATCGTTATCGCGAAGTTGCGACACTCTCATCTACATATGGTCTTGACATGACTGCACGGTGTGAAGACCTTGCCGCGATATGTCGCAAAAATCCGCAAATAGCGACAAGGCAAAACTATCAGTTTGTCGCAGAAAAATATCTCTGTTTGTCCTCGCCGCAGTCATCAAATCGCCGGTCGCGGCTAGCCGTCGTAGACGCTTATGGGTTATTTCAGGGCACAAAAAATCCACATTATTTTCCCGACAGACTAATATCACTCTGTCGGAAAAATAATGTGGATTTGTCGCAGCAAAACGTCCGGCCTCGTCGCAGTAGCGCACCTAATTTCTAGCCGCGGCTAGCCATCGCAAAGCGATAATGGACGATAATCCACATTATTTTCCCGACAGACTGATTTTCAGAAGCCTCCGGGGGAATTGCCATATTTTCATCGAGTCCGCCGATTCCAAGGCGCGACGAATCCACAACATTTTCCCGACAGCCTGATAACTGGCCACGCTGACCATGCACAGTCCAAAATGATCTTTTGAAATTCCCCAGTATTAGTCTGTCGGGAAAATAATGTGGGCTCACCACAAACTTTCACCACCACTGCAACTTACTTTACGAAAAAATAAATCGGATAGTTCATGGCTATACTCAAATTGACGGCCAGTCCAGGGAGTAATGTGGCCATCTCGGGGATTCGCTCCACAAACAGCTTCCAAATCGTCCCATTCAAGTTGGTAATCACGCACGCCGCACACATGACGATGCTCACAATCGCCACAGACTTCAAAATCTGTCGGTTCTGCGCGAACTTTTTGTCGCCCGCCCGAATCCGGATTATCGCGTACGGAAGCACCGTGAGCACATTGAGGAGGCTGGACAAGCCCAAGAAGAGCGTTGTGCCTTCGTCGACGTATCCGTTGATAATCAAGCAAGGCACGTCGTCGTACAAATAGTTCTGGACGGAGATGTAGCCCACAATCGAAGTGGGTAGGGGGAAAATAAAGACGAGTGCCAGAATCACGAACATGTACTTCCGGCCACCAATTGAGGAGTAGCTAAAGTGATGATTTTATAGGAATGGAAATATTATACATATATTATAACCGAATTGTGGCATATACAACACATACCTTATCACTACAGTGACGGACCTGATCCAGTGGAAAAAAAACGTACCGTTTTGCATCCGGGAAGTATCAAAAAATGTGGCAAAACACCTCCCTCTCCAAGTGAAAAAACTCCGCTTTGAAGGGCGCGCCGTTTCCCTCACAAAAGAGAGCGGGCGGGCTGTTAAAATCGGAGTTTTTTTAGTTGGAAAGGGAGGCATTTTGCTACATTATTTCATACTCCCGGGATGCAAAATCGTTCGTGCTTTGCCACTGGATCAGGTCCCTCACTCTACTTTACCACAAATCTGACCGCAATATAAGCTAACGGCAAAGAGACTGCATCCACTTTAACCCTTACAAAGCACCACAACTTACGCTAACGGCTTTAAAATACAGATCAATCGGTCCAGCGAGATGAACAACAGCATGCATGGAGTCAACAACGCGCCGTACAACGGCACACACATTGAGTAGAAACATTGGATTTGCGCAACGCTTCCCCCGAACTTGAATTTGTAATAAGCGGAGATGAAGTGGGCAGACTGATGGAAGATGTCGCCGAGTGCGGTTACCGCGATGAAAATATGACAATTCCCCCGGAGGCTTCTGAAAGTGGCTTCTATCAGTCTGTCGGGAAAATAATGTGGATTTTTCGTGCCTTGAAATCACCCATCAGCCTCTACGACGGCTCGCCGCGACTGGCGATTTGGTGGCTGCGGCGAGGCGACAATTCCACATTATTTTTCCGACAGGGTGATATGAGTCTGTCGGAAAAATAATATGGATTTTTCGTGCCTTGAAATGACCCATCAGCGTCTACGACGGCTCGCCGCGACTGGCGATATGGTGGCTGCGGCGAGGCGACAATTCCACATTATTTTTTCGACAGAACGATATCAGTCTGTCGGGAAAATAATGTGGTTTTTTTGTGCCCTGAAATAACCCATCAGCGTCTACGGCGGCTAGTCGCCACTGGCGATTTGGTGACTGAGACGAGGGCAGACATTTTGATGCGACAAATCCACATTATTTTTTCGACTTTTCATTTTTTGAGACCAACTCAAAAAAAGCTGGTGCAAGAACATGTCTAGACGCCCATCTAATATCAGTCTGTCGGGAAAATAATGAGCATTCTGTCGCTTCGAAAATCGCTTTGCCACCGACAAAATGAATTGTGTCGTGACAAAATCAAATTGCTTTTTATTTCAGCAACAGATGGTGCATCGACAGAGTGCTCATTATTTTCCCGACAGACTAATAAATACTCTTCCTATTACATCCAGATCAAATCTTACGGCTTTCTGATCGACACCCATATGATGTTCGCGTTGCCGAAGATCCCAAATCCGGCTATCGCCACGTACAGTACATTCATATACCCATCCGAGAAACCCATGGCAATGGAGACCAAGTGGGGAAATTGTTGGTTCTTGTTTAGTTTTCATTTGAACCCTTCATGGGAATTTGGAAACAAATTAAACCACCGAGCTCGTGGTGTTGGAGTACTCTGAACTTTATCGGAATGATGACAATTCGAGGAGCGTTTCGGTGGCCTTGAAATGTCGAGACGGAAATAAATATAGGCACTACAAACTATGAAAATCCTTTTGAAGTACCTGAAAATCTCGTATTTGATGACGGTACTACTTCAAACTGGAGTATTCAGCCAATAACTTTGTTTGGGGACAAAGCAATAGCCGTTTGGACCCTGAAAGCAATTGAAAATTTTGAAAAAACGTGTGATGCCTTCATTTAGAGTACAAAAATCCAGCAATAACCCGTTGAAACACGTTGTCCATGGGTTGTACTTTTGGCTGTGTTTGGTGCTTGTGACGCACAAACTTCAATGAAACTTGGTACAAAAACGTATAGGTATTTTTGAAGAAGCATTCTCCTGGTTTGTGCTTTGCAAAAGCCATGATTTTTGTAGATGAAATTTGACGAAAACTTTTTTGGTATTATAAATGACAACTACTAGGCTCCGAAAAAAACATGAACCATTGACAATCTTGACCTCGAAGAGGTTGTGAAAGAATTGAAAATTAAACATTTCCGTGGTGTTTTTATGAGAGGCAACCTTCCAGGTAGGATACATTCCCAAGAAGTCGGAATTGTGGCGTCGCGACACTTGCGGGCAACCACTTTGCGGGCAACCAGTTTGCGGGCAAATTTTTTGCGGGCAGCCACTTTGCGGGCAAAATTTGGGGGGTCACATTTGCGGGCAGCTGAAACATTTGCGGGCAGCTGAGACACTTGCGGGCAGCCTTGGACATTTGCGGGCAACCGACACTTGCGGGCAGCCGACATTTGCGGGCAACCGGCACCTGAGGGTAACAGGGTGGAGGTGGAAATATTACTGCGATATTTTGGAAATCTGCCGACATTTGCGGGCAGCCGACACTTGCGGACAGCCGACATTTGCGGGCAACAGGAAAAAACCATCACACAGACTGTATAGGAACTTTTGGAACTGTTGCCCGCAAATGTCGGCTGCCCGCAAGTGTCGGCTGCCCGCAAATGTCGGAAAACTTCCAAAATATCGTAGTAATTTTTCCACCTCCACCTTGTTATCCTCAAGTGCCGGTTGCCCGCAAATGTCGGCTGCCCGCAAATGTCGGCAAATTTCCAAAATATCATAGTAATTTTTCCACGTCCACCCTGTTACCCTCACAATCAGGTGTCGGTTGCCCGCAAATGTCGGCTGCCCGCAACTGTCGACCCTGCCCGCAAATGTCCCAGGCTGCCCGCAAATGCCGGTGCTGGCCGCAAATGTCGGCTGCCCGCAAAGTGGCTGCCCGCAAAAAATTTGCCCGCAAACTGGTTGCCCGCAAAGTGGTTGCCCGCAAGTGTGCGCCCGCCGGAATTGTGAATCTTGATTCTTCGAATAATAAGGGTACTCTTTGGGTTTGCTATAAAAAGATGAAAGAAGAAAGTGATGACTTCGATTCTTTTGGATTAGATCCAGGTGCTCAACAAAAGCGAGCAATATAAAACTAGATTATCATAACTGTTTTCGAAGCAGTAAAGTTCATACTAGTTCAGAAGCTAATTGATATGTCACTCAGTCATGAAGTGCACAGCATGAAAAACATTTACGAACGACAAGATTTCTTTTGCTTTTCTCATTCTTTATTAATACAATAAATGTATATATAAGAGCGCAAGCTAGGAATCAAGCATACGTCTTATATTCTAAAAAAAATTGATTAAATTTGCGCCACAATCCATAAAAATCCAAGAGTTGCACTTCAAGCACCTCCCCTGCTAAGCTTTGTGGGTTTCATCAAGAGAAATAAATAATTTGTGCCCGATCTTTAAACGATTATCTCTCTGCCGGGAAAATAATGAGCACTCTGTCGCTTCGGAAACCGCATCACCGCCAAGAAAATGAATTGTGTCGCGGCAAAATCAAATTGCTTTTCACTTCAGCGACCCGATCGGCGCAGCGACATTGTGGTCAGAATTTTTCCGACAGACTTATAGTATTGTATATGCCACAACCTCATATGACGTCTGCGCACTCCATAAGCGGTTCTTCATTCTTCTTACTTCACAGTGAAAAAGAAGTATGCGCCAGACAATGGAAATCCGACTGATACACTCGATGATTTTACATTTGACTAGATGAATGAATTGAAATAGATGGGCAACAAAGATAAGACACAATCAAATGCCCTTAAAAGAACAAGAAGATCCTCTGCTCTCTGCTTCACTGTCACATTCAACTTCTCCACCCTCCGTTGGCCACCTTCTTCATTCTCAAGCAATTTATCTCCACATGTAATACACGCGGAATATTTGCTTTCGCTCGGGTTCAACGTGTTTGCGCAGCGGATTTGGAAATGTCCAGTGTGTCCCTATCTTCTCGGGTGTAAAACAAACACGCTCGGACAATACACGAACGGGTTTAGCGGGAAATTATTATTTTTTCGTCGTTTTATTTCTCTGGGGAGTGGTACAAGTGCGACGCTTAGATCTTGATGAAAGTTGGCACAAATTAAGAAGAATTTTTGATAGGACATACGTGAGATTTTTAGCTTGCGTTTTGCCGTAACGACCGAGATTTTTAGGTGAAAGTTGAGAAAAATTTCGACAGTTTTTTTTGTGAATCTTTGCATAAGAAGCTCTCTTTGCCGCAAAGATCGTTGAATATCTAGGCGGACCGTGCAAAGTGCAAGCTAACACTTTCAAAAATTATTTATCGATTTCCCGACATTTATTTATGTATTATATTTCGTCTAGTTCGTTCTCAAATTGTCTGAATCGTAAGCCTCTCACTATTCATAAAGCTATCTATGTTCACGGAAAAGTGATTAATCAAAACATTTTTAAACGTGATTAAAATAGCTTTTCCTTTGAGAATTTGTAAATCTCTTTATGTTTTTTGCGTGTCAAACGCAGGAGACTTTACTATTACTAGTCGCGCCATAAGGTCCGTAGAATTTTTTTCGCCGACTTGGCGGGTGCAATCGTCGAAAAGTGCATGTCGCTAGTGCAAAAACGGGGAATCGCCGCGGTGCGTGCGAAAAAGAAGGGTTGAATGCACTGTGCAAAATTCTACGGACTTTATGTCGCGCCTAGTACACTGATTCTACAAATTTTTGCTTTTGCGTTGCAAGCGCCGCCAAAATATGCAGCGTAACTCTCCGCAAAACGCGGAGAGTCTTCAGAAAGAATTCCTTTTTTGGCCATATCGGCCTACGGAGAAATTGATTTTTTGCGGAAACATTGCGGTAGGCACATGTACAGGGTCTTACAAAAAACGTGAAGGAAATTGGAAGGCTATAACTTAAGGCCGAGGTGGCGCAGAGACTTCGTATTTGAAATATGTATTTTTTAAAGACATAAGTTTTTGTCTACGAAATAACAAGCTCTTAAAGTGCAAACTGAGGTCGCTACGACCTTCTGAAGTAGAGGCATCTCTACCCCGGAAACCAGGTTTTTTCGGTTGAAAATGAACGAGAAATTTTGGACTTTTTCGGTTGAAAATCACCAGGAAATGTCGGAATTTTTGGGGGGTTTCGATATGGGTGATGTTGAAAAATAGGAGGAAAGTGCCAACACTTGCAAATTATGCACGTTCTCTTAAAGACTATATCAAGAAACCCCAAAAAATCCGACATTTCCTGGTGATTTTCAACCTAAAAAGTCCGAAATTTCTCGATCATTTTCAACCGAAAAAACCTGGTTTCCGGGGTAGAGATGCCTCTACTTCAGAAGGTCGTAGCGACCTCAGTTTGCACTTTAAGAGCTTGTTATTTCGTAGACAAAAACTTATGTCTTTAAAAAAATACATATTTCAAATACGAAGTCTCTGCGTCACCTCCGCCGGAAGTTATAGCCTTCCACTTTCCTTCACGTTTTTTGTAAGACCCTGTAAAAAATTTTATGCTAAAATTCACAAAAAAGGGCTAAATTCTGATCAACTTTTGGCTTAAAAATCTCGGTCTTTTTTGCAAAAGGAAAGCTGGAGTTCTCCCATATGTCATAGAAAAAATATGATGAATTTGTCGTTAGTGTCATCAAAATCTTAGCGTCGCACTTTGAGCACCTCCCCAGTCAACTTTGCCAATTAATTTTCACCAAAAATCTCTTTGTTTTCACTGGATTTACCGCCGCTTTCAACACCTACTGACTGTTTATGACGTTTCCGCCCGTGAAACCCCCAAATCTCGTCCAACTTTCTCGAACATCTTGCAATTCAATCCGTTTGGCCCACCGAAATCCGCTGCGTTCTTTCCCGCGAAAGACATGATGGATATAGCGCTCGATTTTGTCATAAACTTTTTTTTGTCGCTCAGGAATATAGAGTGAGGAGGAAGGAGAGAGAGGGCCTCTCTTCGCCCTCCGACAGGATCGATGGGAGTTTTTAAGGACCACAAAAATCTTCTTTCCAATCTCATTTTATTTATTTGCATTCCGCCTTTCCGGCAAATAAACTTCGAGGGGTTAATCTGGTTTGCGAGGTGGGGATAGGCTTCACTTTGATGGGTTGGGGTCAGTTGATTTTGCGGGTGATTTGGTAAACAGATTGCATTACTTTTTTGGCTATTAATTTTTTTGGCATTTTAATGGAGAAGTGTTGTCATGATGTTAGTATTTTTCATAAAGTGCATGGACATTTGTCGAATTATGCACAAAAAAAAACAATTTTTCACCGTGAATGTCACCTTTTTTGATGGCGATTTTCGATGCGACAGAGTGCCCATTATTTCCCCGACAATCTGACATTAGTATTTTTTCATAAAGTGCACGGACATTTGTCACATTGTGTACCAAAAAAAAACAATCTTTCACCGTGAATGTCACCTTTTTTGATGGCGATTTTCGATGCGGCAGAGTGCTCATTATTTCCCCGACAATCTGAAAGTATTTTTCGTAAAGTACATAGACATTTGTCACGCCCCGCACTGCGCGCAAAAAACCCCCCAATCTGGCGTGAATGACCCCGTTTTTTTTTTGGCTTTTGCGTTGTCCGGCGAAATGTCGCTGGACGTAAGCAAATTTCAACTACATCGCTACGTCGGTGCCAGGCATTTTCACAGTGTTATTTTTTATCGGCTTTTTGTTTTGATTGTCGTGCTGTGCAAAGAAACAAAATGCACTGTGCGTTAGCGACAAGCGTAGAAAAAATTCAAAATGCACTGTGCGAAAGCGGAAAATGTGCAAGCACTTTATGAAAGTATATGTATACTTCAAGTCCGTTCGCAAAGTTGCTGCTGTGATTTTGGCGGCATGCATGCAATGTGAGAAAGCAAAGGATTATCAGTCTGTCGGGAAAACAACGGCGAATCGTCGCGCCTCGGAATCGCCCATCATCGCTTTGCGACGGCGACCGCAGCTGGATATTTGGTGCGCGACAGCGGCGAGGCGAGACATTTTGATGCGACGATCCGCCGTTATTTTTCCGACAGACTGATATTATTTTCAATTTGAAAATTTTTTTCATAGTATAAGGTGTCACATCTTATTCTTTTCAATTTAAAAAAAATTTTCATCGTATAAGGTGTCACACCTTATTATTTTCAATTTGAAAAAATTTTCATCGTATAAGGTGTCACACCTCATTTTTTCAATTTTCAAAATGAGGGGTAGTGTTCAAAAAGGGGTAAAGTTCATTCAAGGGGTAGAGTTGAAAAAGGGGTAAAGTTCTGAAGGGGTAAAGTTCAAAAAGGGGAAGAGTTCAGGTTCAACCCCGGCTGTCAAGCCTGCGGTACCGTAGTATTGGCGAAAGAAAAATTTAGATAAATTCCGAGAAGAATAATCATTCTTTGATGTAAGACATCACTGACAGCCTTTCATTAAAAGAACAAAAATTCAAAGACGATTACGCATTTTGTCTCAATGATTCAATGTTCAATGTCTATATGTATTTTTCTGAATAAATTTTGATAATAATCATAATATTTTTGGTATTTTTCTGTCTAAACATTTAGTCTTACCGTAAAAATGACACAGGTTTAAATAAATTCTTTTGAAAATTTTCACATTTTGTTCGTAGGCCACACAACAACCCAGCAAATTTTGGTTCGCGCTCTGCAGGGGCAGCCGAGATATTTTTTTGCCTACGAGAGAGTGCGCGAAATGCAGAGACGGCGTAGAAGAAAAACTTGGTCATAGCTTTGCCAGTTTCGTGCGGGAAAAATTTATGTATGTTTTGCGGAAGCATTACTTTCCTCGACCAAAATCTGAGCGTCGCATTTAAAGCATTTCCCTTGTTAATTTACAGCCCTTTATGTAAGTAACGGTAAACTAGAGACGTTATATAATAATATTTGTAGCCGTAACGGCAAATTCAAAGCAACCGTCTCACATTAGGCTAAAGATATTCTCTGACCGCATAATCTACATATTTCAAGTTTATCATGCAAAAGAATGCGAGTTGAAATGTTAAGCTGCTTTTCCGTCGTTTCTTTGTTGTTCCATCTCCTTATAAGCGCATTTCTTTTTTTTATTGTTGTGACAGGAAACTTAATTTCAGAAACAGTTATGTACAGATGGTGGGTGGCTAGCCTAACGGTGTTGCTGAATTTTGTGCAAATCAATGGGCAGTCAGGTAAGTAGTTAGTTACATTCCGACGCTCAGATTTTATCAGTCTGTCGGGAAAAAAATGAGACAATGTCGCTACGTCGATTGTGTCGCTGGAGTGAAAAGAAGTTTGATTTTGCCGCGACAAAATTCATTTTCTCCGGTTTTCGATACGACAGATTTCTCATTGTTTTCCCGACAGATTTATTAAAGCAACTGGTCGCAAATCTATTACTTTTTTCTAACAAAAAAGCGAGATTAGAATTTCTGGATTTTGAGAACGAGCGCAGACACAAATTTTAGTTTACAAGGAAAGTACCCCAAGTGCGACGCTCAAATTTGATGAAACTTGGCACAAATTTAGAATAATTTTTTCTAAAAAATATGCGAGAATCCTGGCTCACGCTTTGCAAAAAACAACCGAGATTTTTAGATCGAAAGTCGGCGAAAATTTAAGACTTTTTGCCGAATTTCGACACAAAAAGTTTCATGCCTATTTCAACCATAGAGGGTAATGTTTCCACAAAAAATTAACGTTTTCCGCACGAAACTAGCAAAGCAATGGCCAAAAAGTGCTTTTCTCTCTGACCGCTCTCCGCGTTTAGCGTACTCTCTCGGCCGCAAAGATTGTTGAATATCTCGGCTGCGCCTTCAAAGCGCGAGCTAAAACTTTGAGAAATTGATGTTTAGTCTATGCCCGAAGCGTGTGCAAGATTAAAAAAAAATCCGACCGTCGCACTTGGGGTACTTCCCCTGTTAAAAAAATCTGCCTTGTTTTTCCCGTAGTGGGAGAAGTTTCCAAAAAAAGTTTTTTGTTTGCGCTTCACGTACTCTTTTAACCGCAAAAATCGTTGAGTATTCCGACCCCTTGTTAATTCATTTCTAATAAAAATTTACAAATTAAAATTTGTAAATTTTCAGTAAAATGCTTCAGTTGCGCGTCGGAGGATATGCGACAGGACTTTCTCAACCGACCGCGCGGTCCACAAGGTCGAGTGAAGCTGCCCAAAGTCTTTGACAACATGTGCGATTGGGACCTATGGCTGCTGCGAGAAAAAGCGGTAGTGGACTGCAATGGAGTCTGTTTCAAATGGCAGCAGACGTTCAATAACTCTGGTAAGACATATATTTTTATCAGTCTGTCGGGAAAATAATGAGCACAATGTCACCGCGCCGATCGCGTTGCTGGAGTGAAAAGCAATTTGATTTTTCCATGACACAATTTATTTTTTGCGGCGATGCGATTTTCAAAGTGCTCATTATTTTCCCGACAGAGTGATAGATGTCAAACTTAAAAAATTCTCTGGATTTTTTTCAAGTTTTATTAAAAAAATCTCATGGTCACACTTCAAATTTAGTCAGATTTTCCCGATTTGGCCACAATTTTTTTACTTGGCCGTTTTTAGCAAGATTGGAAAGATGTTGCAAGGTTTGGCCACATTTGTTTGATTTGGCCATTTTTCACAATTTTCTTTCGATATACTGTTCGCAAAGTCATTCGAGTAATTTCGATGACGTACACTGTGCAAAAAATCAAATTTCACTTCGCACCGTGGAATTCCTTGATTTTTGTACGTGCAATAGATTTTTTTGGGCTGAATCTTTCTGCACAGTGGAAATGCCAAAAAATCATCATTTCAAATCAAAGAATTTTAAGCCCAATTTTGGCCATTTCTTTCCTAAAAAACCGCAAATATTTGCTTCCAGGTACCCTGACCTACTCCACAATTCGGGGTTGTCATCCGGACATGTTCAACAAGCCGGCCGAAATCAAACAGGGCCAGTTGTCGCATTGTCGGCGCAACAACGAAAAGGTGACTTGTCTCGACTTCAGCGAGATCGCCGAGTCCTATTGCGAGTGCGTCGGGGACCATTGCAATAGTGGTTATCTTGCAACAGCATCATATTTTTTGTCCTCATTGTTAATTTTAAGTCTATTCGCATAATAAATCGAACGTTTATTGTTGAAGAAGTATGGGGATTAGACACGATAATACTCGGCGCCGTCCACGACGATACGACGAAGTTGGTAGTTGGGCATGTCGAAGATGGCGTGCACGTCGCGAGTGAGGCCGGTGGGCGCGTGCACCGAGAATTTGATGTGCAGAATGACGCCGTGCGGGAGCTGCTCGGTCTGGAAAAGGAGATTGGTAAAAAATTACAATTTTTTTGGCAAAATCCCAGGGGTATTAAAAAAATATTTGTTTTAGAGAGGTTTGGTTGTACAGATATTTAATTTGGTCTTATAGAGAAAGTTCTCAAATTACAACGCTCAGATTTTGATGAAAATTGTCAAAAATTTGGCCAAATTTTTTATACGATATACAGCGGGACCTGATCCAGTGGCAAAAAACGTATTATTTTGCATCCAGGAAGCATCAAAAAATGTGGCAAAAACCTCACTCTCGGAGTGAAAAAACTTTTTAGATTTCAGCGCACCCTTCAAAACGACGTTTTTTCACTTGAACAGGGAAGCATTTTGCCACATTTTTTATCCTTCCCGGATGCAAAATGGTACGTTTTTTGCCACTGGATCAGGTCGTCCACTGTGAAACCCCTACCTCGCGCTTTGCAAAAAAACCGATATTTTTACCTCGAAAGTTGGAAAAAATGTTACATCTTTTTTGCAAATTTTGGCATGAATAGTTTTATTCCTGTTTCTACCGTAGAGAATAATGTTTCCACAAAAAATCAATTTTACCCATGCAAAATTTGCAGAGATACGGCTAAAAAAGTTTCTTCTCTCTGACCGCTCTCTTCATTCTCCATGATCCCTCGTCGACATCACTTTTTAGCCATATCTCTGCAAGCTTAGCCTTGAAAAAATTGGTTTTTTTTGTAGAAACATTGCTTTCTACGGCAAAAATATCACAGATATGAAACTTTATAGGGTCAAATTTTTTCCGGTAAATTGAGACAAATTTCGAAAAAAAAATAGACAAAGAAATCCTACATTTGAGTCACCTCCCTAAAACCCCAATCCATTTCCAACCTCAAACTACTCAACTCACCTTGAATTTCGGGGCCAAATCCAGATTCCTGACCAGCGTTTTCTTCTCCTTCGGCTTTTCGGCGCATCCGCAAGACAAGATGCAATCTCTGCACGTCGCGTTCTGACCACTCGGCTTTCGAGTTCGATGCTGCTCCTTGGACTCGGAGCCGCTCTTCCTCGGCTTCACATAACGATCGGCGCTGGAAACAACGCCACTCTTGGATGGGCGATCGACCAATTTTGGGCCTAATGAACTTGAAGAGCTTGAAGAAGAAGGGCTCTTGCGGCGGGGTGGTTTTGGCGGCTTTTTATCTAAAAACGAAGAAAAAAAAAATTTTCGATCAAAATCACCCAAGAAAAAATCGTTTTGAAGCGCCAACAGCAATACCTAGCTCTCTGGAAAAAAATTATATTGCTCATGCTGTTGATATTCAAAGGGGCATTGTGTCAAAGGTGGGGGTTCAATTTACTTAAAAATGAGCATAGATGTTCTACATAGGCCATAAAACAATCACTGAAAATTTTAACTCGTATTTTATAGAAGCATCAAAGATATGAGACAAGATTTCGAGAGAGCACGTAAAATGAGGAGAGTCGGCAAGACAGAATTCGCTTTTTTGGCCATATCTTTGTGGATTTTGCTCGGAAAAAATTGAATTTTGGCGGATATATCATGCTACCCACTCAATATACCCTTTGCTATCAATATCCCTGTTCGGCCTCTAAATCATTCTTTCAAATTTTTGGTGATTTATCTATAGCCCAGACAGAGCATGCCTACAAAATTTCAAAGAAATCTGACCACGTCAACTTTAGGGCTGAACCTTCAAGTACAATATAACTTTTTTCTATATATCTGCGCGCTACCTTCAATTCATAGACTCAAATTTTCAGCAGATAACATTTCCAGCATGTCAAATCTCTGTGCGAAATTTCAAAAAAATCTTCCCTTGGTCCCTCGAGACCCTTCTGATCCACCTAGTATAATATAAATTTTTTGTTACATCTTTCCACCTACCTTTGGCTCTATCTCCACAACTTTTTTCCGGCTCGACCTCCACATCTTTCTCATTGCTCTTCTCTTTCCCCTCGTCTCCTTCTTGAGTTGGTTCAGTCGGGCTGATCGCTGGGATATCCTCCAAAAGAACTGGGCAAGACTTTTTTTGGACCGGCGGTTTCTCCGTCAATTTCTCATCTTGCCCTTGCAAGCTGGTCAGTCGGATCTTCGAAGGGGTTTCCTTTGCCGTATTGACTTCCAAATCTTCTCCTGAATCTTTTACGTCATCAGATTTTGGCTGCTTTTTCTTCGCTTCAGAATTAGAAACATTCAAATTCCGATGACTTTCCGGACGAATCGGCTCAACGTTGTTAGAAGTTGAGCAATTCTTCTTCACTTTCTCATATCTTTCGGGCCTCTCGGCTCCATCAAAGTGGTTAATTTTAGTGGTGGCCGGCTCAGAACTCGGTACTCCATCGTCATTCACAGGTTCCGGATCGTCCATCCACAGCTCATCCTCCGCTCCCTTGGGCTGTGGAGCAACCGGATGGCAGCCGCAATATCTGAAGACGTTAGTTTTTACATCAGTCTATCAGACAAATCACGAGCACGCTGCACGTCAAACTGAGATAAGCCAAAACAGTATAGGATTGGTAATTTGCCAAAAAAAGACGCGAAAAAAGGTTTTGTCGGGGAAGAAATAGGGAATTTTTGGGGCGAGAGAGTACGCTTTTGCATGTCTTTTTTCTCTCTCTCTCTCTCTCTCTGTGAAATCAATGTGTAAAAAACCGATAGCGAAGGGTCTATTCCGGTCACCGGACTCCTCAGTTTGACGTGCGCTGTCGCATCGAAAATCGTATTGCCGCCGGGAAAATGAATTGTGACGCGGAAAAATCAAATTGCTTTTCAATTCAGCGATGCAATCGGCGGAGCAACATTGTGCTTTTTATTTTTCCGACAAACCAAAAGTTTATCTACAGTGGACCTTTTGTGCAACGAATCGCAAGGGACCTAAAAAATTTCCTCGCTACAGGCATGTTTGGTTGCAGAGAAGGGTTCGCAAATCAAGGCTTCCAACTGCAACGCTCAGATTTTCTTTAAGTTTTGGACATATGCTTGACCAGGGGCCTAGTTAGACGGGGGAGATACCGCCTCAGACCTGGATCGAAGGAAACAATGGTAAGGGGGGACCAAGGTAATTTTCGCGAAGCGCGACGCTCAGATTTTCTTTAAATTTTGCACACACGTGAAACAAAAGCCACTTATCAATTCCTGAAAATCCTAACTCGCGCTTTCCAGACACAACCAAGAAATTCAGCAATCTTCGAGACCAAGAGAGTACGCGGTCACAGATAAACATTTTTTGCCCATAACTTTGCCAGTTTTGGGCAGAAAAAAATGATTTTTTCGTGGAAACATTACTCCTTACAGTAGAAGTGGCTATGCAACTTTTCATACCAAAATTCGCAAAAAATTTTTTTACATTTCTCCAACTTTCGGCCTTAAAATCTCGGTAGTTCCTGCAAAGCGCGAGCTAGGAGTTTCGCATATGTCTTCGAAAAAATTATTCTAAATTTGTGCCAAGTTTCATAAAAATCCGGTCGCACTTAGAGTAAAATTAAAGTTTTTGCCTGAGGGCTTTTTATAAAAAATAACTAAAAATTTCGCCTGAGGGTTTTTCCGATTCAAAAATCAGACTCCAGTCCTAAAAGACGGCTTATTCTTACTTTTTTCTGAGGTCTTCACCTCTTTGTATCATCCGTCTCAACTCTTCTTTATCAACCTGAAGTCCCTCCCTGTCCGAAGTGACCGGATCCAATTCTCTGATCAAAAAATGTCGTCCATCCAAGTTGACCAGACGATCCTGCACATTCACCGCAATCAAGTCGTCGCTTCGCGTGGTAATCGGGCATTTTTCGGTTTCCGCGAGGCTCTCTGGAAAGGAAATTATATCGCTTATTCGGTTGATATTGAAAGGGGTATTACTCCAAGGTGGAGGTTCAATTTACTTCAAATTTTGCACAGATATTCTACACAGGCCATAAAACAATCACTAAAAATTTTACAGCGCCTTTTCTAAAAACAACAAAGATATGAGACAAGATTTCGAGAGAGCACATAAAATGAAGAGAGTCGGTAAGACAAAAATTTGTTCTTGGGCCGTATCTTTGCGGATTTTGCCCGGAAAAAATTGAGTTTTTGTAGAAATACCATACTGCTTATTCAAAAGTAATCTTTATTTTTTGACCACCTAAATATCAAAAAAAATCTGCCAAATTTCATTTGAAAATTACTGCGAGACTCATTCAGATTTTGATGAAAATTAAGCCAGATGTAGATAAATTTTTCCTAACAATTTGTAACATAAATGCGGGATTCCTAGCTCGCACTTTGCAGAAACGACCGAGATTTTAGGTCGAAAATTTACAAAAATTTGACACTTTTTTTGCGAATTTTGGCATGAAAATTTTTACGCCTATTTTTACTGCAGAGTGTAACGTTTCCACAAAAAATATTTTTTTTCCGCGCAAAACTAGCAAAGATACGGCCAAAAAAGTGTTTTGCCTGACCGCTCTCCGCATTTCGCGTACTCTCTTTGGCCGCAAAGATCGTTGAATATCTCGGCTGCGCCTGCAAAACGCGAGCTAAAACATTCAGGATTTGATATGTGGTCCATGCGCAACAAGTGTGTAAAATTCAAAGAAAATCTGAGAGTTGCACTTGAGGAGCTTTCCTGGTAAAAGTTCCTTATTCTGGCCACAACTTATAACTTTGCGGAAACTGGTCGGAATTAGCCCAAATTTAGCGTGCACGCTCAAGTCATCGTTGTCAATGCCCGGACGGTGGATTTAGTCAGCGAGGTACCTTCTTTTTTACGTACCACATTACCCTTCAAAAACGGCTGCAGCCTGTGATTTTACACTTTATACGATGAAACATGTCCGGAACCAAACTTATTGCCTCCGTATGGAACTAAATGAGTCGTCGTAGCCTTCGTAGGTACCCTTAAAACTATAGAGCTATTATAGTAATCCAGTGCCAGCTAGGTCAAAGCGTTTTTTCCCAACTTTAGTGCCCAAGCTTGGGCGCAGTTCGCGGAGTACCTTTGTTGTGGCCAAAATAAGGAACTTTTTCCCTCATTTCATCATACTATTTCCTAGTTAGCCAAAATAAATGTTAAAAAGCCGTTTTAGTTTTACCTTCGTCCTCTTTATCATCGACCACCACTGGTTCCAGATTGGCCTCTCTTTCCGAAGCCAGAAAAAATTGGCCCGGCGGTCGTTCGTCTTGTTCGCTGGATTCAACCAGATAACTTCTGGGACGGCGAGTCCGCATGATTCTCTGTAAAAAGAAATATTTACGAAAAATGGGAAGATACGAAGAGCAATAAAAAGCAAAATTCTCACCTTCAGCTCTTCATCGAGCCCATGAAGTTTCGAGGTAAGCGCGGGCTGTCCGGTGAGGACCTGGAATGGAAAATGGACGTGATTTCTTCGCCATAGATAAAAACAGAAATTTTAAAGTGTCTTTATCGAAGCATGAGCCAAAATTTTTTTAATTTTTTTTTAAATTGGCAAAAAATTGAAAAAAATTTGGCCAAAAAAATTCGAAAAATTCAGAAAAATTTGGCCAAAAAAAATTTTAAAAAATTCGAAAAATTTGGCCAAAAAAATCGAAAAATTCAGAAAAATTTGGCCAAAAAAAATCAAAAAATTGAAAAAAATTTGGCCAAAAAATTGAAAAATTCGAAAAATTTGGCCAAAAAAATTCGCAAAATTCAGAAAAAATTGAAAAAATTGGTAAAAAAATTTTTGAAAAAAAATTTTCCTCCAAAAAAATCGAAATACCCGCCTTTTTACTCTCCGTTCGTTCTGCATTATTTGACTTGCCACTGACACATCGAGACTTCTTCAATTTTTTATCCATTCGCGGCCTCCCGATTTGAAGATGAGCGATGAAAATGAGCAGCCGAAGCCAGATCGGTGGACACAATAAAATGGAGAAAAATTTGAGTTTTGTAGAGCTTTCGATTTCACAAGAAAAATTGAAAAAAATTAACAATTTTTTTAAATTTGAAAATTTTGAAAAAATGGTCGATATTTTGGTCGATTAATCAAGTAGGTTAAAAATTAGTTGATCATTGTCTTGAATAGACTTCAGGCTTTGAAAAGATAAATAGATCGCATAGGTATGTTGAGAAAGGCAAAAGATATGGCCAATATATTGCTTTAGACCAGTAGATCTCACCGTTAAAAAATTTCAAAAAAAAAAAAAAAAATAAAAAAAAACTTACCTAGGCCACATATAAATTCCCGGAAATTATAGCTCATGCATTGCAAAAGCCACTGAGGTATTCAACAGTCTTTGCGGCTGAGAGAGAACGCGGAAGGCGGAGAGCGGTCAACGACAAAAACACTTTCTGGCCGTATCTTTGCCAGTTTCGCATGGAGAAAATTGATTTTTTTTTTATGGAAACTTACTCTCCACAGTAAAAATAAGTATAAAACTTTTCATGCCAAAATTCGCAAAAAAATTGTGATATTTTTTCAACATTGGGCCAAAAAATCTCTGTTGTTTCTGCAAAGCGCGAGCTGTGAGTTCCGCAAACGTCGTAATCTAACAGGGGAAGTACCCCAAGTGCGACGCTCAGATTTTGATGGAACTTGGCACAAATTTAGAATGATTTTTTCTAAAATGTATGCGAAAATCCTAGCTCGCGCTTTGCAGAAACAACCGAGAATTTTAGATCGAAAGTGGGCGAAAATTTGACACTTTTTGCCGAATTTCGGCACGAAAAGTTCCGTGCCTATTTCTACCATGGAGGGTAATGTTTCCACATAAAATCAATTTTTTCCGCACAAAACAAGAAAAGTTATGGCCAAAAAGTGCTTTTCTCTCTGTCCGCTCTCCGTGCTTAGCGTACTCTCTCGGCGGCAAAAATCGTTCAATATCTCGGCGGCGCCTGAAAAGCGCGAACTAAAACTTCCAGGAATTGTTGTTTAGTTCATGCCCGACGTGTGCTCAAAATTTAAAGAAAATCTGAGCGTCACACTTGGGGTACTTCCCTTGTAAATTTATGCCAAGTATCATCAAAATTTGAGCGTGACACTTGGGGTACTTACTCTGTAAGCCCTACATGAAACTCTGTACAACAAAACCTCTCTTTAACAAACAATTTTTTTTGGTTTCTTGCAATTCCTTATACAACGCTACAACGCTTCCATTGCTTGTTTTGTGACTTCTGCATGACGTCATACAACTACAGACCGCCCATCGAGAATTCTGATACGATTTGAATAAGGCATGGGCGGACAATTGACAATCTTTTTTTTTTGAAAATAGAGCCTAAGCTATTGAAACAAATTTATTGGAAACAAACATAAGGAACATCTCCCTACATGTCCATAAAAGTAATTCCCATTATTTTTAATGATAATAAAATATACGCCAACACAAACCAAAGGCGTTTCAGTGGGATGTCAATGGTATAAAAGGCAATGCAAATTTGAATATATCAGATTTTACTTCGACTCTGGAGACACAACAATGATGAAAATTGTGGTTTTCTTTGCCGTCTTGGCTGGATTTGTTGCTGGTGAGTTGGCAGAAGACCTTTTTCTTTATGGCTTCAAAAAAATCCGACGATTGGCCATCGAAAAATCTTCAGTTGAAATTTTGACATAAATTTAAACCCCCCAAAATTTCAGCTCAAAACAGCACGTCTCATCCATTCTACACCGCCGAAGAGGACCGTCTAAAAGTCTCCGGCAGCCCTCCTCCAGTTTTGCCCAACAACGGGTCTGACAAGGGAAGTCACTTTTTTCGCAGACGGATTTTGGAACGGGACCTAGTAGGTTTCAAACGTGAAGCGTCTGCAATCATAGAACGGATCTCCAAAAGTGTTTACGACGCTTCTCGGCCGAGAAAATCGACCGCAAAGTTTAGCCGAAATGAGCGAATGGCCTCCTCAAAAGAAACAGCTTATTTTATCTGCAGTGGTGGCCGAGTGGTCATTGCGCTCGCTTTTTGCGCCAGAAGAGGCGGGTTCGATCCTCTGCGCAGTTTATTTTCTTTTTTGGTTCGTAAATATTGATTTAGTATGTAAACATATAAGGTATACACTTTTTGAATTTTTTTACAGTAATTTAAACACAAATTCAAAGTTGAATGTTCATGAATATTGTAAAGTCAAAACAGGCCTGGGTTAATGAAGATATAGTTTCTAAATTCGTGTTTTATCAAAAATTGCTAATAGTTAGCACATGCGATGTTAACGGCATTTCGCTATTTACCTCAGTGGCCAAAAGAAATGCATCCGCAGACGGCCGAAGTCGAACTCACGTCTTTTGCCGCAAAAAGCGAGCGCGCTGACCACTCGGCCACCACTGCAGATGAAATAAGCTGTTTCTTTTGAGGAGGCTATTCGCTCATTTCGGCTAAACTTTGCGGTCGATTTTCTCGGCCTAGAAGTCCCGTAAACACTTTTGGAAATCAGTTTTATGATAGCAGACACTTAACGTTTGCAACCTACTAGGTGCCGTCCCAAAGCCCGTCTGCGAAAAAAGTGACTTCCCTTGTGAGCCCCATCCTCGGGCGGCTCGGAGTGTCAGCGAAGAAGCAATCGATGGATCCGACAGCGAAAGCGATGAAAACCCCTTTAATGAAGGCCGTAAACATCATCGCCGTCCGGATTTCGGCCGCAGAAATACTCGACATGGCCGACACAGTCGCAGGGGATCCAAGAGACCTTCAACTCCCGTTTTCTCATCGACCAGTCGAGCTCCAATCTCTTCCACATCTACCAATGGACCGTCGTCGTCTTCAACCAATAATTTACCTATTTCTAGCAGCTCTATTGGACCAATCCCGGTATCAACCAGTTCTTTGGGACCTCTGCCTACTTTGTCATCGTCTTTGGGACCCGTCCCGACAACCACGAAAGGCTCAGTTCCATTGAGTTCAACTACCCCCATCTAAAATAATATCGATAATTTTTGATAAAATTAATATGAAATAACCATGATTCAAACGAAAATAATCATTGTTGAATAATAACCAACAATTTTAACATTCGTTTTACCCAATAAATCCACGGCTTCAGCAAGATTTGACATGTTTTATATATTAACCTATACAGTGCAAAGAAATCGTTTTAAATCCGAAAAATTCGTAACTAACTCAAGGTAAAATCATTTCTACTTTGTCTATTCTAACTTACTATATATTCTCTATTCTCACATATTCTACTAAAATCATCAATAATTTTGTGGCATTTCGTGTCAAAAAATCAATTTTTCGACGAAGTGTCCAAAGAAATTGCGGAAAAAAATTTTTTGTGGAGAAATGAGTTTCCTTGACCTCATTCTTCTCGTGGATGAGTGTTGTTGGCTTGCTAGTGAAGCGAACTTTTAGTCTGAGAAGAGTTCCCATCAGAACCAGCGTCTCTTTTGTGAAATTGGCCGATTTTAGGTGTTTTAGTGTAAGTTTATTTTTGTTTCTGTGTGTTCTGTGGTTTAGATTTGCTGAGGAATGCAGGAGAAGATAGATTGGACTGCAGGGAAAATTTTCAATGCAGTTTTTAGTTGGTTCTGAATGTCTAGAAAATATTTTTGGCAATTTTTCTGACATTTCGATATTACACGTGGGAAAGAGGTGAATTCATCAAAGTTCCGGAATTTTATTATAATTTTCTTGTCTTATTTGACTTCCAAAGAGCTTCCGAAGCTTTTGCGACAAAATCGCTTCAGACTTCAGCGTAAATTTTTCTTTACACCTGTTTTTTCTTCCCACCCATCCCTGGTCTAAAATAATATCAATTTGATGGAAAGAACGCTTTGTTTCTTTGCCCTTTTCGCGATCATCTGATCAGTTCGCTGTAACGTTCTTCTGGCTGGCTATTCCGGACGAATTTCGAACGGAAGAAACACCGGGATGTTGTTTTATGTGACTCATCCTGAAGATCCGGAATCTTCGAATAAATTTCAAATTCCTGTTCCGGTTGTTATTAAAACCTCTCCCCTAAAGTGCGTGGACGATAACAGACTGCAATGTTCTCTAAAAGGAGTGTTCAGACGTTCGAGGTCATCCGAATTTCTTGGGTTGGGTCGGATGTCTAGTGTAATATAAAAAATGGTGTGGAAGTGATGTGAAACCATCAAATATTGATAGACTTCCTAACCTCTTATAGATATCATGTTGTAATCGAGCTAAAAATATATGTTTTGCGTTGATTTTTGACCGCCACGTTTTGATTTTTATCTTTTCTTTGAAAGTTCGGAAGTGAGTTTTTGTCTCAACATTTTTGATGAATTAGCCACTTTCCGTTTTCCATTCTTGGTTGCCAATCGCTCAAAAATTGTCTGGTGTTCTTATCAGTCCGGGTTATCGATGGAAAAATGAGGCCGGCCAGGGGGTGGTGACGCAAACTGCACAACAATTTGAAACTATGAAGGGAGGTGGAAGAAAGTGGTGCAATGACGTTTTTAGAGGCTGTTAGAAGGTAGTTGAGACAAGATTTTAGATGTTTTTGATCACTTTTTAAGGTAAAATACAGATTAAGAAGACTTTTATCTCATGGATAATATAAATTGTTATTTTTTTGCGAGATTATGATGGATAATGTAGCTATATGTTTATAAGTTTTTTTGCAGCATCTTTTTTATCATTTAGAGGTGATTTTTAACCGAACTTTGAGAATAATAAAATCGCCTAAAATAAGGAAATTTTGATTAAAATAAGAATTTCGTTAAATTTTTATTGGTAAAATACGACCAGTTTCAGGGAGAAATCTAAGTTACAGTGGCGGACTTGATCCAGTGGCAAAAAACGTACCTTTTGGCATCCGGGAAGTATCAAAAACGTAACAAAATACCTCCCTCTCTAACTGCGAGATAGGAAGGTGTTTTGCCACGTTTTTGATACTTCTCGGAAGCCAAAATGGTATGTTTTTTGTCACTGGGTCAGGTCCGCCACTGTAACCCCCTTTTAAGGATGTTATTTTGAGGGTATTTTTCTCTCAAAATCACCTAGAATAAGGTCAAAAGCCCTCTCAAATTTCGACGATTTGCCCTCTAATGGGTCATAAATCGTCTTGTGAGACCCATTATCAGTCTACCATAAGCTTTCCGGCCAATAATCCGATTCTCTAACCTTGCTTATCAATTTTTTCAAGTTTTTTCCTCTTTTGGAAAGTTCAAGGAATAAGAAATACTCGATTTTTTGCTAATTAAATTTTTGCATGGAGTTTTTTTTACTTTTTACATTCCCATATGGTCTTATGAATGATAAGGGAGCAAATTTATTGAGTGTTTTTTTGCGGAACGACCTTTTGGAAACTGATAAAAATTGTGGATTTTCTGATTTTTAGAAGAGAAAATGACGAGAAATCGTGGTAAAATTCGGAGGGAAATGTTTTTACGGCATTTTTATTAGATATACAAAGATTTTTCGGCAATTTTAATTATGCAAATTTAAAATTTTTTAAAAATTTTTCGAAAGGTATATAAAAGTCAAAATTTTTTGACCTTCAACCCCTCGATTACCTTGCGAATTTATGGGAAAAGACCCTTTCAACCCGACACTTCCTTTTTTGCGAAGTGAAAAGATCACTTTGTTCTTTTCTTTGCAAAAAAAACAACAATTCGATGTTTAAAAATTGCGTCAGATTGCTGATGAATGAGAAACTAACAGGTATAAATGGTGAGAAAAGCGGAAAAATGTGGTCAGTAGTTTATAGAAGACATCTTGGAGACTTCTGTAAGAAGGAAACCGTGTTTTCGACTGTTTCGGGTAAATCTTGGCCAGTTTGTATATTGCACTAGATGTTTTTGTGGGTTTTTGGACAATTTTGGATTCGTTACGGTATAAAATGAATATAAAATGAATTTATGGAGCTTCTTGCGGCTTTTGAAAGCAATTTCAACTATCTGGGAGCGTTTCGTAGCGCTTTTTTTGACAATTTAAAACACTTACAGTGGCGGACCTGATCCAGTGGCAAAAAACGTACCATTTTGCATCTGGGAAGTATCAAAAATGCAGCAAAATACCTCCCTATCCAACTAAAAGACTCCGTTTTGAAGGGCGCGCCCTTTACCTTACAAAATGGAGTCTTTTCACTTGGAGAGGGAGGTATTTTGCTGCATTTTAAATAGTTGCCGGATGCAAAATGGCACGTTTTTTGCCACTAGATCAGGTTCTCTGTAAGTGTTCTAAATTGTCAAAAAAGAGTTATGAAACGTTTCCAGATAGTTGAAATTGCTTTCAAAAGCCGCAAGAAGCTCCATAAATTAATTTTACATTCATTTTATACCGTAACGAATCCAAAATTGTTCAAAAAATCGGCAAGGATATCTAGTGCAATATACGAATTGGCCAAGATTTTCCCGAACGTGCCGTTATATTAAACGGCAGATTTTTTAAACCAAATTTTTGTTAATTAAGCCGCACAGCATTCCGAACTTTTTTCGCCACCGATCGGTGTCGAAAAAAAATCGAAAAATCGAGAGAGGGGTATGCATTTTTTTGTGTTGCCGGCTAGCAAAGGCAGGTATTGCAAAATTTGAAAAGGTGTTTGGTACTCTGAAGATTACTCATTCTAATTATACCAAAATTGTCACCATGCACTTTGCAACCCCCGAGAAAATCGCATTCAAAAAAATGAAAATTTCAGATTTAAATGCAATGAAAATGCACTTTCTAGTTGACTACTGAAGAAAAAAAAGATGCTATCGTGTAGAGAATTTTGAGTACTTCCTAATACGTATATTTTTTTCCGTTGTTTTCTAACAGTTTGAGAGCTACCGTGCAGAAACGCCATTTTTTGCACTTTTTCCGACTTATCTGCACTTTAAATGCAAAAATGCAAAATCTTCCGAGCAATTATCATTCTTGGCATCTTTGTGGATATACATGCCAAATTTCAAATTTCTACGACGCTCCCGTCTCCTGTTATATCGATATAATTACGAAACCTTGACAACTTAAGTTCCCGAAGAAAAACATAGAAAACTTGCTGTTTTTACTGTAGGATAGCCTTATTTCTTCCTAAAATGTATTTTGCCAACCCCGAATGTTATTCGTACAGTTTATGAGACAGCTTCATGTCATCATGAAAAATGTTGATTTCATACACAAACGCAGCTTTTTCTATTCCCGTTAATGCAGTCCAACCGCAAGCTAATACCTTCAAATTCACAAATAGAGTACATATAACGACTTTTTATCGAAAATGTCACAAAATTTATATTTCAAGGCGCGTTAATAAGTTGTCAAGGTTTCGTAATGATTTCGATATATCAGCAGACAGAAGCATCGCAGAAATTGGAAATTTGGCATGTATATCCACAAGGATGCCAAAAATGATAATTGCTCGGAAGATTTTGCATTTTTGCATTTAAAGTGCAGATAAGTCGGAAAAAGTGCAAAAAAAGGCGTTTTTGCACGGTAGCTCTAAAACTGTTAGAAAACAACGGAAAAAAATATACGTATTAGGAAGTACTCAAAATTCTCTACACGACAGCATCTTTTTTTTCTTCAGTAGTCAACTAGAAAGTGCATTTTCATTGCATTTAAATCTGAAATTTTCATTTTTTTGAATGCGATTTTCTCGGGGGTTACAAAGTGCATGGTGACAATTTTTGTATAATTAGAATGAGTAATCTTCAGAGTACCAAACACCTTTTCAAATTTTGCAATACCTGCCTTTGCTAGCCGGCAACACAAAAAAATGCATACCCCTCTCTCGATTTTTCGATTTTTTTTCGACACCGATCGGTGGCGAAAAAAGTTCGGAATGCTGTGAGCCGTAGAATGGACTGATAATGATGTGTTTAACTTCTTCATGGTGCTGAATAATTTTTAGGGGATAAACGAACCATTTTTTATTAAATTTTGACACCTTTTATATTACACTAGATTTTTCTCTAATTTTTTGGTGATTTAATACCTGAAAATGTATTTTTGTCCCGTGAAATCCCGTGAATCATCGTTGTTTTCAATTCTGAATAATATCAGGCATCTTTTTCAGACCAATCCGACCAAAATGACCTTCCACGAGGACCCGGCTAGTTGTGCAAATGCCTCCGAAATTACCGTCCGCCACATTCATCTGGACTGGAATGTGAGCTTCGAGAAGAAAGTGGTCGAAGGAAAGGCCATTTTGGATCTGGAGGTCTTGAACAACACTGATCATATTGTGAGTTTAAAATTTTTTTGGTCTTGGTCTAGTATAATATAAAAAAGTTATAAAAATATATGAATTTTGATCATTTTTTGAGGAGTAAATGACTGATATAGGTGGTATATGGTCTGATTAAGCTTATTTTAGTGTTATGCCACCAGGGGATTTTTGGAAATTTACAATTTTTACCATTTTTGGTCTAGTATAATATAAAAAATTGATAAAAAAAGTGAAATTTTTGCGATTTTTGAAGGGGAAATGGGTAAAATGGAGAGAATAGAGAATAATGAAGCTATTTTTTATACCATGCCCTCAGGGAATTTAGCAAAATTTAAAAAAATTTCAAAAAATCGGGATTTTTGGTGATTTTTTCGAATTTTTAGTAAAAAAAGTGTTTTAGCATGGTAATTATGGATTTTTTATTTCAGAACCTTGACTCCCGTGATCTGGAGATCATCTCGGCTGGCCTTTCCGGCCAGACCCTCAAACATAATATTGAGGATAATGGAGCTTTGGGCCAGAAATTGATCATCAATTTTGGTCAGACCTTGGAAAAGGGAAGCAAACAGTAAGTTGAGGTGTGAGGAATTAAATTAGGCCGTAAAATAAGAGGTGCTTTTGTCTATAAATTGATTTTTTGACATTTTTTTGCGATAAATTTGGAATTTTTTGAGATTTTTTAAAATTCTTGCCCGATTAAAGGTCACCTCGTTTTCAAAAAATGTCTAAAAATAGCCCAAGTTTGTTGGAATGCTCTTATCAGTAGTTGTCAATTAAAAATTAAACTTTGAAGTTCCGAAAAATTAAGAAATGGACCTAAAGTAATGTAATTTTTTCAAAAAAAAATATATATGTATATTTTTATATATATATATAAAAATCGTGTAGAATTGTCTGAAATTTCAGACAACTAACCATCGAATACAACACGGGCAAGAACGGCGCCTCGGCCCTCCAATTTATCGACAAGGAATGCACCGCCGACAAAAAGAAACCCTACCTGTACAGTCAATGCCAGGCCATCCACGCCCGCTCCATTGCCCCGTGCATGGACACGCCATCTGTCAAACAGACCTACTCGGCCAATGTGAGAATTTTTGAGCGATTTTTTGGTGGAATTTTTGGGATTTTGAAGGTTTTGGTTCCGCAGCTCGCGCCCTGGAAAATATTTTTGATTTTATTGGTTGGATAAGAAAAATTTTGACTGGATATTTGGTTCGATTAAGTTTAGCAGATTTTTGATGGATTTTGTTTTGAAATTTGAAAATTTTGAGTCCGCAGCTCGCGCCCTGCGTTAAAAACTAAAAATGATTTTTTAACTGTGGTGGTGGGGATAGGGATAAAATTTGTGACAAGTCTGAGTTATTGGAGGGAAATTGATGGCTTAGAGTCGTTTGCGAAAAAAATCAGGCTATTTTTTTTGTTGGCAGCTCGCGCCCTAGCTGAATTTGAAATTGACCGTTTTACGTCCCGGTTTTTTTGCAATGTGTTTTCTTTAGGAACAATTTTGATGGTAAAATACGCTGGACTTTACAAGGTCTACATTTTTTATTATTTTTGTCCGAAAAAGTGCAAAATTTTGCAATTTTTTGATAATTTTATTTTATATTTTTTTGATTTTTTTCAGGTGACTGTCCCAAAAGGTCTTACCTGCCTCATGAGCGGCCTTGCGGATGGCCAAGCCTCGGAACAAGGAGATCTGACCCTGTTCAAGTACAAGCAACCCATTGAAATTCCGTCCTATCTCTTGGCCATTGTTGTTGGAGCCCTCGAGAAAAGAGACATCAGCCACCGATGCGCGGTCTGGGCCGAGCCCAGCTGGGTGGAGAGGGCGAGATGGGAGTTCGAAGACACGGAGAAGATGCTTCAAGCCGCGGAGCAATTGATGGGGGAATATGAATGGACTAGGTAAGGAAAGGTGGATTTTTGGATGTCATGGAGAATATTGAGCCTTGAAAAGGGAAATAAGAGGTCTAAGGTAGAGTATGGGATTTTTTAGAGGAGTTGGAAAGGTTTTGGTGGGAATTTAAAATAATTTTTTTTTTTTGAAAATTTTAATTTTTTTTGAAATTTTTTGTCTTGCTTTAGGTGATTTTTTGGGACTTTTTTTGATGAAATTGATTTTTTTGGGGTTTAAAATGCCTTGGAAAGGCTGAATAAGAATTTTTACGTATTTTGAAACGGGTTTGAGTTGGTTTTTTCAACTTTTTTAGAAGATTTATATTGTTTTAGATGAAAAATTTATGATTTTTGGAGAGAAAATAGTCGGGTTTGGTTTAAAAGTGATGTGGTTAGACGAGATATTTTAAACCAAAAAAATCGAAATTTTTTTTTGAATTTAATATTATTTTAGGTTATTTTTCGATTTTTTTTTTAATTTCCGCCAATTTTATTTTATTTTCTTCTTTTTCAGATACGATCTAGTCGTCCTGCCCCCATCCTTCCCCTTTGGCGGCATGGAGAACCCCTGTCTGACCTTCGTAACGCCCACAATTATCGCCGGCGACCGCTCGTTGTGCAACGTGATCGCCCACGAAATCGCCCACTCCTACACGGGGAACTTGGTAACCAACGCGAACTGGGAACACTTCTGGCTGAACGAAGGCTTCACCGTCTTTGTGGAGCGCAAAATCCTGGGACGATTGTATGGGGAAAACCTGCGACAATTCGATTGCCTTTGCGGATGGGAGGATCGCCTCTTGCCATGCATTAATGAGACCTTCAACCCGGTCCATGAATACACAAAATTGATCCCAAGATTGGTCGGAGTGGACCCGGATGATGCTTTCTCGACAATTCCCTATGAAAAGGTGAGATTTTTGGAAATTTTTGGGATTTTTTATTTTTTTGTTATTTTTTGTTTTTTTTGTGGGATTTTGAATTTTTTTTGGAGAAAAAATTTTTTTTTGGTGAATATTATTTTTTGGGATTTTTAAGATTTTTTTTTGTGAAATTTGGAGATTTTTCGGATTTTTTTTTTGATTTTTTTGGGTTTATTTTGGATTTTTTGGAGAAAAAATTTGTTTTTTGTGAAAAAAAATGTTTTTCAGGTTTTTGCATTTTTTAGTTGCGAAATTTTGAGATTTTTTGGATTTTTTTTTTGGGTTTTCGTGGTTATTTATGACATTTTTTAAGGAAAAATTCTGTTTTTTGTTGGAAAAATATTTTTGCAATTATTCGTATTTTTTTCGTGGGCTTTGGATCTTTTTCGAAGAAAAATTTTTTGTGTTTGGTGAAAAGATTGTTTTTCCGATTTTTACACTTTTTCAGAAATTTGGATTTTTAAAATTTTTTATGTTTCCGTGGTTATTTTTGAGAATTTTTTGTTGGAAAAATGTTTTTGAGATTTGTTTAAAAAAAATTTGCCATTTTTTGAATTTTTTTGCTTGGCCTGAATTTTTGATTTTTGGATTTTTTTCATTTTTTATGTTTTATGAAAATTTATGAAATTTGTGACTTTTGTTACCTAAAAGTTTCCATTTTCAGGGCTCGGCCTTCCTCCTCTACCTGGAACAACTGCTCGGCTCCAACCAGCGATTCGAAGAGTTCCTCCGCAGCTACATCAAAAAATACCGCAGACAATCGATCGTTACGAACGACTGGATCTCATTTTTGAAGGAATATTTTGCCGACAAAAAGGATGCCCTCGAAGCCGTCGATTACGCGGGATGGTTGAACAAGCCCGGTGTTCCTCCAAACAAACCAAAATTCGATGAGACCCTGGCCGAAGACTGCCGAAAATTGGCCAAAAAATGGGCCGAAGCCCCAATTGAAGAGCTCAGAAGCTTGGATCCGGAAGTTTTCAAAAAAATGGAATCAATCGAACAAGTCAAGGTCTTGGATTCAGTGGAAACGGTAAGATTAGAGAGTGATGGAGCATCGTTTTGAAGGATGTGGGGTTTTAGTGGCGTTTCATGTGGGTTTCCGACCAAAAAATATTATTTTAGACATCAAAGTTGGACTTTTTGGGAAAATTTTGATTTTTTTCTTTGATTTTGATATTTTTAGTGCTGGTTTGGCTATATTTGAGGGCTACTGAGTGTGATAATGATATTAGGATATTGAAGATTTTTTTTTGAAATTATTTTAGACATCAAATTTTGAAGTTTTTTTTTGGATTTTTTTTTGACAAGGAAAGTACTTCTATGGGGTGTGGAATTACCGGTCGAGATATATATCAAAAAATTCGCAAAAATTTTCTCATTCAGAATATATATAAATTAGCTGCCTAATTTTGGTCTAATGACATGTTTTTGTCCTCAGAAGTTTTCTCGCGACACCATGCAAGTGTCTTTTTGACCGTGTTTTTACCAATAAAAAATTTTTGTTTTGTGCTAAAATAAATTCTGAGGCCTTGACAAGCCTTAAAATATCAAATTGGATTACAACTACACCTTAAAAGTAGTTCCAATGTAAAAAATGGGTTCTAGTGTGGCAAAAGGAATCGAACCCGTTCCCCTCGGATTCCCAATCTAGCGCTCTAACCACTCGGCCACACCGCTCTCTTCCGAAGGAAGATACCGAGCGCGCTTTTGTTGCCGCAGATTTTTTTCTTCGAGAAAAACATTTATTGAAAAAACTCGCTGATAGACCAAAATTAGGCAGCTAATTTTTATATATTCTGAATCAGAAAATTTTTGCGAATTTTTTGGTATATATCTCGACCAGTAATTCCACACCCCATAGAAGTACTTTCCTTGTGAAAATTTTTTATTTTTTTTTGATTTTGGAAATATTAATGTTAGTTTTGTTGTTATTATCACCTATAGAATTTGATAATTACCATAAAATTTCAGGGTTACAACTTATCTCACGAACGCGTCGCCTTGCTCGAAGAAAAATACAAATTGAGCTCCTCGGGCAACTCCGAAATCCGCTTCTCATTCATTTTGATTGGAATCAAAGCGAAATGGACCCCGATCATCCCGAAAGCCCTGGAATTTGTCAGTGAAGTTGGACGTCTGAAGTTTGTCAAACCGATCTACAGGTGAGAAAACGGGATTTTTTGAAAATTTTATGGTCGAAAATTTAGTATGCAGATTTTTTGGATATGCAAAGAAAGTCTTGATATGCAAATTTTTTGATGTACAAGTTGTTTTAATATGCAGATTTTTTTGGATATGCAAAAAATTTTTGATATGCAAATTTTTTATATGCAAATTTTTTTATGCAAATTTTTTTTATGCAAATTTTTTTAATTTGCAAAAAATTTTTTGATATGCAAATTTTTTTAATATGCAAAAAAATTTTTTGATATGCAAATTTTTTAATATGCAATTTTTTTCATATGCAAATTTTTTGGATATGCGAAAAATTTTTGATATGCAAATTTTTTATATGCAAATTTTTTAATATGCAAATTTTTTTAATATGCAAAAAATTTTTTGATATGCAAATTTCTTGGATATGCAAATTTTTTTATATGCAAATTTTTTTAATATGCAAAAAAATTTTTGATATGCAAATTTCTTGGATATGCAAATTTTTTTATATGCAAATTTTTTTAATATGCAAAAATTTAATGTGCAAAGATTTTGATATGCAAATTTTTTTAATATGCAAATCTTCTAAAATTTCATTTTCAGAAAATTATTCGCCTGGGAAGAGAGCAAACAACAGGCCCTGCAAACCTTCGAAAAGAACAAACCATTCATGCATCCGATCACGGTAATCGTAGTCAACTCACTCGAAAAATAGAAAATGCAATTATATTATGTATTGTTATTACTATGACTTGTAATGTGTAAATTGTTTTCAAAACATTAAAATAAACCTTTTGTTGAAATTGGGGGTTTTTTTTGCGATAATGGAAATGCTTTGATTTTTCTGATATTTATCTGTGCGGAGCTCAAATTTTCTTTAAATTTTGCACACGCATTTGACATAGGGTACTAATTCCTGAAAATTTTAGCTCACAGTTTGAAGGCACAGTTGAGATATTCAACGATCTTTGTAGCAGATAGAGAGAGAGAGAGAGAGAGTACGCGAAATGCGGAAAGCGGTCAGAGAGAAAACAATGTTTGGCCATAGTTTCGTGTGGAAAAAACTAATTTTTTAAAGGTATTATAAGCTGTAAGGCATATAGTGAGGGACCTGCTCCAGTGGCAAGAAACGTACCACTTTGTATTCGGGAAGCATCGAAAATGTGGCCAAATGCTTCCTCTCTTTTAAGCCATAGCGTAGAAAAAAATTGATTTTTTTTTGTGGAGACATTACTCTGTGTGGTAGAAATAGGTATTTTTCATGCCAACAGGGGAAGTACTCCAAGTGCGACGCTCAGATTTTCCCAATTTCGGGTTTAAGAGTGGAAAATGCCCAAAAACTGGGTTAATTTCCCTACAAAAGGCTTAACTTTTTTTTGTTAAGGTCTGAAAAATAAATTTTGGTACCAAGACTGATTTATTGCGTCTTGGAAACTCAAGAAACACCATTTTAAGCAAACAGGGGAAGTACTCCAAGTGCGATGCTCAGATTTTTTCTTTTTTTTTTAAATTTTGCACACACGTCGGGTGTGGACTAGATATCAATTCCTGAAAGTTTTAGCTCGCGCTTTGCGGGCGTCGCCGAGATATCGAACGATTTTTGCCGCCGAGAGAGCACGCTAAACGTGGAGAGCGGTCAGAGAGAAAAACACGTTTTTTGGCCATAACTTTGGCAGTTTCGTGTGGAAAAATTTGATTTTTTGTAGAAACATTATGTTTTACGGTAGAATTAGACATGAAACTTTTCGTGCCGCAATTCCGCAAAAAGTCCTAAATTTTGGCCGACTTTCGATCTAAAAATCTCGGTCGTTTCTGCAAAGCGCGAGCTGGGATTCTCGCAGATATCTTAGAAAAAATTATTCTAAATTTGTGCCAAGTTTCATCAAAATCTGAGCGTCGCACTTGGAGTACTTCGCCTGTAAGATCCACGAAAAAAGTGCCGCATTTTAAAAAAAAAATATAAATCTTTGTACAACAAACCTTCTCTATAATGAACAGAATTTTTATGACGCTTCCCTTGTGAAAAACTCTCTCTCTCTCTCTCTCTGTTTAGTTTCAATCATTTTTCTGCTGTGATTACGCAACATCCCCAGAACAAAAAAATGCCACTTGATCGGAGCAGAAAAAAAACGCACCCGATTTAGCGATACAAATTCATTTCCTGCAAACCTCTTCGTCAAGCCAGGTCGTCATGAGAGCTTCCACCGCTTTTCCCACTGCTTGCGCTGCGGCCAAGCAACGTGAAAATGGGCCAAGTACTAGTGGCAGCCAGAGTCGACCATCGACCAGTCGTCCAAATCATCCACCCAGAATGAGTCTGCGGATATTGCCGGTCAAGGCAGGAGGGGGGTCAAAAGTAACGCCGAGATCCACTGTTCGACACTATAAGGCAGACGTCAGCGGTAGGGAAATTTTTGATAATTTTGTAGGAAGTAGTTCAAAAAGAAGTTTTTGGGGTAAAAGTTCCTTATTTTGGCCACAACTTATAACCAGAGATTGCCACGGCTCCGGAGCCGGCTCTTGGCTCCGGCTCTGAGCGGCTCCGGCTCCGAGCCGGGAGCCAGAGCCGGAGCCGGAAATTTTGGGGTCGGCTCCGGCTCCCGAGCCCAAAGTCGGAGCCAGGCTTCCCAGCGGTCAGAGAAGTAAAAATTTTGTGATCTTGTTAAACCAAACTGCTTGAAAAACACAGCGGAGGATGTGGCTTGACTGCATAAACGTTGGCTGTATGATCTCTGGCACTAATAACTTTTATTTTTGGTAAAATATTTTTAAAAAAACATTTTGCATAGGAGCCGGGATTCGGAGCCGGAGGCCTTTTTAAATTTTGCACGGAGCCAAGAGCCGGAGCCGGAGCTGCAAATTTGGCCTCGGCTCCGGCTCTGGGAGCTAAGAGCCGGAGCCGAAATTTTGACCGTGGCAATCTCTGCTTATAACTTTACGGTAACTGGTCGGAATTAGCCCAAATTTAGCGTGCACGTTCAATTCATCGTTGTCAATGCCCGGACAGTGGATTTAGCTAGTGAGGTACCTTCTTTTTTACGTACCACCTCACCCTTCAAAAACGGCTGCAGCCTGTGATTTTACACTTTATACGATGAAACATGTCCGGAACCAAACTTATTGCCTCCGTATGGAACTAAATGAGTCGTCACAGCCTTCGTAGGTACACTTAACACTATAGAGCTATTATAGTAATTCAGTGCCAGCTAGGTCAAAGCGTTTTTTCCTAGCTTTAGTGCCCAAGCTTGGGCGCAGTTCGCGGAGCACCTTTTTTGTGGCCAAAATAAGGAACTTTTTCCGTTTTTGGTTCCTTATTTTGGCCACAACAAAGGTACTCCGCGAACTGCGCCCAAGCTAAAGTTCGGAAAAAACGCTTTGACCTAGCTGGCACTGAATTACTATAATAGCTCTATAGTTTTAAGGGTACCTACGAAGGCTGTGACGACTCATTTAGTTCCATACGGAGGCAATAAGTTTAGTTCCGGACATGTTTCATCGTATAAAGTGTAAAATCACAGGCTGCAGCCGTTTTTGAAGGGTAAGGTGGTACGTAAAAAAGAAGGTACCTCACTAACTAAGTAAATCTACAGTCCGGGCATTGACAACGATGAATTGAACGTGCACGCTAAATTTGGGCTAATTCCGACCAGTTTCCGCAAAGTTATAAGTTATGGCCAAAATAAGGAACTTTTACCTTTTTCACTTCCAAAAAATTGTTTTTCTCTGGGAAAGTTTTCTTTTGTGACTCGATAATTCGGCGACATTTCGTCAAGAATCAATGATCCGAGATTCCTTGTTTTTTTCACATTTCTTTTTGACGTAAAGTACCCCAAGTGCGACGCTCAGATTTTGACGAAAATTAGCGCAAGTTTAGAAATTTTTTTTTCAAAAATATTGGGGTGAACCAAAAAAAATTTCCGATTTTTATATATTATATCTTTGTGTCCACCTGTTTTTTTACGGAGTTAAGGATTTGTAGTTCTCGCTTGGCAAATACACCCGAGGTTTTTAGATTGAAAGTCGGCGAAAATTTAGGACTTTTTGCGGAATTTTGGCTCAAAAAGTTTCGTACCTATTTCTACCGTAAAGGGTAATGTTTCCACAAAAAATCAATTTTTTCCGCACGAAACTGCCAAAGTTATGGGCAAAAAACGTGTTTTTTCTCTGACCGCTCTCCGCGTTTAGCGTGATCTCTCGGCGGCAAGAATGGTTCAATATCTCGGTGGCGCTTGCAAAGCGCGAGATAAAACTTTCAGGAATTGGTATATAGTTTATGCCCGACGTGTGTACAGAATTAAAAAAAAAGAAAAAAATCTGAGCGTCGCACTTGGGGTACTTCCCTTGTGGATAAGACATCCCAATTTTAATCACACTCTAAGTGTTGCTCGAGCGCTCTTCAATTTTTATTATCATCGTTTGTTTTCAGATGTGGAATGCACGATATGTTCGAAGAAAAAGCCGGTTCGTGCCATGAAGTGCACCAGCTGCAAGCAATGGGTCGGCTGCGGCAGTTGTGTGTTGGGATGGGCGAGGACTTGCGTGGATACCGAGGCTACAATCTCATGCCCTTTGTGCAGATCGACGTGGAATTATATGGAAAAGAAATTGAACAAGAAGTGAAATTTATTTGTTTTTTTAGTTCTTACATTGCGGTTATTATTATTATTGTTTAGCAAATGTAATAAATATAAATCTCTCCTAGTTTCTCAGTGTATCAATTTATTCATCTTATAGGGAGAAGATTTTTATAAAACTTGCGAGCTGCTGTTGCAAAATTAGAGCTGAAACTTAATAGTTTATTTAATAATTACATTGATCGGAAGCCTTGTAAATGTTGTGCTGCTCCAACGGGATCTCTTTGAGGTCTTGAATACCATCGTTGTTAAGAATGATCCGCGTCGCAACGCACTCCGCAAACGGCGGGGATTTTGTGCAGTTGTGGTGACTGAAAAGAGCTGCTTGATACAGTAGGAAACCTGATCAAGTGGCCAAAAACGTACCGTTTTGCATCCGGGAAGCATCAAAAATGTGGCAAAATGCTTCCCTCTCCAAGTGAAAAAACTTCGTTTTGAAGGGCCCTTTCCCATAGAAAGAGCGGGCGGGCATTTGAAATGGAGTTTTTTCACTTGGAGAGGGAAGCATTTTGCCACATTTTTGATACTTCCCTGATGCAAAATGGTACGTTTTTTGCCGCTGGATCAGGTCCCCCAGTGTAGACCGACTGGTCGTTAAATAAATTTAGTACCTTTTTTCCGTTTTTTTTAAAATCGCATCGCCACTCAGAAAATGAATTGTGTCGCGGCAAAATAAGATTGCTTTTCGATTCACAGGGCAAGTACGCCAAGTGCGACGCTCAGATTTTGATGAAACTTGCCACAAATTTAGAATATTTTTTTTTAACAGTAAAATATATGCGAGAATCATAGCTCGCGCATTTTAGAAAGAGCCGATATTTTTTGATCGAAAGTCGGAAAAATTTTAACAATTTTTGCCGAATTTCGGCACGAAAAGTTTCCTAAATATTTGTACCGGAAAGATAATGTCTCTACAAAAAAATAAAATTTTTCCGCGCGAAACGAGCGGAACTATGACCAAAAAGTGTTTTTCTCACTGACCGCTCACCACGGTTAGTGTGCTCTCTCGGCGGAAAAAAATCGTTTAATAACGGTGCCTGTAAAGTGCCAGCTAAAACTTTTAGGAATTAATATCTATTCTATTCCCAACGTGTGTGCAAAATTTAAAGAAAATCTGAGCGTCGCACTTGGAGTACTTCCCTTGTCAGCGACGTGACCGGCGCAGCGACATTATGTCCATTATTTTCCCGACAGGCTGATAGTATTAGGCACGCTTCGTAAAAGTATGTAACTTACATCTCAAGGTAGTAGGTCTTGTCCTCCTCGAACGCCCGCCATGTTGCAATCGTAAAGTTTCCACCTTCGGACGGCATCGAATTCAACGTAACCGGCCCCGTTACTCCTTGTTTTTCCAACTCCACAAACACATTTACCGGCCTTCCATGACAAGTGGCTACGCCGCTGATCCCTGTATCAGCAGAAGAACGGTTGCTGACTAGTAAAAAAACAGTCAGCAATATTTTAAAGAGCATTTTCAGTGTTTCCGAATACTGTTTGATTGACAAGCTGTAATTATTCTGGCAATTTATACAAACCATTCGAAGAGGAACGCATAATGTCACAAGTGAATGCAAATTAATTGGAATTGTTGTTAGGGGATCTGTGATTCTGAAAATTCATCTAATTGCGGACAGCTTGGTGGATGAAAGCGGACGTTGAAAGTGGTGATAACTTACAATTTAGAATTAATCGTGAAAGCCGTAATAAACGGAAAAAGTGATGGCTGCATTTATATCACTCTGTCGAGAAAATAATGTGGATTTGTTGAAGCATAATGTTTTCTCTTGTCTACCATGCGGCTGTAACATTCGAATATAAAATGTTATTTAAATCTAGCAATATTATTCATCGTCATACAGCGTAATCTCTGCATAGCAAACTCCCATAAAACAAACTCAGTTCCTGGAAACAAAGTTAGAAAAGTGGACCGTTGGACAGCGAAAAGAATCTTGCAGCAAATCAATGTTTTGGTCTTTTGCTGTATATAATTTGTATCAAAAAGTATCCATGACAACTTTTGAGGTCTTTTTTATGAAATTGTTTGTCGGGTCTTCGGAATGCGACAGATATCATTCTTGGCATACCTAAAACTAAATAAAATCTCTTTTCTCTCAAAAGTGTCAAAAAGGATCCATGATAAATTTTGAAGTTCTAAGTGAACGGGTATTATTTATGTAACCACTTAGAATTTTGATCCAGTTGTCAACAAAAATATGCAAGTTTAATTGACCGATTATTTGAATCGCAACGCGTTAAAATGAGCTTGTTTAGCCGCTTTGAGCGGCAGTGAGCGAGTTGAACAGTCCTTGGAAGAACTTCTGAAGCTTTTCGATGCAGCTCTGTCCGTCATTTTGCCGTTTAACTCTGGCAATTGCGGTGTTGAATTCCTCGGTTGGAGCGGCTTGAAGAATGGTGAATACGATGACAAGAAGAAGAGCAATATTGTAGATGAACTTCATGATAACTATTAGGTCTAGAAGTATGACTTTGTCGTTATAATTTGCAAGGAAGGTATGCAATAAGACACTTCAGTAATCTCAAGATACGAACAAATTTTACCTGAAAATCGACCGGATCTCCCACTCAATCCTGTTGATTTTTAAATTGTAATGAATATATCCAGTGATCATCGTATTTTATATACGATCAAAAGTTTTTACCGTTGTTTGAACAGTCGTAAACATCTCTGAAACCACGCATTTCCGGAGCAAGTTCTGCATTAAACAAGGGGACAAATGTTGAAGTGAGGAACATTTTTCTTCATGTTTTGTCCTGGTCGCTACAAAAATTGTAAAAAGTGGATTTAAATTTGAATTAGGGGCGGTTTGTTTGCACAAATATTACGATGACTATTACTGAAAGTTGTATTGGCTGTTCATAAGGCCAAAAGTATTTAAATTCAAAGATTTTCGTTGATATAAATTTGGTAAAATTTGCCGCGAAGATGTCCGGATTTTTTTTTTGCAAAGGTATCAAAAAGTATCCATGATAACTTTTGAAGTCTTTTTTTTGCGAAATTGCTCTCCGGATCTTCATTATGAGGCAGATTTTTTTCGAGGAAACGTATCTCTAACACTAGGCTTTTTTTTGCCAAAAGTGTCAAAAGGTATCCATGATTCTTTTTGAAGTTTTTTCGTGACATCGCTGTCTGTTAATTTCGTATGAAACATGCCTCTTTTTTGTGAATATGTGTCCAACACTAGAATTGTTTTTGCCAAAAGTATCAAAAAGTATCCATGATAACTTTTGAGCTCTTTTGCGAAGTTGTTCTCGGGGTTTTCAGTACATATGACAGAGAGTTCTTTCTTTGGCATAGTGGTTCAAAGGTCCTCCCTGATAGGAGTTCAATGGAGTCCCAGAAAGCCACACCAAATCCCAAGTATTCCAGCGGAACTATCCAAAGGAATACAACAATACCAACGATAAATATAAAGTAACCCGTTTATCCAGAGGAAGGGTCGATACAATCACGTAAATGTCAAAATAGGTAAAACCAAGTGTCGACTGGCGGAACTATCCTTGCCAGCCGGTTGCCGATCTGTCTTATTGTCCGAATCCCACCGACCGCCACTCGGCTCTCCGGATCCTCCTTCCCACTAAATTCCATTCTCTCACGTTCCTTGACTTTCCAATGGTGCGTTAGGTTTCGCGGCGGGACCCAGCCCGAGGTTCGGTGCGGTCCTGCACCATTGCATTTTTTTTGGCTTAGAATTGGCAACTATATACATGGGATGTATTCATGAGTCATTGTTGACGGGAGAGCACGGAAAATGAGTGGAGCTGAACAGAGAAAAAAAATTTTTCTTGAGACCTTGCAGATTCCAGCGGAAAAACATTTTTTTAAGAAAGATTTTGGAAAAATTTTTTATTTTTTTTTATTTTCTTTTGGTTTTTCTGACCGATATGGTGGTTCAACTAATTCTCCCTGTTTTGCTGATTTTTCATTTCGTTTTTTCTCGGGAACGTAAGAGATTTAGTGTTACTAGGACTCGTATTTTACATATTTTTGATTTTTTTAGACTGTCCCGACTTGAAACGAGGTGATTTTACTGAGTATTTCGAGGTCTACGGGAAAGATTTGGGCGACCGAAGGTACGAAATTCATGGATTTTTTACTGGTGAGAATTTTAAATAAATTTATTTTAATTGATTTTTTTAAATTTTAATTTTTTTAGAGCTTGACAAGCCTCTGAAAAATGGATATAAGATCACAGTGAGCGAAGGGGATCCAATTAACCCGGGGCATTTTGATTTTTCGATTTTATTGTCCGGATTGGCCGACAAAAAGAACGATGTGGTGATTTTGGATCCGCTTCGGAAGCTGGATGGGTGGGTTTTTTACATCAGAAAATTATTTTTAATCTGTAAAAAAGGGATAAAGTTCAGCAAATAGGCCAATATCCCAAAAAAATAAAAAAATAAATAATTATTTTTGCGAGCTGCGCCCAGGAAATTTACCAATGGAAGATTCTGTGCTTTACTGGTGGTAAATAAAAGCTTAAATGCTGATATATGCTTAGGCTATGTCCAAAAAATTTTTTAACCCAGCCTGAGGCTTCCAAACTTTTCGTCGTATAAAATGTCCTCCGCAGGTCGCGCCCTTTCATTTTTTCAAAAAACGATTTTTTTGCGATTGTGGCTTATTTGCGGACCTTTTACTGTAATAAAATCATTTTACATCTACAAAAAAATTTTTTTTGATATTTTTTCAGCGAAAATCTCTTTGAATTTCCCCCCAACTCCGTCAATTTTATCCGACAAAACTACGCGTTTACCTTCGGCGATCTCCTCATCTTGAATCAAACTCATTTTGCGGACATTCCTGAGATTGATGAGAATCGTTTGGATGGAAAAGCCTTGTATCGATTCGAACCGTTGGCCAATTTGAGGAAATTTAATTATTCGGAAGATGCGATTGAAGGGATTCGTAAATGTTTCGATCGAAAAAAGGTGAGAAAATAAATATGAATTTGTCAGGGAAATTCGATGAAAGAAGTTTTTCGAAACAGGAAAAAATGAGATTTGACCGGTCAGGTTGGGCAAGTTGACCGGGCAAATTTATAAAAATTGTCACGTTTTTCGATTTTTTAAAGTTTTTTATTTGATCGGTCAAGTTGGTCAACTTGACGGTCAGACTGGGCAAGTTGGCCGGTCAAATTAAAAAAAATAATCATGATTTTGATTTTTTGAAAGATTTTTCTTTTATTTGACCGGCCAGATTGGTCAACTTGACCGGTCAAATTTGGAGAAAAAATCATGCCTTGGATTTGGAAAACCTTTTTTTATTAATTTGACCGGTCAAGTTGGTCAACTTGACAGACAGATTGGACAATTTGGCCGGTCAGATTGGGCAAGATGACCGGTAAAATTTAGAACAATAATCATGTTTTGGATTTTGGAAAACCTTTTTTATTAATTTGACCGGTCAAGTTGGTCAACTTGACGGTCAGATTGGAAAAATTGACGGCCAAATTTAAAGAAATAACCATGTTTTTTTCTTTTTGAAGAACTTTTTTAAAAATTTGACCAGTCAAGTCGGTCAGCTTGACGGTCAGATTGGGCAAGATGACCATTTGTATTAGGCAAATTGACCGTCAAATTTAAAGAAAAGGTCATGTTTTTAATTTTTGTAAGATTTTTCTTTTATTTGACGGGTCAAGTGTTCAATTTGACGGTCAAATTTACAGACATGGCCGAATTGCTCAAATTTGAAAAACGTTGTTTTTTTTTTGAAATTTTATCGGTCAGTTTGGTCAGCTTGACCAAGAAGATCCGAACGCTCGTGATTTACCTTGGTTTGCTGCTTTAATTTTAATTTTTCTTTCAGCTGGAGTACTGTACTTTCAATGGAACTCATGTCATCGAGGGGGAACGGCAGTTTCTTGGGATTAATGAGGGATGGGCTATTAGTATGTAAGTCATAAAAAGAGAAAAATAATTTTTGGATTTTGGGTGGTTTTTGGGCTTTTTTTAAAAAGTTTTTTTTGGGAGTTTTTGAAATTTTTTGATTTTTTTATAATTTTTTTTGATTTTTTTTGTGATTTCTGACTAATTACTGGCGTTTTTCGTATTTTCAGGGCCCCATATGAACGCCGTTTTACGTTGTATCAGATCAACAATACAGAGTAAGATTTTTTTTCAAAAAAAAAAAAAAAAAAAAAAATTGTTTTTAGAAACTGTTTCAACATTCCCTGGACCATTGAGAACGCTATTGACCATCCCATCAGTCTGATTCCACTCCTCAAACTTCCATTTATTAATTCGGACTCCCCATTGATCGAAAGATTTCGGCCAAAGCCCGTTGAGAAGGTCGTTTTGAAAGCGATACCCCCCACTTTGAGTGTCGTGAATGTCACTGAAATTCATGAAGTTGTCGAGAATACAACTACTAGAATAATTTCGACCACCGAAAAAGTTCTGAGTTCGGCGGAAAACCGAGAAATTTTGGTGATTTTATTGATACTGACGATGATTTTTGTTGGATTTTGATGTGGAATAAAGATTTTTTGATGTGTTTTTTAATTTTTTTTAAAGTGAAAAGGTTTTAAAACGAAATTTTAAGGTTTTTTCGAAAAAGTATCAAAAAGTATCATGGATACTTTTTGATACTTTTTGTACTAAATTTTTATTAGTAGCTTCAGTTTTATCCAGATATTAATTTCTGAAAATTTCAATGTAAACTGTATAGATACCGCCGAGATATTCAACGATCTTTGAAGACGAGAGGCTATGGAAAATGAGGAGAGACGGCTAGAGAAAAAATAAATTTTTGTCGGTATTGCCTGAGATTCTGCTGTAAAAGATTTTATTTTTTGTAAAAGAGATCTTGTACTTTAAATTTTTTCTTGTGTTTTTGAAAAAAAACAAAAAACAAAGTATGATTATTAATTTTCTTGGTATAATAAAACTTTATCAAAAAAAATGACGGATTTTCTGCCTCAAACATTAAGTCATCATGCTCAAATTCAAAACTTTGAATTTTCCCTCTGATTTTTCAGATTTCGCACAGCGCTTGTCCCAAAAATCACTCCAGCGAAGTGTGAACGGACTAGTACTTAACGCATTGATCTTCGAAAATTTGAAAATCCGAAAAAAGTTTCCCGCGTATCAAGTACTTCTCATGTAACTTTTTTTTCCAAAATAAACAGTTCAAGGGCGCTCTGTTCGAATCACACCGAAGAAACTGAATCCATGTGGGCGTTCGATTGCGCCAAATTGATCGCCTTGACTTGTTTGATTTATGGTGTCAAACGTCATGCGATTCAATTCAACGAATTGATAAACGTTCGTAATCAAAGAGAAACGCGTTGAAATACTTTTTACTTTACGAATTCGCCGAAAAGAATGAGTAATCTTTCGATGACGCGAGAAACCGGGAAGGCACAGCTGAGAAGGCGTTTTTTAGAGACTTAGCAACATTGTGGGTAACATGACCAGTTTACATTATGTTTGCCAAATCGAAAATGGAACTTTTCAAGTTGACTTTTTGTTAGAGCCCTACCAAAAAATATTGTGGAAATTACCTACTAGGGTTTCCCCAAATCTGTAAAAAATCTGGCAAAAAAGGTTTCTAGACACGGAAGAAGCATACGAATCCTTCGCAATGTCGCTGAAATATGTTTTGTGACATGCACTGTGCGAAAACAAAAGTTTACCTTGCACTATGAAATTTATTGCTTTTTCCACCGTGCAATAAACTTTTTTCGGCTGACGCTCGCGCCTTGTTTTTGTCTGTACAGAAGAATTACTCCAGCGACTTTGCGAAACAGCTAGTACTCGGCGAGCCAAAAAAGTCTTCGATTTTGCGGGCAGCTTGAAGAACAACGGAGCTTCGGCATGCTTGGAAGCAGAGATTGCCACGGTCAAAATTTCGGCTCCGGCTCCGGCTCTTAGCTCCCAGAGCCGGAGCCGAGGCCAAATTTGCAGCTCCGGCTCCGGCTCTTGGCTCCGTGCAAAATTTAAAAAGGCTTCCGGCTCCGAATCCCGGCTCCTATGCAAAATGTTTTTTTTTTAAATATTTTTCCAAAAATAAAAGTTATTAGTGCCAGAGATCATACAGCCAACGTTTTTGCAGTCAAGTCACATCCTCCGCAGTGTTTTTCAAGCAATTTGGTTTAACAAGATCACGAAATTTTTACTTTTCTGACCGCTGGGAAGCCTGGCTCCGACTTTGGGATCGGGAGCCGGAGCCGACCCCAAAATTTCCGGCTCCGGCTCTGGCTCCCGGCTCGGAGCCGGAGCCGGAGCCAAGAGCCGGCTCCGGAGCCGTGGCAATCTCTGTTTGGAAGTCGGCCAACATTTTGCTTACAACATAAAATTCAAACGATGGATTTGGCAATTAGACGTTGCAAAGCAAGTTTCCAGGTGTAAAAATGGCTTGAATAGGTACGATGAGGTACTGCACAATTTCCAAACCACGACAGGTCAAAATACAGGGTGTTCCGAGAATTATGGGAAAAACTATTCATTAATAACTTTGTGCTCGGTGGTCCAATCCGAAAATTTTTTTTTGAATTTTACAGGAAAACCTTGGGGTGTTTAGAATCAAAAAGGATTTTTTTGTTATATCGGCGGAGACTACCGTAATCCGCCTTGAATTCGGCGGAGTGCTTCTTTCACAAACGACTGTAAAAATGAATTCATTTTTTCTCCGCCGATTTCTACGCCGAATTGCCTTTTTTTCTAACCCCAGTGGGCCGAAGACGCAATAAGTCCTATTTAGGCGCCATGCCACCAGGAATACCATACGTTTTGGTTTTGGCCAATTTTGACTCTCCGAAGTCGAAGAAAAAATCGTCCGCCGAGGTTAAAAAATGTCTCCGCCGAATGACAAAAATTTGAAATAAATGTCATATTGTATCTTCTGAATCTTTTCCCGTCCATTTCTGCACACATACAACAATTTACAGCCTCGTTTGTGAAAAAAAGGCTCCGCCGAATTCAAGGAGGATTACCGAAGTCTACGCCGATCAAAGAAATAATTTTTTTTGATTCTAAAAACTCCAAGGTTTTCCTGTAAAATGCAAAAAAAATTTTTCGGATTGCACCACCGAGCACAAAGTTATTAATGAATAGTTTTTTCCATAATTCTCGGAACACCCTGTACATAAGCAGTGAAAAACGGGCTCTCAGAAAACTGCTGTCGTTGGCTGTTCGATGAAACTATGGAAATGCACAGTGTGGTAAAATTCGCCAAAAAATGCCACACTTTTGCCGACATTGGCGCCGAAATGTTGGTCGTTTCGGCAAAGCGTAAGTTATAGGAGGCTCGCAAATTCTTAGAAACCGTTATCTTGTCAGTCTGTCAGGAAAATACTGAGCAGAATGTAGCATCGAAGATCGCATCTCCGTTGAGAAAATGAATTGTGTCGCGGCAAAATCAAATTTTCATCCACGACGCGACCGACGCAGCGACAACGTCTCATTATTTTCCCGACAGACTGATAAAAAACATCCCAAATTTCTGCCAAGTTTCATCAAGATCTGAGGGTCGAATTTTGCGCACTTCCCTTGTAAACAAAAAGCCAAACAAAAAGATGACGCAATAATCCTGAAATCGTCTTTCAGGCCGTTGTAAAACCACTACCCACGAATTCTAACTTTTTTCGCCAAGTTCGTTTGTTAGTATGTTTCGTGGGCGGAACTCCGGTCACAGGTCCGGCCTTTCCAACTTACCACTCGTCATCCACAATTTCCGGAGACAAACTACTCCTAGAAACTCGATAGTTCTCGCTGTATTAGCCAATGTCATCACCTCTTCCATCAACGGTTTGACCTTCCGCCCCATTTCCCGCCACTCTCTCTCTCTCTCGCCCTTACACTTCATCTGCCTGCCCATTTCCAAAAACTTTACAATAACTTCAACATCGTCTCGTCAAACGGAATCAATGACGCCGCACCTCGGGCTGTTTATAACCCCAACGAGAGGCGTCCTTTCGTTCCAGTCGAACGCTCTGATCCGCCATGAATCGGTGGGTGATTTTGTGTCTGTTGGTGAGTGTGGTTGTGGCCCAGTTGAAGGCGGAGGAGAAGGCCGCGGCAGTGCCCAAGGCTACCCGAGATATGTAAGTGGATTTTTGGGGAGTTTTAGGGGGTTAGGATATAAAAAGATATGTTTGGATGAAATAGGGGGTGCTCGAAGGGAAAGGCTGAGATTTTGATGAAACTTGACGTAAATTGAGGTAACAGCTTTCTCGAATTTACGCTAGATTTTTAGCTCTAACCAGTGGAGGGAGATGGCGTACCGATGACTAGGAAAGGTGGGGTACAAGCCCAGGGTACGAAGGAAAAAGATGGATTTTTTTTATAGAGCGGTCCCCCTTCCCTACCCGGATTTTTAGCCCAAACTATCAGTCTGTCGGGAAAATACTGAGCGCAATGTCGCTGCGAAAGCGTTCCTGAATTAAACAGCAATTTGATTTTGTCACGAGACAGATCATTTTCTCGGCAGCGATCCGATTTTCGACGTGACAGAATGCTCATTATTTTCTCGACAGACTGATTGGATAAAATGAGAAGTTCGTGAAGAGTAAGGCTCATATTTTAATGAGACTTGGCACAATTGAGACTATAGCTTTCCATAATGTACGCCAGATTTTTAGCCCGCGCTATTCAGAAGCCAATCACAGTTGCTTTCTAGAAAACACAAGAATTACCCGTTGTAGAAGAGCTTTGTTGATTTGAGATTCATTTTGGCCTAAAATTGACACCTAGCACCTCTGTTTGCTATATAGAGTTTTCGCCCAAATCATCGGCAACGTTGCGTAAAAATTATTTTTTTTGGCTGACTCATAAGTAGTGCTGTCTTTAAACTATAGTGCAGTGTTAGTCGAATATCACTCTTAAAAAATATTCAACGTATTTTACCTTTCATTCCATCATAATCATCCTCTTTCAGTTTCCGCTCTCGTCGTGGCTACGGATATGGCGGCGGCCCTAGCGAGACGATTGTCGAGACAGTAGTAGTTGAACAGGGCAACCAAGGCGGCGGTGGTCCATATGGCGGTGGCCCATATGGCGGAGGTTACGGCGGAGGCTACGGTGGAGGCTACGGCGGTGGTTACGGCAACAGATGGGGCGGCAACTACTGGGGATAAAGTTTGAACGAGTCTTGAAACGATTTTTTACCTCAATTTTTCTTGTATTTGATGGAAATAAAGATTATTTATGAATGTTTTGTCGAGTGGTATTGGCTTTAATAGAAAATAGGTATTGAAACAACCTAGTAGCTAGCTAACTATCGTTGAAATTCCAGTCTCTGCTCTAACAAAAGATCTGGTCCGATGTCCACAAGGAACTCCCGGAAGCTCGGGTTTTTCGCAAGATTTCAAATAGAACTTGAAAGTATCTCTTTTTCCATATATTTTCTAGTTAATAGAGGAAAAATGTATGCGACTTTGTGAAATTTTCCCCTCCAAGTGAAAAAAGTCCGATTTCAAAAGCGCGCCCGCTCTTTTTGTGAGGGAGCCCTTCAAAACGACGTTTTTTCACTTGGAGAGGAGGTATTTTGGCAGATTTTTTGATACTCCCCGAATGCAAAATGGTACGTTTTTTGCCACTGGACCAGGTCCCTCACTGGAAACGAACATTAAAATAAAGACTTTTTGTCTCTAGTTCGTTTAAAAAATCATGATTTCTCATTTTTTCAACGGTTCTTAGAACTTATCAACTTCCTTTCTCTGAACCATCCATCAAAATTTTCATCCAGAAAAAACGATTCTCCCGTCATCCATCTCTCATTGTACAATAGAATCGAACGAAATACCGACCTTTTACCGAAATTTCGTAAACATGACAGACGAAAATAAACAAAAGTGATTTATTAACATCATCAAAAACGTTTGATTTCCTTTACAATCGCGCTTGAATGGAAGCAAAGTCAACAAATAATCAAGAAAATAATAGTAGTTTGAGAAGTGAATTACTATGTAAATAGTAGTTTGAGAGAGAAATTGGGGCATTAAATTGTTGTATTTTACTTCCGGCCCCACATTCCACCGCCGAACCCGCTGTTGTAGCCGTAAGAGTTGCCATAGCCATAGGATGGAGGTGGTGGAGGTGGTGGAGGGGGTGGATACTCTCCGATCGGCATGCCATAGCCTCGACGAGAGCGGAATCTGAAATAAAAAACAACAATAAGATAAATAAAAAATAGCAAAAACGAATCTTTATAAGGTTTTTTTTGAAATTTTTTGGCGGTTTGGAGAAAAACCCAGCTCAAAAATGGCTAAATATCTCATTTTCTGACGCTACAGTGAGGCACCTGATCCAGTGGCAAAAAACGTTTCATTTTGCATCCAGGAATTATTAAAAATGTGACAAAATGCTTCCCTCTCCAAGTGAGCTTTTAAAATCGGGTTTTTTCACTTGAAGAGGGAAGCATTTTGCCACATTTTTGATACTTCCCGGAAGCAAAATGGTACGTTTGTTGCAACTGGATCAGGTCGCCCACTGTATAAGGGCACTGCTTGAACATCAAACGGCTTAATTAAACTTACAGTTCCCGATCAACTTTTTTGACGGCTTCTCCGGACACCAGGCCAAGCACAAGGAAAGCCATGACAAGTCCAAAGCGAAGGAAGTTCATGGTTCTGGAAAAAAGATTTTTTAAAGCGGTAAAAGTAAAAATGCAGTGCCTAAGACTATGCCTATCCTACCTCAAAAACGAGGCCAAAAGATATTTTGATTTATGATCAAACTAGACCTAAATTGACAAGAGAAGTGCGCCAAGTTCGATGTTCGCAAGGGAATTCACATTTTTTGAAGATCGATCCATACTGGTGACCTAGTAGGCGTTGAAGGCGGTGCAAGAAGTACCTGGCAAGCGTTTACAAGCCCTGAAGGCCGAGTTATGGCTCATCAAAGTTAGCACAGAACACCCACCGAAAAGGCCATTCAAAAAACGAGAAGCCAGATCCTTCTTACACTTCAACATCCTCTGGGTCACAAGTAAGGACCGATCTGACAATCTTATGAGCAAAAAGTGAATTCCGTTGACAGACTTTTTTGAAACTTTGCGAAATTGGTGGATGTAGGACTAATAAAAATTCGTGGAAATTTTAGCTCACGCTTAGCAGGTGCAGCCGAGATTTTCAACGGTTTCTTTCTTTTAATTTTCAATGGTTTTTCGTCCGTAAAGATCGTTGAATATCTCGGCTCTATTTGCAAAGCGCGAGCTAAAATTTTATTCAATTAAAACAATTCCTACATAGATCCTATATCCCAAATTTCACGCAAATCTGACCTCAAAGCCTCGGGCAATTTACAAAATAAAAACTTTGGAGGCATCTTGATCAAAAAAAAAATCAATTCTTTTGTCGTAAAATCTTACCTTGATATCTCTAGCTGTAAAAATTTCTTACAGACACACAGAAAGTGCTAATTCTTCATCTCACAAAATTGCTCTTATATACATTGCAATTACCATGCTGTAACTGCGGTATTTTCAACTTTGAACGCCTCTTAATCGTTAATTACTCCATCAACGAACATTTTTCGGCTTTCCCGACAAAACAGCGAACGTTCAAACCGTTGACCTTGAATGTTGTAAACAAAAAACGATGTAGTAGTGGGTAGTTTCGACTTTTTTTGTTGATTCGGGAGATGTTTGCTGAATTAGCTGAATTGGCCCGGAAGTTCTGGAAAGACTACTTTAAAAAAAATACTATAAAATTCGTAAAGGCCAAGAGATGAGTCATAAAACTATCTAGTAAAAGTAATCAAATTGTGTTGGATTAAGCGAATGAAGTGTATGTGTATTGAGAGCAAGTCTGTAAAGATTGTTTTTTGGTAAAATATCTTACTTTTTTAATTGATGGTTAAAGGATTGGAAAAAAGCCAATTTTCAATACTGCAAAGGCAGACTGCGCCCGGCCCTCAGAAAAAACCTCTCTGAGGCAAATCTGAAAGTTTTAAACTTTGGATACACGCCGGACATAGGCCACATCAATTCCTGAAAGTTTTATTTAGCTCTTGCTTTCCAGCAGCGCTCGAGATATTGAACGATATTTTCCGCCGAGAGTGCGCGCAAAACGCGGAGAGCGGTCAGAGGAAAAACGCTTTTGCCCATATCTCGGCTAATTTCGCGAGGAAAAAATTGACTTGCTGGATACGAACGATGTTCCGCTTCGCAAAAACGACCGATATTCTTATATCGAAAGATAGCGAAAATCGACACTACATACATATTTAGCAAATCGAAAAGTTCTATAGTGGGGGACCTGATCCAGTGGCAAAAAACGTACTATTTTGCATCCGGGAAGTATCAAAAATGTGGCAAAATGTTTCCCTCTCCAAGTGAAAAAAACTCCGACTTCAAAAGCCCTTTTTTGTGAGAGAAAGGGCGCGCCCTCCAAAACGAAGTTTTTTCACTTGGAGGGGGAAGCATTTGGCCACATTTTCGATGCTTCCCGGATACAAAGTGGTACGTTTCTTGTCACTGGATCAGGTCCCTCACTGTATGCCTTACAGCTTATAATACACTTAAAAAAATTAGTTTTTTCCACACGAAACTCGTAAAGCTATGGCCAGAAATTGTTTTTTCTCTGCTGCTCTCCGCGTTTTGCATACTCTGTAGGCTAGACCATTCAATATCTCGGCTGAGCTTGTAAAGTTTGAGCTAAAACTTTTAGCAATTGTTACACCACCTATGTACAACGTGTGTGTAAAATTAAAAAAAAAATATGGAAAAAGTTCCTTATTCTGGCCACAACAAAGGTACTCTGCGAACTGCGCTCAAGCTTGGGAACTAAAGTTTACTGAACTGAATTACTATAATAGCTCTATAGTTTTAAGGGTACCTAAGAAGGCTATGACGACTCATTTAGTTCCATACGGAGGCAATAAGTTTAGTTCCGGACATGTTTCGTCGTATAAGGTGTAAAATCACAGGCTGAAGCCGTTTTTGAAGGGTAAGGTGGTACGTAAAAAAGAAGGTACCTCACTAACTAAATAAATCCACTGTCCATTGATAACGATGAATTGAGCGTGCACGCTAAATTTGGGCTAATTCTGACCAGTTTCCGCAAATTTATAAGTTGTGGCCCCAATAAGAAACTTTTACCGAAAATATAATGAGGACGGCATTTGAAAGATCTTGGCCGACAAATTTACGCTGAATTTTGTTTTAAACAAACTGTAATTTTCTACTACTTTAAACTTTGTCAAGTTCATTTTATCAATTGAACTTTTTATACACCCCAACACTGTTCGGTCATTCTTAGAATTGATAAAAGTGAAAAAAAATAAATTCTCCACTAAAAGCACTCAACCATTTTTACAAAACTTTTATTGACTTTGTCCTTGGAATAGTAACATCGAAAAAACAAAATATTCGTTAATAAATTAATTAACAAATTTTTGAATATTCAAATTCCATCGCCAAATGGTCCCATGCAGCGGCGTTGAGGGGTTAGCGGCGGGCCATGGGACGTCAGGAAGATGGTTCCGAAGGGGCCGGGCGGCTGAGGCGCGAAGGCTTGGTCAATGTGGGAGCGTTTCACGGGCAGTTCGGTGCGTCTGCCTTGTCCATCAAAATGGGGCTCGGCGTTCAGCGGGGCAATGTAGGAAGGGTGGGAGCGTTTCCGACTGACTTGTTCTGAAAATTGGGAAGATTTAGAATAAAAAATTTTTGAATTTTTGAAAATATGCAAATTTATGCAAATTTTCGGATTTTCAAAAAATCACCTAGGACCAATTTGGCAACCCCAATTTCTCATACATTTAGTGCAAAATCTGCATAAAAATTGAATTTTTGCTCATTTGGGGGTCATTTTCATTCTGGGGTGAGGTTGGTGACCGCTCTCTCAGAGCTCTCAAAGATCTAAATTTTGAATGAAAAAGAATTGCGAAGTTATGAAACAATTCCTAAATGGCACAATAACCGTAATAAATGTGAAAAATACGAGTTGCTTGTATTTAACACAATCGCTTTCATTCAGATTACGTCTCTTTACAATTCAAACTTATATAAACTTCATTTATCATAGTTCGCCTTAAAAAACGCGTTGATTTTGCAAATAAAGTGTCTCTAATATGCCTGTATCCTATTAATCATGAAAATGTAATCTAAACCCCAGCAGAAAACCTACTAAAAAATTGTGGTACCCCCTTTTTCGTCAAATATTGTACTTCATTTATTGAAAATGTCAGAGAACCCCTAGGACATGTTGTTAATGACCTCAGGTATGCTTAACTTTTATTTTTTTACTTGTATTTACAACTTTTTCTGAAGGGCGAAAAAACTTCGGAGCTCTGAGAGCGGTCACCAACCTCACCCCAGAATGAAAATGACCCCCAAATGAGCAAAAATTCAATTTTTATGCAAACTTTGCACTAAATGTATGAGAAATTGGGGATGCCAAATTGGTCCCTATAGAATGTAGAGAATTTGGACTCTACGGGCATAAAAAATTGATTATCGCAAAGGAAATTGCTTAGAGAGTCAAAAAATCTCAAAAAATATCAAAAAATCGCAAAAAATGCCAAAAAATTTAAAAAAATCGCCAAATAAGGCTGAAAAAGATCTAGAAATGTGCTACGATTACCAGCGAAGCCAGAAAAAAAAATTTGAACATTTAAAATTACCAAAAATCAGAAAAAAAATTTCAAAAAATTTGAAAAAAATGCCAAAAAAGTATCAAAATGCCTCCAAAAAATGGCCAAATAATTTCAAAAATCCTACAAAAGCCTCTCGGAGGCATTCCATTTCCAGGCCATTATCAAAAATTCTCAAAAATAATAAAAAATCTCAAAAAAATTCAAAAAAAAACTCCAAAAAGTATCAAAATGCCTCCAAAAAATTTCAAAAATTCTCAAAAAACCTCAAAAAATCTCAAAACCCATACCAAATCCCCACGGCGACATTCCATTTGCAGGCCAGACCATCTTCACAGCAGACGATTATTACGCAACTGGAATGACGTCATCTTAAAAAAAGGGTCGCAACTTACTTTCCAATTACAGCGGAGTCTCGGAGTCGGAGATGAACTCGGAGCGAGGCGACTGTTCACAACGACGAGAATGAAATCGAATGACCTCGAAAAGGGGAGAAGGCCCAAATTCGACTTGGGGGAAATTTGAATAAAATTTTTTTTTTATTTTGAAAATTTGCATGAAATTTGGGAAAATTGAGAGAAAAAAAATAAAAGAAAAAAATAAAAATTTTGAAAATTTGCATGAAATTTGGGAAAATTGAGAGAAAAAATGAAAAAAAAAATGGAAAAATTTTGAAAATTTGCATGAAATTTGGGAAAAATGAGAAAAAAATGAAAAAATGGAAAAATTTTGAAAATTTTCATGAAATTTGGGAAAATTGAGAGAAAAAATAAAAAAAATGGAAAAATTTTGAAAATTTGCATAAAATTTGGGAACATTGAAAAAAAAATAAAAAAAAATGGAAAAATTTTGAAAATTTGCATGAAATTTGGGAAAATTGAGAGAAAAAATAAAAAAACGGAAAACATTTGAAAATTTTCATGAAATTTGGGAAAATTGAGAGAAAAAATGAAAAAAAAAGAATTTTTTTGTCAAGGAAAGTACTTCTATGGGTATGCAATTACAAGTCGAAACATATATCAAAAAAATTGCAAAATTTTTCTGATTCAGAATATGCAAAACTTAGCTGCCCAATTTAGGTGTGTAAGGGCGAAAAACCCCTCAGAAGTCTTCTCGCAACACCACGCAAAAGCCCTTTTCCATTATGCAAATTTCCTTACAAAATATTTGCTTCGTTTCCTTTCTTCTTTCCAAAATCGCGATTCTTCCTGTTGCGCTATGAACCTGCCGGTCGTACTGTTTCTTTGCTTCCTTCTGGGTTCAAGTCATGCCCAAACAGAAGAGGCTGACTATGACCTGGACTATGGAGGTCAAGGTGAGTAGCTGTTCCTAATTCTGGCCACAACAAAGCTCCAATGCGAACTGCGCCCTAGCTTGGGAACTTAGGAAAAATAGATCGAATTTTGCTTCGATCTAGCTGGCACTGAATTACTATGGTATCTCTGTAGTTTTATGGGTACCTACTAAGGCTATGACGGCTCATTTAGTTCTACACGGAGGCAATAAGTTTCGTTCCGGACAAGTTTCATCGTATAAAGTGTAAAATCGCAGGCTGCTGTCGTCTTTGAGGGGTAGGGTAGTACGTAAAAAAGAAGGTACCTCACTCACTAAATCCACTGTCCGGGCATAGACAACGATTAATTGAGCCTGCACGCCAAATTCGGGCTAATTCTGACCAGTTTCCGCAAAGTCATAAGTTGTGGCCAAAATAAGGAAAATTTACCCTTTCATTTTGCAATTTTCCCAAGCTGCGGGGAAAAATACGCCCGAGCCTTTACTTTTTGTTTGTGGCTAGCGCCCAAGTTTTCTGTCGACTTTTTAAGCTTACAATTGTTAATCTGTACAAGTTTTAGCCACCACAAATGGGCCCGAACCAGTTCCCAATGTGAGTCGCAGTTAGGTCTTATGTAAATAATCCACCATTTACAGTCCACCCCGCCTCCAACTACTACTACTACGAAGACAACTACGACGCCAACTACGACGCCAACTACGGAGCCAGCTGCGGAGCCAACTACGGCGTCGGCTTCAGTGCCTCCGGAAGCCTCGACCACTAGCGATGGAGGTACGAACCCAACTACAAAGCCGACCACTGCCAGTGTCATGTACGGCCTGGTCACCATGTTCATCATGGTGTATATCATTGAGTAGGGATTATTTGAGTGTAACGTCGATTTTTGACGAATAAATGTTTGGGGTTATGGTTGTGTTCAATTAGTGCCCAATCTTTGACAAAGATTGGGCACTAATTGAATGGATTTTTAATTTTCGCAGGCTGCGCCCTGACTTTTAGGTTAAGTGCTCTGATTTCGCTGAAAATTTGGTAGAAATGAAGATTCGAACTTTCCAAGCGATTTATGAAATTTCTTGCGATTTTTTTAGGAATCGTAAGGGATTAAAGTTTTCGCAGGCTGCGCCCTGACTTTTAGGATAGGTGCTCTAACTTTGCTGAAATTTCGTGCAGATAAAAGCTAGAACTTTCTAAGCTATTACAAGACTTTGGCTTGCATTTTTTATAAGCCAACAAGATTTTTAGAACAAACAGAAATGTAGTAAATGTAGAATTTTTTTTGTGAATAACCTTGACTTCCTTACCGACTGGAACTCGAATTGCAACGATCTTTGACGTGGAGACTTGTGGGTTTAATTTGTGACAAATTTCATCAAAATCGAAACACCTTTTCCGTAAGAGAGGGCGCAGCCTGCCAAAATTATAACTGATTACGAATCGCAAAACGAGATCCGCAAAATTATGGATGTGTCTTTGGGAATCACGGTCTTAATTTGCGCCAAATTGCATCAAGATTGAAGCACGTTCTCCGCAACACAGGGCGCAGTCTGCCGACATCATAAATGCTAAAAAGTCCCAAAATGCACTCCGCAAAATCATTTATGTAACTTAGTAAATTCGGATCTCCAATTTTTTACAATTTTCATCAAAATTTAATTTTCTTCCTTACAAAAAATTTGCATATTCGGACGTCAATCAACAGAGTATCATATTTTCACCCCCAAAATTTATACAAATCTCACTCCGACAAACTGGGCCGCCCGCAATTCCCCTGGCATTTGCTTTAATCTGTTTTCGAACAGTTTCAAATAACCCCCGAAACTGGGTCGCCATCAGAAGACCAAATAACAATATGAAACTACTTTTCAGCCGCTCCCTCAAGGTCGAGGTCAATCCCACTTTTTTCTCGCTGTTTTTTGAGCGATGGGAAATTGAAAAATTGAAAAAAATGGGGGGGGGGGACTGATTTTTTAGTGAATAAAAAAATTTTTGTAATTTTAAAAAAATCTCAAATTTTATTTGATTGTAAAACGTGCTTGAACTGGGTTAAAACATAGCAAAAATTAACTTTTAAATTTCCATAGACATGTACGAGATTTTTTTGCCATTTCATTTTAAGAATTTTCGGCATTTTTAACTTTGGCAGCCTGCGCCCTGCCTTACCGAAAAGGTGCTCTGAACTTGATGAAACTTGGTTCCAAATTGAGACTGAAAATTTCCAAGCCATATACGAGCTTTCTTAGCATGCTCTTTGCATAACCGCCGAGATTTTTAGTCGAAAAGTGTCAAAATTTTTTCTTACAAAAACTGAATAAATTTTTAAGACCACGCTATAGTAAAATACGTCCAAAGAAAATCCACCTTTTTTAAAACAAATGCTATATATTTTATCCCCATCACAAAGGAAGTGTTCGAAGCGCGAAGCTCAATTTTGGTAAATTCCATGGAAATTTCCAGGAATTTGGGATGCCAACTTAGGGTTCTTGGCATTTTGCAACAAGTATATATTTGTGGCTCTATAAGATCGAAAAGATTTTTTGCTGAAAAAATGTTGCTGGCAGCGATAAAACACTCTTAAAACGGGCCAAAAACACAATGCCAAAATGCTGGGAAGATTGCAATTCAAAGTTATTCAACAAAATTTTGTTTAGGAACCGGGCCTGAAAATCCTCAGGGCCGGGTCGGCCTTGATGGTGGTTTTGTCGGAAGGCCGGAAATAGTAAAAGCCCGGCCAAGCCATATCTGTAAAGTTTCCGTTGTGAAATACGTTACATACAGTGAGGAACCAGATCCAGTGGCAAAAAACGTGTCATTTTGTCTCCGGGAAGTCTCAAAAAATGTGGCAAAGTGCCTCGCTCTCCAACTAAAAAAAAAAACTCTGTTTTAAACTGCGCGCCCTTTCTCTAACAAAAAGAGTGGGCGCGCTTTTGAAATCGGAGTTTTTTCACTTGGAGAGGGAGGTATTTTGCTGCATTTTTGATATTTACCGGATGCAAAATAGTAAATTTTTGGCCTATGGATCAGGTTCCGCCACTGTAACAATGAAAAAAGGACATTTTCCGCCCCCGCATTAATCACTGGTCTCGATGACTCGACTTGATTTTGCAGACAAACTTTTTTTTTTATTTTTTCAACTTACAACTACTATTACGCCTTTTTCCAATCGATCAACCACTCTCTCCTGTAAGGCTGTGGAAATGCGCAGCTGCTCTTTTCAAATGATTCATCGTGCCTTTTTCCCAATAAAATCAAAAAAATTTTTTTTTTTATTTTCGCACTGTCCAGATCCGGCGATCTTTCCGCGGCAATTTTTTTGCCTTTTTTCTCTCCCATTCTCCCCATTTGCGCTATATTTCCGTGCGGTCTCTCCAAAACACCCCATATTTCGCGTTTTTTGGCCGAATCGGAACACTTGCGCACGTTTTTTCACTCGTTTTTTTCGCGAACGATGCTAGTGGGACGATCTTTCAAGGTCAGTGAGACAGCAGGGGCGTCGGAAGGGCAAGGATCGGGAGAATGGAGGCATCGGAGGGGCCGAAATGAGGTACCCTCGCTGTAATTCGGGTTAAAATTTGAGATAACGAATCGCAACGGGGAAAATGGGGATTTTCAAGGGATTTTTTTGGGGTTTTAAAGAGGTTTTAGGGATTTTTTCAAGAGTTTTTTTTTTTGGCTATTTATGGCTGCCAATGATAAGTTTTTCATGTATTAGTCGTTTTTGGGCTAAAAAGTTATTAAAAATTGATTTTTTGGACTTTTTTTGATTTTTCAAAGATTTTTGGGAATTTTTCAAAACTTTTTTAATATTCATAGGTTTTAGAGGACACTGTAAATCTTGTACATAACAAATTTCGTGGATAAAAATCACGGCCTTCTCATATCGGCCGTTTTTAGACTAAAAAGTCATTAAAAATCTAGTTTATTGGGGTTAGTTTTTTTTTGATTTTTCAAAGATTTTCCTCCTTTCTCTAGGGCTTATGTTGCTATTTCTAGGGTTGACATGGGGCGCTGAAGCCTCAAAATTTCGAATTTTTCAAGAAAAAGTTCCAATTGTTATACTAAAAAATCACTATTGGGCCAAAGGCCTTATAAATCCTACTTTGGATAGCTTTTTTACGTATGGCAATTTTAAAAAAATCCATAGTTTCGAGTTACCAGAACAACGTATAAACCCTTTGCATAAAAAATTTACAGACATAAGAATCTGAATAAGAATCTTTTTTTTATGTAGGGATCAATTTTTGAGCAAAAAATCTCATTTTTTACCGTTGAAGATGCCACTTACACTCTCTACCTAACAAACAAAAATCTCATAAAAAACAGGCACCCTGTGAAAGTGGGAGACCGGTGTCATAGTTTTTTTTCTAAACAAAGAACATAAAGAATCAGGGTGATTCCTTTTTTGGCAAGGGAAGTGTTCAAGTGCGACGCTCAGATTTCTTTTAAATTTTGCGCACATGTCAGACATAGGCCACTAAAATTTTCCGATTTCCCGAAAATTTTAGCTCTCGCTTTGCAGGCGCAACCGCGATATTCACCGATCTAACCGAAGGAGTACGTTAAAGGTGGAGAGCGGTCAGAGATAAAAAAAAGTTTTTCGGCCATAACTTTGGCAGTTTCGTGCGGAAAAAATTGATTTTTTGTGGAAACATTACGATTTACGGTAGAAATAGGTAGGAAACTTTTCGTGCCGAAATTCGGCAAAAAGTCCGAAATTTTCGCCGACTTTCGTTCTGAAGATCTCGGCTGTTTCTGCAGAGCGCGAGCTAGGATCTTTGCCAGTTTTGCATGGAAAGACCGAAAAAATAACCGAAAAACGACCGAAAAAGTGAACTCCAAGAATAAATCCAATAACTGTAGATGACACTAAGCTAACATACTTGCTATCAAACAAAATGGGGTTGTGTGAGGATTCAGAGAAAAAAAGAATTTTAAGATTTGGCCAAAAACGAAAGAAGTTATAGCCAATTCAAATCGGGCCACAAAGATGCCCCACCCTGTAAATGATTTTTTTGCGTAGAAATCACTTTTTAAGGTAGAAATAGCTATGAAAATTGACTTGTCAAAATCTTAGAAAAGCTATTCTAACCTTAGGTCAAATTTCATCAACTTCTGAAAATTGCACTTGAGGTACTGCCCTTGTAAATTTTCAGTATATTCGAGGGACAGTTTAATGTGGGTTTACCCAATTTTAGCGGTGATAATTCAAAGTAAACCTTTCAAAAATCAGCAGCTACGTGAAATTCATTGATCTTCAAGATTACAAAATTTTGTTAAAAAAAAAATTATAATACAGTTTTTTTGTAATATTTTTGCCATAGTCATCATTGTGAATTTTAAACTTTTCTGCCTTCAAAATACTTTGCGCTTCCCTTGATCCTCCAACCCTGCCCCGATTTGGAGCCCAAAGCTCTTTACAACTCTTTCTCTGTTCGCTTCGCGGGGTCCGAATAACCTTAACCTCATTCGGGAAATCCGTGAACCCCTTTTATTTGACGCAAACTTTGCTCTCTTTTTCGAAGTTCGGAGCGGATTTCGGGAAAACATTTCCATGACTTTCACCTTGATCTTCTTTTCTTTTCTCGCGTTTCGCCTGTTCGCCGATTACAATTCCGTCTTTTGTGGAGGTGAATCCTCTTGCGAAAGGTTCGAGAAGCGTCCGGAAAGGCGAGGGTAAGCCAGTTTGGACAATCGGAAATTTAGGCTGGGTTACTGTAGCAAAAAACTACAGTATTTTTTGCTTAAAAAATGAAAAAAAGAGTAAGATATTGTCTATAGGAGCTTTACATTGATTTCGGAAAATTTTATCCAACACTCTACAAGGAGGGCTGAGATATTCAGCGATCTTTGTGGGCGAGAGACTATGTAAAGTGAGGAGAGACGGTTAGAGAGAATTCTCAAAGCGATTCGCTCGGATTTCAATAAAACTTGGGAAAAATTAGGACTAGGATTTTCTAAATAATATGCAAGATCTATAAGTCGCGCTTTGCAGAAACGACCGAGATTTTTTAATCGAAAGTTGATCAAAATTTGACATTTTTTTTGAATTTTGACATGAAAAGTTTCATACCTTTTTCCATGGTAGAGAGTAATTTCTGCACAAAAAATAATTTTTTTCCGCGCAAAAATGTCAAAGATACAGCCAAAAAGCGCTTTTTCTCTGACCGCTCTCCTCATTTCTCGTACTCTCTCGGCCGCAAAGATCGTTGAGTATCTCGGATTTGCCTGTTTCTCAACTTACTATATTGTTTCTTGGTCAGCCGTCTTTACAACGAACGTTGCGCGGGAGAAATGACCGATTGGCCAGATGGCCGAGAACGGCGTTGGGGGGAACACATGTTCCGAGCCGGTAACAACATAACAAAGTAATTTCGGGCACGGAAACCGGGATCTCATTGAGTGAAAAGCCAATAATATATGGCTGTTTATGAGGTCTGGTAGAGAGTTGTGTCGCTAAAACTGTAAAAATTTGGTTGATTTTTCTGTAGCGAGTGTGTTATCATGCGATATCAGTTTGTCGAGAAAATAATGAGAATTCTGTCGCATTGAAAATCACATCGCCGCCGAGAAAATATATTGGTTTTCACTTCAGCGACACGATTGGCGCAGCGGCATTGTCCTCCTTATTTTCCCGACAGACTGATAGAAACGTCATTTTCTCAAAGCACAAGCGATGAATTTTCTCCAAGTTTAGCACAATTGCTCTGCCTGGGATACGAAAATTTTAGTTTTGTGCTGCTAGGGTATTTGACAGACGTACTGTGCCGATATGTCATGACTCTTTTTGGGCCCAAATGTTCAACTTTTGTCTAAGAAATGAGGAGAGACGGTCAGTGGAAAATGAGATTTCTGTTAGTTAAATCATCCTTAGAGGGCCTGCAACTAAAAATTCCGAGATTTAGAGCTAAAATATCTAGTGGTACTTCTGCAAAGCGCGAGCTAAAAATCTCCTATGGACATCAGAAAATCCAAATCTAACTTTAGGCCTAGCTCCGTCAAGGCTTGAGCCTCATGCTTAGGAAAGTCTGTCGGGAAAATAATGAGCACAATTTCGCCGCGTCAATCGCATCGCTGAAGTGAAAAGTAATTTGATTTTGTCGCGACACAGCTCATTTTCTCGGTGACGATTTTCGATGCTACAGAGTGCTCATTATTTTCCCGACATACTAATAGTATATTTCCAGCCTGAGGCTTCTTTCCTGTCGCTATTCTTTCATCCGTTTCTCGATTATCACGTCTCAATCATTCCCTGACCACCATCCCTTGTCATTCCTCGCCTCCTCTCTCCGTCTTCATCCACACCGCCATCGGCGACCGACCGATAATCGTCTTCCGAGGAGGAGCGCATCGTCAAGGTCGCCGGATTCCCTAATTCGCCCATGGAGGGAAAACGAATTCCCTTTTCCGATTATTCAGCCACTTTCTCTCCGTTCTCTCCCCCCTCTCCTTGCCAGCCGTCCGAGTTACCGCGACCGCGCGACCTTCTTCCCTCCTCGCCCATTTCGGGCTGAAGGTCCGCGATGTTTGGTGGCGGGGAGACTTTCCGGAATCGCGAGAAAAACCAGCCGGCTGACGCGTTGCGCAGCCGCCTGTTTCAGCGGGCGTTAGGCGGCGGAGCCACGCGCCAATGACATGAACAAGGGCTGCGGATTGCGTGCTGTGGAATAAGTTACAATAGCCGAGGGAAGGAGGGGAAATGATCAGAAAAACAGCAAGAACATTATGAAAGGAAGCGATTTGAAGAGAAAGGAAGGCTTGATCTTACAATACAATGATCGGTTATCTTGCTGAAGACAGTTGCTCAAGATATGTCTATGCATGTATGTCAGTCTGCCAGGAAAATAAAGAGCATTCTGTCGTAGCGAAAATCGCATCGCCGATGAGAAAATGAATTGTGTTGTGGCAAAATCAAATTGCTTTTCACTTCAGCGACGCGATTGACGCAACGACATTGGGCTCATTATTTTCCAGCCAGATTAATCAGCTGATACGAGGCTCAAGCTATGATGGAGCTTGGCCAAAAGTTAGATTTGGATTTTCTTATGTTTATGGGAGATTTTGGCTTGTGCTTTGCAGAAAGCTATTCAATTTTTAGCTGTAAACCTCTAAATTTTATATTGCTGGGACTCTAAGGATGATTTGAGCAACAAAAATCTCATTTCCCTCTGACCGTCTCTCCTCATTTGCTATGAGCTCTTGTCAGCAAAAATTATCGAATATCTCAGCCGTCCACGAATATTATGAGCTCAAATTTTCAGTTAATCTTGTGCAATATGCTAGAAAATTATATCCAAAATTTCAAGAAAATTAAAGACTAACCCGCTGAGAAATGAGACTTTTCATCTGAACCCTTACAGTAGCCGCTCGTTTCTTCATTTCCTATCATTCCCTGACCTCCAATCACATTTTCTTCCCCCGTTTCCAGACTGTTTTCTGTTTTTTGCATTCCTCTTTCCACACTGGCTACCTGCGCTTCCCCCAATCCCCTACTTTTCCACTAATTTTCTTGTTTTTTGGGGTTGTAAAACTTTTGGGGGGGCGGACCGACGATTTCGATCGTAACCTTGGACGGTCTTACTCTCCCCAACGCCCGCTTTCTCCCGTCTTTTCTGGGTTTGGAGTGCAGTGGGTTGCGGCGACTTCCGACTTTCGCTGAGTTTGAGGGGCGAGGGAGACAGCGAGAGAGGGATTCCTTTTCGTCTCCGCGCGCAGATTCCAGGATGCAGATCGGAGCGACGAAACATGGGGGATATTATGAATGGAGTCGAGGGGAAGCGGGGGGATCTATGGGATCTTCGGAAGCCGGCTGAGTCAGTGGTTTCGGGGGCTGGAAGTCGGGGTATGGGGAAAAGATGGGGGTAAGAAATGGAGTTGAAGGAAATGAACGGGGTTAGAAAATGGAGTCTAAAGAATAAAGATGGCTAGAAATGAAGCCTGCGGAGAGAAGGAAGCTAGTTTTGGGGCTACAAGGAAAGAAGGGCTAGAAGACGATGTACAGGGTGTCCAGAGAAATTCCGCGGAAATTGTTTGCCGATTTCTCGGCGCTTAGGCAAGATATCCAAAAAATTCTTTTTGCATTAGAAAGAAGACTATGGGCGGTTTTTTGTCTAAAAACGTTTTTTTGTCCGCCGACGCGGAACATACTGTATTCGGCGGAGACTTTTGGTAGCTTTTTTGGTCATCACACCAATCTTAAGCGCTTTGCTATGATCCTGAAACTATCGGGAAGCCTTCAGTTTTTTCTGCAGAGGATCAAGGGACCGACGACAACGCTATGCAATTGCATTTAGCGACTGCACCGCATTGTGTAGTTTCGTCAACGGCGATAAAGTCCGACCGCATCGTGCGGAGGTTTGAAACAGTGGGGCAAAGAGAAATTCAAACAAAAAATATTTTGTTGTTTTCTGGTGCACCAAGTCGTTTACTGATGGCTAAGATGCTGCCAAGGCTTGGCGACGGAATTTTGGAGAGCATATGGGATCAGCAAAGAACGCTAGCCACATAATGTTTGGGACATCTCCTATCCGAAGCTGAGTTGTGGCCTCCGCCGATACGGAAAACTCGCCATTCCATTGCCGAACGGTTGGTAAACATAAAAATAAGATAACATTCTCTTCTTAACCATCAGAAATCGTACTGAAGCTTTTAAGATTGGTGTGATGACCAAAAAAGCTACCAAAAGTCTCCGCCGAATACAGTATGTTCCGCGTCGGCGGACAAAAAAACTTTTTAGAAAAAAAACCGCCCATAGTCTTCTTTCTAATGCAAAAAGAATTTTTTGGATATCTTGCCTGAGCGCCGAGAAATCGGCAAACACTTTCCGCGGAATTTCTCTGGACACCCTGTATAAGAAGAGATGTGGATTCAAATAAGGGAGGATGGGGCTAGATATAGGGCTCCATGTAAAGAAAACGGTAGGAATGGGATCTACGAAGAGAGAAAGGTTCGATATGGGACTACAAGCAAGAAAAGGGGCTGGAAATGAAGTCTATGGGAAGAACGGGCTAGATATGGGGTCCCAAGCAAAGAAAGGGCTAGTAATGGGACCTATACATGGAAAGGATGAGATATGCGGTTCTAGGCTAGATAGGAGGCTCCAAGCAAAGAACGAAGAAGGCTGGATACTGTATTTAATAGAGGCAACAAATACAACGACCTAGGCAAGAAGATGGACCAAAATTAAGATCCAAAACCTGGTATACTGAAACTTAAAAATTTCAAAAGGCCATTGATTGCCGGATACATCTTTGCTTTGCTTAAAATTTAGCTTGTAAGATTCGCACAGGCTACACACAGGGGTTTGGAAATTCTAGCCTACATTTAGCAGGGGCCGCCAAGATACTGAACCAAAGAACTATGGAAAATGAGGAGAGCCGGTCAGAGAAAAAGGTCAATTTTCCCGGGGGATGTGGGTTAAAAATCTTGATAGTGTGAGCGAATTACAAATTAAGAATCTTTCTTCAAGTTTCATCAAAATCCAGAAATTTCTTGGCCAAAAATCACACATTAAGCTTTTGAAATCCTCCTGCATAAACTGTCCTGGATTACAAATATCTCACAGACCTCCCAAATCAAGGAGCGGATCTCAAACATCCTATATTCCACTTTATATCTTGCGCTCTTCCGACTTCTCCCCTCGGCTTTTCACTTTGAACTTGATCTTACCCAGATCTTAAAAGGGCAACCGGAAAAAGGGAAAAGAAGTCAAAAGTAGTAAACTCTCAGTCAGTCGGACTAAGAATGGGGGTTTAGGTGGTTGGGAAAAGCAAATCGTAGTTTTGATTTCTGGTGTTAATGTCGGCGGTTGTGAAAATAGAGTCAATTGTAAAAAATGGTAAGGATTTTGCGCGGTTAGGGGATTTTATTGGCTTTTACCTTGTTTTCAGAGGGTTTTAAGAGAATTTTAAGTGACTTATAGCCTCAAGGCAACTAGATTTTAAAGAGAAAAGTGATTTTTTGCCATTTTTTAAAATGATTACTAAAAAACAAGAAAAATTCCAACGAAAACTCGTGAATTCATTATCAAAATTTCTTGCTATTGATGTGATATGTTGTCTAAAATATTTGCAATATCCAAGTTTTACAATTTTTATTTGTTTCTCATCATTTTTTGCCATTTCATCTTCAACTTTCCATTTTTTGGCCAAATTTTTTTCGATCCGCCCTTGCCATACCCAAAAATTTTACATGCTCTGAAACTCACCTAGACCTTTTCCTCACATTCTGTTTTCTTTGCAATCGCTTTAGTCACGTTCTGTTTCCTGCAATCCCCGCCGAACCGCCATTACTTTCGCCCGCGGATCTCTAATAGCAGCCTCTTTTCGTCATCAACCTGCTCCAGACAGATCCTCCTTCCTCACCCCAAAACAGCAGGTATCCCCCTGTTTCTGCAGGCTCTTCCCTCGCTTTGTGCTTCCAGCGTCTCCTCCTCGAATGACCCGCAACACGTCTGGTAGCCCACATCGAGCTGGATGACAATCTTCGGGTCGCCGTTTTTTTCTCTGCCTCTCCAAAAAGCGGGCGCTCTCTCGGCGCGAAAATGTCTGACATTGTCGCGAACATCTTTTCCGATCGAGTGAAAGCGACGGATCTCCGCCGACGCGCCCTCAGGCACTCCCAGTCGCTTCGTTTGCAGCGGCGGCGGCTTTTCTCTCCCCTCCATTTTTCGTTTTTTCGCTTTTTTGGCGGCGCAGCAACGCGTCCGCCAACCGAAATGACCGGCTTTCGGGGCGAAGATCAAGTCGATTTTGGAGCGTCTGGTTTACGTTGGATTCACGCCCATCGACGTCTACCTTCTCCTTTTCTTCCTTTTCATTTGCGTTGCGTGCCGTTCGAGTTTCACTTTTTCCCTCGCGGCTAATTGATCGAGGCGCTGCAGGTGGGCGAGCGAGGTTTGAAGGTGTCTGCGGATTCTGTAGGGTCTATTCTAGCTAGCTGATGTCATTTCTATATCTTATACAGTCTGTGACACATTTTACGGGGCCTTTTTCGACATCAATCACCTTATTTTAGCCACTTTTTGATGATTTTCCAATTTTTTTGTAATTTTCTTGTTTTAAAAATCACAGCAAAGTAAAAATCATAGCTCTTTTGAATAATATAGGTCATGTAATGTCTATCTAGTGCTAAAAAGATACCTATCGTATACTTTTTTTAGATGTAAATGTAATTTCTAGGCAAAATCACCTTGTTTTAGACCGTTTTTAGCGAATTTGTTGCTTTTCTCTACTTTTTGGGCCCTGATTTTGATTATCATGCTTACTACAGACTTTTATGAACTCTCAGCTGTTCAGGTTTTTAATTACCACTTCATTTTCAACCCGAATTTATCAAGAATTTTCAAAAAAATCCAAAAAGTCATCCAAACTTTCGCAAATTTTGTTAATTTACCCTTATTACGGCAAATTACCGCAGCGACTTTACACTTTACCTATTTTCTGCTACCGAACACTCTGATCTTTCGTTTTTACTGCCTCATTCCCCCACTACTCCGCAATTTTCACCCAGTTCCCGCTAAAAATATTACTTTAGTTGACTCGAGCAGCCCACTAGTCTAGATTACAGCCGAAACCTTACTCATTTTACAGCATTGCCTAAGTTTTGGGCCGCAAAACCCACTCACTCCTCTCGACTCGACCCGTTCCCGTCTCGAGGATTGAGTGGCGCGCAGGCGAAGGACGTTATAAGGGGGACAATTGCCGTGCCCCCCAACGTCCCACACTTTGCACTCGCTGATCCGCGGCGTACGGTATGAATGGGCAGCGGAGGGATTGTGGTCGCGTTTTATAATATTTTATTCGCCCTTCTTCTTCCCCTCCGTCTCAAGGTTGATTTCTACATCGGGATTTTTGTTTGAGCTCCGGCGTTCCGACGAAGAAAGAGGGAGGGTTTCGGAGGGAAAAGGTCAAGTTGTGGACGAAAATACGGTTCGATTAGAGGCTACAGGCTTCAGGGATGACGATGAGAGTATGCTTTGTGTTTTTTGTGTCTTGAATTTTTTGAAAATGAGAGTTTTTGATACTTTTTGTGAAATCATCATATAAGACTTAGTCATCTACAAAATAGTGCAATTTAAAGGCGAAAATGCGGTTTGATTAGAAGCTACAGGCCTCCAGAATGACGATGAGAGGCTTTTTTGCGCTTTTTCAATATTGAATTTTTTTGAAAATGAGAGTTTTTGATACTTTTTTGCAAAATCGTCATATTACCCTTGGTTATCTGCAAAATAGGGCAATTTGAAGGCGAAAATTGGTAAAACTAGATAAAAAATCTTGTCTACTCGGTGGATTATGAGGCCTACTTTGCTGCAGATGTCTGAAATTGACTATTCAATCAGTTGATTTTTCAAAAATCGCGGTTTTTTTCATTTTTGGGGGAAAGTTTATTGCCAATTCAAAGAAGCTTATTTTACACCGAAATTCCCACATTTTTTATGGACTGTATCATTCTTTAATGACGTCATGTTGACTGTAGATGTCTTGTATTGACTTTTTACTTTTAGATTTTTCGAATAATCATCATTTCTTGACCTTTTGACAAAAAGTTGACCTTACACTTGATACATTGATGAAAAAAATTTTTTTCTGGCTTTATTTGCTGCTCTAACATGTTAAGCATTTTAGATCAGTCATTTTACAACCGCTTTCTTATTGTGACATCAAAATTCCAAGATTGTTTTGTCGACAAATCGCAATTTCCCCCCTATTCCCGCAATTTCCCACCCAAAACTATTGATTTTGCGAACTGTTTAGCAAATTTGTTACATCTTGCTTCCTTTCGCCGGTTAACTTCCCCTTCGGCTTCCCTAAATTGTGAGCCCGGTGCTGACGCATTCCGTGTTCGGTCTCTGATCGGGGGGATGCTATTTTGGAGGCGCGCGATCTGCAGCACAACCCCTCCTCGGGTTGCGCCCGCTCAAGACGAGGGCCGGCGGGAATTCTTCCGACTGATTGTGCAGTTCCATTAAACTACTTTTGCTCCACACTCTACATACTTTTAGTCGGAGCGTAGCCGCGCGTCGTCACCCCTTTTCCGGGTAAGTGGAGGAAGCAAGGAGGAGGAGGAGGAGGAATCGCGATTCGATCTACTTTTACTCCGGCTGCCCGCCGCCTCCCTTCGACAACTGTTTCCAGCCGGCCCCCCGTTTCGGGGGGAGGAGTGCGCGCGTTCCCCCCCCACCACGGGCGGGCTGCTGTGAACGGCGTGGCCATGACCCAGTTCGGCGGGCGAGTGAATTCGCCAGTTTCGATTTTAAAGTGAAAATTGGGAATCTCGACCGAAATGCTGGCGCGGCTTCACCGTTTTTGCCCCAAAAACGTTTTTGATGACAGTCGCAAGGGCACGGTACGAAGAATGCGGTGTTTTTGGATGCCTTAGGGTCTAATCAGTTAGTTTAACACCGAACTTGTTTGCTGCTGATACGTTTTCTCACTTTCTTGCATCAATTATATTGTAGTAGGCAGCAAAAGTTTATGGTCATGGGAAATCGAATTTTTTGGGTAAACTTGTGGGATTTTTTACTGAGTTTTATTGCCATTTCTATCTACTGTTGTTCATATTCATGTAGCGGAGAGGATTTGATTTGAGATCATCGAAATTTGAATTTTTTTTTCTTCAAAATTCTGGTAAAAATCGGTACATTTTTTGACCTGGCCTTATATATCACGAAAGGACATGCCATTTAGAGCATGCCACAGCTTTTACCATTTTTTTACAAAACGACTTTACTATGTTTTTTGATGATTTTCCAATTTCCCCCCATTTTCCCACCTTTTTTTTATTTTTTCGATTATTTCTGTAAATATCGCGTTTTATCATGCCCTAAGGGCTTCTATACAAAATTCAGTCCCTACTCTGTAATTCCAGTGCATGGACCCGTTCAACTTGGTCCATCTTCTGCCGCAGGTCTCGTTGTCAATGATGAGTGGTCCCTCCTCATCCCTCAGCTCCTCCGCTCCGTCCGGAGCCATGTCCCACCACTTGGACACCGTCTTCAACAATCATTTCCGGATCTCGCCGACCACCGCGCTCGTCGACACCCAACAAATCGGCCTGAACACCTGCTCGGGCGACCTGTATCGGCACGACACGGGCGCCGACCCCACCCTCTTCACGTCCGCCACCTCGGCCATGTCCGAGCTGATGAACCGTCTGGCGAAACATGAGCAGCTGGTGGAGTCGCAGGTGGAGTCGAGCACCAGTTGCACGCAATTGAGCCCCATTTCGGACACGCCGTCCGCCTCAACGTCCGCGAATTCGGCAAGCCCGAAGGAGCAGGATTCGTTGACAAATGCAAATGCTTACAACTTTTTAACGTCCGCGTTGAATACGCTGTTTTCTTCGGAGAATGAGTGTACAAGCCCCACGGATGATAATGCCAGTGAGTTTGGGATTTGCTGGGGCGATTTTTTGAGGGAAATTTTAAAATGAAAATTTTTTGAAAAAATTTAAAAAAGTGAAAATTTCAAAATTTTAATTGCTGAAAAAGGCTATACATAGATTGGCAATGGCTCTAATAGTCTTGTAATTGCATTGGCGACTTTGTTTTTATCTATTTTTAAACTTTTTCGGCCGAAATTTGAGATTTTTTGTCATTTTCGGCCCAAAATTTAATTTTTAGGCTTTTATGGCTTCCTAAAACTTTTTTGACTGGTTGTAGATCACTGTAGAAGATGTTCATTATATTTTGAATAATTGCATTTTCCAATTTGACCCTCTTTCCACGCCCTAAAACCACTTTTCCCCCATTTTGTATTGCTTTATATCGCCCAAATCCAATTCGGTTTCACCTGGTCACCCGCTCGCCTCGAATCGCCTGGAAACCGGTTTGCGCGCGCCTCAGGGCAACTAATTAGACGTCCGGGGATTCGGATCTCCTTCTTTTCGCTTTTCTCTTTGATCCCCTCACCTCCAACCAGAATCCGATGACGCAACGCGACGCTGCAAAGACAGCGATTTCCCCCCTTTCACTTTCACCGCCTGCGGGCAGATCCGGAAATCGCGACGGAGACACACAGACCCCGTTTCGGGCGGATCCGGATCCAGCAGCGAGGACCGGCTTCCGATTGGCGCGCGCGGATCTCCCCGAAGGAGGTGGATAAAGGAGGTCTGGAGGGGAAATGGTCGCAAAAGGAGATCAGAAGATCTGGTGCAAGGTCAGAGGTGCTGAAAAGGGGGAATTTGGGAGACTGAGTTTTTCTTGGAAATTGACAAAAATCAAAAAAAAAAAATGAGAGTTTGACAAACAAATTGATGAAATATCAGTCTGTCGGGAAAATAATGAGCACTCTGTCACAGCGAAAATTGCATTGCCACAGGGAAAATGAATTGTGTCGCGGTGAAAATAAATTGCTTTTCACTTCAGCGACGTGATTGGCGCAGCGACAATTTGTTCATTATTTTCCCGACAGACTGATAGAAAGAAACATGATTTTCTCAAAGCGCAAGCGAGGAATTTTCCCCAAATTTGGCACAATTGCCCTATGTAGAACTGTTGTTGATCCTTGAAAATTTGAGCCCTTGAGCCCTTAGGGTTTTTGAGATATTCAACGATGTTTGAAGGCAACTTAATTTCAAAAATTAGGGAAATAAAATTATTTTTGGCTATTTTTCCAAATTTTTCGCTAAAAAATCAATTTTTAATGCTATAAAAATCCTGGAATTTTCAAATACAACATAAATTTTTAAAAAAAAATCGAAAAAATAAATTTTTTTTCTTTTTTTTCGATTTTGTTTGATTTTTTCAACCAAAAAATGAAAAAAAAATATTGAAAAATTCTTTTCCAAATCTCGCCAAAAACACCGTAATCCTCAAATTCCCACGTTTTCTCGGCAAATCCCTCGAAGTTTCGCGATTCCAGCGCCCCTCGCTGACCTAGACCTTGTTTATCGGGAAGGGTCAAAATCGAAAAAAAAACTCTTATTTTCGCCCATTTCAAAAGCGAAAGACGGCCTTGTCCTATTTTACACGCCCTAACTTAAATGTTTTCCAATTGAGAAACAGAGCGGACTGATGGCGAACAGAGAATTCCGGGGGCAATCGGGGATAAGGGCCGTCGGAAATGAGATTTTTGGAGATGGCTTCAGAATGCTTCGATTTTTGGCTTCTGAATGCTTCAAAAAGTATCAAAAGACCTCGAAAAAATTTTGAAAAATTTCTGAAATTTTTTTGAATTTTTTTGGTTTTTTTGGCTTTAAAATTGGTTAAAAAGTATCAAAAAAATATCAAAAAATTAAAAATCTTGTTTTTTTGAATAAAAAAATCGAAAAATAAAAAAAATAAAAAAAATAAAAAAAAAATAAAAAAAAATCGAAAATCATCAAAAAATCACATTTTTCAATTAATACAAAAATTTTTTTTTAATTAAAAAAAAATAAAAAAAAATCAAAAAATCTCAAAAAATCTCGTTTTCAAATTACCAAAAATTTTTAAAAAATCAAAAAAATCAAAAAAAATCCACAAATCACAAAAAATCTCATTTTTCACCACAAAAAATTTTCAGGTTCCTCCACAAACCCCGACTCGATCCGAGGCGTCCTCCTTTGCCAAGTCTGTTCGGACAAGGCCAGTGGATTTCATTACGGTGTGACCAGTTGCGAAGGCTGCAAAGGCTTCTTTCGGCGGTCGATCCAACAAAAAATCAAGTACAGAGAGTGCACAAAAGGACAGAGATGTGCGATTGTGAGGAATAATCGGAACCGCTGTCAGGACTGTCGGCTAAAAAAGTGTATGGCCGTGGGAATGTCGAGAGATGGTAAGTTGAAATTTTGTTGGTAATCTAAGTATATAGTAACCAAGAAAAAAACGTATTTTAAAAACACGGAAAAATAAGGTATTTTTAATTAAAAAAATTTTTGTAAATTCAAAAAAAAATTTTTTTACTTGGCAAGCTGCGCCCTCACTTGATTTTTTTAAAATTTTATATAGATATTCATAGCTTCTGTATTCCAAAAAATAGGATAGCAGTATTTTATAAGTGACATAAATAAAATTAATTTTTGGCAGGCTGCGCCCTGACTAACAGGAAAAATTCTTACAATTAGATTCCGGTGAAACTTGGGAAAATTTTAAATCAGAGTTTAATTTTTTTTACACAGAATTTGCTAAAATCCCTTCAAAAACGAATATTTCTCTGACCGTCTCTTCATTTTCCATTGTCTCTCGTCCGAAAAGATTGCTGAATACCTCGGCCGTCTTTCCGTAGCGGAAGCTAAAACTCTCAGCGATTGATAAGCATTCTACCTAAATTAAATAGACAAAATTTGATGAAGATGTCATGTTTCAGCCGTGACTTTCGAATTTTGCTGATAACAACAGGTTTTGTTATAGGTTTATTGCAAATGAAATTTTGGCGTATTTTACCTTGTAAATTTTCCACGGCCTTTTTAGCCAATTTTTACTCTTAATAAGCTGCTTTACTTGGCTTTTTCAATAATTTTTTAAACCTTTTCTCGCCAAAATCTGAATTGTGACATCATTCTACCGTATTACTTTTTAAAACTATTTTTGTGCCTTCAATTTTCTCCCACCTCCTCCCACATTTTTGGGACTAAATTCCCCACACCTTTCCACCTCAAGAATTTCCGTTTGCCCGTAATCACATCAGTTATATCGACTGTAACAATTCCCCAGATTTTTCGGCCCCTTTTTTTGCTGGAGAATCAAACTCGGAGCAGTTCCGGTGGAAGAGTGGGAACTATTGTAATAAGCCGTCCATTTTGGACGAAGATTTATGGGTGACAGAGGTTTGGAAGAGGAATGACGTCATCCGTCAAGTGAAAACAGGGAATACAGATAAGGAAACGATCAGAAGTGGGAGAAGAAGTTATTTTGGAAAGTAGGGAATGATGTCAGTGTTTGGGAAAACAAAAAAAAATTGTAAAAAATTTAAACAGAATTATAAAGAAAAATAACAAAAAAATGTTTTTTTATCGATTTTTCCCCGAGAACCAAAAAAAATATATATTTTTTCAAAATTTTTTCATAGAATTTTTTGCTGATTTTTGTCTGTTTTGCTTGCGGAAATTCTAAAAAAGAAAATATTTTTTTGATTTTTTAAATTATCGACAGGTTTTTAGGAATTTTAAGCAAATTTAATTTCGGCAGGTTGCGCCCTGGCTTAAAAAACACGTCGGATTTTGATGAATTTTGGTGCAAATTAATTCTAGACTTTTAGAAGACATATATCCAGATTTTTAGCTTTCAGTTTATAGAGACCATTGAGATTTTTTAGTGGAAAATTCAAATTTTTGAGTGCTTTCGATTCAATTTTTTGAGTATTTTTTATGTGTTTTTTTCATCTAAAATTTTCTAAGGTTATGAAACCTTTTGGGCCTTAAGCCAAAAACTTTTACGGAAGAAATTTAGCAAAAGGTATCAAAAGTTATCATGGATACTTTTTGATACTTTTTGAAAAAAGCGTAGAATTTTTGTTTGTAAACCGTTTTATTCTCACTAAGCAGCAATGCAGCTAGTAAAAAAAAACAGTTTGAGAAAATTAGAGGCCTTTTTTCTAAATTTTTTCCATTAAAACCGCCACAGCAATTTATAATGAGCCTTGTGCCCCTTTCTCAGAAGTAATTTCTCCTTTTCAACCATCAAAAAAGACGGCGGCATTTTTGTGTGATCAAAAAAAAGTTTTTTTTGTCAAAAGAAAGAGAGTTCTTTATAACTTTTTTGGATGACCTTGTAACCCGGTCGCTTTTGAAGAATTTCTGGTGTTTTCTGGGTCTTACGGAATACTCGCTCATTACAGCCAGTAGACAGTTGATGATACAAAAAAAATTAGGCAAGACTGTGTTTGGTGGGGAAAACAACAAAAAATACAAGAAAAGTTAAATGTCGGAGAGTGGTGAAAACATATATAATACTAAACATATGTATATATGTACTAACATGTAGATATGCATAAAATACAATGTTTCAAAACAAAAAAAAAAGTTAAAAAAAAGAAAAACAGAGGCTACAGAATGCGTATATCCCACCGGATATACAAAAATAAAAAAAACAGCATTGAGTGACATTTTATACGATAAACAAAATTTTCGTATAAAATGTCCCCCTTTCCCCGGGAACCAATACCGAGTGTTTTTTGGTCTGTGGAGCACACAATTTCTACAAAAAAATCTATTTTTTCGACTCAAGTCCTCAAAGATATAGGAAAAAACAATCTCTGTCAGCCTCTCCTTATTTCCCATAGTCTCTCATATCTTGGCTGGACTTACAAAACGGTAGCTAAAATTTTCAAGAATTAATCTGAGGCCTTTAACAAAGTTCTTTGCAAAATTTGAAGCCAATTGAAAAGTTGGCCCTAAGGCAATTTGCATTTTTTTCCGCCATTATAAGAAAAAAAAATATTTTTTTTTCATGGAAAAAAGTCAATAAATTCTAATGATAAAAAAATCAAAAATTGCTCATAAAAAATCTCAAAGATATTTTTTCAATTTTTCCTCATTTTTCAGCGGTTCGATTCGGACGCGTCCCCAAGCGAGAGAAAGTGAAAATGGTGGAGGAGATGCAACGCGCCACCGTTCGCTCGCAAATCGACACTTTGGCCGTGGAATTGGAAGATGGCCAAGCCTTGATCAACTCCATTTTCTTGGCCTTCTCCGATCTGGGCGACGCCATGAGCCACGAACTCTTCAAAGGCGGCGCTTTTTTGAATTTGAACGCCCGAGGGCTTCATTCTCGCCAGTTCTTGCCGGTGATTCAGGCAGTTGTGCAATTCTCGAAGGCGGTGAAAGGATTCGGACATTTGACGCAAAACGATCGGACGAGACTGCTGAAAGTGAGCGGAAATTTTGAAAAATACGCTGGGCTTGTTTTGGCGTTATTAATAGAAATGAAATTATGGGAAAATTCAAAAATTGTTTGCTCAAAAAAATTGGATAATTTTTTTTTGATTTTTTTAATGCTAGAAGAAATTAAATTTTTGGTAATTTCAAATTTTTTCAGTTGAAAATTCGCAAAATTTTTTATTTCTCAGAATTTTCAGATTTCCAATTTTTTCCACAAAAAAATTGGTAAATTTTTTTTTTTCATTTTTACTAAATTTCCATTTTTTTTCCACGAAAAAATCGGTTAAGCATTTTTTATTTCAAGCAATTTTTTTTATTTTTTCAAATTTTCCAATATTTTTTAAGCAAAAAATTGTCATTTTTGACCATAATTTTTGCTAAATTTCTTTTTTTTTGCCTTAAAAATTGGTCAAAAAATTTTTATTTCCAAAATGTTTCCAATATTTTTTCAAATTTCCAATTTTTTCGCAAAAAATCTTTCAAAAAGCTCTTATTTTTTGTCATATTTTTTTCAAATTTATAAACCATTTTTTCCAGACCTCCTTCTTCCAAATCCTGATGATCCGCCTGAGTTGTATGCGAGGCGGCGACGGCAATCCCTTGGACGCTGCGCTGATCCCGAAACTCATGTTCCTCGAAGCCGACGACACCGATTCGGCGCTTCTGAAGAACTCGATCGTCGAGTTCGTGCAGCGTTTCCGGATGATCAAGCTGTCGGAGAAGGCGTTGGCCATGCTCACGGCGCTCGTTATGTGCCAATGCGAGTCCGAAATGGGGACAACAACGCATCTGGCGTCGGGATCTTTGCTCAAAATGCTGCAGGAGAAGATGTGGTGGTGTCTGCAGACGGTCCTGTTTAGCGAGCCGTTGGAGACGTTAGCTCCGTTGGTGGTGCAGAGTGTTTTCGCCGCTATTACTGACTTGAAAACGCTCGGGGCAATGTACGAGGAGCAGATGAAAATGATCCGATGCTATTTCGAAGAGCCCAAGCCTGCATTCGAGAGGTTTGCGGGGCCGCTACAACTGCCGTTGCATGAGAAATTCAGCGAAAAGTCGGCGCACAGTGCGGCGTTTGATGAGAGGAACCCGCACAGTGCAGTCTTTGGCGACAAAAATTCGCACAGTGCGGTGTTTGACAAATCGCACAGTGCAGTCTTCGGCGACAAAGATTTGCACAGTGCAGTCTTTGGCGACAAAAATTCGCACAGTGCGGCCTTCAGCGACAAAGATTTGCACAGTGCAGTCTTCAGCGACAAATCGCACAGTGCGGTCTTCAGCGACAAATCGCACAGTGCGGCCTACGACAAATCGCACAGTGCAGTCTTCAGCGACAAATCGCACAGTGCAGTCTTTGGCGACAAATCGCACAGTGCGGCCTTCGAGAAAACGCACAGTGCAATCGCCGAGCTCCTCGAAAAGCCCCCAATAATGCTGCAAAACACCAACAACAACGACGAAGACGATGAACAGCCACTGAATCTTTGTGTCCGCGACGAAATCGCAAAGAGGAAACTTGAATATGGAAATTGAATTTTTCGAATATTCAAAAATCAATTTTTAGGGAAATTTTAATATTTTTGTCTTGTATATTTTTATTTTTTCGCCTTCTTCGTATTTTACAAAGCTTTTTTTACCGATTTTTTGATCGAAAATGGATTTTTCAGCCAAAATTTCCTTATTTTAGCCGAAAATAAGGTGATTTTGAACTTAAAAAGGCTGAAAATCGAGATTTTTGTTGATTTTTTCTCGCGAATTTCTGTATTATTTCTGCTTATACTGTAACAAAGGTTTACAGATGACTTTGGAAATAGAATTTTAGGAAAAAAAACGGAAATTCGAGGAAAAAACCAAGAAAAAAAAATATATTTTTTGGACCAAAAAATAATTTCGGTCGATTTTTTTGTAAAATACGCATCTTATTTTACCATTTTACATTATACAATTTAAAAAAGTTTTTTGATTTTTTTTTTATTTTTTTCGAAAAAAATATTTTGTTGTTTTTATCCGAACATCCTACATTTTTACCTACATATACATACCACAAAAAATTGCAATTCCCAATCTATTTTATCTCCATTTTATTCACCCTTTATTTTTCCAAGATTTTTAAAAATTTTTGGATTTTTCATTTTTTTATATCTAAAATAATATCCGGCTCCGTTGTTCTTATTGCATATCCCGTTTCGCCCACGAACTACCCTTTAAATCATTGTAAATACGGGTGTCTGTCTCCAGAAATTAACATATTTCACAATGCCTTTAATCCCATTGGATGAATTCAGATTCGAAAATTACTCTGGTAATATTAATAAAAAACCAATAATCGCTTGGGATTTGCTTTTGAAATGTTTTAAAAAATAAAAAAAAATAAAAAGTTATTAATTTTTTTAAAGTTTATTTTTGTTAAAAAAATCGGGGGCAGGCTGCGCTGAAAGAGTTCATCGTATAAAATGTCACCGGTATTTTTAGGGCAGCTTGCTACTTAAAAATAAGTGGTTTTGTACTTTCCACAAAAGTTCAGCCGGCTGGATTTTATCTTCTTTCCCGAAGGGGACATTTTATACGATAAAAGAGTTCATTGCATAAAATGTCGCCCAAGTATTTTTATCGGAGTTAAATCACGACTACGCATTTTTCAACGTTCATTTTTCATTTTTTGAAGAATTTGCGCTAATGGTGACGTTTTATACGAAGGAACATTTTCATCGTATAAAATGTCACGCAAAAATTTTTTCTTATTGGAATTAAATCACAACTGCGTATCTTTTAACGTTGATTTTCCATTTTTTCAAAAATATCTCTGATAGTGACATCTTATACGAAAGAAAATTTTCATCGTATAAAATGTCGCCTAAAAAATAATTTAAGGGGGAAATACTCTGATTTTGATGAAACTTGGCAGAAAGACAAGATTAGTGCCTTCTGTAGCATTTTTAGGCGCTTATAATTTTTTTCTGGCCAAATTTGACAAAAATATGGCCAAAAACATCTTTTTTTATTTTTATTTTTTTTTCTTTATTTGAAAAAAAATTCATTATCGATTCCTGTGTACATTAACTTTATTAGAACTTTTTTCGAAGACACACAGAAAATTCGTAGGCAACAATGATAGAGAAAATGGGCCTGAAGAGAGAGAGAGAGATACCGTGGGGAAAGGAGAGGGAAACAGAGAAAAACAGAGATCGCGGCTCAATTCGTTCATTTCAAGTATTGGTCAGATGTACGTAGGGTTTGTGAGGCTCTAATCGAAGCCGGTGAATCCGCGGCCGGTCATCGAGTCGAAGGCTCGCTTCTGCGCCATCTGCAAGAAAAATTGGGTAAATTTTATTTTATTTTATTTTTTGGATTTAAAAAAATATTTTTAAAAAGTTTTTAATTATTTTTTTTGTGTGTAAATATAAATTTAAATAAAAAATTTTTTAATTTTTAATTCTTAAAATTTAATTTTTTATTTATTTAAACAAAATTCTTTAAAATATTTCTATTAAAAATAAAAGTTTTTTTTATATTTTTTGGATTTTTAACTATTTTTTTAATTCAAAAAAAAAATAAAAAATCAAAAATAAATATTGTAGAAAATTTTAAATTATTTTTTTGTGTGTAAATGTAAATATAAATAAAAAGTTTTTTAATTTTTAATTTATAAAATTTAATTTTTTATTTGTTTAAACAAAATTCTTTAAAATATTTCTATTAAAAATAAAAGTTTTTTTATATTTTTTGGATTTTTCATTATTTATTAATTTAAAAAAATAAAAAATAAAAAAATATTTTAAAAAATATTTAAAATTGTTTTTATTATTTTTTTTTATTTTCCCCAATTTTCCAAGAATAAATTTTTGGAACGCCCTCAATTCCATACTAAAGTAGACGTACTTCATTTGATATCTCTTTCCGCAAATTCAATTTGTTTATCTTCGATTAAATTGCATTTACTTTTACAAATTACTCTTCTTTCACAGAGAAAAAATGCAAAAAAATTCTAAATTCAAATTATTCTGAAAAATGGAAGTTGTACAGCGAAATACTAATTACATTTACAAAAAAAAAATAATTTTTTTTAATAAAAAATCATTTTTATTTTTTCATTTTTTCAAAAAATTTTTTTTTGCATAAAATTCTTTTTGGCGCTGCGGAAATTGTCTGAATAAATCATGAAAATGCGTCGGGGAATGCAGTTTGCATAAATATTGTCGACTTTTTATGTGTTTTTGAGACCGACATTTTCAAATTTTTATGAGCTTTCGAAAACTAAAACTTCACATTTTTTTTGTTGCTTTTTGAGCTCATTTTCAAAGCTTCCGGGGTCATTACGTCGAGGATTTATTGAGCCTTCGGGACTGGCCAAGAAACATAATTTTCGTGAAAAGTGTGAAAAAAATAAAAAAAGAAAAACAGAAAGGAATCATAAATTACAACAAGTTTTTTTAAATTTTTTAGAATATATCTTTTTTTCGGGACGTATTTTACACAATTCTTTAAAAAAATTCCCAAACAAATCTTAAAAAAAAAAAAAAAAAAAAAAAATTCAAGCCGCATTTTTGTGTCTACTAATTTCTAAGACAAGTCTTAGACCTTCAAATCCCTTACCATGCGGGCCAAGGCTCGTTTCCTGTCCATTCCGGTGAATCCAGCGCCAGTGAATGAGTCGAAAGAGCGTTTATCCATGCCAGTGAAGCCGGAGCCGGTCTGCAATTGTCTTATATTATTTACTGCGCATGTTTTTCTTTGTAAAAGTATTTGCCTTCATTTTTTAGCGTTTTCGATTAGTTTTCCTTGAGGTGACATTTTATACGATAAAAAATTTTTCGTATAAAATGGCGCCAGGGTTTTAGAGAGCAGCTTGCTACTTAAAAATTAGTGGTTTTGTACTTTCCACAAAAGTTTAGTTCCGGCTGGGTTTGATTTCTTTTCCCAAAGGGGACATTTTATACGATGAAAGAGTTCATCGTATAAAATGTCGCCTGAGTAATTTTTATTGGAGTTAAATCAGAACTACGGATTTCTCAACGTTCATTTTTAATTTTTTGAAAAATTTGCGCCTATGGTGACATTTTATACGAAGGAACATTTCCATCGTATAAAATGTCAAGCAAAAGATTTTTCTTATCTGAATTAAATTACAACTACGTATCTTTTTACACTGATTTTCCATTTTTTCAAAAATATCTCTGAAGTGACATCTTATACGAAAGAAAATTTTCATCGTATAAAATGTCGCCTAAAAAATACTTTTTCCTTTTTGCAAATTTCATAAAAGCAGAACATTTTACAGCATATATTTTTGCATGTTAACCTTTTTTCGCTTCCTGCGATCTCAGAATATGTTAATCATGACAAATTAATTTACTATGATGTTGCGTGCCAATCTTCAAATTTTTGACATGCGAAAAAGTGAAGAACGCAGGACTAATCTGCTCTTCAAGAATTTTTTTTTAATTTCTTAATTATACGCAAAAGTGTAGGAGTAATCGTCCAATTCTCCCATTCTGTGACGTAGCTGCCGGAACAAGGTGAAACTCAATCTCCTAGCCATTTTGGTGGGAAAAATTGGAGGGAACACAACTTCCAAGAGGCTAACTGGTCTCTCAGGAGGTATGAAGAAATTGGCAAGGGAATAATGAGCGGTAATTGGCGAATAATTCGCAAAATGGATATTCTAGTAGGTAAAGAAGAAAAAAATCGTATTTTCAGCGAAAAATTCAGTTGAAAAAGTTCTCAAAACGCATTGATAAAGACTTGTAGCGGTCCGTAGTATCAACATTTGAAAGAAGGTACGCTTAATCTGCCCATATTTTACCCAAATTTCCGAAAAATCCAAGTTTTCTGGGAAAAATTTCTATAGCTCTCAAAAATCGGAAAAATTATATGAAACTTTGCGATCTATTTATTCCAAAAAGTCATTGACGTATTTTACAAGCACCTGACTGCACTTACCAAAGCATCAAAAGATCGTTTGTCCATTCCGGTGAATCCAGCGCCAGTGAATGAGTCGAATGAGCGTTTTCTGTCCATGCCAGTGAAGCCGGAGCCGGTCTAAAAATGTAGAATGTGATTTTTTTGTCGTATTTTACCTAATAGATGCTTTTTCTTTCGTTTTTGCTTTTAATAAAGGCGAGTTTTTAATTTAGTTAGGGCGCAGCCTGCCATTCCAAAATTTGCAAAAAGTTTTTTATTATGTAAAATCAGATCACGTTATGACACATGAAGGATTGGGCCCGGTTTTGTCCCCACCCCGGTTTTGTCCCCAAGACGGTTTTGTCCCCAGGACGTTTTTGTCCCCACCCCGGTTTTGTCCCCAAGACGGTTTTGTCCCCAGGACGTTTTTGTCCCCACCCCGGTTTTGTCCCCAAGACGGTTTTGTCCCCAGGACGTTTTTGTCCCCACTTTTTTCGAGCCTTTTTGTCCCCAGACCGGTTTTGTCCCCAGGACGGTTTTGTCCCCAAGACGCTTTTGTCCCCACTTTTTTTATTTTTTGTCCCCACACCGGTTTTGTCCCCAGGACGTTTTTGTCCCCAAGCTGGATAGTACGATTAAAAATTATGCATTCAGATGTTAATGCTGTTGGTTTGGTGCACAGTACTGATCAAGCAACATGTTCTTAGCACTTGGTACTGTATAGTACAAGGTGGTACTATATAGCACGAGGTAAAAATTAAGCCATAACGCGTTAATGCTGTTGGTTTGAAGCCCCGGACTTCTCAAAAAATGTGTTTTTAGCACTTGGTACTATATAGTACAAGGTGGTACTATATAGCACGAGGTAAAAATTAAGCTATAACGCGTGAATGACGTTGTTTTGGTATGCAGTACTGACCAGACGTTCATTTTGTGCAAAAACAAATTCGTGCTATATAGTACCATGTGCTAAAACACATTTTTGAGAAGTACTGGGCTTCAAACCCATAGCATTGACGTGTTATGGCTTAATTTTTACCTCGTGCTATATAGTACAACATCGTACTATACAGTACCAAGCGCTAAGAACAAGTTGTTTGAGCAGTACTGTGCACCAAACCAACAGCATTAACATCTGAATGCATAATTTTTAGTCGTACTATATCGTACTATCCAGCTTGGGGACAAAAACGTCCTGGGGACAAAACCGGTGTGGGGACAAAAAAATAAAAAAAGTGGGGACAAAAACGTCTTGGGGACAAAACCGTCCTGGGGACAAAACCGGTCTGGGGACAAAAAGGCTCGAAAAAAGTGGGGACAAAAACGTCCTGGGGACAAAACCGTCTTGGGGACAAAACCGGGGTGGGGACAAAAACGTCCACTACGCACATGAAGTCTGATAAACGTATTTTAAAATCTTTTTGTGATGTTTTATTGTTGTGTGGGCGCAGCCTGCGAAGTAAAGAATTTGCAAACATTGTTTAATTTTTTTATATTTTCAATAATTATGACATTGAAACTTTGAAGCTTATATTTTAAAATTTTTTAAATGTTTTTTGAGTTTATGGGCGCAGCCTGCCAAATTAAAAATGGCAAATGTGGTATTTCCTTTTGAAATTTTTATAAATAAAGACTTTAATTTGAATTTTCAATCCATTTTAATCTCGTTTTTATTCTACTTCCTTCTCTTAATCCACCAAAAAATCATCAGAATCTTTAATCGCTAAATCTTTTATTCATCGCCAAACTTGCGCTCTTTGCAACTATTTGAATATCGAATATCCGACCAAAAACTACACAAACTCTACATGTTTTACGGGTTTCGGAACCAGCGTGACATGTAACCCACGCGCAAACTAATTAGAATTAATTTGGAACGTGTCAGGAAATATGATAATTTCGTGTCATGTTTCGAGTCCAAAATTGGAAAAATTTCGACGGAGGAGTGTAATAATTGGGTAAAAATGAAGTGGGAGGTTGAGAAAATAAACATAGAACATGTTGGAGGGGTAGTTTCGAAAACAATTCGAAAATTTTTTTTGTTTGAAAAATTCGAAAAAATGAAAAAAATTTGAATATCTAAAAGGGTACCTTACAAATTTTTATTTAAATTTTGTATATTTTTTCTAGAAGGTGAAGAGGTTAGTTTCTGAAAATTTCAGCTTTGCAAAAGGAGCCGAGATATTCAACAATCTTTGTTGACGAGAGACTACATAAAATTAGGAGAGACGGCTAGAGAAAAGCCAAGGCTAAAGGGCTTGGATTTTAATAAAATTTAAGAAGAAATGAAGACTATTATATAGCAGACATATTACGATATAATTTTGACACTTTTTTTAACATGGAAATTGAACAAAACTTTGAGAAAGAGAGACAGTCAGAGAAAAAAAAAATAATTTTTTGTTTATCTTTTTTGAACCGAATTTTTTTCCAATTCATTTTTTTCTATTTTATTTAATTCAACATCGTTTTCGAGAACGCCATTTTCCACCTAACTGACCAATCTCCACAGTAATTCAATGGCTTAACCCAAGCGAAAATCCGATTTTTAGTTAAAAAAAATTCTAAAAAAAATTCTCAAAAAATACGGAATTAAAAGTCCAAAGGATTCGTTTGTGTCTGAAAATGGGGATTTCCGAAAATTTCCCTGATATTTTTGGAATTCGTGGGAATTTTTGGCCGAGAAATTACGAGAAATTGCAATCCCGCGAACTTTTTTGGAATAAGTATATATACATATACATCCAAGGAAGGGTCAAAAAAGGTCAACAATGAAAAGAAAGAGGGGTAATTGACCAGTGCAGAATGGCACTGGCCGAAAAATTGAGAGAATTTTAAGAATAGGGGCAAAATTTTTTTTACCGACTAAAAAATTTTTATTTTTTATTTTTGGTGATATTTTTTTATTTATTTATTTATTTTTTTGACAAAAATGTTTTTAATAAAGCTTTAGTCGAAAATTGAAGAAAATTCAAATTTTTTTTTTGTTTTTTTTATTTTTATAAAAAAATCATAAAAATATATTTTTTTAATTTTTAAGCCTTCTAAGGAATTCAGAAAACATAAAAAACATATTAAAAAAATAATATTTATATTTTTTTTAAAAAAATTTTATTAAATAATAATATTTTAATAAAATAATATTAATAAAATAAATAAGTATTAAAGATATAAATATATAAATATATAAATATATAAATATATAAATATTAATAAATAAATATTAATAAATAAAAAATAATATTATTTTTTCTCCCCCAAAGATTTTACAGAGAAGGTCCCCCGCGTTTTTGCAAAAATTACCCCCACGAACGTGACATTTTCTTCCCCAAAATGTTTCCGGGAAGGCCATCAAAGTTGTCACCATTTGTCAATTACTCGCTAACGTTTTGTTTCGTATTTTTGTGTCGGTTTTTAGTTTCGCGAAATTCGTGGTAATTTAGCTTACTAATCTACCGTAATTAAAATTTTTTGAGAAATAAAAAAAATTAGAATAAATTTTTTTTTATTTTTTAAGAAGCACCAAAAAAAATAATTTTTTAAATTTTTTTGTTTAATTTTTTTTTTATATTTTTAAAAAATCCCGATTTTTTTGGTCTCTAAAAAATGATGATATCACATTTTCCGTCAAAGAAAAAAAAATAAAAAATGCTTTGAACTTACAAATGAGTCGAAAGCACGCTTGTCGAATCCGTTGAAGCCTCGGGCGGTGAGGGCATCAAAGGCCCGTTTCTCTCCCGTATTTGCAACTCCAGCCAAGGCCTGAAAAAAATATTTTGAGCTGAAAACGAAAAAATAATCATTTTTGATCAATAATTTTTTTAATAAAAAAAAATTAATACCAAAAAAAATATTTCATTTTATCATTATACTGTATATTTTTTAGGCATTTTAGGTAACCAATAATGGTTTTTTTGCTTCTCAAATTATAGTAATTTGAATAAAAGCTTAATTAATGATAAATCCCAGGGAATTCCAGATAAAAAACGTTTCAAATTTCATATTTTTCGTCTAAATTATCTCATCAAAAAAATTTGATAGGATTAATAGTAAAAATAGTTTATAAAAAATGCAAAACAAAATTAAAAAATAATAAAAAAAAAATTTTTATTAAAAATCTGTATATTTTTTAATAAAAAATAATAATCTTACCGCCCTAACGCAGCCGAGAACAATCAAAATCACGGAGAAGCGGAGGAATTGTGTGTTCATTGTGCGACGGATAAAAGTTAGTGGAAACCCTTTCTCTAAAAGTGTTCTTTTTTTGTTTTCAACAATAAGAGGGTGGAAAAAATATGTAAATGTAAAAGCATGTCGAAAAAAACATTTTTAAAATACCCTTCCTCTTTTTTCACTAGCATTTAAAAGACGATTTCTGAGTCACTGAAGCAAGCCGTAGTTAGGCCAGGACATAGGATTTTTTCGATGTTGAGTTTTTTACATTAGTATGACCCATGGCACCTGTAGAGAAAAAGCGAACCACAGTTTTCCTTAATTCTTCCATTAACTGTACTTTTTATACAATTTTCTGTTTATACAGTAATTCGTCATAACTTTCTACAATGGTGTCCGTTTGTCATAAAAATAAGGCTACTATGGTTTTTGGGCATGACGAGTTCAATAAAACCAAAAAAAATTTCATCCGGTTACGGTAACATATAAAAATACTGTATCGGTCGGTAAAAATCGACCATAAAAAGTTTGTTTCAAAAAAGCCACAGCCAATTTTTTCATATTCGTAATCAGCGTAAAATTCTGCTCTAGGACCAATTTTAAAAAGTTCAAAAATAGGACCCCCATTTTCCGTGGTGTAGTGGTTTTTGACCAAAACTGGTAATCTGACCACCCAGGTTCGAATCCGGGTGGGTGCGAATGTAGAAAAAAGACCTAAAATCACTTTTAATGAAAACGTGAGTTATTTGAAGCACGCTGAGCAATTTTAGGCATTAAAACTCTCTGAATTTGGGATTAAAACGATTTTTATGTAATTTTAGAGGATTAATGCATCAAAAATAAAACTGCTTCAAACTGGTTGAAATTGATAACACTTATTCTATGGCTAATTGTAAGAAACTTTCCCGTTAACTTTTTTTGGTAGAATGCTATATCATGGATTACTGTAACATTAAACCCGTTTTCGTTTTTGGTATGCCACAGGGCGTAGAGACTTCAGTGTATCACAATTATGATAGGAATGCTTGAGAACACGTTGGTTATCACACAAATGTGTTTTCTATGTCCGTAGGACTTGAAACACGTCCGTTATAACGCGCAGGTTTCCAATCGATAATGATGTCAAGATGCACAATATATCATGGGAAATTCTTTTTTTGAAATATGGAGCGTTGAGATTTCTTGCTTTTTAATAGATCTAATCAAAAAAAGAAAAACATTTACCCAAGAATTTTGAAGAAAACATCTGCTAAGTAGAATAAGTTTTATGTTACAGTAATCCATGATACAGCACTCTACCAAAAAAAGTTAACAGGAAAGTTTCTTCCAATTAGCCATAGAATAAGTGTTATCAATTTCAACCAGTTTGAAGCAGTTTTATTTTTGATGCATTAATCCTCTAAAATTACATAAAAATCGTTTTAATCCCAAATTCAGAGAGTTTTAATGCCTAAAATTGCTTCAAATAACTCTCAGGTTTTCATTAAAAGTGATTTTAGGTCTTTTTTCTACATTCGCACCCACCCGGATTCGAACCTGGGTGGTCAGATTACGAGTCCTGGTCAAAAACCACTGCACCACGGAAAATGGGGGTCCTATTTTTGAACTTTTTAAAATTGGTCCTAGAGCAGAATTTTACGCTGATTACGAATATGAAAAAATTGGCTGTGGCTTTTTTGAAACAAACTTTTTATGGTCGATTTTTACCGACCGATACAGTATTTTTATATGTTACCGTAACCGGATGAAATGTTTTTTGGTTTTGTTGTACTCGTCATGCCCAAAAACCATAGTAGCCTTATTTTTATGACAAACGGACACCATTGTAGAAAGTTATGACGAATTACTGTATAAACAGAGAATTGTATAAAAAGTACAGTTAATGGAAGAATTGAGGAAAACTGTGGTTCGCTTTTTCCCTACTGGTGCTGTGGATCATATTTATGCAAAAAACTCAACTTCGAAAAAATCCTATGTCACGGCTTGCTTCACTGACTCAGAAATCGTCTTTTAAACTAACAGGGGAAGTACTCCAAGTGCGACGCTCAGATTTTCTTTAAATTTTGCACACACGTCGGGTATGGACTAAATATCAATTCCTGAAAGTTTTAGCTCGCGCTTTGCGGGCGTCGCCGAGGTATCGAACGATTTTTGCCGCCGAGAGAGCACGCTAAATGTGGAGAGCGGTCAGAGAGAAAACCGCTTTTTGGCCATAACTTTGGCAGTTTCGTGCGGAAAATTTTGCTTTTTTGTAGAAACATTATCCTTTACGGTTGAAATAAGCATGAAACTTTTCGTTCCGAAATTCGGCAAAAAGTCCTAAATTTCCGCCAACTTTCCAGCTAAAAATCTCGGTTGTTTCTGCAAGGCGCGAGCTAGGATTCTCGCATATATCTTAGAAAAAATGATTCTAAATTTGTACCAAGTTTCATCAAAATCTGAGCGTCGCACTTGGAGTACTTCCCCTGTAAGCAAAAAGCAATTGTCCTTCCAAACTTCAGTTTTTTTGTAGATCTCCCCAAGGAGGTCTTGAGTCCAAGATATGTATGTAATAAAGTGCGATGTTCTAGACGCATATCCGGAAGTTGTTTTGGATTTTAAAAGTCTGTTTTTTGCCTATATGAATGTTCATATTTCCCTTCATTATCACGCAATTAATAAGCGTTACGAAAAACAATTACTACGGAATTGTTTTTGAAAATTCGAACCGATTTTTGTACGCAAATAAAAAATGGCCATTTCGAGAAAAACATGAAAAATTTGACGCTCGGATTGTGTAAAAAATAGCTACAAATAAAGAATATTTTTTTTTTGTAAACGACATGCAAGACTCCTAGCTTGAGGTTTACAGAAACGACCGAGATTTTTAGGTCAAAGCTGGAAAAATTGTGACACTTTTTTTAGAATTTTTACATAAAAAAATTCATAGCTATTTCAAAGGATAATGTTTCCACATCAATGATTCTTTTTTCTGTGAAACAGGCAACGATATCGCCTAAAAGTGTTTTTTTTTTTCTTTTTGACTGCTTTCCGTATTTCGCGTACTCTCTCATCGACAAAGATTTTGGAATATATTGAATATTTCGACCACCTAAACATGTTCGAGTTAAAATTTTTTGGATTTGATATGTCGTGTACACTCAATACATCGCAAAATTTTTAAAAGATCTTAGCGCCATTCGGCAGCGGAACAGCTTTTCTATTTCAGACAACAAATTGCCAGCCAGCTGACAACTCGTGAGAAGTCAGATATCAAAGTCTCTTTGGTCGATTGATTATCTCATGTCCCAATTTAGTCCTTCTCTCCGCCGTTTTTTCTCAAATTTACCGAAAAATCCGATGCTTTCGGCGTTCTCAGATAATCCAAAATGACACCTCCTCAAAGCTCTACCCTATTCTCTAATTTTAAATAATTTACAAGGGAAGTCACTTAAGTCACGGATCGATTTTTAAAAACGACTGTTACGGCAATATAGAGGGTGGAATGGGGATATCGAATCTGAAAACCGCTACCTCCACCGGCCTCTGGGAGCCGAGATAATCAACCAACAAGTTTGACCACAAAAAAGTTGCCCCGAAAAGCCTACCTTTTCGAAAAAAGGAAGGCAACGAACCGAATGGTCCGGTGGTCTGGAAGCGCGCTTCCGGGCCTTTGCCTTTTCAGGTTCGAGTCCGCATGGGTTCGAACTTGTAGATAATTTATCAAACTCTCTGTAACCCAACAAAATTTACTGGTAAAATAAAATTTTCTATTTTTCCATATTTTGCGATGAAATTTCACTCTGTCTGAATTATAAAGTTAAAATCGACGTAAAATATGGAAAAACTAGAAAATTTATTTTACCAGTAAATTTGCTGGATTACAGAGAGTTTGATAAATTATCTACAAGTTCGAACCCATGCGGACTCGAACCTCAAAAGGTGAAGGCCTGGAAGCGCGCTTCCAGACCACCGGACCATTCGAATCGCTCTCCTTTCGCTTTCGAAAGGGAGACCTTTTCGGAGGGAATTTGGCCAAACTTGTTGGTCGATTATCTCGGCTCCCAGAGGCCGGTGGAGGTAGCGGTTTCCAGATTCGATATCCCCATTCCACCCTCTATATTGCCGTAACAGTCGTTTTTAAAAATCGATCCGTGACTTAAGTGACTTCCCTTGTTAGGCTATCAAATAAAAAAAGAATGATAAATTAGTGCTGCTCATACATTACACTTTTACACATAGTCTATGATATTTAAAAAATGCCACACACATTGAAGAATGACAATCGGCGACTTATCAGCTTCCGAGCTCGCAATATATGTAGTGCCCATATTACAGATAAATCGGCGCGTAAAACCAATCGTATGGGACAAACTCGTTGTGGCAACTTTTATTTGCAGAAACAATTTTTTTAAATAATTATTGATTGTTTCGCACTTTTTACCAAAATTAAAAAAAGGGATCTCATTTTTACCGACTTTCGATCTAAAAATCTCGATCATTTCTGCAAGGCGCGTGCGAAAGCTTTCAATGCTTGATATATCAACAATTACTATGTTTCGTCCGTAGAGTAGTGTTTATAACGCAGTCATTTTTTCCGTGTGAAAGTCATAAAGATATAAAAAACAAAGATATGGCCATAAAGTGTTTTTCTATGTGATTGCCCGCTTCGCGTACTCTTTCACGACAAGTATCGAAATTGATATTACCTGAGCTCATCATATGCGCTAATCTATTAATAAACAATCAGAGCGCCCACTTCGAACACTTCCCCCAGTTCTTGCGAAAGACATAAACTCGCCATTTTCACCTAGAACATTGCCCTATTCTTGTCTTCTCAACCGATTATATACCATGTGAAACTCCTTTTACTCCCAATAATCGCACTTTTTTCTCCACCCTCACCCCAAACACCTCAATCCGCAGAAGCAAAATTCCCTACTTTTGAAGAACCTAGGCAAAAATTATTTAAAACAGTCGGTCCCAAGTGCGACGCTCAAATTTTCTTTAACTTTTGCACATATATTATCAGTCTGTCGGGAAAATAACGGCGGATCGTC